TTCGTATGGCGCCTCATTGCTTCTCTGTACAATCTACACGTTCCAGGTTAGATTATATCTTCTTTAAATGCCCTTTTCAATCCGCATGTTCTGTTAAGAATCCTTTAGGATTTGAAGTTTTATCCTGATTTTTTTAGATGCATTCTGTTGCTTTTTCCTTCCGTAACTCGCCAGAGTGAATTCCACTGTTTCCTCATTTTCGTCCTGTCTTCTTATCTAAGATACTCATTGATAATGTGAATCCCTATACTACAGATGGGACCTATCAGCGGTATAGATAGACATAAAAGATTTCCTTGTAAGGGCCTCCGTCTTTCGTTTCCCTCTACTCCTACATGTCCTGGGACCCAACAGGGAATAATTACTTTGCATACCTAATTTATTTTTGCAATTAAGCACCATTTTTGAGCTTTGTTAAGGTTGAACTGAGTACATCACTGAATTGCATGCACTTCAGCCTAGATAGGTTACTGATGTACATCCCCATGGGTTTTGAGTATTAGGTTCCAGGACCTTCTTGCGTTCTAGATCTATAATTGTACCAGCAGATCCCAACAGAGTACTCCCCACTTATGCAGACCATACCATCCGTTCAGCAAAACTTCTAGGCCAGGATCGTCCTCCTGTTTGGAAGATGGTTAAAAAATAGAGGATCATACTCAAGGAAACCAAATCTCAGCAATTAACCTTCATTATGCCGTTTTACCTCTTTAATTTACAATCTTCAATCGTCCAAATCTCTCACCAACCAATTTCATCCACTATTTGAGGCTTTACATCGATAAAAGGCTTACTTGATACTCCCACACTAGATTTTAAAAAACTACTACTTGTCAACAGATTGAAATTTTCACTTAAAAAAGCTCTTTCACACATCATCCCTACAACAAATATGGACGTACGAACGTGGGGTTCAGCCAAACAACTTCTAAAAAATAAAGTCATTTCAGTCCAAAATCCTTCGAAACCCAATTTGCCCTTGAATCCGAAAGAAGTCGATACAGACGCCTCCTTAAAACCGTGGACTCTCATTTTCAGACACATTTTATCCCGAACCCTTCTCGACAACCCTCAAGACGCCAAAAGCACCATTGGCCTCGCATTTCCTCCCTAGTTAAGAAAGTGAACAGTCCAAATATGTTACTTCACCGCTTGTAATATAAAATTCAATATTGACAACAGATCTATGTGTAACATGAAAGGATATAATGTTGTTCTACCATAATATATTTTTTTTTAATATTTGGACAAGAGATGAATATTATGGTGCAAGTCTGGACAGAAGTGATTCCGTAAAACTGTGTTTATGATAAATATTCAGTTTTTAATATCCTGAATATAGTAATGGTACTATGTAGTAACAATAAGACCTATTAAAGTAAAGTTATTTGTAGGTTTTGCTTAAAATTTGTTTAAACATGCTCTGTGATGGTGAATCTTATACAATAAAAAAAATTAAATATAACATAAGCTAAACAATATATTTTAAAAAAAGACCTCTTCTTGGCATGAAACAAACGAAAAATTAACAACGTTGGAGAAATTCTTTTTCTAGCACAACAGTAATCTTTTAACAGGCAATGTTCAGAGATAAAACTTTAAACAAAATACAAAATTAACTGAAATGAATCGCAAAGATATAAGTACCTTAAATCTTTCACTATGGCACAAAACTGTAAAATTAAAGACGTCTTTCTGCCAGCGCACTCCTTTCCGGATTCCCTTATCTACTCTTTTTCCCATATGTTTGTGATGATCGTCCCCTCTCTTCCAAAGTGCAGATCCCTTCAGAACGATCTTCAGAAAAGCTCCCCCCGTTAAAAGGGGTAGTCTCAGTGAAAAAGCGCCTCCATGATTACCACAGTGGTCACCTTCGGCCAACGGTTGTATTCTCAATTGTAATTTCTTGCTGAGCTCTGCCTAGACGATCCTACGATCGGCGGGCTTGTGGTTGTCCTTGTAGACGCTCTCTTCTCATCTTCCCTCTTGACCGACGCCTCCTGCCCGAATTGCATCGGATGGTTTCCTAATCTCTTCATAGGCCCATCAGTAGAAGTAGAAGTTTCTTCTTGGTAGTAGTTGTCTCTGATGATTTGATGTAGTTGCATATGTAACAGTTGTGCCTTGATATGCCAAATATTACTCAATTCACTGTTTATATTTGACTGAGATAGAATAATAGATTCAAGATTTATATCTTTCTTATACACATTCAAAATCAACTAAAAGTTTTCCGCGTTTTCAAAGTTGAACATTGCCTGCTAATGAGTTATTTAAGTTTCATTTTTACTATTGTGGAGGACACCTTTTTAGTTGTGAAACATGAGCTTTGGTGGTTTTCTCCGCTCCTCGAGATGTTGCCAACAAATAACTGACAGCTGAAATTTTATCTACTATGACAAAAGGTCCATCGTATTTAGGCATTAATTTGGGTGTTCTATCATGGGCTTTATTCGACAAATAATGAGCTTTTAGCAATACTGTGTCTCCAATGTTGTATTTTACGTTAGTTCTATTGCTATTATATGAACTTTGCATTGTTTTGTGGACTCGAATTCAATTACGATAAACTTGGGACCACAAATCATCCATTTCCTTTTTTGATTTCGCTGTCCAAAGTAAATCATCCATTTCTATTATCAAACTCAATGGATGGTAGATATCGCGACCCAAAAATACATGAGCTGGTATAGAACCAGTGGAGGAATGTACTGCATTATTTAAGGACATCACAATGAAATGCAATGAATTAATCCATGACTTCTGATTTTGTGAATGAAATATACCAATGGCTGTTTTTAAACAAGATATTGCCCGTTCCACCTGATTACTTTGTGGGTAATAAGGGATATTTAGGTGATAGGTTATGCCGAGAAAAACAGAAATTTCTGTACTCCGTACTTTTAAATGCAGGTCCATTATCCGATGGATCGTTCTGAAGAAAGGGATCTGCACTTTGGAAGAGAGGGGACGATCATCACAGCTCATAAGTCAATTTTCATCCATTTTTTTACATAAATATATAATTTATAATATATATTTCTTAATTGTATTGATATTGGGTGTTTTATCTTGAATTTCCTTAATGACGAAGGAGCTTTGGAATAAAGGCTGTAGTGTGATGGTGCGAGGTCTGGTAGAAGCGATTGCAGGAAAGGCTGGCATCCAGCTGTTTGCAAAAATAGAACGCCCGAATTAAATTATTAATTAACTGATTTTATTATTATACTTAATATTAATTAAATGCATGTTTGTAAATAATTTTTCTCCTTCATTCTTGTCCATCTTTGCCTTTATTCCGTAACTTAAATTTTTCCAAATCAGATTTTTAAAAACCGCTCCACAGAAACGAAATCTTGGCGAATCAAACTGTCTAATTATTATTCCTTAAACCTCTTGAACTAGTTCAAAACTATATTCCTAGCTGAGGACCTTGCAGTTGATAAAGAAAAGAGTGAAGGATCTAGTACTTTTGGACAATCAGACTATTAAATGCATATGTTTTTAACTCCAAATTAGTCTGGAGGTCCCTAAATCGCCTTACAACACTAGGAGAACTCAAGGTTATCTTGAGGTGCGTTCCCAGACGAAAGCACCAAGAATTGAGGCAAGCAAAGAGAGTTATGAACCTGTCAAAAGGGAAAGTAAGGATCTCAGGAGACAAAATTTGTGGAAAACTATAGCCTCTATCCAGTAAGGTCGTACTCCAAGAGAAATGGGCAAAGAAGCACCGAGGTTTAACTTTGTTGTAACAACCGCTAAAAAACGTTCCATGGCATGGTCTTAATCATAGGGGTACGTCAATAGACCTAGGTCGCGGTGAAGGAAAAGTTTCACTCCCTCCTTGACTCCTTAAAAAAGGACTGGTAACGTTACTTGAGTAACTTTATATTTAGCTGTTCTTGTTTTGTCAGCAACTAAATCTTGCGTGAATGTAATTCCGACGATTTGGAAAATTAATTTTTTTTGTAATAATTTGATGTACTGTGATGGTGTGAGTGATTCCAGTCTATAATAGCAGATTTAGCCTTGACCTATTGTTTCTATCTAATTCACTATTTACAGAAAAGCTTTTCTCTCTCTTTTTCCTTTCGTCCGGTAATTTTATATTTGTTTTTTATTTTTGTCATAAACTGTTGGGAATTTTAAAAAATTTGAGTTCTTTTCGGAAAATGTAATTATAAAGTGTGTAATCTTTTCGATTGTGTACTATTTAAGAAAGGAAATTTTTATTCACCCACCCTCCTTTCATCAAAAAGTGAACAAAGAAGTTAAGGATCAAAGCCTTCGCTAATCCTCCTTTCCCTCTTTCAATCTAATTAACCCGCCTCGTCACCCCTGAACAAACAAAACAAATTGTTTATTTTATTGTCAAGTCGAAGCCACCAAGGGTTGGGATAACTTTCAAACGGTCGTTAAGCTTAAAAATTGTGCTTAATTTTCGGAAGGGTAGTTTTATTTTTACCTTTCATTTGGTTCGTTTGCCATCCAACAACCCTTGGAAGAATTTCGAAACCGGTGAAATAATTAAGTTCACACAAAAGTATTTTTCCGATTAACTTAGGTGTAATTTAATTGCGCATTCATAAAAACGATAATTAAAAAATACTTGGTTTTTTCTCGCATTTCTGGTCTGAATGACGGTAAATAACTTAGGACTACAATATCCATAAAAACATGATATATTAAATTCCCTTCATTTGCAGAATTATTTATACAAATGGGAAATGTATTCAGCACAATGTTCAATGTGTTCAGCTTCATTAATAGCAATGTTTCCAAAAGAGACAACGCAGAGTTATTCTCTACTTTGAAAATCTAACATGGCCATTATTTTTACATTTGTGGTGTGTTTGAAATGTACTGTATATCTCGAGCCCTGGCTGTATCTTTAGGATAGAATACATATGACTTTCTTTTTACCTGTTTAGTAGTTAAGATTTAGTTATATATTTTTACTCCTTGAAGTATAAATTTAATTTTGAAATTTTTGTTTGTAGGTTTACGAGGCTGTTTTCAGGCCTTTGAAAGTGACGAGGCCACAGTTCAAAAAGGTGCTGTCTTGCATGAAAATGATACGTCAGCTGAAGTACCAGGAGGTGTACGCCCAGGAGAAGGTCACCAAAGTCGACAGCCTCTCCCTAGTGCTGTCGGGAAAGTGAGTGTACACAAATCCCGTTAAATTTTCAGTTAAATCCGTGCTGTTTAAGCCCGAGAGGGTTCAAATCGATTGACGGCGGAAATGCGGTAGATATCAGAATTGCAATGAGGCTAACAACAAACTGTTTAGAGGCACGACAAACCAGGTGGAAAAGTTCTCTACTTAATCTCTAGACATTTCTCCACCATCTAGGAGTCTCTTAAAATTGTCTCAAATTTAAAATTTGTGTATAAATGGTTTAATGATGAGTAGTATTAGTAAAGTAACTTAGTAATTTTTGAAGTTGGTTTCGTGAACTTTGCTCGTTCGATCATTAACTGAACCCTTAGTCCGCCTGTTCTCGCTGTTTGTTCTTGTGGAAGTAGTTGGTCTAACCCCGATTTCTGACCCGACAACTTCTCTCACGTTATACCTCTAAACTTCAAGTCAACAAGCCAAGTTATAATCAATTCCTTCGTGCTTTTAAACACAAAATAACACAAATTAAGAAATATTGAAACGGGGAGAATATGCTAAATAAAATTATTAACAATGCTTGCGTTTTGTTGACAAATAATAATATAACATCGTTATAAATATTTCGTTGTTTTCACTTAAATTATTTCGAAGGGTTTGTGATTTTTAGTGTGATGGATGTTTTTGACTTGTTCTGCCTTATTGCTGGGCACGATCCGTGTCGTGTTTTGGGTCAAACGAACAATCTCGCTTTAAGTAAGCTCAGAATATCCGATAAATCGGTTCAGGTTTTTTTTTCAATTAATCCGAGCCCTATTGCGGTTTAATTTGAATTCTGACGTCTTCCAGGTGCGAATTAGAAAAATTTACTTGATACAAGTGAACCTGATAATTTTTTTCTCAAGCTCCAAAATAGTTAAATTCAAAATAACAAACAAGGTTTATTTTGATATGGACGCCCTCATCACAAATAGTACAAAAGTTCCGTCTGAAATGACAAAAAACTCGGGATAGGGAATCGACCAGATTGTTATACAATCCAATTTTGTTTATGGGTTAAAAGGACCATCCTCCATGGTCTGACACCCTCCACATATCCTTCGTTCCTTTTGCAGAGGAACATTCGCAAGTGTCCTTCCCTATAGCTCCTAACGACCCACTTTGAGAAATCAATAGTCGACCCACCAACCCCCTCTGCTCACGTTTCAATTAAATCCGCCGATTGCTTTTAAAAGACGGTTCGTGTAAGACGTCGAGGAAAAATTTGACAGGTGAACATTGTCATAGTATTTAATAGTGAATTTTCTAACCTTGCATGATCAGGTCCGAAGAAAATAGTATTTAAAACCAGGGGGCTTTACCAAAAAGAGTCTTTTTATTGACCATATTTATGCAGGATAAAAATAACGGCATATGTTGATCCTAGATCTTCCTGGTCAGCCTAGTCTTGAGTAGATAGTCTGTTAGTAGATTCTTAGACGAACTCGACGGTTCGTGTAAGACGTCGAGGAAAAATTTGACAGGTGAACATTGTCATAGTATTTAATAATGAATTTTCTACCCTTGCATGATCAGGTCCGAAGAAAATAGTCTGTTAGTTCATCAGTCGTGTCCTTTTACAAAAGTCATTTTGTAGAAAGCAGCAACGACACTTCTTAACAGTGTTTTTGATTACAAAGCAATCATCTTTTTATTTTTGTTCCAGTCAGATATTCTGTTTTCTTTTGTTGTATTAAGTAAAAGCCTGTGTGTTAAGTTGTTAAGTGTTCAAATTCATTTTCTACGTCGTGGAGCAAGGCGAAATTTTTCAAGGTTGTGAGTTCATGGTGTGTGAGGCTGGTCTCGACAGTTTTCCTCTGGTATTTGTTACCTTTAGTGCGTTTTCTGATGTTAATTTGTTGATTAGGTTAGTTGTACTTTTATTGTCCCATGTGAGTTTTAGCTCTTCAGTGGCAGAGGAATGCCCACTATCAATGAACACCTCAGACAGAAGGATAAAAAGAAAATGAGGGAACAATGGAACTCACTCATTGGACACAGACAATCCAAGAACTTCCTAACAAACTCTGGAAGGAAAGAGGTAACAGAATCAGGAAAAACTGCGAATCCTAACAGGATTCTTAACAGGACATTGCAGACTCAACGGACATCTGAAGAAAATTGGCATAACCCAACACGGCACGTGCAGATTCTGCAAGTAAGCAGAGGAAACAACATCTCACCAGCTAACAAACTGTGGTGCTACACTTCGCAAAAGGAATGTTTTGGGACATACAACCTAACTTTAGATCACTGAAACCGGGCCTACTAATCAAATTCCTTGATGAACTAGGACTTACCGGTGTACTTTAAGCACAGAACAATAGCTCTTAAAGAGCGCAGTATAATACACACCCGACTAATACATCTACATCTACATCTCTCCATGTGAGTTTGGTTCATTTTTGTGATTTTGTTGATATGTTTGTTTACTTGACCGTCTCAGATCATCCTGGTCAGCATAGTCTTCAGTAGTCTGTGCGTTATTTCTTCAGTCGTGTCCTTTTACAAAAGTTAGTTTGTTGTGTGTTCGAAAGTGTTCAAATTCATTTTCAACATCTTGGATCAAGTTTAAACTTTTCAAAGTTGTGTGTACTTCATGATGGTTCTGTGTGTGGTTTGTCTTGAAAGTTTTCCTTTGGTATTTGTTGTCTTTACTGCGGTTTCTAATGCTAATTTGAGGATTGGGTTAGTTTATAAGTTTCTTTTCTTTTCTCATGTGACTATGGTTCATTTTTCTATTTTGCTGATTGTGTTTGTTTGTTATTCAAAGTTGTGAGTTCACGGTGGTCCTATGTGAGGCTTGTCACGAAAGTTTTCCCTGTTGTATCTGTAGTCATTACTGCGGTTTTTAATGCTAATTTGTCGATTTAGTTTGTACTTTTCGTTTTTCACGTGAGTTTGGTTCGTTTTAATGTTTTGCTGGTTCTGTTTACGGTTGCTTTTTGCCATCCTGGTGTGCCTCAGACGCGTTTCGCTCTTGGGGTTGGTCTTTGCGCTGTATCTTCCTTATATCCTTTTTTTCTATAACAAAACGTGTCTGACAGACAAAACACAGGATATCTTTAAAGTTTGTTTATGTTGTATGCTTTGTTTTAATTGCTCTGTTGTATTTATTATCTTTTGCCCTGGTTTTCTGTGTTTAATAGTTTGATGTTGGTAAGATAATGGGTCAGAGTTTTATAGTGCATTTTTTTAATGCATGTTTTTACATTTTAAGTGCAAGGTCAGATCATGGCCATTTATGCATCAACATTTTTGATCATGTTTGTAATATTGAGTTTTATCATAATCTCAGGAAAATAGATCTGAGATCAAGCTTCAATGCATCGAAATCTTCACTACGTTTCAGGAAATAATGACAGTTGGGCCAAGGTTTATTACAGTCTAGTCATTCTTCATTTCTACAAGAACAGGGAATGTCTTTTGATCTGTTTCATCGTCCAATGAACCGAACGGCTAAATGACTAAATGACTCCGAACTGTCTTCACGGTTTAATATTTGTCAGCGTTTTTGTCATGACAACATTTTTGGCTTTTTCTCGCAGTTGCTTTTCGCTGGATTTCTTTAGTGTCCATGTGCCGTTTTGCGAAACCCGAATCAAGAGACGGCCGTTATCCTTTCGAATTTCTTTACATGTTTCATCTTTGGGTGTTTGATCTTCTTCTTAAAAATCTTATGTATGTTGGTTTAAAGTTTTGTAAAGTTTCCACGAGCAAAAATGAAAAGTGTTTTAGTATTTGTACACACTTCAATCGATTGCATATAACAGACCAAATTATGATTAATAGTAAACAACGAGAACAAGCGGCCCCCCCATCTGGCACTAACTCAAACGTAGAAAAAATTCCGTTTCCTGAGGAAAGCTTTATAGATTCAGTTGAATATACAAACTTGTTCCTCGATTAATGATGCAGAACAAACTTTTACCATTGTCCGTACATTTATCGTACACCGTACAAATTTTGTTTATGGATAGTCTGAAAGGGCATGAACGTTTTGATGACCTGCAATGATCGTAATACTGCCCGTGGATTACTATAATCTTTTACTGCCTGGGAACCGCGCCCCGTGGTTTCTGTTGAAAGACGCCGATGACTAAGACATTGCAACAGAACTATAGTAACCATTATTAAACATTTCCTTAAACGCATAACTGATTAATTAATAAATAAAGCTTCCGTAGCTGAAGATCATTTAGCAGCTAATTTACATATGCAGCCTAGCAAATAATTTAATGACCTGTCAGACTATCAATTTCATTTTAATTAGTTTATACTATATTATACATTTATATATTTAAGAAAGAAGAAAATTTGCTATACGCAGTTAATAGATAGGTCTCAGAGGTTTTGCCCGTTTTTTATTGATCTGGTGTTTCATTTGCACACGAACTGAATAAACAAAGCTGTTAGTTGAATACCCTTAGTGTTGAAAGAGTAAACAAAGAAAATATGCTGATGCTGAATTGAGGCTGTGTTGAGTAAACAACTTGGCATCTTAGCAAGAAGTTAAAATTTATTTAAACCACCAAAATTAAACAATTAACCGTGTAAGGTGTATTTAATTGATGTTTTAGGTTGGTGGTATCACAGAATGGAAGAGCATTGCATATTGTCTTCCCTCATCAGTTTCTTGACTCCCCAGAGTGGTTTGGTGTTTCCACTGATGAATATTTTCAGGTAATTTGTTTTTTGTTTTTTTAAATAGTGATCTAATTTTTTTTTTAATTAAAAAATTATTTAGGTGTCAGTCACGGCTATGGAGGAATCGAGAGTTCTCCTTTGGCACCGGGACAAGCTAAAGCTGTCGATAATAACTGATCAGTTTCTTCAAGCCGTCTTTGATCACATCCTAGGAAGGGATGTTGTCAAAAAACTCCTACAGGTGAATTTTAGACAAAACAAAATTTTTCTTACATATTTTTTTATATAATTTTATGTTTTACTAAAAATATATATTTTTCAGGTCAGTGAAACGATGACTGTGACGAATAACTTAAATGGCCATCTCACAACTGGTTTTGGGGATGAGCAAGATATGGAAAAGCCAATGGTGATAGTGAAAAAGTCTGGCGATGGACCAGGAATCACCGCGCTTATCAACAGACAGTTACAAGGTACAATAAGAACTCAAAACATACCAAACTAGACCCTCTGCTTATAGGCTTATAGTATTAATTTAGGGTACATAGATTGTGTAAAAATAAGTTAATTTTCCAGTGCCATTAGAAAATTAATTATAATTTATGCATGATTTTTAAATTATTATTATTAAAATGCATTAGATTAAATTTATTTTTCTTTGTTTTTAAATAAGTTTTTATATTGAAATTATTCATAAGTTCACTGAAATCATCCAATCTTTTGTTTCCTAATTTTCGTTTTGCATGTGAATGGTTATGTTGTGTGTTGTGTAGAATTTGAAGAGTCGCAGCCTTTATTAAACAGTGGAACTTTGGCGTCTTGTGTCAATCTTATCAACTCTAATTTCTACAGAAGACAGTGACCAAATGGTAAGAAATTCATTGACTTTAAAATAATTATTTAAAAAAAAAACACTAAATAATGTAGTGTTTGATTGTAAATTTCAATTGAACTTTAAACATGACTTCCAAACTTTGTTGAATTTGATAGACATATTTGAACGAAACATTTTTTTATTTGTTTTTCTTTTATCTCCGATGAAATGATGTCATATACTTAACAAATATGGAATTTAAAATAACGATGCAAAAGAATACCGCTTGTGTTTTGAATTTAATAATTTTCACTGTCAAATAATTCATACTAAATGACAAATTATCATTGAGAACTGAAGAACCGTCAAACATTTCCTGAAAGAATTTGACATTCAAAACAAATTCAAAGTAAGTGCTGCTTCTGAGCTTCATTCACCTGTCTTATTCCAACACACTTCTAACTTATTGTAAAAACTGTTCTGTGGCCGAACTTATTCGTCTCTATTTCAGAGAGCATGCGAACACATTTAGGCATGACACCTTTTTAAACATACATTCAACCCTGAGAAATTAGTCTATGATTTGTTTCTCCTAATGATACATCTTATATTACTAATTGTTTTTAAATAAAACAAACACAAAACCTCTTTTTTCATTTTTCATATAATTTTATTGTTTTTATTTTTTTAACAAAACCCATTATCTGTTTTTAAATGTTAAATGTATTTTTTTCTAATAAATGTTCTCTAATAGTTTTAATGCATGTCCATAAAAAAGGCAGATTGGAAAATATTTTTTTTTTCTTCCCACCTGCCTACTAATTTACACTAATCTTAGTTATATACACCATTTATATATTAAAAATTGTAAATTATAGTATGTACAAAAAATTTCAGATGATTCAACAAGGCAGCAGCATACTGTAATGAAAATTATTCTCTACGATGTATTTGTATATGTTTTTTATTTATTTTTTGTATAAAAATCTGTGCTCATTCATTCATTGGCAAACACTGACTATTTCACAAATGTGGTGAGGATCCTTTGGGGAAAATATATTTTTTTATAAATTGGCATATATTTTCATTATTTTAAGCATACAATTTTTTTTTTTTTTTTTTAAGTTCTGTATTAAATAATCATGATCACTTAACTGAAAATAGCAATTTATTTTGACCCTACTATCTATTTTTCATTGTGACAATTTACACTGCCATTATTTATCTTCTGTTGGATTATTTTACCTTTGTGGTGTGTGCACTGTTTCGTGCAAAATGTCCCTTTTTCTGTGAATCACTGAAATGGCATATTTAATTCTAGGGTATATTCTTTACTCCCTTTTTCATTTTTTTATGTTGTTTCTGTACTATTTTAAAAACTGTATGCTGCCCCTTGTTGATAGTAAGTTGTATTTGCTATAGCCAAAATTTGCGATTCTGTTCAAGCCGGCCGAAACACTGAGCAATTCAGTCACTGCGATCCTCAGTCAGATTTTGGCCTGCTTTCGCAGAATTTCGTGATTTTCCTTTGCTTTTACCGAAAGTCTAGTTGTAATTGACAACAACGGGTGTTCAGAGGATTAATGCAGTATTTCTCTATATGCCTAGCCATGCCTAGGATCAAATATTATTGCCTTGGTGAGTACCTGAAACGTATGAACAAATGTAAATGAAAATTTCTTCCCCAGTAGCATCCGCATGCTGCTTTCCACAAAAAAATATAAAAAATTGTATAATAAAAAAATAATTGCATCTCTTTTTTTTTAACAATAAAAAACTTGCTATGATCTTCAAAGAAAAACTTAAAACATAATGAATGCATAATTTTATTCTTAAGTGATAAAAATGTTTAATTATTTATGTAAATATTACTATTAATTTGTCTAAAGAGCTTTTTAATTAATGTGTGTTTTGTCAATTATACTTGCATGCTATGCTTTATATTTCGTTTATGAATATTATTTTCACGGGGGATGTTGTTTCAGCAACTGATGTGAACGCATGGAGGCTAGGAAGAATTGAAGAAACTGATCATGAGACACAAGTTTAATTTGTTAATTATTAATCAAACTATTTCTGGACACAATTGTGTTTTGATGTAAAGATTTGTTTAGTTTTTCCCTCTCAAATATGTAATAAGAAAGGCATGGTTAATATGGCTAGTAATTAAATTCAAATGTATATTCAGAGTAATTTGTATAATCATTTCGAAAAGAACAGTGTATTTATAGTTCCAATCGGACAGTTATAAAATATTTTAGTGCCTTTTAATAGGTCTAAAATTGAAAAGAAAAAAGCAAAAAATACAATAGGCTCAATAATAAATTGTACGAACAGTATTAGATGAAATATCAGGTTTATTTTAATGTATTTTGTAGTCAATATATATTTTTCGGTGAAATTACTTCACAGATTAAACAATAGAAAAATGAAAACATAGATAATTAATCTAATTAAATTTCAAGAAAAATATTATGAAATAGTTAAAAAAAAATTTATTTTGTCTGTTATAATGCTTAGCCATGACAAGTCTGAGGACGTTCAAGCTAGGTATCTTGGATCCACTTGTGTATCATAGATTGGAAATTGTATTGATACAGCAGTTTTTAAAAAAGCTATAACTGCAGCCTCGTGGTGATGCCCACCTGTTTATTGGCTATTGTTGTTTTTATGTGAAAATAATTTTAATTAAACTGATGAGGCAGATGAAAAATTAATCAGACTTTGATGGAGACCTACTTGAACATCCACTATGAGCATTTCTCAAACATAGAGATGTGATGACAGAAAATTGTCTAATTTTATCTTATTTTAATTGTAAATTAATTTTGTAATTAATATTGAATTTTGATTTACTGTTGAAAAAATATATTTTTCAGTTAAATTCAGAATTGAAAGTGGAGAAGTTGAATTGTAATTTTAAAAGTAATTTAATGTTTACTTTTAATACATTTTAGTTTTTGTAAGATAATGATCAGATTATAAAATAATTAAATTTAATTGATTGAGAATTTTACACTGTTTTGAATTTTATGTGTTTTTAAACACATGGCCTGAATCATAAGGCTGATTATTTTAAATAATCCAAGAGTTAAAGAAAAAACTGGTAATCATATTTTGGTATTTGTACTGTAATTAAATAGACAAGGTAATGTGTAATGGAGATTATCGGAATGAATAAATAATAGTTGTTTACAAAAGAGAAAAAATGTATTAACAAAAAGAATGATTTAACTTTTTTAATATCCGAATTGTGATTGTAAATCAAAGTTATTTCAGAATGTAGAAACTGTTAAATATTTTAAATACGTTGGGTATGTTGGTGCTGAACGAATTGATGTCTGACATTGTGGTGGTTACAAGTGAGCATCATATCATAAAAACAAAAAATTCATATCTGTCTATATTGTACATTGAATTTAATTATTTTTTGAAGACATGTAAGCTGTATATTTATCTGTGTTAGTTTGAAACTACAGTGAAAAACATTTCTGAATCCTTATGCACTTTCTAATTTTTAATATAATTTCTTAATGTCTGTACATATTTGAAAGCAGAACTTGGCCAAAAGCAGGACTTTTAAGTGTATTAAAACCTTGTAAACCCATACATGTTTTCCCACAAAAAAAAAAAAAAATAAATAAAAATAAAATTAATGTAAAAATCATGTTTCTGTCAATTTACCACGTCCCACACTGCATTGGTCCAAGTTTAAATTCTGACAATAATTCAAATCGATTATTGCTGTTTATTTTCAAACGTTTATTTAACAGAAAAACTTTCTTTAACACTTCCCAGGCTCTTGTTAAACATTATTTGGTTTGAATGTTTAGAATATACATATATATGTACTTACAAGATTGTAAAGACCACATGAGCGCTAAGTGCCATTGTATTATAGTTATAAATAATGTTATATATGTCCTGTTAAATGCAGTATTTGTGATATAAAGACTAAGTATGTATCTCATTTTCTTTCTGTTTTACTTCCTAATTCTTTTCCATCGTTTTCATTTGTCAATAAACTTTTTGAGAGTACTGCATTGGTGGGGTAATTAGGGCATTCGTCACGGATTTTGTACACTAGAAGTTTTGGTTCAAATCTTGGCCTAGCTGATTGGCCTAGTTGGTAATTAATAAAATAAGTTTAAATAAATATAAAATGTGTATTGTAAAGAGGTTTGACATCCATGACACCCAATGGGTACTTAGATGGTAAGCTCTCCTGTATATCAGTAATTGCTTTACTTACTTTTACAAGTTTTACTGCTAGTTTTTATCTTTCATATTTGATTCGGCATTTCTATATTTTTAGTGTTGGGTCAAGGGAAGACAGCAGAACAAAATTCAAAAGCAACTAAACTACAGGTTCATCATCTCATAAATCTCTAGAGTCTGTGGTTAGGGGGGGTTTGTTACTGATTTGCATCACTAGCAGATTTGAACCCTGTCATAGCCCATCATTTTTCAATTGACTACATGAAAAAAATATTGTAAAGTGATTTGACACCCTCATCCGTGACAACCAATGGGTCTTGGACATTAAACTCTCCTGTAAAATCAGAAATTTTTTTACTTTTATAAATTCTCTGCTGGTTAGATCAGACTTATTTTGGCATTTCTATGCCTTCAGTGTTGGGTCTAGGAAATATAGCAGACTAAAATGATCGAAAACGACCAAACTACAGGTTCATAGCTCTCATAGAGACTACGGTGGCCGAGTGGTTATGGTGTCCATCATCGATTGCTAGAGGTTCTGTCTTCAAATCCCAGCATAGTCCGTGGGATTTTAATTGAGAATTATTTAAAATAAATTTTGTAAAGTCGTTCTGACTCCTCATCCACCAATTGGTACATGTACGTTTAGCTCACCTGTATGACACAAGTTAAACTATACTTTTACTTCGATCTATCATTACTATGAAGAGGGTGATAGCAAAACATAACAGACCATTTCGACCAGTCCATTTTGTAAATTGAAATATATTTTTTCTTAATTCTTTATAAATGAGATAACCTTTTTAATTAAACAAAGAAAAGTAATTTGTCATAAGGAGGGCTTAAAGTCCAACTACTCGTTGGATTCGTGGATGAGGGGTCAAGCCACTTTGCAGTATATTTTGCATACAATAATCAATTAAAAAGCCATTGGATCTGCCAGGATTCAAACCCAGAACTGCTAGCGTGACAAAAACAAATCAGACTCCCTAACCACTCTGCCAATATGGTCCCCTTTTAATTAATTCAAAGCGTCTTCTGTTAATCTTTTGAACTCATTTTTTTTTTTTCATTTTCTACTTGGTTAGGAATGGTTAATATACTGGAAGGTTAATTACTTGTTATAAATATTTTTAAATAAAGTAAACTATTAGACAATTAATTAAAGTTTTAAATTGAGATAAAAAAGTCAGTGTCACAAGCGGGATTCGAACCCATGACGAAAAATAGTGCGCATACAATATTAGGTTATGGGAAAATTAATCCACAAATATTATAATAATTATTATTACATAAATAAATATGTACACGGAACAAAATAGAGACAATGAACGATAATTTATCTAAAACTTTTAAAATTAACCCTTTTAAAAATAGTAGACAAATTAACCTGAAAGAAATGCAAAATTGAAAAATACAATTATTCAAATAAGCTTATTTGTGGGAGTAAATTAAAATTTTAAAAATATAAGTTTATTAACCTTGGAAACTTTTTTCTTAATTTCAATTAGGCAATGACCCATAATTTTAAAACAATATATACAATATAGGCAGATTACAAAAAAATGACACAAAGGATTTTTTTTTAAAATAAGCTCATAGATTGTTATTTTAAAAATGCTAGAAATTGTTGACAAGAAAAGATTTCTTATTTATATATATTTTATTTTACATATATTTTTACTTTTCAATTAATTTGACACTTTTGTGAGCAATTATATATCATTAAAAATCATTTTTATGAAGTTTTTTCAATCAGTTTTTTACAATGAACCTGATCATCCCGGCATGATTACAAATACAATGAGAATATGTAGACCTAGATGATCAGGGGCATAATTAAATCCGATCATTAACCAATACTATTTTTATCACACTTCACTTCAAAATTTATCTTCTGTGATCACGGAACTGTTAGCTGGGAAAAGTCCTCAGCGTGTAAAAAGAGTGAAGCACTCTGCTTATTACGGGTCCTATTTTACGGTTTAAGAGCCCGTATTCAATATTTGCAAGAAGAAGCGGTCCTGATGACAAAAATGCCGTAATGAGAGATTTGGGATTCGGGTAAATGTCGACAATGGCCAATGCTTTATCCACCGACATGCCATGAAGTTGGATTAGTTGTTTTAAAAACATTTCCTTGACTGTATAATTCTGTTGAAAAGCAAAAAAAATATCAAACATTTGTGTATTAATCTCAAGACAAAATAATTTACCCTTCTTTTTGACATCCCTGATGAAAACGTCTTAAAAGGCATAAGTGAACAAGAAGAATCGCCAAGATCCAAATCTTCATTTTCTATTTCTTCCCTTGTACACGATTTTAAGGTTTTTGCCTTAAATAAATAAAATTTAATTTTTAAATTCCTTAATATATTCTAGTAATAACTATGTACCTTGAATTCATTCATAATGAAATCTGTAGCAAAATTAAGATACAACATTGATTCTTTGTGGTTGTTAGTAAACTTAAGAGTAAATTTCTCAATGACCTAAAAAAAATTATTATCATAAAACTTATTTATAAAAATATGATGAAATTGGCTTACCATTGTATTTACAACCGCTTGCATAAGTGTCGTGGCAGGCAAACCACCACCATTCATTTTATAATCTTCAACAAGATATATTATATTTTTAAGACCACAATGTTTTAACCGAAACTAAAAATTAAAATATAATTATTAATATTTATGTTGATATATAAGCAATAATTATAAATCAACAAGGTATAGAATTGTACTTTCTGTTCATGAAATCTGCCATCTTTGATCGAGGATGATAAATCATCCTTTCTTTTTCTTTCGACTATGTAAGGGAGAACTAGTTCTTTCCCACTTTCATCTCTTGCTATCCACAAGTAATCGCCTACGTTCAAATGCCTAACTTCAAAATTGACCCCGTGTTTCTTTAGCAAAGTTGTAGTGGGGTCGTCTGTTTTTGAACTTCTACAAAGAACAAAAGGAAACATTGTTCAAGAAGTAATTAATTTCTTAAAAAAAAAAAAATACCCTGTAGTTTCAGCTGTGTCTACTAAAAGGATTATTTCAAATGTATATGGGAGAAATGTAAATTTTTCATCGATTTCTTTGCCATTTTGATTACCATGATCTACCTGAATATAAAGCCAAATATAAATAAAATCTATTCACTAATACATTTGTAAATGTCATACATTGGAAATATTTTCTTTTCTACTTCGGCTGCTAGGAGCGATAATGTCTTGAACATCAAATTGGTAAAATTCCGATAATAAAAATTTCCTTTTGTTGTTTGAAACTTTAAGCTTGGTGGCCAGCTGTTTTCCTGATGAAGAAAGTGAATATCTGAAATAAATATTCATATTTTTTCAAGTTAAAATTAAATTTTTTAAAAATTAAATTGGTAAATTACTTGTGATTTTTATTTTCCACAAGACCTTTTGAAATGAGCGTAGATAGCGAAGTCGACCCAAGCGTATGAGGGTTTTTCATAGAAAGCTGGGTTTCTGTCTGTAATTCTGCTTTTCGTAAAAAACCTGAAATAGCAACAAATCAATATAATTTGTTATATTAACATTATTTTGGAGTTTACCTTTGTAAGTGGGATCTATCTCCTTATCAAGCAATGTGACAAGTATTTTGCAAACAGCTACATGATGATCCGACAATTCTTCATCCTAGAAATAATTTTCTTAATTACAATTATTATATTTATCTTAGATGTGTTTTTTTATACAAACTTTATTCGGGTGTGATTCAAATTCTTCATTTTTATCTGAATTTTCAACACGTGCTGGAACAAAAAATGTGTTAATACAGGCTTTTCGTTTAAATGTTTAATATTTATACCTTTCAGAAGCTCCGTGTTGTAAATTTGCAGTTTTTCGTCTAATCGACGGCACAGATTGTTGTCAAAGTGCTCAAGAATAATACAATCTGAGCCATTTTTCAACAAGATCGGAAACTTTCTTAAAGATTCGAGTGCCTGGTAAAGTGAAAAATGCATTTTTATATGAAAAAATAAAACTATTATCTTAACTATTTTTATAAGAGGTCTGCTGAAGATAAGGTGAGAAAGCAGCAGCTACACATCCGTGGCTCCAATTTCCACTGATGTGTATCAATTTCTATCCCTTATGCCTCCCATTTACATTTTTTTTTAAATTGTAATATCTGTCTGAAAAGTTCAGTGTTTTGAATTCCAAGCAATTGGATTGTCTTATGAAAAAAAAATCCCATTCTTCAACAAGAGGCGGTGAACGATGTCTAACCCATCTCTTTATTATGTTCCATAAGAGTTCTATGGAAGTCATGGCAGGAGAAGATGCAAATTATGACAATCTCTACACCTTCCAAGTAATCGGTGACAACTCGAGCTGCATGCAGACTAGCATTACCGAGCATTAATAGCACATGTTCCCAATAAATGGAACAAATGCGATCACAGCTTCCAGAAGAACTTCTGTATGTTGTACCTTAGTGCATACAAAGATCCATACAACCCTCAACACGTTACATAAATACAATAAAACAATCCTATTTCCTCCAAGAATCAGAACAGGGGACCCAGTCGCTGACGTGCTCAAGCACAATACACATACCGGATGACATTCCTACATGCTCTCTATAAGGAGCCAAGAAATTGCACCCCTCAGTCAGGTGAAAAACATCAAGCAACCTTTCCCTGTAAACTGGACACATTTGCAGGTTTTGGCTTAAAAGTAAATGTCTGTGTGTCAACCTCGCATGGCCTATCCTTAATCAGGCGAGTCAACTGTTAATATTTATATTATGAAAAATAAACATGTTTTTGTCTTTGAGTGCAAACATGACTTCCAGGAATCTTCTGTAAAAAAATTACAACTAGTGTAATCATAAAATAGAAAATCATAAATATATAGATAAATGTATTATTTAAATCATCAGCCTGACAAGAATACTATTTGTAGCTTCATCTCATTGATGCGATGCTGTGTTTGGAGGAAATTAACTTTTAAAAATAAATATTTGTCTGTTTTCTTTAAAGCATACATTTTGAAGTTGTTCTGCTTCTTCTTCCTCCAGTGCATTTTCTATCAATTCCAACATCCATTTTTCAAAAAGAGGATTCGCAGTTTTCGCAACTAACTTTATCCTTTTGGAATCTTTTGACATTTCTGTGAGGTCGCCTCATCAGAGATTCACAGCAAACAAGTACCAGGTTACAAACAAATAGGGAAAACCTCTGCTGATAACTTATCTGTGATGTTTTTTGCTTTTATCTTTCATAGCAGATAAGATTTTTTTTGTAGTTATAATTACCTTAGTTTGGAATTGAATCTCATTTTTTACTGGATATTATAATTCTCTCAGCAAATAATCCCAAAATGTCAAGTGTTCAAAGCAGTAAGTGGCAAATATTGTAATATTATAATTTATATTTTCGCACATTTAATAAATATATGATAATCCTTGATGATGGGTCTTCCTGGTCCACTGTGACCTAGTAAGATCTGACAATCGACCATGTTTTATGCTCATACCATGGAAAAATCACTCTCATTAAGAATTAGAAAATTGTTTGCTTTATTAAATTGTGAGACTTCTTCTTAAAGATTGCAATGCAATGGAACCATAGTTGGGTCATTTAAGATCGTCAAAAGCAGCAAGTATAGGCAGACAAATGATCTGTAATGACCAACTTCACTGCTCCTCTTTCATTTAGGCAGACAAATTTTTGTTGTTTAAGATTTTGTATCAATTGCATTAACAACAAGAGATATTTTATTTTCAGTGTTTAAATTAGCCCTTGTCCAGATGAAAGTGGGCAAAGATAAGGTTCAAAACATCAAGAAAGCTTTAACCATGATATCTCAGGCGAAATGCGATGGCTCAACACTTGTAGTTCTTCCGGAGTGCTTCAACAGCCCGTATGGAACCCGTAAGTTTGACTTCTTCTAAGTTGTATTCTTTGTACAACCGGTTTTACCCTAGGCTACTTCAACGAGTACGCAGAAGAAGTGCCTGAAGGTGAGACATGCAAGGCGTTATCTGAGGCAGCTAAAGAAAATTGCGTCTTCCTGATCGGTGGTTCGATACCGGAACGAGAAGGCCAAAAACTTTATAACACGAGCACTGTGTGGAGCCCTGAGGGTCAACTGCTCTGCAAATACAGAAAAGTATAGACAGTAAATTTATTTTTAACATATACTTTTTAACTTTTGTTTAATATTTTTTTTAAAGACACATTTGTTTGATATTGATATCCCGGGAAAAATGACATTTAAGGAATCGGATGTTCTCACCAAAGGGGAAAAAACAGTCACTTTTAAAATGGGCAACTGCAAAATCGGACTGGGAATCTGCTATGATATACGATTTAATGAGCTTGCTAATGTCTATCGGAAAGAAGGTTGTTTCACCAATATGTTATATTAAAATAATAAAAAGATAAATAAAACAACACTTTTTGTTAGGAATTGATATGTTGGTTTATCCAGGCTGTTTTAATAGGACAACAGGTCCTCTTCATTGGGAACTTTTAGCACGTTCAAGAGCAGTAGATAACCAGGTGAGCTCTAAACAATCTATTATAATATAAATAAAAACTTGATCATCCTGGTCTACTTATTCTTGTTTATTTCTGTCAGTGGTCGCTCTGTTTAATATTACAATTTGCAGATCAGCATTCTCTTATGAACAGACTGACCACAGAAGATGCAGAAATGCATCTGACAGATAAAGCAAGGAAGAATAGGCAGACTGATTGTAAGATGATCAAGCTAAAGACTTTCAGCTCGCTGTGCTCAACAAAGATTTTCCAATTTATTATCTTTAAGGTCTTTGTTGCCGCTGCAAGTGCAGCACCAGATGAAACTGCTGATTATGTCGCCTGGGGTCATTCAATGGTGGTCAGCCCCTGGGGCAAAGTCCTCGTTGATGCTGAATTCGAAGAGAAGACTGTAGTCACAGAAATTGGTAGGAATTATAATAACCTACACAAAATTCCATGCTATAAGTTTAAAAAAAATTAAATTTCAGATTTAAAAGAATGTGAACAAATGAGGGCTCAGATTCCAGTTCTGAAACAACGAAGAACCGATTTGTATGACACACTGACCAAATCAAACCTTTGATTTACTTTTTCAAAAATCAATGTGTTAAACTCTTAAAATGTTGTTTTCTCAATGAGATATAAAATAAATATAAATTTGTGTTATATTTTTCATTCTTGAGTTATATGTTGAGTTGTTCGAACAAATTTATGCACAAATTTTATTTGATCAAGAAAGTAAAATGGGTGAAGACTGCTTAGTAAAATTTCTGCCCTGCTGGACACTAAGTGGAAAATAAGTATGAAGAGATGGACACAAGAAACGAAGAAATTAGTGGGGGAAAATGGGATAATCTTGTCGCATAAAGGTTAAGGAACAAGATAGCTAGCGTTAAAATTTTTTTTTTAAAAAGAGAGATAGTGTAGAAGACTAACAAGGAAGTTGAAGGTAAAAAATTTAATCAACCAGGGTCTGCAGAACATGAATTTTCATTCATCACTGAGGATTATGCAAAATCTGGGCTTAAAATCTTTTGAGATCAACAAACCAGTAATCATCAGAGCTACAATTAGAATCTAGACTTATAGATATAGTAAAACTTAATATGTGGAAAACAAGATGAAATATCATTTATAAAAAGTTTAAACAATAAAAGCATTAATTGGTACCCCTCCTCGGTGACCAATGTTGTCACTTTAGGCAGCTTGTATGGCCTGAATGTGTGAACCCCATGCCTGTACAAATAGCCACTTCCTTGCAATAAAAAAATATGTAAAATGAAGCAGGGAACCAGTACTGCCCAAAAACAAAAAAAAAACCTTTGACCTAGTTTTGAAATGGCCACTCTTGGCTCACCAATAGTTTCCTCCTGGACAAAACCCTTAAACCAATGCCCAACATCATAATTTATTGTCCTTTATACACCAACGCCTGAACCCACCACCAACTCCTCAAAGATCTCCACTCTATACTATATAATAATTCAACGTCAATAAATAAAATTTTTAACTTCTTAACAGACATTTTCAGTTTTATTCCCCAAGCCTATAGTCCTTCTTGTGGTCATTAGTTTTTTTTTATATTTTGCTTTTCTGAGATCTCCAGTGAGCTTGGAGGTGTCAATGGTGACTAGGCACATACCATTCCCCTCAATATATTGACATTCACTATGTACATAGCAATGTTTAAAAGGATTAGTCATCACTTTATTTATTTATTTACGGATCGAAATCCACTATAAAAAAAGACATTTTACAATAACAAAAAAATATAAATAATATATATAAAAAGAATAAGGACGTATATACATGATAATAATATAAATGATAAATATAAAAATACAATTAAAGAGTAAAAACTGAACAACAAAAATGAAAGACATAATTACTAACCAAATAAGGCAGAGGAAACAAAATAAAGCTGAGAGACAATTGAAACTACAATAATTAGGTACATATTTAATGAAAATAATGCTCTTTGTAAATATATAATAAGACTAGAGTGCGAGAATTAGTTGAACCAGTAAATGAAATAAATTGTAATAATTTTGTACAGTATGAAATATAAAAGCATTCAACTAAGGTTGTAGGATAAGGTTTTTCACAGATTGCACAGAACTATTGAAGAAGTCAATGCTATTGCAGATGTTGTTACTCTTGATCATCATTCTGTGTAGAGGAGAAGAGAGCATGTAGTTAGAGCTTTGGAATTCAATATAAAATAATTTATAGGTTTTAAGAGAGTACGAAGGGACATGTAGCTGTAGTTGAGAGAGGAGATAAGGACTATCAATGAGATTGTTTAATAATTTAAATACAAAAACAATATCAAAGTAATCCCTTCTTAGTGCCAGTTCGAAAAGTTTAAATTCAGAGCGGATTCCAGGGTAGGAAGAATTCGGAGGAAGATTGAGTTTGTAAGGAAGTTTTTTTAAAAATTTGTTTTGTACAGATTGAAGAATTTTTTGATAATTTAGATAGAATGGGTTCCAAACAGGTGTAACATATTCTAATATGGGTTGTACAAAAGCTTTATAAAGATGGACAAAACATAGAGGATTTTTAAATTCATAGGTGTTGACATGTTTAATGACTAGAAAAAAAACACCCAAATAGTGAACTTTCAGGAACAATAATCGAATATGTTTTTGAGACTAGGAATAACTATTTGACAGTTCGAGGTTTGCACGTTAAATAAGAATAAAATCATTTCAACAGCAATTATTATATTAATTAATATTCATGGTCAACCAGATTGAAAGAAATGTCAAGATATTTAAAATCTACTTGTTGATGAGCAGGGAAGGATTTTATAATATTTAATGAGAAGAAGTTTGTATAAAATAAATTATTCAAAGACTTAACAATTATTAATTGTATGGGCCTATAGTTTTATCTGATTTATCCCCAGATTTGAAAATGGTTTTTACAAAACTGAATTTAAGAACATTAGAAAAACGTGTCTAAAACAAGTGAGTTGTTCTGTCCATTAGAAACAATGACCTAGCAGATATGAATTACATAACTCCATTTGATTCACAGGTAGCAATTAATAAGCCCATAGAAATGTAAAGAGCACTGGGGTGGGCAATTATAGACCAAAAACTTCACTAAATGGAGATAAAAAAATGATATGGCAGTATTCAGTAGTCAGTAAGTGGAAGGAGTTGAGGGTCAAATCAATTGCGTTGTTGAATCTTTTAAGAAAAACATCCACATAATACCAAGAATGTAAGTATTATCAAATAAAGAATATAAAGCAACTTGTAAAAATTAGAAAAAGAGTATTATTTAGTAATAAATAATAGTTTTTAAAACAGTTTATGAATAGACGGGTCCTGACCAAGTCCCTTTTGAATACTTTTATCTTTAAACACAGTCCAAACAGTTTTGTTGTAATTTATATTGGATACTTTTAATTACAATTATTATACACACGAATTTCCTGCAAGTTTTACTCAATCAATAATTTTTCCTTTATTTAACAAACATGCCAAATTGAAGAAATTGCAAAAAAAAATTCTAAATAAATGCAAAATAAAACTAATACAGCAAATATTAAAAAAATGCAAAAATTCATGGCTATAAGGATAGTTAAAGAGTATAAGATGATTTCATATGAAGCTGCATATCTGTTAGTAGACCTGATTTACTTGAAATTCCTATAAATTCTCAAAAGATATGGCATCTTAAACAACAAAAATGCACAAAGCCCAGTCTTGAATACCCAAGCATAGATAACAATTTACTTCTGGTGTCCCCCCAAAACTCCAGTATATTTTTTGGTTGTTATATCCAAGATCTTCCTAATATCCTAAAATATTCTACTTATCGCCTCTACTTCCAAATCTATATCTCATTTTTACCTCATGACATATAAATCTGTATTACGTGAATTCAATAGTATCTAAATGCAATCAGCTCCTGAACCATTTTTAGGAAAGAGGACTCTCTCTTAATACCAATAAGTCCCAGGCTGTAGTGTTTGGGTCCCATCTCCTTCTCCAATATCCTATTCCTTTGCATTGCATTTACAACCAACCGACCTCATTTTATCCATCTATTAAAAATGTATGGATTTTCCTTGATCGAACCATATCCTGGAAACCCCTTCTCAAATCTCTTACCCATGCTTCTTCGCCCTCCACCAATTCCGTCAGGCAAGCCGAATTTTCTCAATCAGCACCACAAATTTCTAGTCTCGTCCCTTGTACTTTCCCATTTCAATTAAGGCAGTTTGGTCTACAACAGACTCACCAGCAAGCTTGTTAATAGGCTCAAGATAATCATGAACTGATTTATTTGGTTTATATTTAGCCCCAAAGAGATCTCATGTGTCTAATAAGTATCGTGGTTTGAAATGGCAGTAGCCTTCATACTTGCTCGTTTCTCTATCAAACAATTTCTTCCCATTCCCCTTACTAAATTTGTAATATGTTAACATTTAAGTCTTCTCTACAAACGCCACACTTGTTTCTGCCCTTCTGATTCTACCTCCTCATATAAATCCACAGCTTTCAGACGCTGCTTCCTTACTGCCCCTACAACCTTTGGAAATCTCTCTTTCACTACATTTACTAGGCTTCAACACTTTCTACCTCTTTGTTAAAAAGTACTGTCTTTTTGATTACCTCCTGTCCCTCAAATTTTACACCAAGGATTTTCAGTTTATTCGGATGTTTAATTAATGTTAATTTTTTCCCTTCTTGTTTAATTGAATACACTTCTTTCAGTTTTTGCTGCTAATTAAATCTTTATTTATATATTCATGTTGGCACGAATTGTACGAAATTTTATACTTTTTATTATTATTTAAGGGCTCAAAGCCTCATAATATTTTTTTCTTCTTCTTCTATGTTTTTCCCTTTTGTTTGTAAATTGTAGAATTCCTATTTAATTTTTCCTTCGAATTTCATTCTTATCTACTTAATAAACCTATCCATTATACATATTAATCTGAGTTGAGTTGTTCTGAGCACATTGCTCAATTAATTTTTTTTTAAATTAAAATCATAAGCTTACTTGACTATAAAAAAACTGAAGTTGTTCCAAGAGTAATGAAACATTTTTTTAAAATTTGTATCACTGTTTAAAGAACTATTAAACCATCTTAAAATGTATTGTATATTATTTATTTGATTAGTACATTAATTCAGTATAAATGGAACTATTTTATCTGAAACCATTTTAGTAAAAATAAACCATTATGAATTTTTATAAAATAAATAACAATGTGGAAATCGTGGTGATTTCCTTCCAATAGCAATTGAAAGGCTTCATTTATGGATTGATTAGATTAAACGTGAATAGACAAAAATAAATAAATAAAACAGGAAGTATCTTGAAAAATTGGAGTTGGTGACCGAGTCTTTTCAAAAATGTTTTAAAAATTTGAATATCCATATCATTCAATATCAAAGTTGTTATTATTATTATTCTGGTTGGATTTCTGTTGTTAATGTACATACCAAAAACAAAACAAGTGATTTTTAATTAACGATTCCTAATTGCCCATTATACTTAAATTCCCCATTATATTTTTTACAATGAAAATTTATTGTGACATTTTAAATTGATAATGTAAAATAAAACCTATCATTTTTATTATTTGTAGTAATGTGTAACTATTTGGCAATAAATCAAAATGTAAATAGGGAGATAAGAAAGTTATCAGATAACTCAGTTAAATTGACTTTATTTAAATTCTTCAATTATTTTTATCTTTTAGTCTCAAGACGTACGTAAGCTAACGGTATATTAGACTTCTTATTCGTTTTAATTGAAAATTTCTCTAATATAAAAGAACCAGTATTTTTAAATAATTAGTATTTTTTTTTTACAGATGAGGCTCCTTATTATTTTATTTTCTTTAATGGGTTTATCCTTTGCTGCTAATATACTTGTCATGCTCCCGATGCCGATGTACAGTCATACGACAAATTTCATGACTGTATTCAAGGAGCTAGCGAAACGAGGGCATAATGTCACCTGCGTTAGCCCATTCCCTCAAAAAACTGCTTTGAAGAATTGGAATGACATTACTGTGAAAAATACGCTTGCTGATTTGATGGGTACTGTATTTGTTTTGTTTTGTTTCTCTAATAATCAATCTCATAGTTTGCCAAATTTGCAGCACAAATTGGCCCTCTTAATTTGTTAGATATGGACTCCATGTTGTTCATTTTGATCTTTTTTTGGAAAATGTGTGAAAGGTTAGCCGAAATTGCTCTTGAACAAGAACCAGTTCAAAGGATCATCCAAGATACAACATCATCCTATGATCTGATAATAACCGAAACATTTTTCGCACATGAGCCATTTCTTGCTCTTGGCCACAAGTACAATGCTCCAGTCATCAATGTGAACAGTTTCGGATTAACACCGACAATAGCATTTTTCACAGGAAATCATTATCCCACTTCATATGTACCAAATTACAGTTTTCCATCATCGGATAAGATGTCATTTTATGAAAGAATGACAAACAGTTTCTTGTACATGTGGTATACATATGTATATGAGTTGTACTACTTGAATCAAGTGGTAAGCTGGGTTAGAAATGTTAAAAGTAAATTTTATGTAAATGCCATGCTTTTTACAGGATTTTTTGATAAAGAAATATTTCAATTATCCTGGATCAGAAAATATTCCTCCTGTTGCTGAACTTGCGAGAAATACATCGTTAACTTTGCTAGAAACTCACATAGGATTGCATTACCCTCAACCACTGCAAAAAAATATGGTTGAAGTTGGTGGCATAAATTTACACGATGGTGATAAACTTCCTGATGTCAGCAGTTTTTATAGTTGTTGTGTTTTTAATCACAAATCCATACATATTTTAATACATAAATAATAATATTGAAGGATTTACAACAATTTATGGACAATGCACCTGAAGGGGTTATCTACTTCAGCTTTGGCTCACATTTCAATACATCGCTGCTCAGTGAGTCTGTGCAGAACAGCATCATCTCAGCATTCAGCAAGGTCAAACAAAAAGTGATTATGAAATGGGATAAAAATATTGGCAAAAATGAAAATATTTACACTGGAAAATGGTTTCCACAAGCGAGCATTTTAGGTGGTTTTTAAGAATTTCCATTTTTTCTTAACGTACTAATTTTTCAATAATCAAATATTTTTTAACATATATCTTTAGGGCACTCAAAATGCAAAATTTTTATAACGCATGGTGGTGTTCATGGTGTTACTGAAGGACTTTTTCATGGTGTTCCCCTCATTGGAATGCCCATCTTTGCCGATCAAAAGTTCAACATAAAATTTGTTGAAGAACATGGCGCAGGAATCAATTTGGAACTCAATAAAGTAACTGAAGACCAACTTCTACAAGCAATCAACACAATATTGACAGACAAAAGGTTTACCTATTTAATTTTAATTTTATTTATAACTACTAAAATTATTAAACAAATGCAGGTACAAGGAAAATGCACAGCTGAGAAAATCAATACTGAGAGAAAATCCAGTTAGCCAGTTAGAAAACGCTATTTATTGGATTGAATATGTGATCAAGTTTAAAGGTGCTCGTCATCTGCGTCCAACATTGTTAGATCTATCTTGGTTCCAGGGGTTTCTTATTGACATTACCTTGGCATTTATTGGATTAACTTTAGTGTTTTTCTTTATTCTCTTTATAATGATTAAATATACAGTGAAGTTACTAAAATGTATGTTTAGAAGCAAGAATGATAACAAAAAATCAAAGAAAGAATAAAAATTATGCATTCTAATAGATTTTATCTATTTTTTATTGAATGTTAGCCTTCACAAACCAAACTATCCATTTATATTTTTATAGGATACAAACGACATGTGAAATAAAGAAGGTAGAATTTAAAAGGAGTGGAGGATTTAAAAAAAAAAATCCGACAGTGACAGCTCAGCTAACAATTAACCTCAAAACATATAAAATCACTCAAGACATCAGTGGAAATGGAAAAAACGCAGTATACTTGGCGTTCCACATCCAAAACGACAGATGTAACTGCTGACTAAATGAGGAACAAGAATGAATTCATTCAGTATAACCATGCATACCGGCGAAAATTCTGAGGGGGGAAAACTCATAAGAAAAATAATTCAACAAAGAGATGTCACACACAGGTTTTGCCGTACTTACTGACATTTTAGACAGATTTTATTATGTACATAAACAGTATGAACTTTGAATTATTTGGATTTGTTATTAACAATAAAAGTTGTAAATTTTAATATATCTCATAGTGATTTTGCAAATGTAACATTACATGCCTGTAATAGCATGTGAAAACAGCAGAAGAATAAATTCTTCAGCAATAGTGTTACTGTTGCTGGGGGGGAACAAAAAAAAACTCAGCACTGAACGGAAGCACTTCTGATCAAGAGAAGCAGCTTGCTTAAATTTGCTTGGCAAATCAACCCAACCAAAGAAAGGAACCCTTAAGTATGCATTTTTTTTCAACCGTTTTATTAATTTACAATTAAAGAGTTTAAAGAGCAAAATTCTTTCATTCACAAGCACTGGAGCAAGGTATGGTCTTGCAGAAAAAAAGGAATTCAGTTGTCACTGCCAAGCTATCAACCTATTTTAAGGTAATCATCAGTGCCTATGTTACTTTCACATTATGAAAAATATATTTGAACAATTGATATATATATATATATATATATATATATATATATATATATTTTTTTTTTTTTTTTTCTACTTTGTCAACAGAAAATGGTTTTAATAAAGAATGATGAAGGCCCGCAGTCGTACTTGAAAAAAAAAACTAATGGACAATGTTTAACAGCAAAATAAAACGTCAATTATTAGTTTTAGTAATGTGATTATTTGTGTCAGTTAGTTTATGTTTTTGTGCATATTTGTTTCCTTGTATGTTTGTGTGTGTAGCATGTGTTTTGGTTGTGATGATTTGTGTGTATGTTTGAGTCTGTAAAATGCAAACAAAAAATCGTCCAAATTTACGTTTTTGACATGACTCATGATGTTTTGGTGGTCCACCGCCGTACAGTACAATGCAACACAAACGCGCGCTGGTTTTTATTTAAAAAAAATATATATAGATGAATTAATCTGTTTTTGAATTCAATATTAGTTGGATGCATTTTGGTAATATAAAATAATAATTCAACCCATAAGTACGCTTGCGATACTTCGACGCCGCCATCGTCTTTGCCATTGCAATTCTACTTTTTTTTTTTTTTTGGTAATTTCCAAATTTTGTACTGAAAGATCTTCTTTGGAAGGGATGGAACACTGGTGGGGATGGAAAAAGCCACTCTTTTATAAAAGGTGCTGAAGGTCAAACACCTTCAGTCACCGCAATGCTCTCCAACTTTCTTCCTCTCCTGCTGGTGCCATTACTCGGTAAGTATCTGAAGCTTGAAAATTATAATAAAAAACCGATTACAATGCTGATTTGGGGACGTACATTGAGGCGGAATTTGTCGATTATGACTAAGAAAATAAAATATAAAGAAGATCATAAACTTTGAAAATGGAAATGGTATTATTAAAAGATCGAATGATTCCCTATGGAGAAAATTTAAGTTTGTATATCAGATATCTATTTCATCAGTGTCACATTGGATCTCATAGGATATAGACAATTTAGAAAGCAAGAAGGAAACATGCACCGTGTATGTACAAAAAAGGTCAATTTTGGTCCTTAAGGTTCAGGAGAAGATCCTTGAGATTTTTCTTCTGGATACTGGTGGTTTTTCACTTTCCACATCTTCATGATATCCATGATGAGTTTGTGCACTTGTAATTTTTCGATGTACAACTGGATAGGCATTGTTTTCTGGCCATTGTTGCACGCGAAACAAATCTTGAGCAAGTATATTCTTGCATCGTAAATTTCATGAATCTAACAAATGTCGGTGTCAAAATAACATTTTTAAAAAGCTTTTGTAGTTGTTTGAATATTGATATTCCCAAGTTAACGGTGCATTCACAGCACGTACAATTAAAGTATGAGATGCACATACCAAGTTGGCTTTTTTTTTAATAGTCTTCATTCATACATAGCATAAAAATGAATGGTCTTTACATCCTTTAACTGAGAATTACGAAAAGGTATTTGACATTATCAAAGGAAAATCAATTATAAACACATACAATATTCAGATGTTACAGAATGAACTTTCACTTTTGCTTCGACGCTTTTACTTTCTCAAGGCTTGAGTAAAATGTCATAAACGTTGTTTCCAATTAGAATTTCTATATTCCATTGTTCGGAATTCGTCTGAAACTGGTTTTGAAAAAAAAATCAATTTTGCCTGACCAGGCACGGGAAGTAAGAAATGCGACAACCTTGGATGTTCAGGAAAGATGTTTTCCTTGGCCGGCGTCTCTAGGAAGCAATTAAGGGACACCACACCCAAGAAATCATTTCGCCGGGTCGGAAGGTCTTTGTAAATTACATATTTGATAGCAATGAGGCCCAAATTTAACAAAGGTCAGGACATTTCTTCTTGGCATTGGGTTTGAAACAAATACAAATTGGCCAGTAGAAGATATCTGTCGACACAATAAGAACCCTATCCACTAAAATTCTATATGTACGGGTATAGTAATGTACAGGTCTGATAAGACGACATCTTGAAACTGTATTTGCTTAAGAATTTCAAATCATGAAATTTGCAGTGCTACAATGGTTCATTGTCTTATTTACGTTGAAAAGTCATAGAAAGGAAACAGAGAATATTTATTTCAACGAGAAAAAGACGTTTTCTTTATCAACCGGAGCGATGAAACTCATCGGTGCAGAAAGGATTTCTTCCAGGACCACCGTTGGTTGAATGTTGATCTAACAGCTAACAATTGCCACTTTCCCGGTTAACAAAACCGTCACGCTTGCTTATCGCCAAGCTTTGAGAACACCCTAGGTCGCCAATTCTAAAAATAATTAACAATCAATAACAAATTTCAATTATCTAGTCTTTTCGGGGAAAGATCGTGGAAATTTGTTTTGCCCTTAGGATATTTTTCGTCTGTTGTAAATGGGAGTTTGATCACGATGGATTGTGCAATTAGATAAAATCAAAAGATTAAATGTACTATTTTCCTATTCTTTTACATAAGCTAACAAAAGTTACGAATAATTACAGTTTAATGCAATAAATTATTTGTGGTGATAACAACCTGATGGTTCTATTCTCGCTATTTGTCTATTAGATGCATATAAAAATATATTTGACGGTAGGCCTTTGGCAAGAGACAACCCAAAAGACCAAAGATGGCGAGAAGATGGAAGCAAAGTTTGTTAAAATACCAATTTTAATTAATTTTGTTTGAACTTGTGGTCTCTCTATTTTGTTGAAAATGGAAGAGTATAACTCAAAGACAGTAATCAAGCTAGAGGTCAATTCGCAGACCTCAATATAATATTGATCGATTATTGTTTTAAATCAAATACTTTTTTGTTTAATATCAGCCACGGATGCCCTGGCAGCGAGGAAATACCAAGAAGACACCAGAAGAACGAATCATCAACAGAGCCAGAAACAGAGTGAACAAGAAGCGGGCGACTTGACAGACGAATGTCCCGAACCTAACGGGTACTTCGCCGATGGGTACCAATGCGACAAGTACTACGAATGCAAGGACGGTGTCATAACTGAAAAACTATGCCCGGACGGTATGGTTTTCAACGACTTCAGCATACAACACGAAAAATGCGACCTCCCTTTCAACATCGACTGCTCACAAAGATCTCAATTGCGTAAGTGACAAATTCTAGTTTAATATTTTGCCAAAAAATCCATGAAAATGGTTGTTTTCATTGGAAAGTTTCTTTCACTCAAGCATGGAGAAGATCAGGAAGAGTAAGCTAGCCATTTAATACAGTACGCCCAGCAATGTTCACGCCTTGTGTCGAAATGGAACGAATGTACATTACTTGGATTAATGTCAGTTTGTAACGTGAAAAGAGTGAAGTTTTCACTTGAAGACAGCCAAGTTGGAATCCGTCAAAATCTGCTGTCCAGGTTTTTCACAACTTTATATTAATACATATTTTGTTATTTTTTCGCCAGAAACACCACGTCCGACGACTCACTGTCCCCGTCAGAACGGCTATTTTTCACACGAAGATCCAAAAGTCTGTGATAAATTTTATTTCTGCGTGGACGGAAAGTTCAACATGATCACCTGCCCCGATGGCCTGGTGTACAACGAGAAGACTGGCATCTGCACATGGCCGGACGAGGCAAAGAAAAAGCACTGCTCCAGCGAAGGTGAGCTCAAAATGCATTCCATAACGAATGTCAATATGAAGCTTTACATAACACTACTTATAACAAACGAAATATTTGTCTTCATGTAACCAGTTTTCAGGATCTCATGTTATGTGTGCATTTCTTTTTTTCTCTTTCTTTTTTCCCAAAATGAAAGGCGTGAAGTTTCTTTCGAGGTTGTGGGTTTTATTAACCGATTCTCGAAGCCAACAGAGCGTGCCTTCACTTATGCAATGGGGGCAGTCGACTATTTCTTAACGTAGCAGTATCAAATATTGGTCAGTTTTACTATTTCCAAGTCTTGTTCATCTGTGTCTCTTTATTACCAAAATAAGACATTCTGAGTTGGAGCATTTGTCATCTTGTGATTATTTTTTTCCATAATAAAGCGTACACCCAAATTTTTTCTACAGAGGCTTCCTTGGTATTCATCCTCTAACTCCCAACTTCCTTGTTCAACCTCCACGTCTGCACACATTCAACTGTTTCACGGCGCGATCTCGCTCAATTCTAAGAACGTGTCCTTTCCATTACAGTCTCCATGTTTTAATTTTTGCATGTGTCCATATATACTTTCCAGCACATTACATCTTATTTTCCAAATTCCGTTTACAGGGTTGAACCGAATATTTTTCTTCCCAATGAGTAGATTAGATTAAATTAGAATAGGAGCTGGCCTCTTTACGATCTGCGCACCGCGACCAATATTGGTCTATTGTGCATCTCCATTGCTGTCTAGAGCTCCTCATAGCTTAAGACTTTTTACCAGATCCCAAAGCTTTCTCAGGGACTTACGCGTGTTAAGTTCATTTTCAGTATTAGAAGTAGCGACTTTTTCACTCACGAATACTCATGCCCGGGCTTTTCCCCTCCCAGGAGTAGTAATCTCCTGTATAGGACATGCTCCGCTGTTTCTCTTCTTCCTGACAACATCTGCACAGGCTTGTTCCTGTCATTCTGAGTCGATACATACACTCCTGCAGTATCTAGTTAGCAGTCCAACTACTGTTATTTCAGCCTTAACTCGTCCTAGATTTAGTAGTTTACCGTTAGTTTCTGTGATGGTCTTTTGATGAACCGTTTCTCATGCCTTTGTCCCAGACTAGATTCCCATTGAACGGGAGACTTATTTTTAATCCATTTTCTGATGGATCCGGGCTTTTGGCAGTTTGGTATGCCACAAAAGGGTTAAGAGCCAATAGGTAGAAATCCTCATCCTGGCCAATTTATCGGCCTCTTCCTTGCCCTTCTGTCCAGTGGGCCCTGATAATTTTGTTGTTTTCCCTAATGTCTGACAGGGCTCTAATGCAATCCCAAACCACTCTGGGTTTTACCATCGATAATCGCCCTCAGTGCCGTCTGGCCCTCCAAATAAGCTGTTCATCACTGTCTGTGTTACCCAAAATATATTAATCTTACTCGAGCTGAATTATTTGAAGGATTGCCGTGTTCATTCTTTTGCCCATATAGGTCCCCAAGGGAGAAGTTCGCTTGTAAAAGTATTTGTTTGATTAAATCGAACAGTTTGTTTTAGCGACTGAGAAAGGCGAAAAGGACAAAATGAAACCGAGAAAAAAGCGATTGTCCGTCTGGAAAGCCAACGAAGAGTCTTCGGCGAGTTACGAAGACGAAGATGAAGATTACCCGTCGTCTGAAGACGGCTACTACGATTACACCAGCGAGAGCGGTTCAACAAGCGATTTTGCAAACTTCGACGCCGAATTTGCCGATTTCGATAAAAACGACGGTGATTCCAGCGTCGAAAAGGAAAGAGATGATTATGACATGCTCGACGACTACATACACCAGTACGTCGAACAGTTGAACAACCCCAAGAGCAATGTCAAAGGTGGTGTGCCCGATTTGCGGTACTATGAAAGGATAGCCGAGCAGGCAGTCGAGGAAGAATTGGCCAAACGGCAAAGAAGAAACTCAACGTTGACGTGCAAGGATGTGAGGAAAAGAAGACGTAACGCGATCATTTGTTGCACTGTTTTAGTAGTTGTTCTTAGAAGCTTGCTTTTACTGCTCAGCACAAATACCAGCTGCTTTCTGATACTTGTATTTGCCTTATATCCTAGTTGAAAGATGGTTTAGTTTGAAAATACGTCGAAATATTCTAATCAGTTTTGATAAATTTGATACACTTGCAATTTTGATAAATTTTGGAATCTTAAGCAAATAGAACAAAAGTAGTGGCCTGTTGAAGACAAAACAGCTTATGATACTGGATAATTTCCACCATTAACCAAGATTAACCATAATTGTAGTCAGAAATTTAAAAACCAGGAAAATTACAGTGTAGAATTGTATTCATTAATTTGATCAATATTGTCTTCTTTTTTTTTCTTGACATTGAAAACTAGCAAAATCAATTTTTATACGATTTTAATGAGTAAATTTTAAATATAAAAATATATTCACAATAATCCTAATATTTGATATACTTGATTATTTAATTTATTTTGAATATAACAGGATTAAAATAAACGTTATCTTAAAAAAAAATCATCGAACATTATCAATCATTTAAGGAATAATATATTTTGGCTTTTTCTTGTTTCTTTTGTAGAAATATAACTTTTATTGATGTTGGGTTTTGATTTGCAGAGGTGTTCAAGTTTGAATGTCCCAAAGTCGACATGAAAATCGGCCAACAACATCCACGATACCCAGATCCAGAGGACTGCCAGTTTTTCTACGTCTGCATTAACGGAGAAGTGCCGAGGAGGAATGGATGCAAGATTGGACAGGTCTTCAACGAGCAGTCTGGCAATTGTGACTGGCCTAGAAATGTTCCTGAATGGTAAGAATCTATTACCGTTCGATCTAACTTCATTTAATCGATTTGTATTTCTTTTCAGCCGGGAGTGGTACAAAGGAGTTTTGACAGATGAAGAGCTCGAAGCCCTTGAACATCCTAAGCCGAAAGTGAGGAACAGTGCTAGCGCTGCTGCATACTCAAAAAGAAACAAGCCAAAGGTTCAACCAGAATATTAGCTTTAAACAACTGAACTTAACAGCACACAAAGCTCAAATCAATATCATCAACTAAATATTTTCAAAACAAGCTGGCAGTCCTCAACAAAATCTGTATAAATGAAATTTTGTAAATTTTTTGTACTTGTTATTTGCCAATAAAATATTTATTCAACTTCTGTTTTATTTCCAATAATTTCCTATATTTCCAAATATTTGTATATTAACCAAAAATTATTTTTAATTATATGTTGGATTTGTGAGGAGCAATCAAGAATGAGGTTGTTTAGAAAAACTTTTTCATTTCTTTTCTTTTTTGCCTTGCCGACGTTTTGACCTTATTTGGGTTATCTTCAGGGCATTAAGTGTGGTGTCATACTGGTGTTATGTGGTGAAATTGTGTTGATTTTTGATTGTGTTTAAATGTTGAACTGCAAGTTAAAGTTCATTGCCCCCATAAACGTTTAAAAAATTTAATGATGTTCTTGATTTAATGGTGGTCTACTTCTATGGTGTATAATACCAATAATAATCAAGCAATATGTAAAATTACAAAGCAGGCTCACAAACTCACAATATAAGCAAAAATTATGTCATTTTACAGAAAGGAATCCATTTCAGCACTAGTTTTTAGCTTTGAAAGGTCATTTATACAGATGAAACAAAAAATTGGTCCAAAAACAGATCCTTGGGGGACCCCAGCTCTTACACATCTGATCTGATCGTAATTACTAATATGTGTTAGGTAATAGGAAATGATATATTGGGTTGTCCGGAAAATAATGCAGGATTTTAAGTTTTCATTAAAAAAAATCTATATAAAATATTCTGTTTACGTTTACAGGATTACTCATTTGTATGNATGGGAAATTATTTTGATTAAAGAACATTGCTTTAAAGTAACTAGTTTCTTTTTTTTTGTTTAATACCAAAATCCTGCATTATTTTCCGGACAACCCAATAACATGAGTTTAAACAGGTGCCTCTGTGCCAAAAAAAGTCAAACCCTTCCTCTACGCCAGCAAATACTATCCCCACATGTTTTTTTACATTAAAATTGTGGATATTTACATACTGCATAGTAGTAAAATGCATGAGCCTGAAGGCATAATGTCATTTTCATTTCAAAGGGGGTAGAAAAAACTGTACAGTTGTGAATGAATTTTTTAATTTTCTCTTGAATTTTTTGTTTTCTAGTGTCCAGATTGCTTACTCAGTTGAAAATACTTAATTTGTTAAAGGTAAATTGAATAAACAATATTTTGGATATGACTATTGTACCTAGCTCACTAAAAAGGATTAAATCTTAATTACATTAGATATATATATGTCAAGAAGGATACTTTCATGCCCTTGCACTAAAGGAATTTTTAACTGTTCCAAACTATCTTTGGAGTCTTTTTCCGTCCTTGACTTCTTTTTAGGCCATTAGAAGCCATCGATAAAACCTGGACTCTTTGGAAAAAATTTCTTAATTCCTGCTCAGTACAATTTATTGTTATAGTGGTTGTTTTACAAGCAGCAGGTCTTTAGCTTTACCCAGCATCACAATTTGTCTTATCCGTGCTGTTTTTCAGTGATATTTATAGTTAATATTCATTAAAACTTTTATAGTGGTATATGGTAACCTAAAGGCATACCCACCAGTTTCTGACACCTTCTGGATAGCTCTGGAAATATTGGTTTTCTTATGGGAACTTATGCCATCTTTTAGTAATGCTACAATTCCATCTGTGAGGTGCAAATGTATATAGTAAAAATTAAAATTAAAAAAACAATGTAATGAATACTAGACATATGTGCCAAACACAGTTGCTTTTCAACTCAATAAGTCCCGTCATTATGATTTTTTTTATTATGGAGAATCATATATACCAGGTGTATGGAAGTAGAGTGCCTGGGTTTGAACACAAATTGGCATAATAATGCAATTTATTTAAAAACGCCAATTCTTTGCAGTACTACTTTCTCTGCAATTTTTCAAAGGGTACTAAGAAGTGATATAGGGCAATAGTTACCAGGTAGGTCATGACCTTTTTTAAGTTTAGCAATAGGGATGACTTTTGCTGTTTTACAGGAAGATGTGAAACTAGATCTTCCAGTTAATCAATTTTAAATGCGTTTTTCTTTTCTTAATTTAAACACTCCAGCCGTTTAGTTATAAGAAATTAATTTCTATTTTTAGAGTTTATGCCACGGAGATTAAAAGAAACTGCAAATACTCACTTGTTTTGTATTGTTATGTTTTCGTTCGTTAAGAATTTCTCAGTTTAAAAATTTACCAAGCCCGGTATATATACAGATAAATGTATACAATTTTACAAATTCGATTTTTACCTCGATCGATGTATACAAACGCAATCGGCCAGTTGGTAACCACAACCCTAAAGTTCTTTCACTCCTGTTCCTGTCTCCTGACCTCAGGAGTGGGGCATCTGCACATTCTTGTTTTTATGAGATTTAAGTGTGTCTAGATTGTTAAAGGAAGGAGAAACGTACTTAATTTAAGAAAGCGATGTCTCTTGACAGTCTCTGTGATACTAAGGAAAAGCGAAAGGACTATTTAGGGTAAGACATGACGCTGTCACTACAGAAGTCATTGTCCTGTCACCCTTTGCCTTGACAGAAGTGGCAACGTGATATTTATTAATAGTTCACAGTAATGAAGGATAACACTTTTAATACTAGCATAGAGAAGCTAAGGTTTTTAAGTTTGAATTATAAACATCTAATATATTTGTTTTTAAGTGCAATAAGCAATTTTCACTGATAGGATTGGCATTGAAGTTAGTTGTTTTCTAGAGATGAAGATCTCCCGAGCACTAGTAACTCGGAGCAGAGTTTGTCGACTATATCGCAAGACGGGATGTTTAAAACGCAGCACCATGCTGATAGTAAATTCTTCAAAATGTATAACTACTTCTTACAACAAAAGCTCATCGATGTCACTCTCATCGCTGGTGAGCATTCGACCCTTGAATTCAAAATTAACACCTTCTGATTTATAAATTTTCAGGAGATACAAAGATCGGAGCGCACAGGATTGTACTAAGTTCGGCTTCAGATTATTTCAGTGCTATGTTCACTTCTGACTTGATCGAGTCGAGGAGTACAGAAGTCGAGCTGCACTCTGTCTGCGGGTCAGCGCTCAACGAACTCGTCCGCTACTGCTACACTGGAAAAGTGGAATTGAGAGAAGATTCTGTGGAGACCATTTTATCGACTGCTTCATTACTGGGCTTGGGACAGGTCGTCGAAGCTTGTTCGAATTTTTTAAAAAAGCAGCTTGACCCGAGTAACTGCATAGGAATCGCTCTTTTTGCAGATTCGCGAAGCTGCACCAAGCTGAGGGACGCAGCCGTCGCTTATATCGCTGTAAAAATCTCACCAGTAATTAATATTTTTCTCTTAGCATTTTCAGTAATTCTATTTTTAATTTACAGGAACATTTTGTTGACGTTTTGAAAAGTCAAGAGTTTCTCATGCTTCCGTTTAACGAGATTTGCAAAATTTTATCATCAGATGATCTGAACATCCCTTCAGAAGAGACAATTTTTTATGTATTAAATTTAATTCTTTCAAATTTAAATTCATTATTTAAAAAAAATACATTTTTTCAGGGTCTTATGTCCTGGGTCCAACATGATCAGGAAAACAGAAAAAGTGATTTAGTCAAACTACTCGAATATGTAAAACTGCCACTCCTCCCTCCAGCGGTATAAATTTATTTCAACAAATTGTATAAATATTGTAAATTTATTTTTGTAAAAATAGTTTTTAGTAGATGTGGTTGAACCGAGCATAGGGCCAGAAGGGCATTCTCTAGTCATTGAGGCATTAAAATATCATGTCCTCCCAGAACGCCGAGCATGTCTTCGTTCATTTCGAACATCGCCAAGAAAGTCGACTTTAGGAAGTTTGTTTGTTGTTGGAGGAATGGATGCTAATAAAGGTAAAAATGAGAAAATTTAATATATAACTGTGATTTTATTAATTAAATCATTTTTCAGGAGGTGCAACAAGTATTGAAGTATACAATGCTCGTACTAACCAGTGGTCCCAGGTTGGTAGCATGGCCGGGCGCAGGCTTCAGTTCGGAGTAGCCACACTCTGGCGCAAGTTGGTAGTTGTGGGAGGCAGAGATGGCCTGAAAACACTGAATTCGATGGAGAGCTTCGACTTGGATACTCAGATGTGGGAGACCCTTCAACCCATGGCTACCCACCGGCATGGACTTGGTTTAGCCATGTTAGGTGATTCCGGTATTCTTTACGCTGTAGGTGGCCATGATGGATGGTCGTACTTAAACACTGTCGAGAGATGGGATCCAGACACAGGCCAATGGAATTTTGTTGCTTCCATGGCTACTCCGAGATCCTCCGTAGGGCTAGCAACACTTAATAACAAGTAATATTCAAACTTCAATAATTCGCTTTTAATTTTGTAATGGCATAAAGAAACTTCCTTATAAGTCTTGTAGCTCAAGTCAAGCAACTTAAATTGAATTTTATGTTATTTAAGGGCAATTAATTAATGTTTGAGAGAGATATAGTCATTTTGCGGCAGTAGCTACATAATGATAATGTTGACATGGCCTGTCATAATATTGTACATGGTATCAGTAAACAAATATGTCCAAATCTTGCTTCAGTGAATTCAGAGAACTTGATGAAGTGAATTTTGGTTTACTTAAATTTTATTTATGTGAGATGCCTGAATAAATTTAAAATCACTTTTCTACACATTTTATAGGTCTAAATATTTATATTATTTTTATAAGTCTAAATTGATAACCTAACAATCTCTTTAACTATAATTTAATTTGTGTTTTCAGACTTTATGCTGTCGGAGGAAGGGATGGCGTTACATGTCTCAGGACTGTCGAAGTGTATGATCCGCATAAGAACAAGTGGTCAATGTGCGCTTCGATGTCAAAGAGAAGGGGGGGAGTGGCTGTTGCCGTTTTTGGCGGTTATCTATACGCCTTTGGGGGGCACGGCATGCCGACTACAAACCCTTCGGCGACTAGATACGATTGCGTCGAAAGGTACGACCCCAAGACGGATTCTTGGACTACCGTAGCACCGATGTCAGTTGGGAGGGATGCGATCGGAGTCGGAATATTGGGTGATAAGATATTCGCCGTCGGAGGGTACGATGGTCAGTCATATCACAAACTTGTTGAAGTTTATGATCCTCATCTCAACACCTGGGACCAGGTAAAATAATTTTTTTTTAAACTACTTTTACTAAGGAATAAAACAATTGCATTGAAATAGTCAGTGATAAAAAATATTGAATAATAAAATTGAATAATAAAAATATAATTATTCAATATATATCAAATGTATATAGAAATAATCTTGTCCCAGTATGCAGTAAATACAAGCCGTTTTTGGCTGTTTGCCGCTTCCTTAACCTTCCTAACTACCACCTTCTCAAGAATATTGAACTGGAAATCATAAGGTCCAAAATATCATGGTTTCCTTCCTGGAATACCTTGGCTCAACAATTTCAGCTGAATGACAATTTTTCCCTGGCCAATTTTAAAGAGAGGCCACTTTTACACTCAAAATTGATTAACCATATCCGCACTGCTCACACAAAGAATGTCTCCTTCATGCTCAAAATTCCTATAGATTTTTGATTTATAAGGATCTTAATATCAATCAACCTTTCTTGAACAGCAAAGTTCTAAAATTCCATCCATTCCGCTAGTTCGCTGGTTTTTCAAAGTTAGGTGCGTGTCAAAGTTCCGTTAATTGCTCTCCCTGCAACAGGCAGGCTCGAGAAGATTGTCTTCACTTTCTAGCAGAATGCCCAGTTTTAGCGGAATTCCGAGCACGGCATACAGGCTTGCCCACGTTGACAAGAGAGCACCTAATCTCTTTATTAAATAACCATGAGTCCTTAAATTTAATAAAGTTTATGTTGGAAGCCTGGAACTACAGGAAAATACTATTTTTTAATTCAATTATTAAATGTTTATTATATATATCAGACACCCTGGTTATTTTATGTGCATAATCTTATGTAAGTATACATAGATATGTTGTTATTTTAGTTTAATAAAAATTTATAGTCCGACTCCGGCAAACGGTTGATAACCATTGCTGCTATATGCTTTTTAGTTATTTACAATTTTTTATTTTTATTTATGTAATAAAGTACCTTTTTCATTCATTCATTCAATAAAACAAAATCTTTTTTACAGGTTGCACCATTGGACACAGGACGTTGTGGATCATGTGTTGTTTCTATACCACCTTGAGTATTAAATAAGAATGAATAATTTTTTTTATACAAAGTTGTTTAAATTTTATTTAATATATATATATTTAAATCCTTTTTATTACATTTGATTAAAAAAACGTAAGAAAAATATTTTGTTTTTATTTCCCAATCTCCTAAAATGCCATTCTAGTGTAATTATTTTTAAACTAGACATACTCTTTCTTTCCAGTGTGTTGTATTACCTATCTGAAGTGCAACTGATCTCAGGGACTATAGCATGTTAAGGCCCTTGGCTTGTAGATGCAGCGGCTTTCCCACTATCAGCCCTGGCTTTTTTCATGCTCCCCTTCCCCCCAAAAATATATTATATACAACTGATACACATACTTCTGCTTTGCCAATAAAAAGCAAAAACGTCTGAACTTTGGTCAGCTGGAAGTGCAAGACCAAAGTCAATCCTGGGCCTAAAACAATACCTAATAGTTTATTTTTATCATTTGAAAGTATTACTGTTTACTACCGATTCCTAAATTTTTTTTCAGTTATTAATATCCAAAATGCCAGGATCTATGTATATTTAAAGTTTTAATTTTAAAACTAAAAAGTCGTCTATTTTTCTTAAAAGGCAAATTTGCATTTATTAAATTCCAAGATATTTTGACTAGGGCAGTCACCAAAACTGCTGGTAAAGGATCAAAAGATAAAGGTCCCAGGGTTGAATGCAACAGCCCTGAGTTCAAACCTGACATACTAATGGGCTTTTTTCAAACAACTGCACCCCAAGGGGTTCATATAACCTAGTTGAAATACCATCGTCCAAAAAAAAAAAAAAAGTTTTAGGTTCTACTAATAAGTTAAAAACAATAAAAATCAATAATAATATTTACAACGATATATTTGTTAAAATTGATTTTTATTACATTTAAGAGTTAACTATGGGAAAAGAATATTTTAATAGTTATTTAATTCAGCAATTGAAATGAGACTAAGGTAATGCTTATTTCCTGATATCTGGCAAGCTTAGTTATAATCTATTTGTGCAGGTTTTTTCTATTTATGTAACTGGGCTAAAGAGTAAATTTAGACCGCAAGTTGTTTAGATTGAAGGGATGAATGTGTAAGGAAAGGAATTTTTTTCCTTTATTTTTTTGGCCAGCTGCCCACAATTGCCCCAGGGTAAGTTGAGGAACTTAGGACCAGCGGAGAGATGAAACCAGGAGGAGAAAGGCAGAAAAAAGAAGAACCGGAAGTGATTTGGGATTTAATCGATAGATGCCTTCTACCCCTGGTGTTCTCACATGCTGCAGCTGTGATATCAGCGACAGTCCTGAATACGCTCTACATATCGCAGATATCAGTGTTTTCATTGTTTTTAATATACATCCTGCTCACTTTAGCAGTGACTCTTTTTTACCACAACCTTAAGGTATTGACTGAATACACATATATTCTCAGATTTATATAAAAGTTGATGTTTCAAGGTGACCTGTGCTGGGAAATGCGTCGTTCTGTCAGGATGCGAAAACAACGTAGGCTATGCGATAGCAAAATACCTGGATGAATTGGTATTTTTAAAAAATCAATCAGTTGAGTTTGAACTAAATTTAAAATTTTTTTAGGGTATGACAGTATTTGCTGGGTTCGCCAAGGAGACAGAAAACAGGTTCAAGTTAAAAAATGAATGCTCAGGCAGGCTACAGATTATCGATTTGGACGTGACATCAGAAAAGAGCGTACAAAATGCCCTGAAAACTGTCAATGAACAAACAAGTAATTTTTTACTACACATTATAGTTTATTGGCATTTAATCGATTTTATACATTAAAGATAACTTATGGGGTGTTGTAAATGCTGCGTTTTGGTCTGCTTTTGGAGAGACAGAATGGGTGCCTTTAAGCGTATTCAGAAAAACCCTTGAAGTGAATTTACTCGGAAGTGTCGCCCTCACTAATGCTTTCCTTCCACTCATCAGAAAATCTAAAGGTTTTTGATAGAAACGTCAAATAAAAAAGAATACATACTTTATAATTTTTTTTTTTTTTTTTCAGGAAGGGTGGTGAATATTATTAGTGTTTCAGGGCGAATACCGTCTGGTATTCGAGCTCCGATATGCATTGTGACTTCTGCCTTAGAAGCATACACAACATGCCTCCGTCAAAATATGAGAAGATGGGGTGTCGATACGATATTAGTTGAAACTGGAATTACGACAACAAGTACATTATTTATATAGTTTTAATGATTGAATTATTTTATGTATGGAATTTTTTTAGGTGCTTGGTACGATAACAAAGAAATGTTGGACGAAGCAAGATCTCTATGGCAATCTCTGAGTGCTGAACAGAAACAAGATTACGGCAAGGAATATTTTGAATCTAGAATTACCACAATGAAGGAATACCAACACTCCCAAGTAATCATTTTAACTTATTACTCAATAATGTTTACTCAATTAATTTTTTTTCCAGGAGGATTTAACAGCTCTTTTAAGGTCTGTAGGAGATGCTGTATGCCGTACATTTCCTCTTAGTAGGTACACACCTGTCACAAGAACCGAAAAACTACAGTCCCTCGTTGCATCACACCTTCCACATTCTGTTTATTCAATTTTGTACGAATAATACTGCAACAATTGAAGAAAGGCTGTTCGAAAGACTCGACACGAGAAAGAAAAGATCAGTTTTAAATATACATGTTTTTATTTCATAAAGAAAACAATTAAAAATTGAAGATATGCTTACATCGTAACTTCAGTGAAAATAATTTATATTCAAATACCTATGCTGTACATTGTTCTGGTAACAAATTCGATTATTTGACTAGTTAACTATTTGTTCTGTTAACCATATTCCTAATACGACAATGACATCAAAAAGGGTCATTTGTTTGTACAAAATAATTTAATAAATAAAAAGTATGAAACTAAGTCTTTTCAGTTTGCAATAATTCGTTTGTACATTAAATCCCCCCAATATAATAATTAATAATCACACTAATACTAAAACTTCTAAAATATAAGCAATCTGAAACAAAAAAGAAAAACGTTCAATGTTTATAGCAGCCATTTTTTTTTTTTTTACAGCAAATTATCCATTTACAGAAAAAGTTTAGATTTTCAACTTACTATCTATTTCTTTAAGGTTGTTTCATCCATCTCAGAATCAGTTTCAATCTCCGGTTCTGAGTATGATAATGAGCCTCCTGCTCGACTCCTCAAAATCTGAGCATCTGGTGACTAATTTTTTTTTTTTTAAATTAGCTTTATACAGAGATTATGTTACATTAAAATAATACCTGTAGAAAATGTGCCGATGGCTCTGAAGCATATCCAACCTCATGAGCATCCTCTTCATACTCTTCATAGTCATCCGATGAAGAATCTATAACATTTTTTTTCTTTAAGTTGTCAATAAAAACAAAAAACAATATACTTACCTTCATGCATCATCATATCTTTAGGAACCTTGCATACCATTTGTGCAAGGTCTGTAAATTTGTAAGCAGTTGGACATGGATGCTGTGCTTCACTTGAAACTGGCAGTTTGCAATTACTAGGGCGCTTCAAAAAGTACGGAGGACCTGACTTTAAAAGAGCTGTAAAATATGCTTTTCCATGGTTGTAACCCACATCCTTTAGAAGAAAAAATAAATATATATAGACATTTTCAAAATCAAGACAACTGTTAATTGCAAGTTATTTCGAATCATCTACCTTGATTTCATCGAAACTTCCAAACTGCAAAGTCCTGTATTTGTCAATCGGTGGACGGATGTACTCGCAGTAATCACTTACTTTCACTTCCTGAAATATTCACTTAAACTTCAGTTCTTACTTATAATTTAAAAAGCAAAAATATATATTTTTTTAATGGTTACCTCAAGTTGTCGAACACAAGACACATAAGCCAACCGGGATTGGATGTCAGGTAGGTTCGGCACTTTCACAGGAGATGTAAAAGGGTTGAATCTCTTCCACAATATCCACCAACCAGATAGTGAATCTCCGTAGTTGGTCAGATCGGTGTCATCGACCGAGCCAACATCAATCGCCAAGACGTGCTTGGCTCCATGATTTCTCATCACATCAGCTAAATAAACATCTACTTTTTTAAACAGTTTCTAATTTGATACTTTGGCTTTGAAAATAGTACATTCTTTCAATGGGTTTAACTATCAAAGGGTCAAACTGCTTGACAGTATTGATAAATAAGGAAAGGCATAAAGACGACACATCTTTATTCATTGGTAGAAGGACCTGGGGTTTCCATCAAGTAATTTTACTATGGGTGAACCACCTTGTACATGATTATTCAAGTAAATTACCAAATAAAAATAAATTTATAAAACACAGAAGCTCATGGATATCGCAAATTTGGCTTATTGTAGATAAAATATTGTGACTAATCCATCTCCATTAACTTATAAGGGCCGCACAAGAAGAACCTCCAGGAAGGGGGTAAATTTAAATGGAATGTCAGAACTACAGTGATAGTACGTACAAAATTAATTAAAACTAAACTTCCGAACCCATCCAAGTAGAAAGAAAAATGGGATTGGGTGAAAACTCTGTAGGAAGGTATAACACAGAATCAAGAACACAAGAAGGCAAAGTGACGCTCAATTAGGTATGAATAAAATAAATAAATACAAAAATGTTCATCAAACATAATCAGCTTGAAAAAGATCTTTAATTGCAAAATGAAACTAAACACACGGGAACCTAATCAACTGGGTTCTAGGATATAGATACCTTTGAAAGAGAGTTGCTACATCACTGAACCCATCTAATAATCAAACAACAAGAAGAATAAGTTTTAATAGGTCCTGGTCTGCCTTTCTCACTGGTGTCAAGCATTTCAGTTGTTTTTTTTTTTGCCATTTGTTATTGATTTCTATGTTCATTAATTCTTGGACCAGAACAATTGGAGATAATCAAGCAACCAGTACGGCATCATCAACTCAAATTAAATGACAAAATTCCAAACAAAATATTGAAAAGCACCCAAACGCAGATCTCCAGTATTAAAAATATGGGGATTGAACACCTCACAGATCTTGGAAAACAGTCTAGAAAAAATATTAAGTATGTGCATTTTTTTTTTTTAATTCATTTACGCTTACAACATAGATAATCATAATCCTTTATTATTTATTTGCTAGCCCCGTTAGCTCTATGGTGAGGAAACGCCTTATTGAAAGTGAATATTGAGAATAGGGTAGTTGATCCCAAGAGTCAATCTAGAATAAACTGTGTACATGGAAGCAGATTAAATTTATTTGAGGCAGTGCTTACTATACGAATTTGAATAAGGGAGGTATGCCTCGAAATTTATGCACATTTGCGGTGATAACTGAATGTGTGTGTCCACAGTGGTTTTGTCGTTTTCACAATGGAAAGAGATGAATCAAAGACCAGCCTAATTTTGGATGGCCTAATGAGCCAAAGCAACAACTTGTTGCATTGGAGGATGAGGTTAAACTAACAGTAGAAACATTGCACTACAATAGAACTGTTTACAACAGAACAATAGAACCTGTGTTATTGTATGAAACTCAATTCATGAGTGCCCCATGAATTATCCTTCAGGGACAATGAAGATTGCATGGCTTGTTGTGCTAGATGTCTGAATTGAAATAAATCAGAAGGGTCTTTTTGGTCACTAGGGATGAAAAGTGGGTCCTTTTCAAAAATGTTAAACGCAGTAGGACCGCTTGCAAGAAGAATTAAATGCCACCAATGATAGCAAGAGCAGAAGTGTGAAAGGTCCTATTGTCTATGAACTGTTACCATGCAATTAAAAACTTATGACAGGGGGTATGCATTGCACAGCTGAAGAAAAAACGACCAGACCTGGTGAATAGAGACAGTTGTTTCTTCACCATGATACCAGTCCTCACAGCTGCACTCACTAAAACCGCAGAGTTAGGCTGGCAACAGTTTCAACCCTTCATACTCTCTAGAACTTGCTCCTGTCAATTTTACTTGATCTACTCACTAGACAACCTTAAAAGATAGGGAATTTTTTAATGAAAATGCTCTGAATATCAGACTTAGAGCTTTCTTTTTATCTAAGCCATCAGACTTTTATAAAAATGGGATTTTTCTACTACCAGAATGTAGTAGAAAGATCTGTAGTATGTGACAGAAAACAAAGGAAATTATGTTTTGAATTAAAAATGTAAATAAATTTATACATTGAAAGTTTGATTTTTTTTCTTAAAACAAAAAAAAAACTTCTGTACACACTCAATATTAAGTTTTGGCAAATGTAATCTACAGTGAGGAGCAAAGATTTTACTTTAAACTAAACAACATAATACTGAATTCGATCTGAAATTTAAAACAAATTATTAAGATTATACACTACTAATTAAATTTAAATAATTTTAACTTTCAGTTTATTTAAATTTAACATATCAAAAGCATTAAAATAATTGGCTGAAACACACCCATTCAATAATCATTCTCACCAAACTGATCACGGATACCTGGTAGGTTGTTGATATAAACTCCATCAACAAGCAGATGGCCATCAGTCGGGTCACAGAGAGGAGGAAGGATACCCGCAATAGTCATGCTTGCTCTTACATAAGTCCAAAGTACCCCTGCAAGTTACTTATTCGTGTTCATAAAGGATTAAAATTGTTTTGTTTTTTTAAAAACCCGCCATGACCATCTATCAACAACTTATATCCATCGTTTTCAATTAATGATGAATAAGATAAAAAGAGATGAACATCTTAACTTTACTATCGGTTTTTAATATTATCAATAATCCGTTATAAAATTATAGTTCAAAGAGTTAATAACAGTTCGGGATTTGATTGTTTTTGAAAAAGTTTATATTTGTAAAGTTTTGTGAAGGGCTTAACATCCCCCAACATACTTTGAACTCGATGACAGGGATCAATCATACATTTAAAAAATCAGCCATAGAACAGAAGAGCCTTGTGATTGATTTTCTTTTTATGCCTGTACCTGGGAGGTTGTTGACATAACCACCGTCAAGGAGCAGGTGGCCATCTGTCGGGTCACACACAGGAGGCATGTACCCTGAGAGTGACATCGATGCGCGTACATATCTCCACATCACTCCTGCAAAACCAACACGAACCTCGCTAACTTTTTCCCATTTCAAGGGCTTACATGACATCGAATATGTAAACATTCTTTCAGTTTTGCTGCAATAAATAAATATATGGTAGCGTCAACATGAAAAAGTAATGTGGTAGATAGCTGTAAAACAAAAATTAATTTTGAGTCAAGATTTTTTTACAAATGTATACATATTATATTTCAAACATAACATACAAAGCAGAAAAATTGGTTAGTCGAAATAGAAATGAATGAACTTTTGTATCACCCACACCTTATTCAAATGATGATTTTTAACCATGTTATCGTAATTTTATTCAGAAACCAAGATTTATTGCAGCAAAAATGTGTACCAGTTAAAAAAATACTTTACATTATTAAAAATGCTGAAGGGTCTGCTGAGCAAAGCAATGGCCAAACCAATGACAAAGACAATAATTTTATTAGAGAAGGAAAAATGCAATAGAGACAAACCTTTATATACGACCAAGGAAAACATTTGTTTAAAAAAAATTAATTTTGAAATAAAACTATTAGAAATGATAATTGTGTAAAAATCATGTATACATGAGTTTTAAGATTGATAAAATATACAATTTACAAGAAAAAATTCAATATTTCTTATCATTTTTAACCTTTTATTATAACTGTTGATATTCAGAAATTAAAAACAATGATTTTGAAAATAAAATTCCCAAATGGTTTATTTGAGTATAATTTAAACAAATAAATATTTGTGAACAATATATTAATAACAATAGTGATATATTGTGTTGTGATGATGAGGTCCACATTGTAATGAATTGGATAGTCAAATGTCACAATTCAACTTGAATGCGTTTATTCTAGCTGGTTTGTCAGGAATGTTCCAACATTTAGTCATTAGCCTGAACACAACATACAGTGTAAAAACAAACATATAAAAGGGGCAAAATATCACAAACTACTGGAACCTATCTTGACAGACCAAGCCAGCAAGAATAGATACCAAAATGATTGGAAATGACCAAACTACATTTTCATCAACCCGTAGACCCCATGAAGAAATCTCAAAATAATTTCTAAACTATAGTTTAGAAAAGTTTTTAAATAAAATTACTGAGTTACCTAATTCAACTGATTTAATGATTGTTTACCAAAAGATTTTTAACTATTTGCATTATTTATGTATAATTCTATAGTATTATTCCCTAATTTAAAATACATTTCCTTGGTAAGAAATGAAAGATTGAAGAAGAAACAGGAATTGTGAAACAGTGCAAGCATTGATGAAAAATTATGACAAAACACATTGTCAAAGCAAATAGACTGTTCAATTTAAACATCTTCAGTACAGAACATTTAACTTTAAAACAACTAAACATTTAAATTCCACTATGATTGGATGCGTTCTTTTCATAGCAAATTGTTTAAATAGATGTAAAGAAAAAAAAATTACAAAATGAACATGACAAAATAATACTTCATGAAAATTAAAATAAGTGCATGAATTTTTTTTTTTTTTTTCAAATTATACATATATTTTCTTCCGATAGGTTACAAAAAATAAATAAATAAAATAAACAAGACAAAAAATCTATCTACAACAAAACAGTCCTACAAAAAAAGCTACCAATCACAAGACAAATCTGCACTATACTAAAGACTTTTTTAAAAAATTTATCTTTTTTTTAGTGTTTAATGAGGAAGCAGATTTGGTTTCGTGCTTTGCTCAGCTATAATAATGATTTGACATTTCTGACTCCACAATGCTTGTTTCATCATCAATTGCAAATCACCAAATCTCTCTCCTTCCAGATCCCCTTGGTGTGAAAGATGGTGGCAGTCAGGTTTTTCTAATTATTAATTTAAAACATATGTCAAACAACTGTTTTTCATTTTGTGTAATAATACAATTAAATAAAATATATGTATGATCTAGTAAATAGGAATTATAATTTCAAGGTTATTACACAGGAAATGGAAAACAATTGTGACTTTTCTTTGCTAAAATACACTGTTTAAAATTTGAAATAGAAAACAATAATACTTGCCAAAAAAATAACTGATTAATCAGATAAGTGTAAATATTGTAAAATTTTAATACCTTTTTACCAACAAAAATATGTTGTAACTTTTATTTTACTTCCTGTTGAATAGTAAAAAAACTTTGTCATTCATTTTTAAAAATTACAATTAATTTTAATTTTAGCATTTAAGCCACAAAAAACATTGTTTCTGTCAAATAAATACAATAGGCTCATGCTTAACACGTTAACTGCAAAGTACCATGTGTATGAATAGTAGTCAGGTGCACACAGATATCACTGGCCAGATTTAATTTCAAAGCTGATTATTTTAAGGGCTAAGTAAGTTCTAGTCAAGTTGTAACAATCATCTAGTCTTCAATCTATCATTCCACATAGAATATTTATTTTTACTAACTTTCACAATAAATATTTATGACAATGACACATGCAGTGGTTTTGACCGAAGAATTTATCGCGCTAGTTTTTTCCAGGCTTACAATGCACGCATTGGTTCAATGAGGTGTTCAACTATCGGTGAACATAATGCTTAACCAATACTTTTTATACCTTAATAACTTTAAGAAAGAAAAAACTGTTTTCTTTTCTACATGAAAGATTTTTTTTTAACTTACCTATTTTGTCTCCTTTCCTTTTGTCTTTTTTTAAATATATTTGCAATATATATACGTGACTAATTAAATTTTAACTCTGCTTTCACGTAATGGACAGAAGCCAGGATGACACGGGTAAATATCTTTTTACTAAATTCATCAATCAAATCTCAGTTTTTGAAATTATAATTCATATTATATACTGACCCAGTTTTCAAACCAACAGGCGGTACACACCACTATGTGTGTCAACACAATGCTACTACAGACGACTCATTGACTTAGTTTCTGTCTCAAAAATGCTTTACCTTTACGTGTGTCATTACCCTTACTAACAAACAAATTTTTATTTATATAATTAATATTTTCTATATTTATTAAAAATATTGTATGTTTTGCAACAAAAGTGACAGATCTGTGGTGGAATAGTTCTTCGTTCAATCATTAGATATGATTTTTTTAAACTGTATTTTATTTAGCTTTCTTACCTTTTTACTATTCAGAAACCAGTCACATGTGCATATAAAATTGATTTTTTGGTGCGAGTGTCTCCATAAGGGTGATAAATTTTAATTTTAATTACTGCAAATAGTTCAAAAGTTTTAAAAAAATCAATAATTAAAATTTAAAAGTTTTTAGAATACAAAAAAAAAATCCATCACCAGAAATTATTTTGGCATGAGAGTCTCCGCAGCCAACGTGTTAAGAAGAAATTTTATTACTCAAGAGTATAAAATTGATTTAAATCGACATAAATTGTGAATATTAAAGGAAATAAATTAATGAATAATAATTTATACTTCAAACTACTTCAACCTCAAGCAGTGTATTTGGTCGTTTTAAACTGGTCTTAATTGAAAAACATACCATGCCTGTGGATCCTCATAGCACTGGCCGTAATATCAGTGCTGAGCGTAAAATACGGTACCCATAAGTCTTCAATGCGTGTCTCTCCATATGCATTCATCAGTGTCTTGTTAAAAGCATGGCCGGTGAACATCGAAGTGGCCGGATAAGTGAGATCAAAAATAAGAGACCACCAACGATTCATCGACTAAAAATTATACAATTGATTTCTATGTTAAAAATAATAAATCTATACAATCTTGGTGCCTGAAATACCTGAGACCACTCTCTTGCTTTTTGTGTAACTGTAGCTGTATCCCTGTACATGCACCAAAGCCCTCCAATAAAAGCACCTATACTCACTCCACCTACCATGTCAATTGGTATTCCAGCCTCCTAAAATATTTGTTTATAAATGATAAAATAAATAAAAATTAAATATTTTACAACTTTACTTCTATCGCTTTGATCATGCCAACATGTGAAGCACCCTTGGCGCCTCCACCTCCGAGTACCAAACCTATAGACATGCCCATAAGCCATCTTGCTAGTCGTGAAAAGTCTGAATGTGGGTTTGGCTCATTTGTCAATATTTTTGTGTAAAGCTCATTCTGAAATTAACTCGATTATAAAAATTAAGGACGTAGGGTATTATGTCACACTTACAACTCTAAATTGGGATCTTCGTGAAAACATCCTCTTGTTACACAAGATGTGATGGTGGGAAGAAATCCACTGACGCATGTTAAGCCACTCGATCGTATTACTAGGACGATCTCCACCTTCCTTGTGCAATAAGACCAGCTCCTTTTGTGTCTTGATCCCTAGTCTTTCAACTTCCTGCTCTATCTATCAAAAAAAATAGCAAATAGGTTTATTAAGTCTTATTAATTCTATTCAATTGTCTTACTTTTCCTATGCTGGGTTCTTTAAAACCCAAGCCAACAATTAGAATACAGTCAGCTTGTCTCAGACATCTCTGCGTCCAAGGGGTGAAAGAATGATCACATTGGTACAATGTTATGGAGTGCTGATCCTCCTGTTGTGCAAGCCAAGATGTAAGTCTGTACTCTTGATTTGAATCCATTGCACACATTCCAAGATTTTTGCGCACTATTTCCGATGTAAGTCTCATAGGTGTGCCTTAAATTAACATTTACAACAAAAAAATCTAAAATCTTGAAATCTGAAATTTATAGCTGGCAGACAACAAACTTTTAACCTAATCACTCACCTATTGCCTGCAAACAATGAAACAGTTCGTAAGTAAATGCGGAAAGTGGTACATCATCTGATACAGGGACGATGGCAACAGTGCTAAAATTGTTATGTGTAGGACGGTTCTCCAACCTGCCTGTGCTCATATTCTGCCATGATCCAATGATCCGGTGGCCCAAGAGGTTTATCAACCTGGTAACTACGATTGGAAACCGTAGCTTTATGGCATTGAACAGGCCTTCTGGCAGTTTAGCAAGCTCTGAGTCCCTGACGGCAATCACAGTTGTGCTTCTTGGATTCTGTGTTACCATTTCAACCTGAAATTTTTTTCTTTTAAACTTAATTCTCAAAACCAAATACTGACAGATTATGTTTGAAGTTTTGAGGTCTCAAACACAATAATTTTATTTTTTATATTTTAATCAGTTTCTTACTATTCCAACCAAATCGCCCTTTCCATATTCACCGACTAGTTCCTTTTTCCCATTACTGTGCGTTATTGCTGATCTGAGACGTCCACTCAACACAATATAAGTGCAATCTGATTCATCACCTTGCCTGAAATATAAAATTATTAAATGTTTACAATTTTTCTAATATTACACCCAGGTAGTGTTTCTTTTAAAAACATACCTATAAACAGCTCTCCCACTTTCTAAAAACACCCAGTCAAGAGCAAAATCTACTTGTCTAACAAATGGGGAAAGTCTTCTAACAACTGTATGAGCAATGTGCAAAACAGCCTTTGGCCTCTCTCTTAAAATGCTGAAATGGGAAAACACAAAATGCTAAATAAAAGAGCTCATAATTTTGTTTTGAAAAATCTTACTTATAAACTGTAGCTTTTGATAGAAGAGCAATAGTCGACTGATGTTTTGTTTTAATTGTGTAGAAACTCGGTTCACCTGTGAGTACTGCGAGCCCGCCCACAATTTCACCTGGGTGAGCAGTGAACATATGAACCTCGTCAGTCATATCAGCAGTTTTCTGAGACACGAGTAGTACACCACTTAGTAGATAGACTAGAGCAACATCTTTGTGCGATTCTTCCTGCATAAGAGGCATCCCGGACGCTAAGTGACGGATTTCCACCCGGTCATCGAGCAGTCGAGTATCTTCCTCCAAGCCCAGCTCCTTAATGAATGCTTCAGAGGCAAGTTTAATCAGGGATTGCTCATCCACGCTTTCTAATGACTTCCTTCCAACACTACCTCTCTGACAACTTATATACATCTTTTCATCCTAAAATAAATTTAAACTTTGAAGTTGTGGCACAAATATTAAAAAAATCATTTACCATTGAATCACTCAGCGGTTTCAACTCAAATGCAGATCTGGATTTTCTAGCATGAACCATACCACTTAAATCGGGTTCCTCTTCACCTTGATTGTTAAGGAAATTGCATACTTCTTCCTTTCCAGTTTCTCCTGGTCTTGGTTTAATAGGTGATCCTGGACCTTTTTTCTTTTCTTTTCCCTAAAATTAAAAATCTCTATAAGCAAATGGCAATGCAGGAAGTTTATACTTTTGCGAGTTAATTAGTTAGATTAAATGTGTAAATTTATTATCTCTGATCATCCTTGACTTCCTATTCTCACTAGGTTGTCTAATACAAATTTTTAGCATTTTGCCATCTTGAGTGGTCTTGAGTTATGTCTTGTTACTGATATTATCTTAACCCACACTAAACATGGCAAAAACCGTAATGCTCCTAGAAAACCAAAACAGTGAAAATAGGCAGACATTCATAAATTCGCAGATGTCAAGAAAAAATTTCAAAATTTTGTTTATTACTGTTAGATTAAATTAACGTACAGATTTAACAAGTTCGGCAGTAAGCCCGAGATACTGGTGAAGTGCAGTGAAAGTCACTCTTTGCAATCTGACCATTATGACCTGCATGACTCTTATAAAAGAGTCCGGGTACTCTTGAAAAACCTCCTGAAACGCCGCCATTGGTAGTCGGACGACAGTCGAATCTTCAATAGCACGTGCAGAAACTGTTCTATAAGGGTGAGGGTGGCCCTGGAATTAAAGAGTTCAGATAGAATGTTGAACAATAGAGCCAAATTTAAGGCAAACGCACAGTTAGGACATCAGTGAAACTCAGTAGAGACGTTACGGAATCTCCCGGCTTAACAATCTTCAGTGAAATAATCCCACCATCTGTGCTGTTTATGAACACGTTGACCTTGCCATTCTGAACGACATAGACATTTTCATCGGGTTCACCTATTTCAAATAATAAGATACAAACAATATCTATTATTACTACAAATATAAAAATTATTACCAATTTTGAAAAGAAACGATCCAGCTGGTAATGTCAAAATGTCCGTGTGTTTGCACAATTTAAGAAAAATGGGTTTTTCAAAGTGGCCAAAGACTCTGAAATAAAACAAAACGATAAATTAAATCTAAAACTTCAAAAAACAGAACAAACCTAATGCTCTGAAGCATATAAAAAGCATCAGGAGGCACTTTCTGATCATCTTTCAAGTCCTCTTGCAAATATTCAGCTGGCGGTTCCAAAGTCTAAAGCAACGATGAATTTAAAATTTTTTCCAACTGTTACACAACTTATAAGAAAAATTAGTATTACAATGAGTTGGAGAGGTCTATCAGCATCTTTCTTCAAACGTAATATTCTGTTTGCAAACTTCAACACCAACTTTCTTTTTTTCCCTTGTTTTACTTGCCCAGAAATGTTTTTCATCTAGGAAAAAATATATATGCAGTGTGGTGAATTTTTATACAATAACACAATTCAACTCACTTTCCGCAACATTTTCCGTCCATAAAACAAAACTTTGTCCCTTTTTCTGAATCTCGGCTTTCCGCCGAATCCAACTCCAACTAGTTTTTTCACTTCTGGCAGCACTACAAAAATAAATTATTATAATTATTTTGTATAATCAAAAGGTCATACATTAGAAGAGAATGAAGAAAAGAAAAAAAGATGATTTTTTTTTGTTTTTGTTTGTCTAGTAGAATGCATAATTTGCATATCAAGAATGATCACAAGACTTCCTAATATAAGCATTTAACAGCTTAAATCCTTGTCTTTTAACCTTTTTGGGACAAGTGATGAGATATCTCTTTCAGGCTTGCAAGCTCCCAAGGCCCAGCGACGAGTTATCTCGTTAAGGCTTGTATGTTCCTTAGATCCAGTGACGAGTTATCTCACCCTCATGATTTTTTGACTTTTAGAACTTCTAGCCAGACACTTCAGCAGTTGTTGAGTCGTGGTTGCATCAATGCATCCAATGTGTTCTCAGTAGTGAATGACCACATTCCTTTTTCTGAGAATATTCTACTTCTGTTTACCTCTCGCTCTGCCATACCCTACCATCTACCCTATTGTCTTATTTTTTACCTCTTGTATATGTGCAGAGTAGAGCTAAATAAATCAGTAATCAGTATTTATTTAGTTTTTTAATCATTATGTTTTAAAATATATAATAAAGACTTTTTTAGTCAAATAAATTTTCAATTAAATACATCTTTGCTTTTGTTTAAAAAAGACTGCTAGCTTTTTTTCTAAATAATTTATAATCAATTCACTTTGTTTTCACATTCAAAGTTTTCTAAATTGGAAAGGATGATTCAGCCAATCCTTTCAGTATCAAAAGTTGAATTTTTGCTTATAATGTTTACATAACACAAGATTGATTGTTTATTCAGTCTCTAATCTACCAGATTTCAATGGTTTTGTTGTGATTCACTACAACACTAAAATTTAAAAACACATCTTTGTGCAAGAATGATTAAAAATGTTGCAATCAAAAGGTATCCAGGCCATTATATCGAGACCCTTTACAAAATATTCACCTGTTCTTATCCAAAATTTATGCATGCAATCTATTCAGGTCCTAACCTGATCAAACGGCCCTTTATTTGAATCCTTTTAGATCTTAACACGTACGCTGCCGATGACGCCATGGTGGCATCATGAAGTGAGTTGTTACTCTAGCAGATTAAGCCATAGTGGTGTCATGAGGTGAATTGTTACTCGAGGCGGATTAAGCCTTGGAGGTATCAAGCTTTCGGCCCTTTCTAATCTCTCATAAAATATCTGCTTGATAAACAATAAAACGAAATAGGTCCGGAAGTTGAACATGTTAAGATTAGTGATTTATATATGCTCAAATCTGCACACACACACGTCAGAGTTGAGCCTTTCTCTTCTCGCAGAATTTGTAATGTACAGTCAATTACTGATGGGCCTCAAGAATCACCCACTCCACACAAACAGTGCAATGTCAGATCCTACAGACTGAAACCATGAAATTGAGTTGAACAATGTTTAGTCTATAGGTGCAATTGAATTTATCAAAGGTTGATACATTAAAAAATCATAGTTTAGCCTGGGAAAGCAGCAACTCAAAAGAATAATTTCTCCGAGACAATATCAATGCATTCACTAATTGGCCAAAAGAGAAAGCTCATGAATAAACATAAGGCTAAACAAAAAAAATTATTGAGATATTTTGTGTGCACATGTAGTTTGTTCATTTGATCACCCTACTGTTGGAAGAATTACCATGTTTAGCCATCTTCAGTGTTATCTTGCTACTGTTATTTTCGTACAACTGAAGATGGGAAAATCTTAATCACACTTTAAAGACAGAAGCAGGGTCATCAAAAGTGACTAAACCCAAAAAAACATGTCAGAATGAACAGGCCTAAACCTACACAATACAACATGTTTAACGTTGAAACACAGACACTTATTATATATGTAGTGCTGATATTTTTGTATCCCTGGCATATGTTGAGAGTGATGTGTACTGTGAGGACCAGTAGTAGAATAATGAGTACCCATCAACCCTCAATTATATTAGTTATTATATTAATCCATATATGTTTAGTGGTCATAATTGACCATATTAATTATATCAATTAATTATTCTTTCGGCAAGATTAAAAAGTTGGTGTCACGAGTGGGATTCGAACCCACGATGTTCACCTCAATACGCCACTGCTCTTGCCACTTGAGCTATCGTGACTACGATCCACTCGGACACAAACTTCCCATCTCAATCTACAAACTTTCGAATTTTCCCTCTTTTTGTCATATTTTCAAATGTCATGTAATCAGGATTTGATTCTCAGCAGCTTATGAAGTTGCCAGTGTTGCTGTTTGCTAAGTGATTACTTCTTTAATTATTCTATTAATCCATATATAATAATTAAATCATAATTGACCATATTAATTATATCAATTAATTATTCTTTTTATTTAAGTTCTTGGTCGAGATGAATATGGTGATAGTGTCCGAGTAAATTGAAGTCACGACAACCCAAGTGGTTAGAGCAGTGAAGTATTGAACTGAAGGTCGTGGGTTCAGATCTTGCTCGTGACACTAACTTTTTCATCTCAATCAAGAACTTAGATAAAAAGAATAATAATTGATGTATTAGTTATTTAATAGGGTAAAAGGTGATATCGAGTACTCCACCTCCTTAACTGAGCGAATGGTAAATAAGAATGAATGTATTTAAGAGTGAGAGTGTGAATGGGTTTGGATTTTGAGACTAATTGTGTTGGGGGCTGAAATGACCAAGGTGTTGATAGACCATAAACCTTGGTGGCTGTACGGATAAGACCATTAACCCTGAAATTCCAACACCCGGGAAGGATGATTCTTTACATCTGCAGGCAATTTATTGTAAATTAGCTGGAATTGCACATGGATTGCGAGAAATGATAGGTTTAACTCTGTACACACGTTATGTAATGTACATGCGTGCACAGATTATATCTTATATAAACCAGTAATCAGTAAACTGTACAACCCAAGGTAGAATGAGTGCTGGATAAACCATGATATAAACAATCATATTTCCAGCATATTGACAACTATTAACAGAAGTATTAAAAAGTTATATTGAAAATGCTCTTGTAGTGTTTGTAATACCTTTTCCTTTCCATTTTTTGAAGATGAAATGAGCCAAGAAGATGACAGCCGTCGCAGCAAAGAACGAAGCGAAGATATACCCCTGTTGACAAAATAAAAAATCAATCCAGTCCGGACACATTTCGTTAAAAACTGAACCGTGAATATTAGACAATTTTTCCGCGTTAATCTTATCTAAGAAATAAGTGGTATGACCTTAAGACAATACCTGCCAGCCTTGTTCTTTCTCTCCATAAAAAGAGCCGAGGGCAGTTGACCATTTCCCGACAGTCGTCGAGGAAAAATCATAAATAGAATTGTAAATTTCCATGGTCTTCACTCATGTCTAACGCCCCCGGGGGCGAGTCCGTCTACCGTCCGAGTGAAACCCACAAAGGGATAAATCTCCGGGCTTTCATACCGTCAAAACTCGGTCGAAAACAAAGAGAAAGGAGTTTTATTTTACTTTTAAATATCCACTCGACGATACGAGTCCTTTGTACAACCGATAAATCGGCGATAAACGCCGGGAAATTAACCGATACGTTTGAACAATGAATTAATTTACCAATTACAAAGTTCACGGCGTACACTTGACTTTTCAGCTGATACGCTTGCTTAACCTTCGTCAACAACTTTGTGGGTTTCACTGCGCATTAATAACCGTAGCGCTTATTTTTAAAGATAAATATACAAAACAAGGTTATTTAAATTTAAAACCATTTTTTGCCAATTTAACATGTAAAAGTGTATTATTTATAACAAGCGATTGAAATCTGTAGTATCTTAAGCTAAAATAAAATCTTTAATAGTTAATGTTTTAATTTTGTAAATATTAAAGTATTAAATAAAAAGAAATAAACATATAATAATATTCATTTAATTTTCATTGGGAAATAGAAATAATCTATCTTAACAAATTAATAAAATAATAAACGTCCGTTTTCTTGTTTGTAGATTTTCCCTCCTTTTTGTCTTAAACTCGTAACTGTTATCCGATGAAAGGGGAAGTCTGCTGCTTGCTGTTGCTAATTGCAAGCGAGAAGCGGAGTAACTTTGTGTTTTTGGCTGTGAGGTCGTGAAAATTTTTGTCTAGTTCTTTGAAATGGTTACAGAATGTTAACTGTTGATGATGAATTTCGTTTAGTAATGTCTGTCCTCGGCAGGCAGTCATTTTAAACTTGTTTCTGTTCTCCGTGGCAGACCAAAAGCCGCTATAACGCTGGCTGTATTATTCCCGGCAGTAATGAATAGGTAATAATCGGAAACAGGTAAAGGTTTGACAAGTTCTTCAAATCCAGGTGTCTTTCTAATTTTTGATTAATTTTGTCCAAAGGTCTGCCATGAAGTTCACGACTTTGGAATCGTTCCCTGAAGGGCAGGTTTGCTGTATGTGCAAATCCGCCCAATCGGACTTGTACAAATTCGGCCAAATCTATAAAGCGTCAAATCTCATCGTCCACTATTTTTGCCTGGTGATTATCATAATTAAAAATTTTTAAAAAAATAAAACTTTACATTTCAGTTTTGAAAATTACAGAATTGAATATGTCGTGTGTGTAAACAATAACTGGCTACCCAACAGCAGTTCTTAAGAATTGTTGTCTCATGAGGTGGTTTTAGTTGTTTAAACTGCTTTGTTGACACTCAGCCACACTGAGAGAAAAAAAAAGTGATAGTCCTTAATATTTTCAATTATTTCTTAGAAAATCCTTCATTAATTATCTTATACCAATTTGGTTCGTTTTAAAAGACTAAATAAAGAAGCGTCGGTGGCCGCAATGGTTTAGGGGTGTTTACACTGCACTCATCACTGTAAGATAAAGGTCCTGGGTTCGAATCCAATGGCCCTGCATTCGAACTTGACACAAATGGCCTTTTTTTTTTTTTTTTTCAAAAACACCAGCATCCCGAGGTTCATATAACCTCATGTTGAAGTACCCTCGTAAAAAAAAATTGTTCGAATGATGGTTGTAAGACATGAAACTTCACTTACAACAGTTTAGTTACAAAGGCAAGACAATTTAGAACATTTCGTTATAGTACAAGTTCTTGTACCCATATTTTTTGGTCTGATTTTAAAGACATTTCACATCAAAAAGCTACATACAGAACACTATAATTCAATTCTAAAAATCATGCAAGTTGCCAGATCAATCGGACTAGTGAAAACTTAAGGACCCTACACACCCGGAGTTATACAGATCTGGTCTTGGAAGAATCTATCTAATGAGCTTCATTGTGTATTCAACACCCGTGGTTGAATTGAAAAATTAGTCTCACGAGTGGAACTTAAATCCATGACATGTGGATACAATACATAAAAAATAATAAATCAATTAAAATATAATTTGGTTAATACGACCAACAAAAACGTATATGCTATATTTAATGTCGATTGATTCTAATAGTGATGATGGTATCATAATTCAGTATTATTATAATTGCCGGTACAAAATGAGAAAGGTGAGTACATCCTTTTTCAAATAACACTTCAACTTGTAATTGAATAATACTGGAAATTTCTCCACTTATGCCACAAACTTTAAACGAATGTGTGGTGTTTAGTGACCATTAATTAATGATTATTTGGAGATTGTGCGATGCGGTCTGGTGTGACTAGGTTTAGAAAAATGTTTTCTTTATTGTGCCAATGTTTCGATCTTTATTGAGATCATCTTCAGGGCCTGGGATTTATAAACATTGTTTAAATTATACTTATACTAGTAAGTACTTCAGTATCTGCTGAAGTACCCCCCTTGGGTTGCCACCTGATTACGTATTAATTACATAAGATGGGATGCCCAAGAACCACAGCTAACAACTAATTTATCAAATTGCTCTTTCTGGGAAATAACTTTTCCACTGCTTTTGAAACACCTCAAATACTTCAAAGAATTGATCTGGATGATTTGGTGGTAGGTCAGCTATGGTATGGACCAAAGACTATTTCTCGCATTGATTATCCTATATCTTGTGTACATTTAACAAAAATTTACAGATGATAAATAATAGTCATCGTTCAATGTATTTAATGTAAAACTAAATGTTCCATAAATTGAACTGGATAACTTTTGAAAAACGGAGTTGGGTCAATTGTACACAAAATCTAATATTTAGTTTTTATATTAGTTTTTATAAACTCAATGCTCAAAGATTTGAAACAATTTTTAGTCAATTGTAACTATTTTTGTATAGCTTCAGGCTTCCAAAATTAAGCAGAATGGGACAGACAATCAAGGCATCTGGGGCTTTTTATTGAAAGATATCAAAGAAGAAGTAAACCGAGGAAAATCACTGGTAAGCTATTATTTCTGTGCAAAAAAAATGCAAATTTTTTTAAAGAAAAAAAGAATTGTATAAATTTTTTTTCCTGTAGAGATGCTCATATTGTTTGAAAAATGGTGCTACCATACACTGTTGCAAGAAAGAATGTCGGAGTATATTCCATCTTAGCTGCGGTATTATACGTGGGACAAAGCATTTGTTTTTTGGTGAATTCAAGTAATCGAATTTTCACTTAGTTATCAATGTTTTGTTCATTTCTAAAATTTTGTTAAAATGTCAAGGTCTTACTGTGACAAGCATAACAAACAACAAGTGATACCGATAAGCGTAGTAAATAACGTTCAAAATACAAAAGTTGACTGCGTCATCTGCCTTTGCCCCATTTCAGTCGTTAAGACTGCAGATGTTATTTGGCCAATGTGTTGCAAACCTAAAACCCTACTTCACCGATTATGTGTTCAGGTGTGTTTATGTATGTTTTAATTAATTTTCAATTAATACTGATCATTTATTAACTGTACTTATATTCACAGAAAATGGCCTTCAATGCAGGGTATTATTTTAAATGTCCGCTGTGCAACAATAAATCAAAATTCAGGAAAAATATGAAACAATTAGGAATTTACATACCAAACCAGTAATTATATAAGATAGTTCCATTTAAAACAGATATAACAGCACAGTTCATTTTAGGGAAGCTGCATGGGAACAAGAGCCGAATGCCTATCAAGAATTGTTAATAAACTCGTTAAAATGTGAAGCAGAATCTTGTATTTGCCCAGAAGGCCGGGAATTTGAGAAGCTTAGAACGTAAGCTTAAAACAAAATATATTTTCTAATAATCATACATTTATTGTGTATTCCGTTTGTCTCATAAGGAAATGGCATATGTTAGTCTGTTCTTTCTGTGGCGTCAACAACATTCATGTAGCCTGTGCCAAGTTATTGCCTGAATATAAACGTCATGATAATTGGAAATGCTCTATCTGCATAAAACTTCCAGGTTTGTAAATAACAACTTTTATGCTACAGTGCTCTCTTCCTAATCCGATCTGCAAAACTCTGAACATTCCTTTAATCAAACTGGAAAAAATCAAAAAGTGAAAATTTTAAAGGAAACCAATAAAACATATATGGGGTGAAGGAGAGTGTTATATGAAAGACCAAGACCAGCTTAGACTATATGAGTTTTTGAAAATTTCTTTTGTTCAGTGAATCCCTCACATCCCTTCACAACTAAAAAATGAAATGTTATAGCAGTCTATATTTTTGTTATGTATCTGTTTGACACCCTTTGTAACCTCAACACGGCAGCAATTAGTTCAGATGATGGAGAGAACACTGTAATTTACATTTGGATAAAATTAAATTTAAATGCAATAATTCTATTTCAGTTAATGCAGAGACAGTTCAAAGTACAACTGACGTACCCAGAGAGTCAGTTGGAAGTATTTACCAGTGAGTAATCATGTTTTTTATAATGTATTTTTGATATTGATGAAAAAAAAAATAATTATAGAAGTGAAGAAGCAGTTAACAATGAGGAAAATCTTAAACATGATACCGAGAACAGTTTTCAAGGAATTCAGGATATAAATAACCCCAGCAGTCAAAGTGAAGCTGAAACTGTGGTAAAAGACAGTATTGCCGAAACAACAACAGTTTCTTCAACCTACTTATTAGAAGAAAAACATAACGATATAGAAAATTTATCTACACCGAAGAAGCATTATGATAATGCCATCAAAGATGTAAGAAAATTGTAAAAACCACAAATTGTAGCTCATTTGCATTTGTCTACCTGGTGCAGTTTTGCAACATGTTTATCTCTATGTGAAATGTAAAAAAAGCAATTACATTACTAAAAAGAATATTAGATACAGTATGTTTTTTGAAATTTGCTGGTCTCTAGGTTTGGAAATAGTAGTTTAGAATCACCATAGTTAAGTTTTTAACTTTGAATTTTTTTTTTCCTGGCTACTAAAATGCTTATTTCACAACACTTACAAGTTAAGCATTGATCATATCTTATTATAAATTTAATGTAGTAACATGGTATCTCCGGATTTGTCCATAACCTTTTAGTTTTGGAGTTATCATTGTTTATTTGAAGGAAAGTCGTGAAATCTTAAAAAATCAGAAAAAGGGGAATAACTCCGAAACAGTTGAGATTCGGGCTATAGTTAATTAGGACTTATTGGTTCCATTATGAATGTAAAATCTACTGACAAAGTTTGTAACACAAGGAAGGAAAACATTCGTTAAAAGTCAATCTACATAATTAAATCAAACTTGCCTTCCCTGAACTGGGTTTGTAGTGAAAATAAATAAATAACTATACTGGTTGTCTAAGTGCAGTAGTGGTGATGACTTCCTTCTTTCTTCTTTTTGCACAGTTCCTCAAAATGATCTCTTAAAGTTTTCCATTCTCCCTGTTCACTTGTCTCGCACATTGTCAGGAGCTTACAACACTCAAATAGTTAGAATAAAATTATTACTAATTTTAAATGGAAAACATCAATTTTACAATCACTTGGTGGAAAACCCTAAGGCTTCTTCTCTCCTCACTCTTTTTTACCCTAAAAAATTTCCTCTCCACAAGAAGGCATTTTTATCATATTTTATTACATTCACTTTTAACTCAATTAAAACATATATTTATAGGATCTGGTGTTAAATTAACTGAAAAGTGATAGCATATCCCAATAACTTTAAATTTCAGCTTCATCCTCTGATAAAGTGAAACTTGACTATAAAATTGATAAAATCATTGAAAATTTTATTATAATTTATTTTTTACTACTACTGTTAATAATGTTACATTTTCTAGGGTAAATCAGCCAACAGTGTTAGCCCGACCTCTCCCGTAAAAGAAACACACAATAAAACTCAATCACCTCAAAAGCCCAAGCTACTTGTTGCTGAAATTATCAACATCGATAGTGAAAATGAAGAGAAAGATGTAAGATTATTAAGTACTGTTGGTAATTTTAAGATAGTTTGGGAAAAAAAATCAATGACCTCTGAATGAATTATTTTTTAACTTCAGTCTTCTTTTGGTGAATACATCTACTTTCTTTTCCAGGAAAATAGTCATAAAATCAAAGCTGTACCAGTGGCCTCTCATCAAAAACCTCAAAATCCAAGATTACTTGATAGGGATGTTGTCATCGTTGAAAGTGATGAGGAGCTAGAAAATGTAAGGTTAATAGTTATGATTGATTTATTTAATTGGTTGTATGTATGAAAATATTTTATTTGCATTATAAAATAAAATTCATAGTAAAAATGAAGGAGTAAATTTTCTCAAAAGAACTGTTTAAAATACAATTTCCCATCTAATTTTTTTGTTTGTTTTTGTTTTTGTTTTTTGTTTTAAGGATAGTTTATGTTTATCTAAGGAATTGGCCTCTCCCACCACAAATCAGGAGGTTCAAAAAACTGCTCAAGAAACCATGCAAAAACCACAAAAACCAAGATTACTTGTTAGGGATGTTGTCATCGTTGAAAGTGACGAGGAGCTAGAAAATGTAAGATTAATTGCTATGATTTGTTTGTTTAATTGGTTGTATGTATTAATATTTTTTATTTGCATTATAAAATAAAAATATCTAATTATTTGATCATTTTAGATGTTATGCTGTCAACAAATCATGTATGTAACTTTTATCCCATTTCATTCTACTATTAACAGTTTTTTTTCCTTGTACTATTTCCCCATTTAACAAATTCATTGACTTCATATTTGTATACTTCATCATAGTAACAGACAAACTACAAAAAAGACCACTAGCGTATGATTTTTAGCTCAAATGACAGCAGCACTGACTCAAATAGGATGCTCGGAGAAGTTTGGGCTCATAAACTTTCAGACATTAACTCAATATTTCACAATACAGTGCTTTCTTGGTAATCCAAACTAATTGCTGCAGGGAGTATTCAGATTCTTTAAAGAGAGGTAATATGGATCCTTTTGTACATCCTTAATTTGGATGTACAAAAAAAAAAAAAATTAAGGGGCATTGGTGATCGCATGGCACTCATCACCGTAAGGTCCCGGGTGAATGCAGGGCCACTGGATATACTTACAAATGGACTTTATTTTTTCCTTTCCCAAAAACAATGGCACCCTGAGGGTTCATATATAACCCCTCATAGTTGAAATACTCTTGTTAAAAAAATTTAAAAATTCTTCATTGCTTATTCCTCTTTTCCACTATCTTCAAGTAGTGGGCCTATTATACTTAAAACAAGAATAATTTAAACTTTTTTCATTTTTTAGTAGTGAAGGGAGGTGAGGGATTCACTGAATTCTCCAAAATCCATATAGTCTAAGCTGGTCTTGGTTTTTTGTATTACTCTCCCTTCTTCCACACTTGGAATTGAACTTGTGTTGTGGGTCTGAATCTCCTCTGAAAATTAGAGTGTTGATATTCAGCCCCACAACATGTCTCCTTGTAACTAGAGTGTATTGTGGGTCTACATGATCCAAAATTTTGAGTCCCATTGAAACGGGATTCAGCGATGTAATGTTGTGCAACATTGCAAGTTTAGACACATGTTCCAGGGGCAACCAGAGTGTGGTTGTGAGTTTCAGTAGTGAATTTCTAAATTTTGTGTTTTCTTTAAGCACGTTCAGCGTAACCATTTGCAAAAGATATTTAAAATCTTTAGGTGTTGTCCTTAAGAAATTGACAAATCCCATTCCATCTCCTACCTTAATGTGTCCAAAAGATTGCAACATGTATCATTGCTGTTACTAAACAATTTTCAAACCCACTATCTTCTTTCATTTCTTTTTTTGATTAATAATAACAATGACAGAGAAACACCCATGAGACATTTTCTAGCGAACTGCCTCTGTAATGTAGACGTGACTTTTTTATTGGTGCGGGGCAGCCCCCAAATAGACGTGCAACATTGAATCGGGGCTATTCCCCACAAAGACGTACAATTCCACCCTAGTGTGGATTAAGCTTTACTTTCACTCACAATCTTACACTTTGTCTCCCTCTTTCTCTTTTCCTCTCTTTCTCTTTCTCCCCATTTTCCCTCCCTCCCAACAAATAATGTTTCATTTGTTTCCTTTAAAATTCTCACTTTTTTATTGAAACATTGAATTTTATTGAAATTTATTTTTACAGTTCGAATGTAATTCTCTCAGAATATGGAGAGAGCACTGTACTTTGTATTTGTGCATTTACAATTATTTTCTATAATTTTTTTTTTTTTTTTTCATTTAAGGCTGAAATGGGTGCAAGTAGAAAACGACATTCTGGTAACTTCAGTTCTCCTCAGCCTTTGAAAAAGCAGGCATGTTTAAACAACCCCATCTCCCAACAGGTAAGATGTTCGATGAAGAATTTTATTGTGGCATGCAAAACACTAATTAAAAAAAAGTTAAATCTATAAAACAATAATATATTTAAAATCAGAAATCAAAACACGGCAGACAAACTAAACATTCATGTTATGTTGTAATCAAAAAGAAATTTAATGTGTATTTCTATAAATAAAACACTATTATCTGCCTATCTAAATGAATTTGAAATTAAATAGTTTGAAGCTGGATCTCATAGCAGTAATACTTCTCGTGGCGTGTTCTCACGAGTCAAGTTTTGTCATCAACTTTTTTTTCTTCTTTTTTTTTTCAAGGGTATGCAGGGCTGCTGGATTTGAACGTTGAGCCTGGTAATTTTCTTTGATATGGTTCTAACCATCTTAATTTTGTTCTTCATATTCATTCTCCTGCAATGTGTAACTTGGCACATTTTCTCTTACATCTTTATTTTTATACTTCAAGCAGATTCCTACTACATCCCAAAGGTAGAAATGCTTATAATAAGTATTTAAAAAATTAACATCACACTTCTAATCTGTTTGAGGATCACTTTTTATTTATTTTTTTTTAACTACAGTGAAACTTCCTTAAAAGGACAAATTCTGATTCCCCAGTGTCTTCCCATTAGTTTCTTCATATAAAAATCTTGAATAAAACGGACATTCCCAATAATAAATGCAGAAAGCTTTTTCAATTATATTATATATTTATATATTATAGGCCATAGAAGTCGCAAAACATTTAGGGCAAACGAATTTTAAACCATGTTCAGGTTGGCTCAACAAAGGATAAGTACGATATGTTTCCACATTCACTATATTGAGATTATGATATATCAAGGGTAAAAATTAAAAATATAGAAGTTTTAATTGTCTTACTGTACTGTACATACAGTAAAAACATAACATGTAAAAAGATACTGTAAAAACATAAACAAAGAAAGTTTGACACAAGATGGGGACATGGATTTCATTTTCCAGTTCCATGGTTGTTATATCCTCCTTTAGTTAAACACAAGTTATGTTATTTTATTTTGTTATTTACCCTGTTAGGCAAGTTCAGGTACTGAAAGGGCTCTGTATTGCTGACTGCCTCGTGCAGTAGGAGGAACGAAACCTGACCTGAAGAAATGCAGCAAATGGAATCATATTGTCTGCGAGTTTCCTCAGGTCGGCATTCAACTGACCCGGAAACCTCAGACACGTAGTAACACCAGACATGGTTATCTACAGTTTACTCTAGAACTCTACTCACTGAAACAAGGTGATTAAGATCACCATAAGTGGGTGACATGAGTTTCAATGTTCTCTACCAGTTGGTGGACAGAAAGTGTTGCATTACACGGTTCTACTACAGTATCTGAAACCTTATTTTTTTTTTACCTTAAAGGTGGGGGGGGAAACAAGGGAGCAGCAATATTTTTATATATTGGAATACAAAATATCGAGATTTTACTGTGGACACCTCTGTATATTAGACAATAGTTCATACCCAAAGAGTGTCCATTATAAGGAAGTTTCATTGTATTTTTATTTTAAAAAACCAGCAGCGCAGTGTAACATAGGACTGAGAAGTTCATAAATTTCAAGTCAGGATTCAGCTCTGACTTGAACTTAATTTGACTTGAATAATAAAACCCGTCCAACATTTTTTGGTCAGCTCTGTTCTTATGATAGATTCCATTCAACTTGATTCACGAGAACATGCCTTAAGGTTTCAGATGTGGTTAAATTTATTGTAGCTTTCATTTTAATTTATAATTTTATATATCCCTTTAAAGCACATTTAACTATGGAACATACACTGAAACATACAATTTTACTTTCAGGCTCAAGGAGAACCAATCACATTTTTTATGATGTCCAAAGAAGGCGTAGGAGAATGTTTGGGGATGTCAATTGTCAAAAGATGGAATGATAATAAAATTAATTCCCTTTTCCTTCATATTATCAATAGTTATACAGTAGCAGTATTCTTAACCTCGTTGATTGTACTGAATAAAGAACAGTATGAATGTTATGTTAAAATGAGTAATCGGAAGGAGTTTTCATTGGAAAACTTCTTAAAACATCACCCAATTGGTGAATTATTGATTTTTTGTGAGCGCAGAAAGTTACTATTTGGAATTTTCATTGCAAAAAAAGAGACACATTTCACTGGAAATAATAATAAGCATTTATTCTCTTCACCTGAAAATAGAAACGATTCTATAGTGAAATGTAGCTATTACAAAAATCCTGTGAATTTGAAACAAATGATGGTTTTAAAAGCCATTAAGGTTTATTCAAATTCACGTGTTGACCCTTTATTTCCTGTTGAGTTCAAATACTTATTAAAAAGTTCTGATACGGTTAACTTTTGTAAGTTTATATTGTCCATCACGGTCGGTAACCTATGTTTCTCAATTTGTGACAATGAAGGGAAGGTTTATGGAGAATTGTTCAACAGCTATTTGCCAAGCTGGGTCCAAGGAACAGTCATTTGCTATACAGAGTTCAATTTAAAATCAGTTATACAAGAAACAATAATTTCCCTTGAAGATCATGCCGATACTCCATTTACCATTCTATTAGCTTTGGCTAATTTTGATTCTGTAAGTTGCCAGAATCAAAACAGTTTCTTCGCAGAAATACAGATCTTATTAAAAAAATATCCAAAAGTGAACCTCATCCTAACAACCGTACTGTGCCCAAAGGACACGCTTTCATTTTTATGCAGGCAAATAAGAATGTTCAATCTTCATTTAATAAATATGTCAGATAGGTTGGCTTTTTACTACTGGGACATTAGAAATATTAACTTCTATTCTTTGAACTCTAAAAAAAAATGTGAAAACCATTAGAAAATTGTGGTAACGGATAATGGTTGCTACAATATGTTTTATGTTTCATGTAATAATTATAATTCTATTTTGCACTAAATAATGTAAATTTTAATTATTAAATAGCAATTCAAATTAAATTGAAGGTTATTTTTCTTTTATTTATGCATTCCTCTTTATTTTTCCCAGAATTCTGATTCTTGCGAGATTCTTTTATTTTTAATACATATTATTTATTATGAATTTTCCTCCTATGGTCAGCAGGGTTATGAACCTCATGTTAATCATCCTGGTCTACCCATCTTCGCTGATTTTTGTTTTCAATCATTTCGGCAAAGTTGGCAAACTACATGTGAATTAACAAAAATCAGCAAGGAGATAGGTAGACTAGGGTGATAGATAACTATCAAACAATTTATTTATTATTAGTAATAAATGAATTTACATGGGCATAATTGGATATTAAGTTGACTTGAGATGCTATGAGATTCTGACTTTAAACAAGTATTTATGCATTTCTATCCTTTTACCTAATACCGTAATCATTATTTATGTTAAGACTTAAAATAATAAAATTGCAATAAAGTAATAAAAGTAGTTCACCTATTATTTATTAACCCAACTTTAAAATACAGAATTACCTTCTCTGTATCCCGCATGTTAATTGAGATTATTCCTTCCACAGATAATACAGCCACAACAGCGTCCGTATGTGGATCCGATCGTCATTATTGTCGAATAAGAGAATACTAGACAGAAAACTTGTCCCGATGTCTTATATTTTACTATTTTTATTTATTAAACTGTAAAGGGTGTGTCACCCAATTTTATTTAGTTTATATAGGTTTTTCTGTCTGATATTTGTATAAATGTACATACATATGTTATTATATTTTTATACATATAAATTTGTGCAAAAGCAACAGTTAATGTTATATAATTTAATTCATTATAATTTAATTAAATTATAGTTTGTATCACTTTAGATTGAATTTTCCTTACTAGTCAATGTGCAAATAGAAAATATATCAATCTGTATGTAAATTGGGTTGTCAATATATATTTCAGAGTTGAATTTGCAATTTTTTCTAATAAAAAAAACAGTAATGATAATGTAAGTAATATTAAGTTTACCAAGTTTTTATTGTTTTTATTTTTCTTAATCAAGCTTACATTGTAAAAATGAGATATTGAAAAAAAAATTATTGTTCCCCTTCTTCCGGCATCGCTTCTTCATCTTCTACAAAGTCCCCTTCATCTTCGGCACTCGCTTCCTGAAAGAACAAGAAGTTAAAACATTTGTTATTAATTAATTCTAGGTCTTGAATGGTTGCTTCCAGTAAAAGAATTTAGACATGATGTTGCTGGTTGACATTAGTCTCAAGTTTTAGAGAAATCTTACCGGTTGCACATTCATTTTAATTACTTTTCTTAATTTGTGGATTTTTGTTATTAAAAATTTAGTAACAATAAAACTTCCATCCTGCACTATTAATATACTTTAGCACTGAGGACGTTCTTTTCCACTTAGGTGGTACAGGGCTAGGTTGCTCCTTCATTTCCTCATACCAATTGTTGGAGGCCCTTTGATTCTTTTGCATTCAGTGTCCATTGTGTCATTCTTTTACACCAGCAACCCAGTCTATTTTCTGACCCACACATTTCTTCTGTAGTATTTCGTGGTTTCGGCTTTGCATATACTGCTCCAAACTCCCAACAATTATCTGCAATTTCTATTCTGTTTTTAAGTGTCTCGCAGCAGTTAGTGTTGGAAGTACTATAGTATCCCACAGTTTGGTCATTAGCAGAACATCAGCTTGTGATGAAAAGAAGATTTTGTTCTCAAACATCTTTTTCCAAGGTAAAATGCACCGTCGTGTTATTTCTGGCAATTGACCGTGTTACTTTACTGCTGCTTATGTTGGGCCCAAAATATATCAGTAATTCCTCTCTTTCCATTCATTAGTTTGCATTTGGAGGGTTCACTATACGTGCTACTAATGTTTCAGTCATAACATGACAGCGGATACCTCAGCTCCTCTTTACTTTGTGACAGAACCACAACATCAGCGAATGGTGGTTTAACCATACCCATCCACTTTGATACTCTTACCTGCTCAGTTTACTCGATTGAACACATCTTGTAAAATTAGTGTGAAAATTTGGAAGAACGCCTTGACTTTCTTAATTGGAATGGAATAACATCTACTGAGAATATGGATAATGATAGATAACTATAAGGATTTTTTTAACACAATTTGAATTGATTATTACTTAGTGCTGTTAATAATCAATTATGTTTTTTTTTACTTGGTATTGTTGATATTCAGAAACAAGATCATTCATGTTGGATTCTGCCTCAGTGAATTCCATTTCATCCATGCCTTCTCCGGTATACCAATGTAGGAATGCTTTACGCCTGAACATAGCTGTAAACTGTTCTGAAATCCTCTTGAAAATTTCCTGGAAAAAAATATATCTTTATTTCAATCCAATTTAAAACCAGGTCAAAGCGTACTTGGATCGCTGTTGAATTTCCTATGAATGTTGATGCCATTTTCAAACCCCTTGGGGCAATGTCGCAAACTGCGACTTTTACATTGTTTGGTATCCATTCTACAAAGTACCTGAAAAATATTTTTTTAAATACTATCACATGTTAAGTGAAGAAAACCGATGTGGTTTGTTTGTTTTGCATACCCTGAGTTTTTGTTTTGTATGTTTAACATTTGTTCATCCACTTCTTTCATTGACATATGACCCCTAAAAATAACAGCAACAGTGAGGTAGCGGCCATGTCTTGGGTCACACGCCGTCATCATGTTTTTGGCATCAAACATCTTTAAACAGCAATGTTATTTTTTTTTTAAGTTTTAATTTATATTAATTACACAGACCTGTTGGGTAAGTTCAGGTACTGTAAGGGCTCTGTATTGCTGACTGCCTCGTGCTGTAAGAGGAGCGAAACCTGGCATGAAGAAATGCAGCCTAGGGAATGGAACCATATTGACTGCGAGTTTCCTCAGGTCGGCATTCAACTGGCCCGGATACCTCAGACACGTAGTAACACCAGACATGGTTATCTACAGTTTACTTTTTAAAATTGAAAAATTATTCAATAAGTAATTCGCTACTCACCGAAACAAGATGATTAAGATCACCATAAGTGGGTGACGTGAGTTTCAGAGTTCTGAAACAAATGTCGTACAATGCTTCATTGTCAATGCAGAACGTCTCATCAGTGTTCTCTACCAGTTGGTGGACAGAAAGTGTTGCATTATACGGTTCCACCACGGTATCTGAAACCTTAAATTGTTTGTTACATTCAACACAAATCAAACAATGATTCAAATATAAAAAGTTATATCTTGAATAGCAATACTAGTTAGACTGGTCCGATCAAAATACATATTTGCAAACTTTTTTCTTTTTCTTTACCATAGTTACAAAGTTCATAGTCAAGTTTGACATGTCCAAGGTGGGTCTAAGGTAAACATTTGAACTTAACAACAAAATCAAAGAATTATTTTTATATTACACACACAACTCATCTAGTAAACCTTTGGTGAAGGGACGACGCTAAAAGAGTTGACGATTCTGTCTGGGTATTCTTCACGTATTTTTGATATAAGGAGAGTCCCCATGCCTGAGCCAGTACCACCGCCCAAGGAATGTGCCAACTGGAAACCCTGAAGGCAGTCGCATGTTTCGGCTTCTCTTCTGACGACATCCATAACTGCATCAACTAGTTCTGCACCTTCTGTATAATGCCCTTTGGCCCAGTTGTTCCCTGTGGGTTGGTACAAAGTCATTTATGCCATTTAAAAAATTTAATAAAGTATAAAAACAATACCTGCACCACTCTGACCAAATACGTAGTTATCGGGTCGGAATAGCTGGCCAAAAGGGCCCGATCTGACTGAGTCCATTGTCCCTGGTTCAAGGTCGACAAGGACTGCCCTAGGTACAAATTTTCCATCTGAAAGCAACCAAAACATTTTATGTCTTGGCATACATAAAATTAAATTATATATTTTGTTGTTGATTAAAACTGTTACCTGTTATAAAAATTGAACTGATTCATTTTTAAAAATAAACATATTAAGAAGTAATTATAGTTTAAGCAGTTCTAACATATCATTAAAGGATAAATTATCAGAATTACTTGATGCTTCGTTGTAGTAGACGTTGACTCGTTCCAATTGCTGTGGATTGTCACCATGGTAAACTCCGGCTGGGTCTATTCCGTGTTCATCTGATATTATCTCCCAGAACTGTCAATTTGTTATGAAATAATCAATTAAAAAGGCATATTATGGTTTGAAAAATAAGAATATTCTTTAAATAATTCACATTCACTCACTCATTCATACTCGATTGTGTGTGCTCTCACCAATACACAACAATACATACATGTGCACATTTTATAAAAGTGGCAGATTGCTCAACCCCATGTCATAAATTAAATAGCTATGTACCCATTTCTAACAAAGGCAAAATGCCAAAATGGGCCTCTAAGACAAAAACAGCAAGGAAAGGTAGACCAGGGTGATCATGATACATATTCAAAAAACACATTTTCACATAAAAATTTTCCCAATGGAATGTGTATATGGCATGCAATACTGTGGCATGCAAGATATTCTCAAGATTTTGAGATAGTTATTCAGATATTGTGAGATGAGGTCGGGTTTTGTGCTAGGGTGAGATTGTCCACTTGAGACCCATAAGCCAAAGGTCTATTGCCAAATGGAGAGAATGATAGATACAGCAGTTTTAGTTGTAAGTATTGAGCACCTGCCATCTAAAAAGTGCAAGTACTTGCATTGTTGTTGTCTCCATTGAGGCTGTGTCTCATCTGCAAGTTGGGCTATTGTGATGTTTTCATTTGTAGGGAAGTTGCTTACGGCAGGATAAAGAAATAGCCTAGCACAACGCCTTGTGGCCTCCTGAGTAAATAAGGTTGGAATGTGAATTCCATTCATCCAATGAAGTAGTTGGTGATGAATGTGAAGTAGGTGGCAGATGGGCCTTGAGTTTGTATTATAATCCTAGAATCCACTCTATATCAAAAGCTTTTTTTTGTTGATGAAAATTCCTAGCCTTCTTTTCCTCTAGGCGTTTAGTATGGTACGGTGCATTGGTCAGTGCAGTCCTTGGTTGCAGAAGCGTTGCTTGAGGTGTAATGTAAGTTTGGTAGTAAAAGACGGTCCAACATTTTGGAGAACGAGAGTTTAAGACTTATCAGCCTGTATTTGTAAGGCTCATTATTTTTCTGTCAGGCTTATTGCTCAAAGCTCAAGTTTTGGTAATAATCTTAGAATCCACACTGTCAAAAGCCTTTTCTAGGTCAAGAAAACTTCCTAGGCATTATTTTCCTCGTAGGTGCTTAGGAAGGTATCCATTGCTAGGTGTAGCTGTTGGATGCAAGTGTTGCTTAAGGTGTAATCTTCCTATATCTTGGGTTTGTGTAATAAACCTGGGATCCACACTCGGTCAATAGATATAGAGATATAGAAAAATTACTATGCCTTCTTTTCCTTGTAGGTGCTTAGATGATATCAACTACTTTGTGAAGCAGAGGGTGGGTCATTGGGTGCAAGAGTAATGTTACCTAAACTATATGTGTTGACTGCATTTCTAAAAAGAAATTTTGGGTTGTACATCGCTGTAAAACCTAGATTCTGACTGAAAATTTTCGTTTTACAACATTGAATATGGAAATTTTCGTTCGGTTCTACTATATTTTATTAAAACACACACTATTACGACGTCCTTATGGGAAAAAAAGCTTTTGATTTTAAATATGTATTATTTTTATTATAACTATTATAATTTTGTAAAGCTAGTCGGTAAACCGGCACAGAAACGACTCCAGCCTACGCCATCTTTCTTTCGCGAGACCATAAGCAAACAAAAAGCAGACATACAGACAAGGGAGAGGATTAGCTAGAAAAGCTGAGAAATAAACAACAAAACTTTCACATATTGTGAAAAACTTTACCCCCGGTTATGATTATAATAAAGGAAAACACCGTTTATAAACATTTTAAATTTAAAAAAAAGTTATTATCGATTGTCTTTACAATGATAAATTAACATTTGATGAATTTGCGTTAATTGTGAGCATTGTTCACAAATTTATATATGTAAATTACTTCGCACTTGATATATTTTTTTTATATATTGTTCACGTTGTGTACTGAAGCACATTTGGCCCAAGTTTTCCGCCTACCTTCGATCCGATTTGATTCCCGCATTGTCCAGCTTGTAAATGCACGATTTCCCTCATCGCAGACGTATCCGGACGTTGACACAGTGGGGAAAACGATTAGAACTGAAATGAACTCGTAGTTACTTAAAATAAACTTTGGGACTTGGCACCGAAGAGGTCTAAACTTGGAATGCGTATCCACACTGATCCGGGGGGGAAAGAATTATATGAGGAAAAAATAAATAAAATAAATACCAACGAGGTGAAATGCCCTATCCTTACTGAGGATGTGGTACAATTGGGTGATTACACTTTGATTAAAGGGCGTTGTGTACATAAATAATAATTTCTGACCTCTTACAATACAAATAAATACTTTATTCATAAGCTGCAAATTTAACGATTTTCATAAAGTTAAAAAATGAGCTATTAAATAAAAACTAAAAGTCCATTACATCAAATATTTTTAAATACTCTCCACATACCTCAAACCCAAGTTCAAATAAAAATAAACAAATGCAAAATTTTTACATTAAAATAAAAGAAATATCCTCTAACTGTCCTATTAAACTGAGAATTCATTTGTTTTTATTAGTTTTTCATCATAAAACACAATACTATTTTAATGTGTGGTGATTAGTGACCGTTAATCGATAATTATTCAGAAATCGTGAGATGCGATCTGACCGCATCTCACGATTTCTGAATAATAATATTTTAATTAGATAAGATACTTCACTTCAGATAACACACTTAAAACAAAATAAATAAAAATATATATTTTGAGCAGTTTAAACTTTTTTCTTTTTTTATTGCCAGTATTTATTGTATGTATGCGGAAATAATTAAATAAACAAATATGATTGAATATATTAACAAAAAATTTTTTTGCATTGTATAAATTCACTTTTTTCCACATCATACATGTATTTGTTAAATTTAAACAACGTTTGTAAATCCCAGGCTCTGAAGATGATCTCAATAAAGATCGAAACGTTCGAACGATAATGGAATATTTAGGACAATGAAGTTTAACCAAGGTTTTTTTTATTGTTGCTTCTGATGGAGTCGTCTAGCATTTCTTTAGACATTTTCCTGCGATCGTATACTTTATTATGAACAAGACAAAGCACAAAACGACTAAAATACGTATTTAATTTAAAAAACATTTAATTCATTAAAAGCTCTCAGATTGACAAGGGCTTATTGCATTCAAATCACTCATATCCAAGAAAAATCAATAATCAGAATTGTCTATAAGATTTTTTTATTGTACAAAGTCATTTTATTTTTAAACGTGTAAATATTACGCTTAAAAAGTTATATTTTTTCAAAAAAGCGCGGAAAAATAAAGTAACAAAACGGCTTGCTTTCAAAAATTGTTTTCAAAAGTTATTTAATAATTTTATTAATAATTTAATTCCTATTTGAAAAAGCTAAAATATTTTCATAAAAAATAATGAAACAACTGGTTAATATATCATGTTCATATTAAGTTTAAAATTTTTGGTTTTTCTTTCTATAAATTTCATTTCTAGACTTAGAAATAGTTGATTTATTCTGTAAAGTTGTTGTTGTTTTGGTCGGCCGTGTTAGATTCCATTTTTACTGATTGTTAGTCGAGGAAGAAAAGAGATTTTTTCTAAATATATTTTCCATTATATTATTTGCGTTTCGGCTCTCTTGTAGCCATCTTCAGAAGTTATATTATTGTTTTTTTTGTTTTTTTTTTTTTTTTTTGATGATTATTTTTTCTTATTATTATTTATTTATTATTATTTATTTTTTTATGATTTTTATTTTTTTAAATTTTATGACATTAATTCAATTGAATTCAAATTAATATTTGATTCCTCGCATCATTACACCTTTCTAATAAATAAATGAAAAAAGGCTGTACATGATAATATGTTCCTGAAGATGTCTCCAAGAGGGCAGAAAAATTTCGTAATTGAAAAAGCTGTCAAATTTTCTTCGTAATTCATTGTATTTGTTAAAATAAATACAAATGTTTAACAGGCTAAATTTGACATAAAAAGTGACGAAAAGCAAATTAGAAACCAAATAACCGTCTAATAAAACAGTTAAAAAGCTCCGATTTGAAAATTTATATACAGAATTTTAGGTCTATTTCTAAGCATTATTGAGTATATGATTTCGTTTTTATATAAGATCGTCCGAATATGATTATAATTATTTAAAAATTTAACGGTCCAACCAACTTTTCAAGCTTTAAAATGCAGCCATATTATTAATTTGCGCCTTTTAATTTTCATTGTATGAATTGTTTAATATTTTTCAAAATGTGTGGTGCTTAGTGACCGTTAATCGATATTTATTTAGAAATCGTGAGATCTTTATTGAGATCATCGGCACTCTCGACACGACACGCAAGAATGGCACAATTACACAGAAGACAAACACTTTGAGCACTGAAGATGATCTCAATAAAGATCGATACGTTGGCACGATAAAGAAAATGTTTTTTAAAAAAGCAGCTAAAACTAAAACACAAGATTTGATGTCAATTTGAAACAAATATAATTTTTTTGTTACTTTTAGAGCAGGCGAACCTGATCGTCGCCTGCTCTCTTTCTTTGCTTTTCTTACCAAGTATTTCACGCTTTTTAATCCTAATAATTTTCCTGTTTCCCTAACCAGTGATCAATTCAATTAGAACGGTAACCAACTCTCTTTTCTTCTTTACCCTCTCTCCACCTCGTCAATTGTAGAAGACACAAATACACATAAAAGCAGAAATAAAATAAAAAATGATCGTCTGGTTAGGCTTCACACTATCTCAGAATTCTCGATATCCCTCGAGGTAATTGGGGATATGCTTTTTCATTCACGCTAATAAATTCCAGTCGCACCACAATTCATTCACACTACCTCTGAGTACTCGATAGCCTCGTGGTAATTGAGGGTTAAGCTCTTATATAAAGCTAATAAATTAAATTCGCACCACGATTCATTCACAGTACGCCAGTACTCTATATCCTCGTGGTAACAGGAGATAAGACCCACCATTCGAGGTAATAACTTACAGTCATACTACCCTCAGTACTCGATAACCCCTCTCTCTCTCTCTCTCTCTCTCTCTCTCTCTCTCTCTCTCTCTCTCTCTCTCTTCTTTTTCTCTCTCACACACTCTCCTATTGACTATTTTTCATTCACTCTCTCTCACACTCACTCATCTCTCACTTTCCCCTTTTTCTCTCTTACACTTTATCTCGCTCACTCTTTCCCTTCTTTTTCTCTCTCACACACTCTCCTGTTGACTATTTTTTACTCACTCTCTCTCATACTCACTCATCTTCTCTCACTCTCCCCTTGTTCTCTCTCACACTTTATCTCGTTCACTCTTTCCCTGTCCCTCAGTATCTCTATCTTTTTTCTTTTTCTCTTTCACTCACACTCCCTTTAATTTGTATTTAAGAAGCTTGAATCTTGTTAAAAAATTATTTACCAGGTTGAAATGTTTTATTTTTTAAAAATACTTGTTTATTGTATACAAGTTACTTCTAGATGTAAGACCAGAAATGGTCGCAGAAATCACAAAATCTGATCATATTAGGAGATATTAATACCTGTTTGATAAAATAACTTCAAAAAATTGGATTTGAAATAGAAATTTCAAAATTTAACCCATAAATAATATTAAAAAAAGGGTTTAATTTTTTCATTAGATCGTTCTCATTCTTGTCAATATTTTATGTCTTTTCTAGGTTTTCCTAATTTAAAAGTGATTTATCAAGCAAAAATGTTTGTTTTGGTGGAAATAATTTTTTAAAAATATTTGCTCTTGAAAGATGAGCCCATTATGTCGGACGGATAGGTTGCAGCACTAGGTCAGACCTAATGTTCATGCTTTACTCTATGACTTGGATTGGGACGCTCTGTGATATAGACTGTTATAGATATGTGTGTCAATTAACGTGAAAAAGAAAACAGATGCGGGCTTGAGTTTTCTTCAACTTGTGTTTTCGTTTTAAACGGATAATATTTAATGTTGACGTCCCATTGAGAGATATGTTGAACCAGACCAACCAAGCGGCCCTAGACGCCATCTACTCGGCTACCTATGTTGAAAATTACATCGACTGCGTCGAAAATCTCCCAGACGATATACAGAGATATTTGACCAGGATGCACGAACTCGACGTCAACTACAGAGGTATTTTTTAAAAATAATTTTACAACAATTTTGTATAAGAATTATTTAGGGTTGTACAAAAATACTGGACAATAATGGAAGCCTTTATTGTTTATGGCTTGTATATTTCATGACAGGCTTAATCCAATAGTGGTATAAACAAGAAGATGGTTTTCTCTTAGTGTCTGTTGAAATTTAGCAGATATGAATACAATTCTACCAACCTATTAATTTTTTTTCTGTAGAAAAATAACTATTGGATACTTAAGCTTAACAAAACTGTCTTTATATTGACAGTATGTCACCATATCACTGCTCATAAACTTGGCTTCATACCAAAAAATTGGGGATGAGTAAATCTCAACATTTGTAAAATCAGTGATACATTCACCAAAAGGCCCATCCAGGAAAAACAACAAATTGCCTCCAATTGTTAGCCATCTTTTTTTTAACCCTTTCACTCTCTTTCTTAGTCAGAATTTCTCATATTTTACAGGATTCCTTAAAGACCTTGATGTTTTCAAAGAGTCGTTAGAACGAGATGACCTGGAGATCGGAGCCCAAAGAAAGACCCTCTACAAGATGGAACAGGTTCTGATATCTCTGCAGGAGGTTGGAGATGAAAAGGTTGAGATTGTTCAGCACATCAATGACTTAATCGATAACAAGTACAGACAACTTGATCAGGATCTTAGAAATCTTGGTACTATTATACTCATACTTTTAATTTTGCCATAAACGAACTTGTATTTATTTATTCTTTTAAATAGATTTTTATAAGGAAGCTGAGTCATCGGAACAGCCAAAAGAGACGTCAAGGGATACTGTTCAGAATACAGGTAGTGGTAGCGGGACTGGGAGTAATAACACTAACAATAACAATAATGGTAATTCGGCTGAAAAGAGCAATGGAACCCATGGCGGAAATGAAAGAACTAGTAAAAGATCAAGGAGATCGAGGACGGAACCGGAAAATACAGAACCTGTTGAGACAAGAATGACAACCACAAAAAATGCGACCAGTGGAAACACGAATGCCAACAGTGGGAACAAAACTACAGCAACCAATTCAAAAAAGAAGAAGAGGAAATGCAGACAACGAGAAGAGAGTCCGCCGAAGGAAGAAGAGGTCGTGCACGAGATTGACGAACCGACATACTGTCTTTGTGATCAGATCTCTTATGGAGAGATGATCATGTGTGACAATGACCTATGTCCCATTGAATGGTTCCATTTTGTCTGTGTCTCTCTTGTGACCAAACCCAAAGGCAAATGGTTTTGCCCGCGCTGTCGCGGTGATCGCCCTAATGTCATGAAACCCAAGTCACAGTTCCTCAAAGAACTCGAGAGATACAATAAGGAAAAGGAAGAAAAGGCATAACCTCGAGTTAATGCGCTATTTGTACATAATTGATGCATTTTCCTTTGTAAAGTATGCTCCCCCTGTTAAAGATCTCTCTTACTTAATATAAGTTTTAAAACTATATTACTACTGATGGGGAACAATTGAGTTTTTGTTCTAATTCTGTAAAGTGTATATTTAAAACAAAATATTTTTTTCTATTAAAGAGTTTCTGTATTTAATTTAAATAAAACTTTTCAAAAACTTGTTTTATTACTTTATTTATTATTTATTACACCTACCAAGCTCAAACTGCCACTAGTGGTGTTAAATAACACAATTGGTATTTATTTGTTAAACAATAGTACTTCTTGTTAATATATTATCTTGATGAATGATTGATATAATATCTTAAGTTTTTATTCATTTAACCACACAACTATGAGGTATGCCATTTTTACCATTTATGCTTTGCATGCCAATTACATTATTTATTTTACTTAAATTTTTTAAACAAATGAAGGTTTTTAATATGATTAAATAAAAAAACATGAATGGAAATATGAAGACATTGTAGAAAGAAACAATTTTCACATAATTTTTTAACCCATTCAGCATGGTTAGTCACCATCTACTCTTTTCACTTTTAGATTCAAGTTCCTAGAAGCAGTGTATTGTTTCAGTCGTGATTTTTAGTGTTAGTGAGTCAACCCATTCAGGAAAGTCAGCATATTATGCTCTTCATTCCCCAAGTGAGGTACTGAGGGTGTGATATCACGTTCATCCCTACTTATAGTATATGTCTATCTCACTTTTATTTCCAAAATATCACACTTTATGATATCCTCGGGATGGGGTTAAAACAACCCCTTCCATTCACACTAATAAATTATATTCGTTCTAATTCCTTTGTATAATACCTAATACAGACAGAAGTCTGGTCACATTGATACTCCTCAGTGGAGGGTCAAACCTACTCTATTCTCAAAAAGAACTTACTTTTGCTCCCCAGGCATCACACCTCACCCCAGAACATCTATACTCCTCAGGACGGGGTTAAATAAGGGCTTTCTTTTACTCTAGATCTTAATTTAATTTTTAATATCATTTGATTTTATATTATGAAATAATACAAACTGGCTGGGTGGGTAGAAATAACATTTTTGAATGTATGCTGATTTTTTGAATGGCATAATGCCTTTTATAACTTTTATTTCAACACTATTTTTATTCAGGATGTTTGCAACATCAAAATGAAATTTCCTTTAAAAATACTGCATTATTACTAAGTAACAATGAATATGAAGTACAGAAATTGGTTGATTTTAAAAACAGCATACACTGAAATTTTTTTATTTTAACATTTTTTAATCACTATAACTTATTAATTTATCAGTTTACTTACAAAAATTTACACAATATCTTGTATAACGTTTTATTTAATGAATGTTAATCATTGGTCTTTTCTGTAGTTCAAAACTCCATGGAGGAATCTATAACAAGTAAGTAAAACTGATTAATTGCAAGTACATTATCAAGAAACAAGGACTTACCATTATTACGTTTGTTTTTCCATGTGGATTCGAGGTTCCTGAGGAATTCTTCAAAGACCTGCATTCCTTTATACATACTTGTCTTTTTGTAGTCTTTGACTTTCCTTTTGGTCCTATCTTCATTTTCACCGATCGATGCCTCTTTTGCGTCGAACTCTTGAATTTCATCAACTAAGGTACTTATGGTCGGAACGCTGTCTGGATTGAAAGAAAAGGCGTTGGCTGGATTGAATGGTATGCATACTTTCCCCGTCTTTGGGTGAATGCAGAATGGACTTTTGAGCAAATGGTTGGATCCCTTTGTGACGTTGATGTCCAGTCTTGGGTAAGCATATTGCAACATGATTTCGTCTATGAGATACTTACTTCTCCTTTTGATCTGGCCCTATTTTGAACAATGACAATCAAATGAACACAATAAGTGAATTAATATAAATTTACCTTCAAGAGCAGATCTTCGAATATGGCAACAAAAGCGTTCCACCTTTCTACAGAATTTGTAAGTTTTTCCCACTTGGGCTCTACTGCTGCACGCAAATTTTCATCCATCAAGCCTAACATTTTGTTCATTCCAGAACTGGTCCCTAACAGATCTTGGCCTTCGATGCAGACATTCATGAAATGCTGTTTGATTATTTTCAAAGCACGCCTTTAAAACAGACAAGTTTGATTTATCACAATCAATATCCCATGATAATTATGAAATGGTCAAGTTATTAACAACATAGTTTTATTTAATGAAATTTTTATGAAACTTAATGAGAATTTGAGTTAAATTTGAAAAAAACTTTACAAATATTCAAGATTTTACTCAAAACATCGTACAATAAAAGTTGTAGTTTATTACAGAAATTTCCACTCTAATTTTAATGAATTAGAGAACTTTTAAGCATTACGCAAATTATTTTATTATACAAAAAAAAAAATCTTACTTGACTGAAGGGTGAACTATTTCAGGAGGAATGTGAGCAACTTTACCAGTGTGATCTTCTCTTGACAAAAGTTGAAGATACTCTGCGATATCAGATCTTACTTTTGAGTCAAGCTTTCTGGCAGTGTCATCGCAGACCCAGCAATGGACACCTCTTCGGCCGGAGAAAACCCAGAGAATGTGTTTAAACCCAAAATCATCTATTAAGAAAATTTCATATAATTAACAAAGAACAAAAAAAAAAAACTATTGTCTACCTCTAAGTGAAGTGTCTAATATTTTAGTTGCTATAGACATAAGCTTCCAACACTTTGAACAAACATCAGCATATTTGCAGCACGTTCGCACACTGTCATAGTCAGTGATGTCAATGTCAAAAACAAGTTCCTTCTCTTCCACCTCAAATGTGCTCGTCATTCTTTTGAGACGGGGTCTTAAAACAAAAGAAAAAATCAAAATGTCTAATTGAAAAAACAGTTTAATCCGATGATGAATGACATTACTTTATATTATAGATTCCACCGATATCAATTTTTTCCGGACACTTCCTCTGCAATTCATGTTCAAAATCTTCTAACTTGTCAAAACTTTGGTACCTGATGTAGATATCTCCAGGTAGAGTGAAAGACATTTCTCTGTTAGCGAAAGCATTAGGATTAACTATAAAACAATGCAATTATTAATCAATTTCCCTTCTTTTTTTGTAGTTAGCATTGTTTATGACTGTAATAAAACTTGATTATACAAGTTGCTGAAATTTAATTCAATTCATTTTAACTTTTGTTAGTTGATTTTAACAATGGAGTCATATCAGCCTCATGCACTGTGAGGGCCGATGGGGTACTCAATATTAATGCCATAGGTCCTCTTACTAATAAAAACTGTGCAGCGAATTATATGCAATAAATAATTAATAGATACAATATTTATAGATTAAATATGGAGAAACACCGCCATTTCCCTTAAAAGTCAAAACAGGAGACCCTGCAACCTACTCTCATCATCAAAGACTGTTTTTATATTGACTGCCATGCGTACTCTCTCCCTATAAGGGGACAAGGCCCTCAAATGTGTGAGCACAATCTCTTCCTTTTCAATTCTTAGGGAGCCATTGTTCAATCGTGCTGTTGTTCTTGGACCATCCAGCGCACTGACACTGCCAACGCTGTAATATTGCATTCTTGACTACTTTAGCTTCAGTAGACCGGACTGTAGTGGTTTGAGCTGAGGGCTAGGCGTCCCAGCTTTTGCTGCCTCGTTGGTATGTTAATTGTCCTTCAGCCAGGCATGTCCATGTACCAAAACAACTGACATCGTTTTTCCTGATGATCCAGCACAGCAATAGCATACCTCTCTAGCAAGAGCACGACGAGAGGGTCCCCTAAGAATCAGCCACAGTAGCCGAAACTGCGCTCAAGGAGTCCATATAGACAAGTAGGCAGAGCCTCCTTCATCTTGAATCAACAAGCCAGATTGCATACAACTCCACCATGTACTTGGTATGCGTAAGCTAGTTCTAGACGCATAAAGATGTGGCAAAAACTGGCAAGCCCTGACCAGTTCTAGGAACACATGTTGGTTGAGATACTGTCTAGTACCACATGATCCTCCTAGACAAATACATCCTGGAGGATCCAGGTAGTTCATTATTATTATTATATTTATTTATTTATTTTTTTTAAGAAGGTTCACAACAGCAGAGGTCATATAAACCCTCAAGGTGCCGGTGTTTTGCAGCAGCCCTGCATTTGAACCCAGGACCTTTACCTTACAGTGATGAGCACTGTGTCAACACCTGAACCGTTGCGGCCACCGATGCCCCCCCCCCATTATTATTAATTGATATCAACATTCACAAAGGACAGAATATGAAAATCTGAATTTTTTTTTAACCAAAAAACCATAGATGAAAAGAATAATTAATGTGTTCAATGAGACCATTAAACAAATATGAATTAATTTAATAATTATAATTTATTTTACAATGCAATAGTAACAACGCATAATGAATCACATATTTAAATTAATACCTCTTACGACCTCCAAATAATCATAAATTAATACCAATGAACTTTCATACCCTTTGATCAATCCAATGCATCTCCCCGATAATTTTTATCCAAAAAACAACCTTTCGTGCCATAAAACAAGTTGAAAGTAATGTAAGTGGCACAGGCAATAATTTTATCCAGTAACACAAGCACTTAAGATACAATTAAATTTTGAAAATACAGTTTTTTTATTAGTATTTTTTTCCAAAAATGTTTCAAGTTATATAAATACATTGATATTTTAAATTGATATTTTTAATCTTTCTGGACCAATTTACGTCGATTTTATCATGTTTTCAATAGGATACGTACCTAAGGATAAAATAGTTAAAAACAAAAAAAGTCTAAAAATTTGGCGATACAGCATTTCTTTTTAGCAGGGTTGAATAGCCAACACATTTAAAGCCGTTTTAACAAGAATTAATTGACAGTCACTCAGAAAAGTTAATATTTTAATGGACTTTCTCCAGATATCTCCATACTATCTGTGGGATGATGTACCCGTAATATGGTCTGTCAAATATGTTCCAGCATTCGCCGTCTTTAATAACAAGTCTTCTGCCAATATTGAAGATGGTGAAATGCTGACATGTATAGATACATGACAGATCAAAATGATGAGTAACGACTAAATTGTCGTTTTATTATATTATATAAAAATATTTCCCACTACTTAAATCTTGTGCCAAGAGGAAATGTATTCTTAAATATAAATACTACAATTATTTTTTTTTCTGAATTATGAGTTCCACTTAGTAAATATTTAATTGTGGTACAGGTTTTGTATACTTCAACTTATTCACACAACAATAAATTTATTTGTAATTATGGATAAATTTATTGCAAACAATGAATATCAACTGAAAGAAAGAAAAAATTACGTTTATTGCAATTAATATATGATGTAAAAAATATAACAGAAACAGAATTTAGAGAAAAGAGGATTTTTTACAGTATAAAAGACACTATAAAAAAAATCATAATAAACAATTAATATAAATGAGAAATATACCTAATCCATAAGACAACCACCTATAATAAGGGCCATAAGGAAATAGGCGTTTGTAAAATACAGAGAGCAGCTCGGGAAGTTGGTCGGAAGAGAACGTGCTCATGCTTACAGAACGATGAAAACAAAAAATAAGTTATAAAACTCAACGACAAAACATAACAAAGAACTCCAAACAGAGGGGAACGAAAAATGACAAAAGCCAAAAGTGCAAAGGCGGGAAAAAATGACACGAGGTATCAGTGATAACCTTGACGTCATTGATGCTAAGTTACTTAATAAAATATCTGAAAATGTTGTTTTTTTAAACCTAGAATTAAACTAAATATCCAATATTTAATTGTTGTTACAGTATTCTTTTTTAAATAATACGAATAAACTATTTATAAGACAAATATATTTTGATTGTAGAAATTGTGATTATCACATAATAAACAATAAATTTAGTCAAATTAATTGGAATTATCTGTTTTCTTCAATTGGTGGTCAATTTTCTACTAGTATTTTCTTTAATGTTCTATATGACACTATTTTTAATTATGTACCTTTTAAACATTTATAAAATGCATAAGCCTTCGTACCATCAGACAAGTTCAAATATTTTTTCTTCTTCCTGGCAACATTTGCACACTGTACAGACTTTTTCTACTGATCTGGGTCTTCACATTTCTCTGGATTATGCCGTGCCCAATTATCAAACCTCAATCATTCCAGTCCTGTTCTAGGTTTAGCAGTTCTGCTGTTAAGAATCTATCATGGTCACATTTTAGTTAATTTTTTGCATCCTTCTGTCCTGGAATAAATTTCAATTTAACCTAAGAACTAACAAGGAAATAAAGCTCCGTCTCATAGATAGTACTTGATTTTTCCACAATAGCATCGTCACCAAAAGCATGTATCTGTTCCACTCTCGTTCAATGCGAATAATTACTTTATTTTCCAATAGCACAATAAATAAATAAAAAAGTACCTTGTTTACAGATAATGGGAGTCGTCCTCTTTATGACCTACTCCAATGTAAGAAATATTGGTTTATTGTGTAATTTTAGCTCTTCGTTAAGCTTAAGGCTTTTTACCTGATCCCAAAGCTTTAAGATTCTTGTGTATCCTTCAGGTGTGTCTTATCCTCTTCCAGTAGAATATCAACCTACATAGGCTACGCGCATTCAGATATGTTCTGCTTATTCTTCTTCAGCAGTATTACTATCATTCTTATCCTAGGTTTAACAGTTCTGCCGATAAATTTATTGTAGTTTTTTGTTGTAGCACATTAGTCTTAATCCAGGTCAGATGGTTTTGTTTTTGCAATTTGATATCCTACAAAAGGGTTCAGAGCCAATAAGAGTTCTCATAGAACTTTCCTTTGCCAATTTATCGATCTCTTCTTGCCCTCTTTCCTCAGCAAGGGCGATTTTGTAATTTTTGCCCATTTATTTCTGCCCCAGTTTTAATTCCCATGGCTCTAGACTTTACTACCGAGATGCTTAGTTGCTTTAGTGATAACTGGCTGTCCGAATAGACATATTATATCCTATAATTAATTAAGGTTTTTAGTTGAGATCCCGCTCGTGCCATTAACTTTTTTTCATCTCAACTAAAAACCTTAATTAATTGTAATGATTAATTGGTCAAGCGGACCACGAAATTAGTGAATTTAAAGAATTAATATGAAATACACTTCAGTAAAGCTCTCCGTGGCCATTTCAATTGTCGAGAATCCAAACCGATTACACGACATTTGAAAAATGGCAAAAAGGAGGGAAAACTCAGGTGTATCTAGCCGAAGATTGTGGGTTCGAATCCCGCTCGTGCCATTAACTTTTTTTCATCTCAACTAAAAATCTTAATTAATTGTAATGATTTAATTGGTCAAGCGGACCACGAAATTAGGGAATTATATCCTATACTCAAGTCTAACACCAAGGATATACACAGGTCTGTCCTCGGGTCCATTTTCTAACATCTAAACCCAATTTGTTACAAGATGTAAAAAAATAAATAAATAAATAAAACGAGTCACAATTTACAGGTTTAATATTTGAAAATGTACATTGTTTGAAAACCTATATCAGATGATACAAGTTTACTATTTTCACATCTTTCTACATGATGAATAAAAATTGTAAGCGGAATATAACAAAGGTGTTCTATGTGTAAAGCACATTATACTTCTTTTCGGTAACTACGCATGCTACTGATCAGATAGAGAGGAACAGCGAAAAAGCCCACGCCCATGACAGCCATATAAGCAACTTTGACCTAAAAAAAAAAAAAAAAATCAAATGAAATATTTAAATTAGATTATTATTTACTTATTTGCTTTATATATTTTTTTAACTATGTACAAAGGTAAAGGCATGCCATTGGTTATGGAAATCGTTGTGGGTGAAATATTTAAATTATTATAGATGCTTTATAAACAAAGCATGGAAATTTTTAAGACTATTTTGGGCTGGAATTGGAATTGTTTTTAAAATTAAAAAAAAATGTCTGGCTGACATTTTGTTGTCAGTGCTGATAAAGCTTAATATTATTGGAGTTATGAAGAGAGAAGTTGAGTTCCAATCTCACAGCTAACATTCAATACTGGAAGTACTTACAGGCAATGGAATTCGGACCTGAGGACGGCCAGATACGACGGTCCTCACTTGGTTCATTCCGCATCCTTGCCTCGTCAAAGTTAAAACTTTGGTGGCGACGTTCATTTTTGTGTAACGTGTAATGTGAAGTCTAAAATTGAAAACGAAACTATTAAAATTCAAGTGAGTGAACGATAAAAAATAAAGATCAGTTAGTACCTGAGGCCTGAGGGAAACCTTCTGTGAGAAAAATCCATATGCCTTCATGATGAAAGGCGTAGAACAGATAATTTTTTTCATCCTTGGTATATTTGGTGTGTAAAGTTACATTGTTTTAACAGTTGTTGTCAATAATATACTATGTTTTTATGATTACACAAATGTTATACATGGTTAAAAATTTGAAATATTCGATGTAAGTTGATCTTCGATAGAGTCGATTTGTCAACTAAGAAACCGTTGCGTTCAACCTGTATAAGCGCGTTACGACTGAGTACTGAGCATTGGCATTTTGGTGTTAAGTTCTGCAAGACGTAGACTGTAATACTTCCAAACAATTTACTTGTTCATCCGTTAAAAGCTATTCGAGACACAATATCACAACGACTATTTATATTTAATAACTGAGGAATGGCACAATTCAACTTTATAAATGAACTTAATAGTGCTTTGAGGATGGATGATCCTATTACTAAAGGCCCTCTACCCAGATGGCAAAGGAAAGTTCTGGAAGGAAGTTCAAGGTATTTTTTATTTTTCCTTAAAATCTTTACTTTTTGTATACTTACAAAATTGGTTTAATTTGTTTTGTGTTATTTTGCAGCAACAACAGCACAATCAATTCAAGTATGAACAAGTCTAAGAGCAAAACTCCAAACAAATTGGACATGAAGAAGACCCCTTCAAAAACTCCTAAACCTTCTCCTGGTATGTAAGATTGGTCATTAGTGACAAGCTAAATCGTTATTACTGACAATAATAACTATTGCCTATTGTTACAAATATTGGGTTGTCCGGAATATAATGCTGGTATTCTTGTTTTCTTTCAAGTACCTCAATTGATAGATTGTTATTTTGTATGAGTGTCAACACTTTTTAATCCTCTTCCAACCAAGTGTTTACCTTAGTAGCATTTTGTTATTTTGGAATATGTAAAGATCTCTTTACTAAGATGTCTATGCTTGATTTTCGTGTTATTTCATTTTACAAGTTTAAACTCAGTCGGACAGTGCCCAAATGGCTAGAAACGTTAGTGAAGTCTGTGGCGATGGCAGTGTAGGTGAGAGCACATGTGTGTTCAGGGATGGTTTAAATAATTTTAAAAGGGAGGCTTTAGCCATGGAGACAAAGAATGTCAAGGAAGGATTTAACCCTAGATGATGTTCTGTGAGCTTTAGTTGAAGAAAATCTTTCAGTCAATTGGAAAAATGAAAAAGCTTGAAAGTTCGGTTCCTCATGCATTAAACGAGTGGCAGAAAAAAAAATTGTTATGAAGTTTATGCAACACTTCTTTGCCTAGACAGAAACGAACCTTTTCTGGATAATAGTGTTACCTGTGTTGAAAAGTGGATTCTCTCCAATAACAGCAGACATTCTGGATAGTGGTTTGACAAAGGTGAAGCATCACCAAATTTTCCAAAGCACCCAATTAATCAAACAAAGGTGATGGTGTCTCTGATTAGCTTCATTTGGGCTGATTTACTATGGCTTGTTTGAATCCTGGTGAAACAATGCCGAAATGTATTGATCTCAAATTGAAATGCACCAGAAATTGGTATTGAAGCTTTGGCCAATTGGAAAAGGCTGATTCTGTTACACGACAATGCTCAGCCCATGTGACAACCCAAAAACTGTTTGATCTTGGTTATGAGGTTCTGCCTCACCTCCCTATTCTCCAGACCTCTCACCTGCCGAGTACCATTTTTTAAATCACCTGGGCAACATTTTACAACATAAAAAATTTATTGATCAGTAATCATAAGAATTTTACTGAATTTGTTAATAATGACTGAAAATTCTATTCAAAGGGTACGGAAAAGTTGCCATCATGTTGGGAAAAAAGTATTCAGAGTGATGGAGGGTATTTTAATTAATGAAAAATGTTTCAAAAATCAACTTTGGCATCTCATCTTTAGTGTAATTCACAGATTTTGGGTCACAGATGATAGATTTTTGAAAAACTAAAGTTTGTATAACAAGGAAGTAATAATATTCATGGCTATTTGTAAATTTCCAAATCAAACTATATCTTTAGTGTAGTACTTCCAATTTTATGGAACTCCATTATGAATTTGTAGTAAAGTACTGTGATTCCTTAATTAACTTGCATACACGCATAAAAAGAAATAAAAACAATAATATATTCTCAATTAGAATAACTTATGTTCTTTGTTGTAAGGGTTTGGATGAAATTTTGTTTTAATAAGATTTATTTTATTTTAGCTAGAGGGAAATCCCCCTGTGGTGGAGATAGATTTATTCCTAACCGGTCTGCAACTGATTTTAACATGGGTCATTTTAAAGTAATTCACTTTTACTCATTTATATCAAACAAGTATTGCCATTAACATAAAATCTTTTTATAGTTGACATTGGATGACAATGATGAAGCTGAGAACGAGCTGAAATCACCAAATAAACTTGAACAGGAGCGAATAATGAAAGAGAATTTGCATGGAGGCCACGATCCTTCCAAAACCCGCATACTCGCTTTCCAAAAGAAAGCACCGCTCCCTGCTGATGGCCACCAAAATCACTTAAAAGTTGTTTATTCTCAGTCAAAAACACCTTCATCCAAATCAACATCACGCTACATACCTCAAGCTCCAGACCGTATTCTAGATGCTCCAGAGATAGTAGATGATTATTGTAAGAGTTATTTCATTATGTTACATTCACAAAGTGTGTTAGTAATAGAACTTTTACAAATGTTAATAGATGTTTTTAAATTACAGATTTAAATTTAATTGATTGGAGCCAGAGAAACAATATTTTGGCTGTAGCCTTGTCAAATAGTGTCTATCTTTGGAATGCAGCGACTGGTACGATCAACCATCTTGTAGAACTCGAAGGCTCTGATTATGTCTGTTCTCTGAGTTGGGTCAAGGAATCCGATATGCTGGCCATTGGCACAAGCCTCGGCGACATCCAGGTGTGGGACGCAGCACAGAGTAAACGACTGAGAGTGATGGATGGCCACAGTGCTCGTGTAGCTTCTCTTTCATGGAATTCCTACATACTGAGCAGTGGATGCCGCTCCGGCATCATTGTTCATCATGACGTGCGGCAGAGAAACCACAATGTGGCACAGATAAATGCTCACTCTCAAGAGGTAATATATATTTGCAAAATCATTCATACTAAGAAATTTGTTAATTTTGTGAATATAATAGCTTATTTTTTTTTTTTTTTTTTTTTTTTTTTAATGTTTAGGTCTGTGGACTTAAGTGGTCTCCTGATGGTAAATACCTTGCAAGTGGAGGTAATGATAACGTTCTCAATATTTGGCAGTCTGTCCAGGATGACTTTTATTCTCAAGCAAACCCTCTTCATTCCTTCCGGTAGATACATATTTGTTTTTAATATATCACAGTTGATATATATTTTTCCCATTTTTAGGCTTCATCAAGCTGCTGTAAAGGCATTAGCTTGGTGCCCCTGGCAAGCGGGGCTTTTGGCAAGTGGTGGTGGTACAGCTGACAGGCATATAAGACTTTGGAACTGTAACACCGGTGTCAACACACTTTCAATAGACACAAAATCTCAAGTATGTATTAATGAACTAAAATAAGCAGTAATTTGCTTATAAATACGCTGTCATGGTTTATAAAGGTGTATGAAAAATTTAGATAAGCTCATCTTATTCAATGGTTATTGCTATCTAAGGCTTTTTTCAAATAAGGCGGTTAATTGATTCAACTAGTTGAACAGGTGGGTGTCAAGGAGTGTAGCCCTGAAACAGTTGGGATATACCTGAACCACTTCATATGCAGTCAACTCACCCTCTCAGGAGGATGCCGTTTGTAGTGGACACTTGTAGTTACCACATTACTGTTAGATACTACCACTTATGGAATGTTCTCGCCCTCCACTCTGCAGCCAATCAGAGTAGAGCCCTTCCAAATATAAGCAGGAGCACTGCTCCACTGAAACCAGACTAATCGACACGACGAGGTCCCACTTGTACCTCAAGACTTGTCAGGCTGACGAGATCTCATCCATCACTAATCAACAACGACAGCAGACTCGTCAACCTGACGAGCTCTCACAAATCATTAATGGAACATCGTCGATGACAAGCGAGAGTACTCGCAACGTTAGCTTGATTCTCGCCTTCTAAAGACAGCCGACTTGGCTATAAACGCCAACTTCTGCTCTCGGCTAAATGCTGCACTCCAGTACCGTCGGCCTCTGTGGAGTCAACCAACTCACGGCCTCCGGACCTCAGCCAATGGTTGTGGGTTCAATTCCCACTGACACCTCTGGCCTTTTTTCACGACCCCCCCCCCCAATATGCACACACAAATTATCATCCCCTTGGCTAATATGCATCAATCGTAAGGCCATAACCTCTTAGCATCATGTTAGGAAGAGTTGATTCCACAAAAATCAACACCAAACAAACAAAAACTAGCAGTCAACTAGTTGAAAAGCAACCAGGCCAACTTCGTGAAATTTTAACTAAAAACCACCTTGTCTGAAACAAGCCTATGAGGCGCTCTGCAAATTATGCATTGCGGAGAAGAAAGATTTCAATTAAAATTCTATTGTTTAGAGATTTTTTTTTTTTCAGGTTTGTGGGCTTTTGTGGTCTCCAACTTTCAAAGAAATCATCTCAGGTCACGGGTATGCCAACAACGAGCTGATCATCTGGAAGTATCCTTCAATGACAAAAGTGGCAGAGCTCACAGGACACACGGCCAGAGTCCTTCACCTAGCCATGTCCCCTGACGGGACCACCGTTTTGTCGGCAGGAGCCGACGAAACCCTCCGGCTATGGAAATGTTTTGCCTCTGACCCAAAACAAAAGAAAGAGCTCACAGATTCAAAATTGCTGGGAAACAGCATTTTCAAGAGGGGCATACGATAATGCAAATAAAAAAGTTATTCCTAAAAATATTTATTTATTCATTTTTGAAAAACACTTTTTAAAATCCAATTTTTTAATTGAAAATAAATGTTAATTTCTTATCCTTGGACTCGACACATTTTGACATTTTATAGTTTGCTGTTTGTATTTTATTGAAATAATATGTCGTGGTTTTGTTTTTTCTTGTTAATTGTCTTCATTTTACTACCTGATTTGTAAACAAAAAACAGTTTTATAAAAATTTCAATGTAATTAAAACATTAAATGCCTTAAATAATTGTAACAATTAGTTTTATTTTACACTTTAACAAATTTGGCTTGTACAAAAATCCTTGGCACATCCACATTCTCTTTCACATTGATTGTCCTGCGATGCACATAAGTATTGATGACTTCCTTGAAGCCATTACTTTCAAATAAATCACGGAGCTCTTCAACTGTAAAAAAGTATGATCTAAAAAAAAAACTTGTTAGAAATTAGAAAAGTTTTAGTTGGTCATCCTTTACCTATTCTTGCTTCCTATCAATTATCAAACCCTACAGACAGAAATTTATAGTTACTAACCTTGTTCCATCCTGCCTCATATAAAGATTCTCAGATATTTTCTTCCCCGGCTTGAACCTGAGCTGTGCCATGTCATAACGTCCATAATCCCGAAAGACAAGAGTACCTCCGTGTTTTAGCTTATTATAGATATTTTTCACTACTGGAATGAAATTGTTTGGGTGCACGGCTGATAAAACGAATACGAGGCTGACCAAATCAACTTCAGGCACTGTGTCAAGAGACCCTTGCATTGTAATATCAGCCTGTTTACCTAATTTTAGTACCAAATAATATAGGCTATTTTATTTTTATTTTTTTAAACAAAATACCTCAAATGCTTCTATTCTCTCTTGGTCATAGCTGGAGTGTGATTTTAAAAAGTTAACAGCTCTTGGAGAAATATCGCAAGCATAAACCTTGAAATTTCCCTTGCTGCCTTCGATCAAAGGATAGATCAAATTTCCCACGCCACAGCCGACTTCTAATAGTATCTTTCTTTCATTGTCCAGGACTAGACCTAGAATATAACATTGACTCTTTCTGAAATCAAAAGTTACTAATTATTATTTACCTGAGAGCTCTATGAACTCTCGCGTCGTCCAGTGTCTATCTTTAAAAAACTTTGTCTCATTCCTTTTGTAAAATAGATCCCAATTCTTTTTAACCTCTGCCTCGATTTTTTTAGCGACAAAGTCACTCACTATACGCGAATCCTGGTTTTCAAGAATTTTCTTTTCTTGGTCTGTGAGTGTTTTTGTATCAGCGAATGAAACCTCAGACGACTCCATTTATAAATAAAATTATTTGTCATAAAACTAAAAACAAAACAAAAATATAACTATTAATACAAATATTAAAGCTAGTACACTGATTAAACTCACCAGCAAAAAAATTCCGCCCATTGCTTCTTCACAAGCTTTTATTTATTTCATTTTCATTTGATTTTCTTTACTGTTCTTTCATGATACTATAAAGATTCCGTTCTTTCAAAATTTCTTAGTAAACATTTTTAAGAAAATAATAATATATACATAATAATAAATAATTTTTTTTAGTACGGCTTGCCAAAAAGTATGCTGTGGGTATTTTCACGGAACACAGAGCAAGTTTCAGGTTTTGAATATTTTTATAAAAATACCAGACAGAACTCGAACTAGTGTTTTAACATATTCATACAATTTATAAGAATGTTTTTTGTTTTGACTTGTGTGGCCGGCCTAGCCTTGTTTGTTCATACAATGTTTTTCTTGTCGTAACACATTATAAAGGGAAGGGAAAAACAGTCAAACAGCCCTTAACAATGGGCGGAATTTTTGCCTTTGTTAATTTTCCATTTAATGCAAAATTATACATATTATTATTAAATTATTTATATTTATAAGATGACAAATTGTACAGAGGGTTCTTTACAAGTCAGTCTTCAAACTCATATCATTTGGATGACAAAACTAAATTTTGTCAACGTCACTTTTGTTTCAAAATTTGGTACACAGTCATCTAAAGAATACAAATAATTTCTATTCCAGGGAATCGCAAAATTGACGCCAATTGTCTGGCAGTATGTCTTTTGGCTGTTCGCAAATTGTTTTAAGTCTTTTTGGCAATTTTATTAAATAATGGTGTATGTCTAAGTATTGGCCATTCACCAACAGGTTTTTAATAGGATTATTGCTTGTCGATTTCAACATATGTTTGACATGAACAAATAGTTGTTTGCTTGTTTTGACTGGGATAAGGCTTTTTTGAATTTCTGAACACAGTTCTTCCAAATATGTCATATCAATACAGCCATCGTTAGCATCTGCAATGTCTTGTAAAGCGAGTGTTATCAGATTGTCTTCAAAAGTTGAAAACCGTAATTTTATACAGTGCATATTAAAAAAGTCACAAGTTGGTAAAAGCAAGGGGTAAAGGAAAGCGTCACTTTTGTAACAAAATTGCATTATTTCTACGGGCAATTTTCGTACTCTCCCTTTCCATAATTGAGGTCTAATTACATTAGTATCTACTCTCATCTCCCAAGCTGTTATCAATTTTAAAGAACTATCGAGATTGCACATTTTTTTTAATGTATCACTAGATTCCCTTGATCTTATTAGGTCAACGATGATCTCTTTACACGAATTAGATATATCATTTTTTAACTCCGGGTGTTTATAAGAAATCAAAAAAGTTTGCAATGTCAGTTGAACTAGTTGTTGTAGTTGTTGATCGATCAAAAGACACTGCCTGCTTAAAATTTTTTCAGGTTCTTTTTTTACTTCATTAGGCTGGCTCAAAACAACCGACGGGATAATTAATAAAGGAGGAGTTGTTGTTTTTTGACCTTGTAATATTTCACTTTCTCGTTCCATATTGTTCAGTTCAATAGAGTGTTGAATGTTATTTTCATTACCATTGGCATCTTCCTCATCTGAAGAGAACATTTGGGTATATTCAAACAATTCAGACATAAGTTCATTGAGTTCCTTCTTTGTCACCTTGACAGCTCGGTCCCTTCTCAGTTCTTCTTTGTCCGTAGCGGCTTCTTGCTCTTCATCCATTAAGAATGTGTATTCAGGGTCGCTTTCGACGTCGTCTTCTTCCACATTTTCACTTACTGATTTTTCCAAAGGCTGTGAAAACTCCTTCAGAAAATTCAACCAGTCTTGATTATCACAGTCAGTATTGTACATGTCGGCTGTGATGTCTGGTGGTATGAACGCTTGTTCAATTTCCTCTAAAGGCGTTTGGCTCAGGCAAAGTTTGGAACGCGTCCTTTGACCTATGTTCTCAAGGTTGTCTCTATCTTGGGGATTTAACGCAGTCGGGGTTTCAATAACTGTTTCGACAAAACTCTCATCTGCTTTTGACTCTTCGTCACTCGGTATAAGGTCTTCATGGGGTTTATACTCTTCATCGGAAGAATCTTCAGGGAACTCTTCATTTATAAGTATCTCCGCGACTGATTTCTTCTGAGGTGGAACCCAAATTTGTGTATCTGGGCCTAACAACTGTTTCGTCTTGGCACGAGTGAGCTTCAAGTCAAATATAGGCCTTTCAGTGGTATTGTCGTCGACCATTTTCAAAACGTCCTCATTCGTCAAGACTGCTTGAAGTATATTCTTGACGTTTCTGACTGAAAGATTGCTCCTCTCTGCCTTGGCCTCGAGTTGTTTTTCTATTTCATCTTCAATCTCGACTAGGATGCTTGGTATACTATCCTGCTCTTTTTGCATATTGTAATTATCCAATCTTGCTATATAAGAGGTGCTACCTGTGTTCAACGGTTCTTCTTCAATTTTATTATCCACCATATCAACACTTTTTAACTTTCTTCTGTTTGTATAAACTTTTGGGCATGTTTTAGCCTTTTTCACACTTAAATACATACTTAATTTTAAGTTTGTTTTCCAAGTGAATATTAAAAAAACTACTTACAAAATATGAAGCGAGTTTTCAATATAAAAACTAAATACAAAAACTTTTTAAATATTTTAACCCTAAACCTTTTCTTGTTTCTTTATGATTGTTACTGACTAGAAACCGTCTTTTATACGCATGTACGAGGTTATAACACCAGGAGTCCAACGAGCTGTTATAAGATGGTACGAGGTTATAAGATGGTCTATTTTCAAGTCATCTAAGCTCTGTTATTTATACACATTAAATGTCTATTATGTGGACTTTAAACTGTACTTTCTCGTAATAAAATACAAAAAATGAGTGGAAGGGAGAACAGCTTCAAAGCTTCTTTGACCAAAGAGTCTCTTAAATCTTCTTTTAGTCTTCCGACTCCAATTACACATAGGTATGATTTCAAAATTTAGCTCAAAGTAGATGTTTTTATAAAATTAAGTGATCAGTTCACAATTGTCAACGCCCGTATTGATTTTGTTGTATTTTAATAATCAGTGTTGTTTTCTAAGTCTGCAAATAAGGAACTTCAAGCAATATCAGTGCTGGTGAACAAGTAGCAGTAATAAGATCAAAAGAAGTAATCAAAAGTAATGTAGACAACACATAACACAAGCATCTTTTTTTTTTAACTTTCTTAGTATAAATTTTTGACATTTTTGTTGTCACTTTTTGATTGTTACAGCATAAAAAATCCTCTTTCTTATGTTTGTTTTCAGAACAACCTGTATGTCTGCCGCAATGAAAAGGTACAGATACCTACGGAGGCTGCTGAAATTTGACCAAATGGATTTTGAGTTTGCCATTTGGCAGATGACATATTTATTTATTAATCCTCAGAAAGTTTATAGAAATTTCCAATATAGAAAACGTATGTGGATATCGATTTATTTTCCTATTAGACCATGCATTATTAATTGTCTATATTTTTCATTTTGCCAGAAACAAAATCTCAGTTTGCGAGAGACGACCCAGCCTTCTTTGTTCTCTTGCTGTTGTGGCTTTTTAGTAAGTAAAATAAATAAAAAATGTAATGAATTAATAAGGAAACTCAATTCTTCTAATTTGAAATGTTGAATTTCAGTCGCGTCTGTCGGATTTACATTTGTATTACAACTGAGTGTGGTATCGTTTATAAAATTCAACCTGTACATAGTGTTTGTAGATTGTATTCTGGTAGGACTCTGCATTGCTACATTTCTCTGGTACGTAAATATTTAAATATTAGCAAGAAAGAAAAAATGACTGTTTCAATATTTAAAATTAAATTTATGCTATATATTTGATTGTATGTAATGGTTGATTGCCGTCTAAATACTGTTAAATCAGTGCCAGTACCTCTCCTTCGATTTTGTTTGGAAAAAGTTGTGTAGTCTTATTTTTTTGTCTTCCAATGATTGTAAGGTGGGTGATAAGAAGCTCAAGCCATCTAACGTTTTTGCTTTGTTTGTCAAGAAAGCAATTCCTTTTTTTCTTCATATTTCACTGAAACCGCATATTGCAGTTAATCTAGGTAGAAGTCAATACTTACAGAATGCCTGCCCTCAACCTATCCACTAAATTTTAATGAAATAAACAATTTAACCTTTTCAGGACTGATTTTAGCATTCTAAAACACCATTTTCCTACCTATATTCTTGGCCGTTACATTAACCCTCAGCTTTTTTTCCTATGCATCAAAATTTGAAGCATCCTCTTCAATTTGCATGTACTCCTTTTGACAGGATAAAATTTAAAGGAAAGTAAGATATTCCAAGGTGATATTAGGTCGGATAGTTTTACAGAAAAAGGATTGTGTCATATTTCATAAAAGAGAGAGGCCAAACTGTGAACACAAGGGGGAAAGGGTGGTTAGCCGAGGATCGTGGGTTCGAATCTCGCTCGTGACACTGCCTTTTTTATCTTAACCAATACTTTACATAAAGATTAATTAATTGAAATATGTTATTTGGTCAATCAGACCACTAAATCTAATGAATGGAGTTGGATAAAACCTTAGCCCAATAGATGCCATGTCATCTAGGGCTCTTAAAAGGCAAAAAATTAAGAGTACAAGATAATCACAAGGCTTGGGGATGCTTCAAGCCCAAATGAGATTACCCATCACAAGTCCCGAAAAGTTTAAATGGATAAATTAAGTCACAAGTCCCTAAATTCTTATGTAGGGTGCACACCAAATTTAACAGAATTTCATCCTTATAATTAAAGTTAAATACTTCACACCAATGCAGTAATGGTTAAGTTGATATCTATTACTACAACACTGGTATGCAAATTGAATTAAAAAAATTTAAAAAATTGAATAGTGGTCATTTTTTTGTAATTTTTTTCTTGCTTTTTATTATAATTTTGCATATAAACAATCTTAATTTTAGGTTTCTCAGCAATAAATATCTGTTGAAGCCATCAAGTGTAGGGCAGGACGTTGAGTGGGGTTACGCCTTTGATGTTCATCTAAATGCATTTTTCCCACCTCTTGTCATCCTCCATGTGATTCAACTTTTCTTTTACAATGGTAATTCAAACGCTTTATTTATTTATTTTTAAATGTTGAGCAATATTATATTGACATGATGTTGTTCAGTTTTTATTAGCAAAGATTGGTTCATATCAAGACTATTTGGAAATTCTCTATGGCTGATATCTTTTATTTACTATTTGTATATCACATTCCTTGGCTATAGCAGTAAGTATTTTTGTTTGTTATTAAAAAAAATAATAATAACGTGACTACAGATTATTTATTTTATTTTATTTTCTAGGCTTACAGATTTTGCATAAGACTCAAGTATTGCTTTCACCTGTAATCCCTCTGCTATTTGTGTATGCAATGACAGTCACACTTGGATGGAATGTCACCGAATCAGTCATGAATTTTTACATGTACAGAGTGGCATGAAAAACTAAATGAATAAATTAACTATAAAAGCAATTTAATTGTATATAATTCTAATTCTTTCATCATCTTTTTATATATATTGTATCTAATTTTTTTTTTTTTTTTTTTTAAGTGAGTACATTAGTTGGTAATCACCACATATTTTGTGATAAGAATAAATAAATTCCTTTAAAATGAATGGGTATTTACAGATATGTGTATTTTTGTAGAACTCCACTTGGGATTTAAAAGTTAAATTGTTATCAATTGATTATACAAGGTTTTGTAATTAAACCCCAATACAAAAAAAATTGTTAAATTTTAAGCATTTAAATTTATTTAATAATTTTTTTCAATTAAAAATATTATTAACCAATGGCTTATTTGATTAAATATATTGTATAAAGTAACGATACATTACTGTATTACTGGTTTTTGTAAATAAATATCTTGTAAATAACTTTTTATTTTAAAATTTGGGCATTGGTTAGATAAAGAAATTAAAGTTACCAAGCATTAATTTGTTGCTTGCAACATCTCCCAAAACCGAAAATCAACAAGAAACAGTAGTTTAAGATATCAACAGATAGTTTAATCTTAAAATTCTGGATATGGTTGTTGTTAAAAAAAAATAATAAAAACCGTGAGCTACTCAATGACTACCCAACTATTCAACCATTTTAGGCATTGAATAAAACAAAATGTAAAGTAATTCCTGTCATACAGGACATAACATCCAACTACCCGTCCAGTGCCGTGGATAAGGGGTTAAACCACTTTACGATACATTTTTCATATTATATATTAACAAAAATATTTGGAATACAGAGAGATGTAAACAATCCATTTTACAAACTGTCAAATAAGTACAAATATAATATGTGCTTTAAGGAATTCAAAGCCTAATACTTTTAAAATTTAATATGGTCAAAGAATCATAATCTATTATCCCATAAAATAAATAAATAAAACCCCTTTATGGAATTATTATAAATTTTTATTATTAACAACATATACGTAATATTATTTATATTTAGTAGGTCAGAAAGGATGTTATTCTTGTGCACATGTGGTATGGTCCTTTTTTATGAGGCCCTACCCTACCATTACCAGCCACCCACCCCACACCAATTTTTGGCCATATGTGCCACCATCAACCATGCACATGCATTTTATTTCACGATTAAAACCAGTCCAACCGTCCTCCACGTTGTACTGGTTTGGAAAATTAATTTCCACCATGAAAATGAGCAGAATTCGCCTTAAATCGATTTGTAATTCTGTTTGGTTCCAATTATCCTATTCAAAAACGGAGCCGCCCCTACTCCCACAAACGTCCCCACCCTGTCCCTGTCCCTGGATTTAGTACAAATCCCATATAAAACCGAACGTTTGGTACGTCAACAAAGGCGATAATACGTGTTTGTTTATCTACTTTTTAATTTTGACGATTGAACAATGGGTTTAGGCGGCTGCTACTCATTTTTAAAATACCTCGTGTTCATCATCAATTTCATTTTCTGGGTAAATATCAGTTTTCAAATAAAAATCAAGCGTTAAGGTTATTAACTAAAAAAGAAATAAACTAAATATATATTTGTAAACATTGTTACTTCTTTCTACAGCAGATAATTAATTTTTAACTTTTTTAAAATTTATATGCTGTTTTGTTCTTACAGAAAGTAAGTATATGCTTAGATCAGTTTATTGTTTATACAGGTGAAACTTTCTCATTCGCCCTCAATTTTTGATTAGATTTTATATAAAAACACAAATACTGTTTGCCTTTTTTTCTTTTGAAGTTTGGAACGTTATTTTGGCCAAAGGGATAAAACCTTGAAACATTTTTATATCTGTCACGCCCACACTGTTCTTTCCAATGATTCATGGAAATCAAGATTTTTAACTTTGCTTTGAAAGATTTTTTTTTGTTTGAAAAGTTTGGGTCAGAAATAGAATTGGTCAATTTACTGGTTTAATTTTTATTCACAATGCAATTATAAAATATGGAAATTTAGTGGAACCAGTTATTAAATTCGGGCTTGTCGAGTGTTCCATTATCCTAAAAATCGTCTTAATTTAACAAATAACCGATAATTTCCAAAAGAAAAACCTTTGCGCTACCTGCATGTTGGAAAAATACGGTCTTATATATGTTTCTGACTGGAAAAATGTCTTCAGGAAGCTTATGTGCAGTCACAAGTTCTTTTCGTGTATTACTCATTGCACCTTCTGCCAATACAGCAAGTAGTGCTGAATATCCAAATGGTGAAAATACTAAATTCATATGATATAGTAGCAGCAGAGGCAAAGTAGGTGGCTTTCATGAGCTTCCTTAAATTCTGACATGAAAGAGGGTCACAGCGACATGCACAGAAGGGTCGGGACATGAGCCTGCCTGAAAACATTGCCAGTGCAGATCTTGGTGGTAGCAAATACCAAGCCTTTGCCACACTCTGAAAAAGAAACCACTCTTGACTTTTCTTCAAATTTAAATTCCTCTTCTGATGTAGGTACTGTTTTTTCCCCTTAAAATAAAACCTTTACTAATGGAATAGAAAATAGATCTTTTACACTAGAATAATTGATATGAGTGCCCCATTGGCCCTCAATTATATTAGTTATATAATGTAGTGTGATGAGGAATTCATAATTGTATGCCACCCTGATGGTGTAAATCGGAAAGAATATATTTTAGAGTGAGTGAGAGTGAAAATGGGTTTGAATTTGGAGACTGATTGCGTTGAGGGCTGAAATGACCTAGCTGTTGATAGCCCATGGAGCTCAACCTCAAAGGCTGGGCAGATAAGGCTCTGACCCTTGATGGCCAACAACCAAGGAAAGGTGATTCTTGAGAGCTGCCAGCAATTTATTGTAATTTACAAAAGCTGAAATTGTCAGTAGACCGAGAGAAAAAATAGAAACAACTCTGTACACATGTATATGTACATGCATGTGCAAATTAGAGCTTATTTAAATCAGTAATGTTGATAAGAAATAACACTTGCAACTTGTCGTTGTCTTACATTTAGTTTAGAACAAGAAAACAAAAAAAGAAAAAGTTCTGCCTGGGATAAAAGCAATATTTTGTTTCTGTCATGTATAATATTCCTCCTCCTTAAAAATGTAGTTTTAGCGTTAAAAAGCAAGCAAGTTTACAAAAAAAGTTTTTCTTGTGTCAAGAATTCGAAAAAATGTGTCAGTTCAATTACACTACCTTTTAAGCAATTTTTACCGTCTAATTTATTTTGTACCTTTTTCAATCATCTTGGTCTGTCTATTCTTACTGGTTTTATAAGTCAGATGCATTTGACCATGTTCAATTATTGTTAATTTGGATATATTTGGAGGCCATGTTTTTGTCAAGACATTTTTAGCATTATAGTTTGTAAATTTTGTGTATGAAATTTTTTAATAATGTAGCCTGGTTGTCCTATTTATTCATATTTTAGGTTAAGCTAGGAGGGGAAGCAATTGACAATGATGACGTTGAACTAGTTGCGATGCAGATATAAAAAGTACTTATGACTCCACTACACAGAGATCTAATGGAAATGACAAGGACAAAAAATCATTCCTCTTTACTTCTTTTTAAACATTGTGGTTTGCATTTATCTGCAGATTGGCTACTGTTTTTTTTTATCTTGTAACTGTAAACTTAAAACATTGTTGGAACTTAATAAGACCAAGTTTACATTAAGCAGCAACAGTTTCGTCGTTGAAAGTGACTAAAATGCTGTTAATGTCTAGACGGTGACACCAAATGTCGCCAACCAGGTCTAGAAAATAACTTAATTCAAGTCCGATGTTGGTTAGTGGTTTAGGACAACAAATGATATACGCAAAAACAAAAATTTTGTTCATCGACACCAGGTACAGCAAGTTACAACTACAGAAAATATAAATAATGATGTGGGAAGATTAGTAACTGTTAATCAATATTTATTTAGAAATCAGGGCTCAAAGTGTTCAGGGCACTCTCGACACGACACGCAAGAATGGCATAATTACTCAGAAGACAAACACTTTGTGCCCTGAAGATGATCTCAATAAAGATTGAAACGTTGGCACGATAAAGAAAATGTTTTTCTGAAACCTACATCACACCAGACCGCATCTCACGATTTCTAAATAAATAAATAATGATTAAACCTCCAGACTGATGAAAGTGAGAGGTTTAAAAAAGAGTGAAAATAAAGAGCAAGAAGAAAGACACTGAAATGTGCATTATATAAAATGATTATTTGGAGATAATGAGATGCTGTCTCACGATCTCCAAATAATCATTAATTAGTCACTAAACACCACGCATTATATACAATTTGTACATATATTTAATTGGATAAAGATATATAATCAATCAAATAAAAAAATGAAATGTCTCCATCTTCTGGATGTCCCATAAAGACCAATTTCTGAAGTCAGTATGACGAGAGACCAATGAACACAAGCAGTTACGCTACAAGTTCATCACACAAACCTTGCATATTACTTCCGTTAAATTCACTATTTTCTGTGGTCCCCTTGACCAATTAATATCATTCATTTAATTAAGGTTTTTCGTTGTGATAAAAAAGCCAGTGTCACGAGCGGGATTCGCACCCACGACCTTCGGCTAGATACGCCACTGCTCGACCACTTGATTCGATCCAGTTGGGCACTAACTTCCCATCTCAACCTCACCTTTTTAAATTTTCCCTCCTTGCATATTTCAATTTTCTGAATTTACTCATGAGTTAACAATCTAGCAGATTAATTTTACAATAAATTAACTTTCTTCTGATATTTTCAGGTTTCTGGAGTATCTTTAATTATTCTTGCAATATGGATGTTGACGGATCCTTATTTCACGAGCATGGCTCAGGACCAGCTGAATTACAACTTTGGTATCTTCCTCCTTGTAGTCGGTATATTCCTTTTTATAGTCGGCTTCCTAGGGTGTTGTGGCATCCTTAGAGAGTCAAAATGTCTACTTGTTTTGGTAAGTAGTAAGTAGTAAAATGAAATATATAGGAAAATGTCAAATTAACATATTGTGCAGTTCTTCTGTGTGCTTCTGTTAATCCTTGTCGCCGAGATTTCTGCCGCTGTTTGGGCATATACAAATAAGGACGGTTTTGAAAGCTTGGTGAAGGAGAATGTGAAGAAAACTGTATCTGATGAGTACGGGGACGATAGCACGAAGTCTCAAGCTTTTGATTATATTCAGAACCACGTATGTATGCAATTTGATAGTGATTAATGTTGATGTTGACTATGTTTTTTCTTTAGTTGCAATGCTGTGGAGGCAGCAGTCCTACTGACTGGCAAGCGAATTCTCACGCTTCAAAAGATAAAGTGTTTGACATGACAAAATCGTCGTCAGGCCTTTACAAAATACCAAAGAGTTGTTGCAAATCATTTCCGAATGACGCTTGTAAAAAGCTAGCAGAGGAAGTTGGATGGGTCATCGTGAGCTTCTCTCCACAAATTGAGGAACACATTTATTTTGAGGTATATAATAAAATCTAGAATCTGTTAAAACTTTTTTTTTTAATAAATATTCATTTTCAGGGCTGCGGTGATAAGTTGATCGATTGGTTTTATTCATTTTCAACATACTTTTTCATTGTCGGCTTTGTCTTAATGCTAATTCAACTTTGTGGACTTATTTTCTTGTTGATCATCTGCTGTTCTATGGAAAAACCGCATTACAGCTCGATCAACTCGAGAAATCAGCTCTAAATTCTAATCTCGTGGATTTCCGCTTATATGTATATCATTAAGCTTTTTAATGTTTTTTATTTTATTTGTAACAATCCAAGGGTGTTAGAAATATTTATAACAAAAGTTCCTAACTGCCATAAAGAGATACATCGTTATATGCAAAAGTAATAATATAACCCCTTGATTGATGTTTAAAGAAAATTAGGTGCCAATAACGAGTAGTCATTTAATCTAGTTAAAACATAAGGGATTTATTTATACTTTATATGTTATTAACATTTTTTAAGTATATATAAACATTTTATTTGTTTATAAATATCTTACGAGCTTTATAATATTACTTGTAATTGTAACAATTCCTTTTGAATTGTGTGTGTGTGTGTATGTTTTGTAAATAGATCATTTAGGTGTTCTTGTAAGCCATGACCTGTAGGTACAAAATTTCTTATGGGTTCGAAGAACTTGCTTTAACAATATAATTGTACAACAATATTATTAGGAACTCAATCTAAGTCATCAACCGTAACTGAATTATAAAATAAGTCATATTCAATTGACTATTTTTATTCCCGGTGTACGGGGGAATTAAAGTACTTATTCCTCAATTTATGTTCAGTTTTGAAATAAATTATTTAACGAAACAAACAGAAACAAGTGTTCACTTATAAGCTACAAAAACTGTGCCTTTATACTGGATAAAAAATTGTAAAATTCTTTTTTAACGCTATTTTGTAAAATACATGAAAATAATTTCTATTGTTGAAAAAGAAAATATATTTTTTTTATTATGAGTTTTGCTATATTTAATAATTAAAATAAATTAATAATTACTTGGCTTACTGTCTTTTTTTATTGTCTCTATTTATCCTTTTTTTTTTTTAAATAAGTGTTTTAATCCTCGATGGTGTTCCACATAAATGCTATGATCTGACCTTAGCCTGGTTATGTTGAATGCTGACTAACCAAAACGAACTACAATAGCAGCGTGAATGTGTAGTATGAGATGGCCAATGGTGGAACATGGTGGAGTACCAATCAATTCTCAATTAGATTAAATATATAATGTGTACAGTGATATGGAGAAATATCAAGTACTTCACCACCATAATTGGGTGAATGGTATGTAAATAAGAAACAATATATTTATGAGTTTGTACACCGTAAGAAAGACAAAAAAATCTTAATTTATTGATTTTTATTCAATAAAATAAATTAAAAACACCCAATCCAAATACATAATAAATTGTTGTAAAAACTTGATAAATATATATTTTTTTAAACACACAATGAATACACTTCTTTTTTTTTTTTTTTAATAGCCACATTTTCTCAGATATTTTTATAAATTGAATTTCAAAAGATGATCTTGATCGTCGCAGATTTACAACTTTCATAAATAAAGTTTAGAAAGTTAAGATTACTATAATGTATGTTATTTTAATTTTCATCAAGAAAAACTTTGTAAAACTGTAATAATTCATAATACGGTTAATGCGTTAATGAAAATACATTCTGAGATTCCAATTTATGAATTTGAGCTTTGGAGAGAGAAAAAGCGGACTAGATTCACTAAAATTAAGAATAAATTTGCATCAAATCTATTTAGTACAATAACTGAACACCACTGAAATTTTTTTGGCAACTTTATACTTTATAAAATACAAATCTTATCTCCGTGTGCATACATTAATTGTCAAATAAAATTGCCAAATGAACAATTCAAATTAATAAAACCAAAGAATACATTAGAAATAAACGTTTTCTATCTGTGTTTTAATTTTATAATAATTTTAAATATTTTGTAACACATAATTAATAGCTGACATTTTAGTGAATGATTTAAAGTAAAATTACTCTTAGCAATGAAATATTATTAAATCACAGATAGATATTTAACATGAATAAAATGATGTATTTTAAAAATATAGGATATAATAAATTTAAGAAAAGAATATTATATTTTAAATATAGTATAAATAAAATAGAAAATATTTATCACACTTGTGTGCTTTTAATCGGCTTCTTCCAGGTCTCCCAGTTCAATTTCAGGCTTGGCTTCATTGTCGTTGTTTTGCAACTTGAGAGCAAGGAGACAAGCGTTTGTTATACGATCTTTGAAAATCAAGAGCCAAAACAGGGAGAAAACCATCAAGGCTGAGATCAGGCCAAATGTCCATACCGTACCAAGGTTTGTATAAATATAGACAACAAAGACTGGGCCGACAACACGAGAAAGGCAGCCGAAACCAGTGATCAAGCCCATCCAAACACCCTAAAATAAACTTGTGTTTCAAATATTCTTATTATTATTATCATGGACTTACTTGAGGACGTGGGCCAAGTATTTTGGAAAATATTGTCTGTATCAGTGTGATGCCTATCGGGTAACCTATTGATATGAGAACGAATCCGATGACATATTGGTATTTCCCTATTGCTGGTGTGTATAGACACCATTCTTGCTCTTCAGGGCAGCCCAATACTCTGTTTGTTTCATCATCAACTGAAGCTAAAATCAATGTAATTATATTATTTTTCAAAAATCTTTAAAAATATCACTAGATGGTCTGCAAGTTTAATTGTCTATAGCAATTTGATCATTGAATTGTCTTGAAGTTAGTTAGTCAACATAACAGAATTGTTAATCATTTTTTTATATATTAAAAAATTTCAGGACTCTCTGATGAAAATATGTTAATAAATTGTTACCAACCATTTTTGTATGCGATCAGAGGAAGTTCGCCTCCGATTGGTATGTAGATAGAAGAACCAATAACAACTAAAAAGAAACTTCCCCATATGAGCAATTGTACTTCTCCAACACTAAGACAATTACATTCAATTAAATTGTAATAAGAAAAACTAATGACATCAAAACTTACAGTTTACTTAATTTGTCAATAGACATAGCTATGAAACAAGCTGCAATGCTTCCACACGACAGCAATATCCCGATGTACGACAGCGCTTCTTTATCCGTCCATGCAAACTGTTCTATTGCAAGGGTTGTCCCAATGCTAAAATGGCAAAGTGTTTATATAACTAAATTTAATTTTAATTTAACAAATAATAAAATTGCAAGGGTTCAAACTAAGTAAATATATACAGTTCTCTCTCTCTCTCTCTCTCTCTCTCACTCACTCACTCTCTCTCTCTCTCTCTCTCTCTCTCTCTCTCTCTCTCTCTCTCTCTCTCTCTCTCTCTCTCCCTCCCTCCCACCCTCTCTTTCTCTCTCAATAATCCGAACTAATCGTTGCAGGAGGGTTATTGGGATTATAGAAAGAGGGTGTTAAAAAATACATACATATGCTTTATTATTATTATTGTATAAACAAAATGTTAAGCCTATTAAATAAATACAGGGTGTTTGGCTACCAGTGTTACAAACTTTGCCAGTTGATTCTACGTTTAAAATGGAACCAAAAAGTCCTAATTAACTATGGTCCGAATCTCAGCAGTTTCATGGTTATTCCACTTTTTGTGATTTTTTAAGATTTCATGACCTTACTTCAAATAAACAATGACAACTCCAAAACTAAAGGATTTTAGACAAAATTATTGATACCATTGAAAACTATGTTAAATTTCCAATAAGATGTGATCAATATTAAACCTGTAAACCTTCATGAAATAAGCGTTTTGGTTGCAAGAACTTTGAAAAATATTTATTTATTTATTTTTCAAGTGGTTTTAAAATTTTTTTTTTAAAGTTGAAAAACTTGCCATGGTGATTCTAAACTGCTATTTCCACCTAGAGACCAGTAAATTTCAGAAAACATCCTCGCTGGTATACATATTATGTATGGGTTTTGTAGTAATGGGAAGGCAGCGCATCAAAAATTCATTGCAGAGGATGGAGAGCATTTTGAATCAAAATTAAAAAATGTTTAATAAATTCATTCAAAATTTCCTTAAGTGTTTTATTTTTTATTATTATTAATCATTCCACCTTACCAATCCTTCAACCACGGTTTTTTCCTTTCCTTCATCAATTTCTTCATCTTTGAAATAAGTAATTAAAAAAGCAATTGCAACACTAAAAAAGATATTAAATGGTGTACATTTCCTGACATTTGCTGGTTTCTACGTTTGGAAATAGTAGATTAAAATTATCATAGTACTTTTTTCCAACTTTGAAAAAAAAAAAAAATGAAGTTCTGGCTACTAAAACGCTTACAAGTTTAGTATAGATCACATCTTATTGGAAATTTAACGTAGTTTCCAATGGTATCATCAGATTTGTCCAAAACTTTGTAGTTTTGGAGTTACCATTGTTTATTTGAAGCAAGGTCGTGAAATCTGAAAAAATCAGAAAAAGAGGAATAACTCCAAAGTGCTGAGATTCGGACCATAGTTAATTAGGACTTTTTGTTCCACTTTGAACGTCAAATCTATTGGCAAAGTTTGTCACCCGAGTAGCCCAACATCCTGTATATGTGAAATGTCAATTTTTCTTTAAAAAATCAGTTAAAAAAAAAATTTAACATTTTCTTCCATGCTTCTTCCTCTTTTTCACTCTTTTTTAAGCAATAAGGTTATGTTATACTTAATGCAAGAAAAATGTAGACTGATCTAACATTTAATTTTAATAGAGAAGGGAGACGAGGGAGTCTAGTATATGCTGGACTTGGTATTTCGTATAACTGTTCCTCTTAGTCGCTCTCTCTCTCCCTCTCCCTCACTCTCTCTCTCTCTCTCTCTCTCTCTCTCTCTCTCTCTCACTCTCCTCTCACTCTCTCTCTCTTTCTTTCTTTTAAATTCTGACTTCTTAATTTTTTTACGCATCAGCGTACTGTATGTTTGGATACCAAAGTTCAGATTGGGATAGAGCACTGTATACTAGAATACAAAATTTAAAAAATAATAAAAAATGAGTGCAGTTAATTATAAACAGTATATCTCCATGAATAGAAATAATTGAATAAGCAGTTTTCACAATGTATATAAGCTGAATTTGTAAGAATAAAATAAAATTGGCTAATTTCAAACATATAATATCATTATGATAAAACAAAAAGTAAATATGTGCAATATATTGTAATTAATAAAAGTTCCCACTCTACAGTTGTATGTTAACAGCTTACCACACATTTTAATACTCTTCACTAACGATGGGAAAAGCTATTTTTAATTGGAATCTAAAAAATTGTTTTATTAGCATTTGAACTGTATACTTCTTGTTGAAAGTATTGCACGAAAAATACCTTTCAAGGAGCACAAAAATTAATGTGATGGCAAAGAATGCAATAATCATGGTCCAAGCGATTAGATAGTCAGGTTTAATTTGTTTCCATGCAGCTTTTTCTAGTTAAAAAAGAATTAAAGAATAGTAAAATAATTTATTTTTGTAGATATCAGACATATTTACCTGATGGAGAGGAACTTAAAAACATAGCTTCTTTGGCTGCGATGGATTTCTCTTTGAAAAAAAGTGGAGTGACGAGGATAAGGTTTATAAGGCCAAGAACCACATTGACCCATCCAGCTGCAGTGTACATGTTAACTGTCAATTTTCCAGGCCAGATGTGAAAACCGTTGTGACCCAATGGGGTTACTGCAGCCTGTAATCCAGGTCCTACGATGAAGCCTAAAACCTGTGCAAGTGATATCATAGAAACCGCCCTTGTTCGCTCCTCAAGCTTGGTTGCAGATGAAATATAAGAACGACATAGAGCTATGTTTGCTACAACATGAAACGATGTGAGAATGTTGTTTCTAGGTAAGCGATAATAGACGTTTACCAGAACACGCTCCAATTAGAAATCGTGCTGACAACATCCAATATTCCCTGTTAACAGAGAATAGTTCAACTGACGAATAGAGTCCACTGGAGAGAACAAATAGGACCATTGTGAACATAAAAGGGATCTGGCTACTTTTCAGCCAATTGCCCCACCAGCCAATAAGCGGTGAAAAGATCATCTGAGCGAATGGATGCGCTGCAACGATGTATCCCATGAATTCCTTTGTTGCAAGTGGATCTAACTGAATAAACAATAAATAATGTACTTTCAGCATAAACTATATAAACTAGGTATATATTATTATTACTTGTCTCAAGTAAGGCCATATACCCGTTATGACAATGCTAAAGCCCAAAGACATCAGAAATGTAGTAAAAAACATTATTTTAAGTGAAATCCATCTTTCACGATACTCAGATGTCGTTTCCAACAGTGGTAAAGTATTATTCTTCTCCCTGAAAAACTGTCAACAATTATAATCAAAGTTTTATTATGCAATATTCTTAAATTTGTCCAACAAACAAACCTACAGTTTTATATTGATTTAAAATACTGGTTTTATTGAAGAGCTTTGATATAGATAGGACCAATGTTAAATTAGAGAATTTGTACAATTTAAATACTAAACAAATAATGTGTAATAACATTTGAAATAAACATACTTTTCTATGTGTTACCCAACAGATTAAAATTATTGGACATTAACCGTATCTTATCTTAAAAGGCACAAATAGATTTTAAAAAGTTGATGAAGAAGCAAGATAAAATATGGAGCACAGACACCGAGATTTTTTTTTTTAATTAATATAAAATGATAAATTTGATCACAATCACTATTCAAACAATGGCTCGATATATAGATCAAAATAAATTATATTATTTAAGAAAAAATATTTAAAGCCATTAGAATGTGGTTTTATTTGAATTATCATTCAAACGATATTATCCTATCAATTAAAATTATATTAAGGGTATATAAATAACATTATCAATAGTCCTGTTTTTGATTTTATCAATTTTAGTGAAAAATGTATAAAAAGAAAAATAATTTTTGATTTTTGTACCTAACTTGTGTATACTAGATCAAAAATAACTCAGGCATTCGCTTAACTTTTTTATTTTTAAATCGACCATTAATGTCTTCAAGTTTCTAAAGAAAAGTGATATTGTTTCATTTGAATGTCATTTAGAAAAATATGTTGCACTTTTATAAAACTTTACTAATTATTTTCATTTTTGTTAGTTATTTTCCCCTGATAGTTTGTATTGAACAAGATTTGAACTACGAATAAACCAGCCAAATATTAGCCTATCTTCACTGTTTCAGACTGTATCATGATGATCGAATTACAGGTGTGCCCTGCAGATCAGAGAACAAGTGAATTTTTGTTTTTGAAAAATGGTTTTTATTTTAAGCATAAAAATAAGTCTCTCACTCACTCCCTCGCTCTTTCTCTCATTTGTGTATTTACTGATTATAATATTTATATATTATATTTACTGATATCTGCAAATGCGCACACACACACTTTGGCATTCCAACTTTTGTGTAATTTACAATAAATTACTAGCAGGCCTCGATCATCCACCCTGGGTATTGGCAGTCCGTGGTCAAAATTTGGTCTTATCCATCCAGCCACCGAGGTTGGGGTCCAGCTGCTGTCAACAACTAGGTCAACCCAACACCTAACGCACGAAGTGCCTAGATACAAACTCATTCACACTTTCATTCATTTTTAAATACATTCTGTTTTTATGCACGTATCATTCACTCAGTGTGGTTCTAGTGATATTCCTCCTCTACCCTTTACACCTATTATGAAAAGAACTTAACTGAGGATCAATGGGGTGATTTCATTCTACATATTCATGCCAATAAATACATTCACTCTCAACACACCCACACCCACATACACGCACGCACGCACAACCCTATTCTTTATCTACATACCAGATACGTATGCAGGTTTTGGTTTAAGTAAGCGTCCATGTGTCAACCTAGTATGGTCTATCCTTAATCGGGTGAGGATGACCTGTCTTCTACAAATCCGGTGCTCTAAAGCACATCTATCCATAGTGCTCTGATCCATCTGGGTTTCTCTGCTGACCTAGCCCACCAACGCTGCTTACTTCTTTTAATCACGTTTTTTATTGCATTTTTAGTGTCAGAGAACTGGTTCATGATGGTTTTGCTGAGACGCGCCAGTTCATGCTATCTTTTTGACAAGAGCATAATGAGAGGGCTGACCTTTGGCCAGCAACAACTGCACTGAGATAAGCAAAGCCACCCATAATCTCGAATCACTTTGAGCACATGCCAAATTGCATATCTACTGTGTAAACACTACAGTGCAATAGGAGTGACCATGAATTGGACGCACCCTCGCAATACATGTCATGGCTAGATTTTATTCATAATTTTGTGCAGGCCATTTATAACATTGGGAAAACATAATTGTTCCAATCTAAGTAAGAAATTCAAATTGAAAACCTTTCTCTCTTTCTCATTGTGCGTTCTTTCCAATTTACATGATGTTTATGTACATTTTACAAAGAGTCAAATAAATTATGCAACACATCGCTAAGAACTTAAAAACTAATACTTCTAGTGTTCAGATAAGCAATAAAACCATTCTATTGGATTAAAAGATTTTTTGTAATCTTTTCAAGGTTTTAAGGCAATCGATTATTATCTACTGGATTTTGTTAATAAGTACTTGAACTTTTAACAAGCAAAAAAATTATGCAACACACACGCGCGCACACACACACACACACACAGACAGATGTATATATATATCACAAACTTACAGGGGTTTTTATGGTTTTTTTAGGGTTTTGCATTAAAAATTAATTTTGTTCCTAAGGCTAAAAAATCCATCGTTATATAGCCTTAGGTTTTAAGTGCTAGATTGAAGAAAATACCAACTTTCTACTATACTCAAGTTCTTGAGAGAAAAAGAGAAACCATATTATACATGTATTTTTTTAAAAAAGGTCGTCAAACACTACTATAATAATAATTGATAAATAGACAAAACAATACGTACTTGGTATCCTCATCATTGCAAGCTTTTTCGTAGCTACTTCTGTCTAACATAATGGTCAAATGTGTTCGTAATAAACTATTCTATCAATCATACAGTAAAATATTTTAAGCCCGTAACGATATCACTTGAGCAACATAATTATTTATGTAAAAAAAGGAAGGGTTGAACTAAATTTGGAAACATGACATGGCATAAATCCATGATTGTTGGGCGTTATGTTCCGTCCAGGACCATCGAAAATCTGCAACTAACTGTGGGATTCGAAAGCGTCATTTGACACTCGGACCCCTCAGAGGTCTGACTTTACAGCTGATTTTGACAGTTGGCGATTAATTTGTGGGTACCATTGCCACTTTTATAATCCTAAGAATATAACGGATAGTGGATAAATTTAAAGGGGAAAACAAGACGTTGCAAAATAAAACGAATTCGTCTACTTGTGTTAATAAAGATATTCTTTGATCATTATGACAATCCCGTCAAATATGACAGCAATGACAGGAACGCAGATTGTTTGTAACCTTTTCCATTTTATATCCCTCCACTGTTCGTTACTCGTAAAAATCAGTCTATTTAAAATTATTTTATAAGATGATTTTTTTAATGTGTCATTAGCTGGAGTCGTAAAATTGTAAATATGCGAGAATAGATAATTGATGTGGTTATTTTATGCCGTCTCGTGGATTGTAAGAGATAAATTGGAAGATTTAAATAGATCATTCAGGTAATAGAGTCGAATTTTTGTGTCATATTGTCTGGAGCTTAAATTTCTTTTGTTTATCAAACATATTTCTAACAATGTACAGAACTGTATTTAGGTTTACCCAGATAATAAACAATTTGAAAGTGTTTTCTCGTTTTAGAAGGTATTTTTCTGAAGATATAAAAGAGATGTCGAGGAAAAGTTCGAGGACCCGATTTTTCCCGAATACGTACTTAGACTACCAAGAAAACAATGCAGTCAATGTAGATTACAAACAGATAAGGAGTGATATTTTGGCGAATGTCTATGTCTGTGCTGAGGAACAGAAGAAAGTCCATCACGGTATTGAAGGCGGCCTTTATGTCGGGACATATGGCAATGCTTATACTTTCTACCATTTGAGCAAAAAGTCAAGATTCGTTCACGAAAGGGCTGATCTCCTTTCAGCCGCAGTCGAGTTGATAACATGCGGTGTTGCTACATGCGCCAAGTCCAAGGCAAAAGACCCGTCAGACGAATGTGCATTCCTTCTCGGCAAAGCTGGCATTTATGCTGTCGGTGCGGCTGTGTTTTTTGAAGCGGGCAAAGATGATTTTGCAGCCGACTGTATCAAAGAGTATATCAATGTTGGTTGTATAGTCGCCAATGAAAGTTACGCCTCTTTTGGCGGAGATGAACTGTTTGTTGGTAGGGCTGGGTATCTATGTGGCGCTTTATGGCTCAACCGAGTCTTTGGCCGACCTGTTATATCACAAGATGTTCTCCATACAATCTGTGAAGCAATCATGGCATCAGGAAAGCGTTATTCAGAAGAGCACAATTCACGCACACTCCTCATGTACCACTATTATAACACTGAATATTTAGGTAAATATTCCACGGAGAAGTAAAATAAGAATTTTTTAAAAAATGTGTTGTTTAGGAGCCGCACACGGACTGTGTTCTATTCTTCAGATGCTCCTCAGCTGTGATTCTTTTCTTGAGAAGCACAAACAAGCGGAAAGAGAAATAAAGAACACGGTGGATTTCTTTTTGAAAATTCAGGAACCCAATGGAAACTTTCCTGCTGCAACAGACGAAATCGGACAAAGCAGAGGAAGCGATGAATTGATACATTGGTGTCATGGTGCACCTGGTCAGTTAATATTTATTAGATTGTTAGAGACTTGGTTTATGTTGACTATTGCATTTATATATGCAATGGGGTCAAGTAGTTAGGGTATCGAACACATATTTAGCAATGAGATAACCAGAAGTGTATGTCTGGTGTCACAGTACTGGATTATCCAAATCCACCAATATCCTTTCACCTCCCAAAACACATTCACTCTCCCAGACTACTGAATATTCCTCAGAACAGGTTTAAATCCGATATTTATGCTACTAAATTACTGTCACTCTCTAGACAATACACTCTCACCTCAGAATACTCGATATTTCTTGAGGCGGGGGATCATATTTTCAAAATTGCTCAATAGAGCGTAATGTAGAAAAATTTCCTAATTTTATTATACTTTTTATTTACATGTATATAGAAAGAGGGTGTAGTGGTTGAGTGGTTAGGGCATCCATTCATTTTTTTTTTTTTTTTGTAATTAAATATGCAGTGGCCAGTATGAATACCTATTATTTTCCTTTTTCTTCCTACTAGGTTTAATGATTTAAAAAAAAAAATTATGTATAGAATGTTATTCGCTCTGTATTATATAAATTAATTTTAACATTTTTTGGTTTAGCTGTAATTTGTTGTTTTAAGTTATTATATATTTCAGGGGTTGTTTACTTACTCTTGAAAGCATACATAAGATGGCATGAACCGAAATACCTTACCGCTGCTATGAAATGTGGTGAAATCGTTTGGCAGAGAGGGCTTCTCAAAAAAGGGCCGGGTAAATAGAGATCGGGGAAAAAATATAAAACTTCTAATTTCATGTATATATTTTTATTTTAGGGATTTGCCATGGGGTCGCTGGAAACGGATATGTCTTTTTAGCCCTCTACAGAGCGACCAACGATCTCAGGTATCTCCACAGGGCCAACCAGTTTGCCAAATTCCTTAAAACTGAGGAATTTAAAAAGGCTCGAGTGCCTGACAATCCGTACAGCCTTTATGAAGGCCTGGCTGGTACGATTTGCTTTCTCGCTGATCTCATGGAGCCAGAAGATGCGGCTTTCCCCTTCTTCGAATTTATGCCCACTCTAGTCGAGAAATAAACAGACAAATTTAGTTTGTGTTTATGCATCGTTGCCCATATTTCAAAAATACCAATGTGAGGTTTGTTCTATCAAAATGGAAAAGATAAAATGTGAAAAATTTTGAAATTAAAGGGTCAAAATTTGCATTCAGTAAATGAAGAAATGTCTTTGTTATTATTAAGTAAATACTTTAAGCGATAACTAAAATGTATGAATGAGAATTAAATGTTACTCAAAATAATTTAAAACTAGTAATAAAATAAAATAAAAAGAACTATTTACTCTTGAAAAGAGTATAAATTGATTTTTTCTCACCCTGCGTCATCAATGTTAAACTGATCTACATTATTATTATTATTATTAGTAGTAGTAATAGTATTCCATGTATGTTTTAGTAGTCATAATCGTAGTCACAACAGCTCAAGTGGTTAGAGCAGCGGCATATTGAAGTTCGACTCTCACTCTTCACACCAGCTTTTATTTCTCAGCCAAAACTATAGAAAAAATATAATTAATTTAAATAATAATAATTATTATCAAAAAATGCAACCAAAAGGATAACTAAACGTAATATTTTATTTAATCGGCAATAAAATTAATGTACAAAATAATATACAATTTAATGAATGAATAAGGATTAAATGATGTACGTTCAAAATACAGTAGATAATTTAGGGGACGCAATAGCTGAGTGGTTCGGGTGAATGGCTCGTATTTCTCCTGTTAGCGGCCCTGGGTCCGAATACCGGCAGAGCCGAGAGTTTTTTGATGGATAATAGTATGAAAGAATTAGTGTTTTGATACATCTTGTCCATGACACCCAACGGATAGTTGGATATTAAGCCCTCCTGTATGGCATGAGATAATTCTTACACTTATTTAAAATAGTCATCGGAAAAATAACTGACTGACAAATAAAAATGATAATGGCACTCTCAACAAGAATGACAAGTCTACACAGAAAACAAACACTTTGAGCCCTGAAGATGATCTCAATAAAGATCGAAACGTTGGCACGATAAAGAAAATGTTTTTCTAAAACCTATATCACACCAGACCGCATCTCACGGCCTCCAAATAATAATAAAAATGATAACTATCCAAAAATCATAAGGTTTAACTAACAACATGACAATTTCATCCGCATCAGAGGGAGGGAAAAAAAAGAGCATAATGTAGAAAAATTTTTATTATAATATGTAGTATATATTGTTTATTATTTATTATTGGCCAACAAACATCAAGTGGTCTTCACTGGAAAGAGAGTGAGAAAATTGAATTGAAACACTTTCCATGAATACAACTGGATTAATATGGAGAAAAGGTGTTTGTTTACAAAATAAGTAATCTTCATGTTTACTATTCTTAAGTTTTGAACAGAACATAATGTAATTTTATTTACAAATATATACAATATACATTAAATAAAATGTATAAAGTGGAGTTTCTGTCTAGCAACACTTACTTCCAGCTAGTTAGAATACAACAAAAATTTTATTATTTACTTTTTTTTCTATCGAGCGGAAAAAACCCTAACCTGTTACCTTAAATATTTGTTTGTATTTTCTATTTTGATTTATCCAACTAACAAGAATAGGTTGTTTTAGACAAATAGGTTAATTTAATTAAAATTAATAGAATAAGCATAAATTACAAATTAAAAAAGAATTGAACACCACACTCACTCCATCATTTATCATTTCTATAAATTACAAATATCCCTATTCATTTTTGAGCTAATAAGCTCTAGAATCGAATTGTATAATAAAAATATGAGGTTCTTATTTAAAATATCAAAATTGATGAGATTGTTATGTTAATATGTGCCATTAAAATTGTTGTTGGGGTTTGTATAACACCATTTTTAGCTAAAATTAATCGTTCTCAAATTAAATGGGTGAAATGCAGTTGAAACACCCTGTACATATATCAATGTACATTTTTGAAGATTTATCACCCAACTTATGCAGATAATGTTCTCTTGGTTGTTACCAGGGATGTGGGAAAAAAAAAAAAAAAAAAAAAAAAAATATATATATATATATATATATATATATAGAGAGAGAGAGAGAGAGAGAGAGAGAGAGAGAGAGAGAGAGAGAATGAGTGAGAGAGAGCGAGAGAATGTATGGCATTTAAGACTTAGAAGAAGTATACAAACTTTCATTAAAGCAATACTCAAAGCGCGATTTTTTATCCAAAAGGTCGATGCTTTACAAAAAGATTATTTCTTAACGAGCTGATTAGATTGAAATATCGCGAGTTGTTTTTAAAAAATATCCATTTAAGAATAATATTGCAGACTAATCTGGCCCAGCTGCCGGACCGGGGTGCAAAAAAAAGCGGAACGCGTCCCCCTCGCTCCGGAAAAAGAAGCAGCATTTCGCTCGGAGAAAAGTTCACCATACCAGATTATATATCGTCTCAATTAAGATAAATTCGTACCAATTCGTGAACGCCGAGGGATTTGAATACCGTTAGAACAGATAGCGGGAGAGGTCAACTCGTCCGGCCTTTATAAAAACGGCTGGACTCCTGCCCAACTCAGTCGCCTTAAGACAAATCATGCGGTACTTTAGTTCAGGTAAAAAACATCTAGTGATTTACACATTAATTGTTATGTTGCATTAATGTTTGTGCTGTCTTTTGTAAGGTATGTCAGGCATATTCCTCAGATTTGGCGATAATCACCACGCTTTAGCTTAAAATCATACGCTCGTCGGGCTTAAGTCACAAGATAGGATAGTTAAGCATACCTTCAAGTAAACCATAGCTTTAAAAAAATCAGTTTAAAAATTTTTATAACAAAATTGTCAACATTTGGAAGAAATTACGATTTTTTTCGCACTAAAGACAATAAGAACTAAATTTGTTCAAAATGCACATAAAATATGTGTTGTTTAGCTAAATCTTGTGACCTGTAGGTAATTAAAATCGGCTGCGTCTCGTCTCGTTGTGTTTTTGTCTGAGTCTGTTGGATCATTTTTCACCTGATGAAGTATTATTACAATAATAGGAAATTAAAAGTTCACAGTGCGAAGATAATTTGTAGAATATAGCTAATTTGTGTAATAAATAGGCTACTCTTGATTATCCCATGGCTGCGTCTAGTCTCGCTAATTATTTGCATGGGGTCGTTAAAATGAAAGTACAATAAGACTAATTTCAACTTTATCGCTTTACTGATTGTATTACTTGTATATGGTTCTGTCGTTGAATGGAGCTTTTTTTTATTAATTAATAATAGGTAATTATCTATTGAAAATACGAATAAAATATAAAGCTTAAATAGTCGGATAAGAGAGAATCAAAACTTCATTATCTCTCTCGCTAATGTGGATGGTTAATAGTTTCATTGAATTATTTCCATTTAAGTTTATTTTATAGGTACAACTATATATTTTATTGTGAATTTGGCTGATTTGTATGATTCCGCGGATGTGTCAAATCTTGCCGTATGTTTCGTTGTATTTTAAGTGAAAGACAAGTCAAAACCAAATATACAATTGGTTTTTAAGGATTTGTTGACCCCTAGTTTCGCCTGATCTCGCTAAGTATTCGTATTATTTCACAGGAGGAGAGAAACAAATGTAGAAAGAAACTAAAAATGAGGGTGTTTTATAATAAAGTTAACTTTAAGTTGGACGTAGTCGACAGTAAAACATTTGTAAGATAAAAAGCTAATTGAAAAAAATGTTAAGTTCATATTTGTCAACAGTACATTAATAATTAACCATGGATGCGTCTAGTCTCCCTTTGTAAAGTTGTCATTCGAAATCAAATGCAATAATTTACTTACATCGGCGGGGATTTTTTTTAAATAATAGTAAATTATCTGTCAAAATTCTACCAACAGTTTATCCAGGATTGTCGCCATCAGGGGTCATTAATCCCATGGCAGCGCCTAGTTTCGCGTGTTTATAATGCAGAGACCCAACGTAAAGATTATTTAATGTAGTTAATATAAAGTTGGACTTGCAATTAGGGACTGATTTATTTTCATTTTTTTAAGTATGACTTATTAGAAAATTATCTGTATAAAATTGATATAAATACATTGAGTTAAATTGGATTTTTAATTATATATGGCTACATCCAGTCTTGCTGTGTACGTAGTAATTTTTATCGGCTTATTATACACTTAATTCTTTTGTATTGAGGATGCCAGGAAAATAATTTTAGTGTTGGTTTTAATATAAGTTTTAATTTATATCGCGTGAGTAAAGTTTTTAGGCCGAGAAGGAACTAAGTTCACAAAATATCACTTTGTGGGTTTCAATTACAAAAATCAAATATGTTTAAAAGAAAGTTCTTCTTTCATTATGGTCTGCCTACGCTCGGCATTTCGCCATCTTCAGTAGGTTTGTGCGATTTCTGTCGCCTCTTTTATAAGGTCGTCCTCACCTTGTAGATCAAAAGAGGAAATTCACATTATTTTTACCTGTACGAATTACATTCTCCCACGGGGTTATTATTCGTATGATAAAAACGGTTTAAAATCGTTTAAATACATTTTTGAGTATTAAAAAAACTTGTTTCACCTAGATTTCCTGTTGGGCTGATTTTTATTCAACTAGGTCAGAGCTTGTAATAACAGGAATATTTTATTGAGTTTGGAAATGCGATTTCCTGTTTTGACCTGAAGTTTTATTTTTTGTGGAACGTTTTAAGATTATATCGTTTTTTAAATTCTTTATAGTTTGAAAATTTCTTGCTATGTAATTTGCCAAACTCTACCGTGATTTTTCCAATGAGATTGCAAATGTTTTTTTGCCCAAAATTAAATTGAAAGTTCTACGAGGGTGCTTTCTTAAACGCTCTTTTCAATGCTTTTTTTTATTTTCCCAAAAATTAATAGTTCAACAGTTACGAGTAGATTATGATGAAAATCGTACATAGTTGAATTTTTTTAATTTCCGCGAAAGGATTGAGAATCGCACCATGGTTCGTATAAACTTTGTTGTTGCTTTTGAGAAGCACCTGACGAACTTTGTCACACGAATAGGAATCGAACCACCCACCTTGTGGGATAATCTTAGTTCCTATTTTAAATAATTTAAAAAAAGGTCCTTGAGCAAATATCACAAACTTCAATAAAATTTGTAATTTAGATTAACCGTTTATAAAATTGTACATATTGTTTCTTAATTAATATTTTTCTCCTGATTTTTTTTTCCCCCAGGAGTGGTCATTTTTATTTTATGCAGTTTGGGACTAACGAGAGGACGGTCATGGCGAAAGAAAGAACCCGGTTTGAGTTTCGTCGGCGAAGGGACAAACGATCTTTCAACGTCTATATTGCAGGTCCTTTATTTATATATTTATTTATTAGACTGTAATTGCAAAATAAAAAAGGCTACTTAAGCAAAATACGGGATTTACTTACATCTCTTTTCGTCCGCACGTGTTAAATTCCTTGGTACACTACACCACAGGGATGAGTTGTGATGAAACTTGCCGTTTGGTACGATTTGTGTCCAAAGATTAAAATCAATGGATTAGACCACAAATTGTGTATGTTTTTACCTAATAGAAATCAATTTTGCTGTTTGTCCAACTATTTTTTTTTTCAACGCTAAAATTTCGTTATAAAGTCTAAAAAAAACAACGGATATTTAAAAACAGTTATAAACGAAGTATAATTTTGGAAACGTTATTTTAATTATGGAACGCGACTTGAGAAACATCTTATAACAAGGTGCAATTAAAGGAACACGTTTTACCAGCAATTTTATAATTATTTCATTTTGCAAGACAGTTTGAAATAATTTTCTTGTTTAAAATAAAAATAAAATAGACAATCATTGTGTTATCTTATTACAATATTTAATAAAAAACTTAATTGATTTTTTCCAACATTTTAATAGTTTTTATAATAACTATTTTCTCTAGAGTTGGTCTAATTTTGTATTGGAACTCTATAAAGGTAGAATCAGTAAAACTTAAGTCATTAGTTCCAACTGTTTTCTTCATTTTACTTTATTTTTGAAAATATAAGTCCTCTTATCAGTTGGTTTCTTTTTTCCATGTAAATTGAATTACATTCGTTTTAAACACTTAAAATATGTTTTTGTCTTATTATTTCCTTAGTTTATAGTTGTTCTTATGTAGCAACTACTCGTTTGTGATTTAGGCAATTTCATCCCCCAACCCAATCAGTTCCTGAATCCAAATCCTATTCACACCCTCACACACTCTTAAATTCTTTCCTATTTACATCATTCACTCAGGGTGGCGGAGTACTTAATATTCATCCATCACCTTCTACACATACGTAACTATTCTAATTGAGGGGTCCTCATTCACGCTAACAAATACATTCACCTTAATATACACAAAGAAACACAAGATGAGATATCAGTAAAGTAATATATTCAATAAATAGTCCTGATTACTGTAAAAATCAGAACAGGGGACACAATTCCCATATTGAATCGCATTCCTACACATCTATATGGAGCCAAGGAGTGGCACCATTCAATTTTTGAATGATCGTAAGCAGTTACTATTTTTAATATAAATTTCTCTAGGGTCAGAAAACTATTTTCTATTCTTTTCGTAAAGCTTGTGGGGAATTGTATGTATATAAGGAAAGGGATTTAAATTTTAAGTAAAGTCAATGGTGGGTTATATTTTAGAACATTATTATTCTTTATCTGAAGATCTCATTTCAGAGTGAGGCAGAGAATAATACAAATTTAGTATTTTCACCATTTGGATATTCAGCAATACTTGCTGTATTGGCAGAAGGTGCAAGGAGTAATACACGAAATGAACTTGTGACTGCACTTAAGCTTCCTGAAGACACTTTTGCAGTCAGAAATACATATAAGACCGTTCTTTCCAACATGCAGGTAGTGCAAAGGTTTTTCTTTAGAAAATTATCAGCTATTTGTTAAATTAAGATGATTTCCAGGACCATGGAGTACTCAACAAGCCAGAATTTAAAAATTGGTTCTACGTTTACCAAAATTACTCGGTGTTGCAAGCTTACAAAAGCATTCTGGATGAAAACTATTTCACTCAAGTGAAGCAAATTGCGACTGACTTTAATTATAGTGCAGAAGAAAATCAGAGCAAACCTGAAGAATCATCCGAGCTAGTTTCTGAAAAGGGAGGAGTGGATAAACCTTTGAAAACAGATAAAGAAAATACCGAAGGACAAACAACAACTGAGGCTGTAAGAGAATCTGAGAAACCTTTGGGTTTGGAAGGCGAGAAAACTTCAAATTCTGAAAATAATAATGCAAACCACACAAAAACTAAAGAAGTCAAAGGAAATGAAGCTGTCATGGAAGATATCATTGCCAGGGCGATCAAAAGTGAAATGCAGGTTGAAAAAGAAATGCTAACTGCACTTTCTGCTAATCGACTTTCGACTGTTCAAGAAACAGGTTGGTACATTGAATATTTATCATCATGCATAATTTATTGGCAGTTAAATAATTTCAATTTTTATCTGGATATATCAAAATTTAAGTTATGTATTACAAATAAGAAAGAAATCCTAACAATTCACAGCGAATCATTTTTGACATTATGAGGGTCAATCGCTCAACTCCAACTCAGATTCTTGATTTACTGAATCTGTCTTTAAGCGTAAGGAAAATACTTGTCAATGTATTTTAAATAATTATTGAAACATAAAATGGTATCGCACATTTGTTTATGCCATAGAAAACGTAATTTAATAATTGTCTTGTCAATCAATTGTTTCATGAACATTGATGTATTAGCTGGTACTTATTATTTAATTTTTTGCTTTTTGATCAGAAACTGGTGAAGAAAAATCAACATCACGCATGATCATTTTCAACGCCCTTTACTTCAGAGGTAACTGGTCGGTTCCGTTTAAGGCAGAAAATGAAAAGCTGTCTACTTTTTATAAATCAGAAACAGAGAAGAAGCAGACAAAATTTATCTGTTCAGAAGAACAATTTGAATACGGTCAAGTGCCCGATTTAGATGCATGTGCTGTAGAACTACCATATCAGGTAAATTTAATGCAATTTGATCAATTGTGCACGATAATAAGTTCTTTTTTGGTAGGGTGGCAAGTATTCTCTTCTCCTTGTGACTCCTAATTCCCGAAATGGACTTTCAAAACTCGTATCAAATCTATCAGGGTACTCGTTAGCGGACATTGGAAAACATCTTACTAAGAAATCGGTGAATGTCTGTATCCCTTCATTCAAATTTTATTCAATCACAAGACCTAAAGCAGCCCTCATGAAAGTAAGTTGGTTTTTCTTTAAAATCTCATTAAATAGTTTTAAAAAAAATCATTAACAACTGGTCACTAAACACCACACATTTATTTTAGTGTGGAATCAAGGATATATTCAGTGAAGCAGCAGATCTTTCAGGCATCTCAGGAACCAAAGGTCTTTATCTGGATGATCTAGTACAACTGGTAACATTAGAAGTTAGTGAAAGTTCTGGAAACTATAATTTCCTGACCAGTAAGTTTTTTTTTGTAATCTTACACACAAATTTATCTAATTATTTATTACTAATTTACCTATTTGTAAACATTTAGGCAGCAGTGCAGAAGAACTTCGTCAAATCGAAACAAGATCATCTGTTGAAAAGTTTTCAGCCGATCGTCCGTTCTTGTTTTTCCTCAGAGACAGAGTCGATAATTTGGTCGTCGTTGCAGGCAAAGTGCATGATCCTGTTGCCCCTGATGAAGAAGCATGAAAAACTTAGACAAAAAGTTGCTTTATCTCACTTTATCTGACTAGTCGATGTCGATCTTCATGTTTTTTTTTTCTTTTATTAGGCTACAAATCAGATATTATTTATTTAATTCAACAAATATTTATTGTAATGCATACCTTATAATGAAAAAACCTGAGGATCAAAATATTTCAATAAAACATATATAGATTGTATTTTTGCAATTGATATACAGACTCAAAAATGTAATTGAAATTAAATAATGATAATATTAATAATAATAATAAATCACAGTTCAAATTTTATTTTACAAAAATCTTCAATCAATCACAGGCACCAGAATTCAATGTGATCTCTTCCATTGCTTTTCTCACAAGTTCTTGTAGGTAGGGGGGAAGCGCTTCATCATTATCTGGAACTTGAACAATTCCTCCTTCTTCTAAATTAATTTAATGAGATTAAAAACATAAACATGAAATTATAACAACCAAAAATATTATCCCACCTGTGTATTCTTCTTCCGGTTTATTTGTAGCCTGCATATTTTCTTTGGAAAAAAATACTCATTTATAGTTTTAACATGATTATTTATGTGATGATTAATATAAATAAAAAATTTAAATTATATATACCTTTGTATTCTTTTACAATGTTGTTAAGATTTTTGTCCATTTGCGAATTGGAATGCCCTTCGAGGAGTATTTGAGATGGGAAAACTGATGATCGTTTAGACAATTCTGTCTCAAGAGCGTTGACTCTATCAGCAAGTATTCTATCAAATAACATTAGTACAAAGTGAAAACAATTTTAAAAGATTAATTTGATATTAGTTTATTATGTAAAACATTAATTTAATTAATTTTTCCTCTTACTTGTTGGTTTTTCTAAGGTGCAAAAGAGCTAATGTTTTATCCTGTAGTGACTCAAGAAGGGCGAGAGAGAGACTCCGTAGATCACCCATAGCCAGTTCTAAATTCTGCGTCTTCCAAAACGAAAAGTCCTTTTCAAGGAGCTGCTGCACTGGCATACAAGGCATAGATTAAACAAAAGCAAACTTATTTGTCAGCAAGCAAACTGCTGAAGATATTCTAATTAAAAAACAAAAAAGCAAAAAATAGTTACCTTGCTTATGAGTGACAACAAGCCCACCACAAGTATTGTTCGCACCCAGTTTCACAGTACCTTTCATTTTTTTCTTATCAAGCATTGCCTAATACAATAATAATAATAATAATTTTAACGTTTAAAAAGTAGTTTCAATAAGCACATATTTACTTTATATTTACTAAGCATTTGCTGAGTCATTTCTTTTTCGGCTAAAGATTGATCAAACCTCTCCTTTAAGTACCTAAAATCAAATATTAATTATATGAAGTTTATAAAACATAAACTTGAATGCAGTACTTGTTTTCAACGATTAAGGCATCAATATCCATGGGTATTTTTGATTTTAACAGGATGGAGATTTCATGGTTGAGCCTATGGACTTTACATCGGTAGGCATCTCGTTCTGTTACAAGTTCTTCCTTCTCATCGATTAAAGCCTGGAGATCCGACGCTAGTTCTCTTGTCCTCAGCTTTGACTCTTCCAGTTCTTGGATGAGTTCTTCCCGCTGGTGCCATGCTACGCCGCTATGACATTCTCGCTCTTTCCTAAGTTCTTTCAATTCGGCGTGGGCTGCTTTTAATTTTTTTTTAAGTTCTTCAACTTCAGGCGAAATGACAAAACGTCTCTCATTCTTGTGAGGCAAGACATCTATCACTTCAAAATCAATAAATTCCTGTAGATGGCAAAATACTTACTAATTAAATAAATATTTGTATTAATACAATAATTACACCTTTGGCTCTTTTGTTATTTGCTTTTTGTCAATATATTCCTTGAAATAGTCTCTTTCCCTTTTACAATTAGCAAGTTCACGGCTCAATATAAGAAGAGCTTCAGCTTTGCTTTGTAGTTTTCGTTTAAGAGCAGCATTCTAAAAAATTAATTGAATAGTCAAATAGAAAAAAATTAGAACAATGCTTCCTTAGGAAATATTTATGTTGTAGGACTGAAGGCAATAATTATTATAAAACAATGGTCTTAAACCGTATTTCTTACTTTGCCCTATTTTTTATTACATATTGACAAACATTCGTAATACTAACTGAATAAGTTGAATAAAACTACTTTAATGAGCTTTTGAATTGTAAAAAATCTACAAAACCACACTATAATTACTCGCAATGCAACATGCTATCTTTTTCTCCCATTTTCAATAGTTTACTATTTATCTTCCATCTCCATTTATCCTTAAAATTAGCATTAAATATTATATAAAGATAACATGAAAAGTGGCTTTGCACATCAGAAGCAAAATAACTGGGAAGCAAAAGAAAGCTGAAATCATCATATGAAATATTTTATTATTTAAAAGGCACAAATATTTTGAATTTTTATTGTTGTTTGCATTTGTGATATGTTGTAATCCTATATTTATTAAATGCACATGTTTTGTTCTTAATACATTTCTTATTATATAATTTTGAATAACTATGCCCTGCAATTTTCTGGCAATTAGTTCCAAATTAGTATTAATCCCTTGGAAAATATTTGACGGTACAACAAAACTAATATTAATAAAATTTTACTTTTAGATGATCTTCTTTTCCATAGATTTATATTTAAAAGTCTTAAAAAATCTTGTAGTTTGAGCAATCCTGATTTTTATTCACGACTTCACCTTCATTGGTTGGTATTTAAGTTCTTTTATCATTTGTTTATGAATAAGATGTGTCAGTGTACAATAGGTGGTCTGTCTATATTGTTCACTGATGGCACAAATACAGCAGAATGCTAAAATGCAGAAACAAAACCAGCAATGATCAGGATTAATCAGTGCAATTTTACACAGTTATTTCCGGAGTTCCTTAAGTTGTTTTGAAAATTTATTTTTTATTTTATTTATTTATTTTGGCTTTGTCTCAATGCATCGGCCATTGAAAATTTATTCTTAAAATTGTATTGGACTAGTAAATGGTGCATTGCTTTTGTGAATAAAAGAAGCATGCAATAAATAAAAAATGGACATAGTTCTTGTGAAAATTAACAGATAGCTCGTCTTATTGATTCAAACTTGTAAAAAGGTTTATGATAGAAGTTTCCTAACAACTTAGGCTAAAAATGATTTTATATTAAAAACTTTGTCATACCATTCTGGTCTTAACGTTTTTCAGTGTAATTTAGAGCTATTGCAAACACCATTTTGTTTTTAAAGTTATTCAAAGGTTTAAGCAGCAAAGGAAAAAATGCCATAATTTATGTGGATAAAGTAAACAGGCAATTAATTAATTTAAAAAAAAGCACAACATTTATGCATAGAGTGGGAACGATATTAACATATTACATTATTTATTTTTATCTTAGTTCAACTTTAATTTTCAGCAAACACAAACTTAAGTTTTGTACAAGCTGAAACTTAAGGAATGCCATTACTAAATCAAATGAAACAAAATAAACTGATTAAAAAGCTAACTCTATTATCTGGGTTTTACATATCTAAGCTTTCAGATGCCATTACTTTTGTGGATAAAGGAAGCAAGCAATATAAAAACTGCACAAAGTAATCGTAGACTGAATCATAGAATGTATTGAAATTGTGTCAGGGATTCAAATATTTAGGAATACGTATTAACAACATAGACTAACAACCTTTTTAAGCAATTCTGAACTTTCTTTTTATCTCAATTAATTATTCTTTTTATGTAAGGTCTTGGTTGAGATGAAAAAGTTAGCTCAATACGCTGCTGCTCTAACCGCTTGAGCTATCGTGACCTCCATCTACTCTGACACCAACTCCCCACCTCAACCTACAGCCTTTAGAATTTTACTCCTTTTTGCTATTTTTCAAATGTCGTGTAATCAGGATTCGATTCTCAGTGACTTATGAAAATTGTCATGGCAAGCTGTCAGTTAAGTGATTACTTCTTTTACTTATATTAATCCATTTATGTTCAGTGGTCTAATTAACAATATTAATTATTTCAATTAATTATTCTTTTTATGTAAGTCTTGGTTTAGATGAAAAGTTAACTCAAGTTGTTAGAGAAGCGGTGTATTGAGCTGAAGGCCGTGGGTTTGAATCCTGTTCGTGACACTCACTTTTTCATCTTAACCAAGACCTTACATAAAAAGAATAGTTAATATGGTCAATTAAACACTAAACATAAATGGATTTCTTTTTATTTTTATATTCTTTTTAGTTCATTTTATTTACCGCAAATACAATTTTTTTTTTTTTACAAGCTGAAATTTAAGTAACTTCATCAAATAAACGAAACTTATAGAACTGATAAAAGATCTTATGATTACTTATACTTTTAATCTATTGCCAATGCATAATTTTTTTTTATATTTTAACTGGTTAAGCTTTCAGGGTGAGTGATGCCATTACTTTTGTGAATATAGAAAGCAGGAGATATAAAAATTGCACAAAGTTTTCGTGTAATGACAGAAAAGTATGGAAGCTCGTGTCTTATACAATCAAACTGATAAAAGCCAAAAGGGCTTATGACAGGAGTTGTTCTTACTTCGGCAGCAAGGCTCTCATCATCCATAACGTCTAATATGTCATAAGGCACGTCGAATCTTTAAATATGTCAATCTTTAACAGGAAATGTCGTAAATCGTCAAATTTGAAATACAAGCATTCTACGACGCAGCTGTTACAAGTAGAAAATCAATTTTTACAGACGGGCCTTATGAATCGTCGGGTTCGTTCTCTCCTCGGGTCTAGTCGGCCGTGGCTCTAAATGCAAAATGGGTAGAAGGAAGGAGTGTTTTTAATCAGGGTTTTATGTTTATCAGAAACTGGAAGAATCGCTCGGTGATCTCGGTATTTCTTCAATTCCGGCCTTTTTCCTTTTCCACCGGCTGGTCCATCGAAGGAGGCTGCTGGAGAAATGACCCGACTCGTTACACGATCCGTCTTCTTTAATTTCAATAAACTTCGACTGTAAATATGGAGGTCGCCTGTCTAGGGTGTTTACAGTGCCTAGTCCTGCTCCTAATGGCTTTCTTCTAGGGCGTTATTTAATGTCTCTGCCCTGTTTGGTTTATCGGGAAAAACGACCGTGAAAATGAAAGGTAAGATGGGACATTTTTTTTCTATATTTTGTCCTATGCCAAATCCGATACAATATCGCCCAGTTCTAAATCAATCCCTGTTATTACACGATTATCTGGTCATTTCTTGAAACATAAACACCGTTTTATTATTTATACCGTGTTATTTACACAAGTAGTTTCTCCATAATTTTTATTCAACTTAATACAACTTATCTTAACTTCTATTTGTTCAAACCCTTTCAGACGACCAGTTAAAACTGTTTCTGTGAACGAATCGAGCTCCTTCAATGCTATACGATCGTCTGTGAAGTTTATCACAAGATTCTACCATAGAATGACTTATCAACATTTCTGATAAACATAATCTCATAGAATACTAGGCTATAATAGAGTGGATTTGGGCTTATAGATGGCAGCCAGGATACTACTACATGTACATACTTTCAAACACATGAAGAGTGGAGCCTACTTCCCACCATCCGCTGGCAATTCCAGCTTTTGCAATTTAAATTGCTGGCAGGACCCGAGGATCACCCAACCCAGATGTTGGTAGTCATCCGGATGCTGTCGACATTTAGGTCAATTCAGCACCCAATGCATGCAGTTCCAAACCCATTCACATGAGTATTGGATAGTCCTTCATTATCCTCTACACATTTTATACAACTAACCTAATTTAGGGTCGATGGGTTATTCAGTATTCCGCCATCGACATTCTCACACCACACATTCATGCCATAAATACATCCACTTTCAACACACGCCAGGGGTACAAAACTATCAGTACTATATACAACTAAACCATATATAACTTAACCTAATTGAAGGTCAATGGGTGTACAGTATTCCTCTATATCCCTCTCACGTTACACATTCATGCTAATACATATATTCACTCAGCACATGCTAAGGACATAAAACTATGTGCAATAAAAGAACTGTTTCCTCCAAGATATAATAGAAAGGAGGTTGTGTATGTATGTTCTATTAAGAATATGGTGATGGTGTTAAAATCCATTTCTGTGGAAGATAAGTTTCGTTGATTGTAACGTAGTGGTTTTGGGGAATTTTCATTCATGTGAATGAAAATTCCCCAAAACCACTACGTTACAATCAACGAAACTTACCTTCCACAGAAATGGATTTTAACATACATATATATATTTGCATTGCTAATCATCATACATTGGCTTATACTTACTCTGGCTTTTCATCTCAGAACAACTGGGGAAGATGGATGAATGCTGAACTGTATCAGACTGGCAAACACAACAAGAATATGGTGATGTGAGATGACGAAATGGCCTCTTATCAACATTTCTGATAAACCATAATTTATAAGAAAAAGTATGTTTATATATATGTTATGTATGTCCTTGAAATATCGGCTATTGTTTTTAATAGGTTTGGTTTGGTGGAATAAATAATGAAGTGAATAACTTTGGTTCATTTCTGTGCAAGTTATTCAATATGATGGTTTATAGTTTTTCTGTAAAATTTAATAATCTTTTTCACAAATTTTTGTTGGCAAGTTGCATCAGAGCAACCCTAGTTTGAAGTCTGCAGTGTGATGTACCTATTTGATCATTTCTTGTCTATTTAGTCTGACTTATTTTCATTGGCTTTGTCTATAAAACATGTTTCAACATACCACCTTCAAATATCCTACCTTCATAATCAGTAGAATGGTTGTGTGATTTATTCGAATTTTATATGTGTAAAGAAGCAGCAGCTCCACTCCAGAGTTCATAAGAATAAGTTCAATTTTTTGACTGTTTTTTGAATCATCAGTTGGGGTAGAAAAAAATAAATAAAGCTTTATTTAGTTGAGTATTTTATTTAAGAATTGGGGTGTATAGCAGACTGTTATAACCAACTCGTACCACTTAAAACAATCAGTATTGATGAAATTGTATTTCAAAATCATGACTATGTATATTGAATACTTTATCAGAAGATAGTGTAAAAAAAATCTAATTAGGTACTACAAATTACAGGATAAATTGAAGATAACATTTGCGTACTAAATGCTGATAATATTTGTGAAAAATAATTGCTAATGATTCTTATGTGACATTTTCTAAGTAATGTTAGAGAACCTGGAGTTTTTCTTAACTTGAGGCAGGTTCATAATTTTAGTAGCTTGTATATATAGATTTCTGTTTAAACCTAGAAAATCATCTTTTAAAACCTACTTAAATTAACTTCCAGTTATAAAAGGGTAAAACAATAGATATTCCATTCCAAACATCTATGTAGTTCTTTTTACTGTGTATGTATATGCTTTAATCTATTAACAGTTAAAAATAAAAATATTCTTATATTATTTTGATTACAATTTAACTAGATTTAAAATTGTACACACTTTTCACACATGTACATATTTATACGAAGGAATATAATATATGAAACCTGTGAATATAAATAATACTTTTTTATGTTTAAACTTTATTGTGGTTAAAATAAAATTAATAATTGCATATGTTGATTTTTTTTATATAGGTTTTGCAGTGTTATGAACGTAGTTGGTGCGCTATTACCGTGTGTTACCACTGGATGCTGGGATGCTCGTATGACGAACACTATGGGAGCTGGAGCTTCTACGCCACCTGGCGTTGCCGACAGCCCCTCTCCGTCAAACACAACTGAACAGCTTGCTATACCACAAATTAGGTATGGTTTTTTGTAAATTGTTTTCATTTATTTTATTTATGTTTTTATATATATATTTTTTTTTCTTAAAAGGGAAAGGAAAAAATTGAAGGTTACGGGCTTTGCTACATTGAGAAAAAAGTTGATGCGAAGGCGTAGATCATCGAAAGCGTGCGATCATGGAAGGGTAATAAGGGATGCAGTGAGCGATTGGAGTGGATTGGAGGTAGCCGCGCTCCTAGAAGAGTACGAGGCATTAGCTGCCCTCAAAGATTTGTCAGTTCAAGCTGAACTCGCAAGACCACCTGCGGCAACATTCAAACAAGACTTATCGACACTTTATGATTTCAAATACTGCACAGATGTCGATTTGGTATTTAGGGGTGCCTGCTTTCCAGTACACAGGGCTATTCTTTCTGCCAGATGCCCTTATTTCCGGGATCTCCTTGCTGGATGCCCTGGGTAGGTTTCTTTATTTAGGTTTTCATGTTATATATCACTAACAGGAATATTTCTCGTGTTAAGTTTTGGTGCTAGAATTTGCCTTGAATTAAGAACGGCAGGTGTGGACGTAGAGATGTTTTCAGCATTGCTTCGATACCTTTACACGGGAGATTTAGGAGGAGGTGGTACTACAGTCGATGTAGGGCTTCTTCACAGACTAGGAGAGGAGTTTGGTCATCCTAGTCCTTTGGAACATGATTTAAGATATTTATTAGAAACTGGTACTTATTAAAAAAATATTTGTTGTATTATTCAATATAAAACTGTGTAAATATTTTTCAGGTGATTATGCAGATGCTGCTTTGGTATTTACTTCGGAAAACACATCTGATTATCATCGCCCAGATTCTGGTAGTTCAGAGTATGGCTTCAGGCCCAAACTTGAGTTACCTTGTCACAAGGCCATACTCAGTGCTAGATCGCCTTTCTTCAGAAATCTCATCCAGCGAAGAAGCAGATCTGGTGAAGAGCACACAGAAAGGGCACTTCACATACCAACAAGGTATTTACACCTTTCAATTTTATATTTAGTAGTTTATTAATTTTGGTTTTATGTTTAGAATTATTCTTGATGAGAGCGTGATCCCAAAGAGATACGCTAGAGTACTTTTAAATGCCATATATTTAGATTCAGTGGATTTATCACTCATATTGCGTGGAAGCGGTTGTGGAAACAGTGCTGGAAGTTTGAGTGAGGTAAATGGTCTTTTCATTTAAAATAAAACTACCTGTCACTGGAACAATATGATTTCCCTATTTAAGGTGGAAGCTTTAACTGGAAACGGTCGTGCTAGACCAAGCGCCCTTGAAGAAGCAATGGAGCTTTATCAAATAGGACGATTTTTAGAACTTGACATTGTTTCTCAAGGATGTGAAGATGCCATTTTAGAATGGCTTACAATAGAAAATCTTCCAGGTTGGAAAATTTGTACATTGAGTTAATTATTGCTAAAATTAAAAATAAATGTATTTGCAGTTGTGTTACGATGGGGATCACAGGCCCACGGGTCAGCTTGGGTCCTGCGTCAGGCACGGCATTTATTAAGGGAAGAGTTTACATCAGTCGCACACACTCAAGTACTCCATCAGCTTGATAAGACAGATTTAGTCGATGCCCTGTCCTCTGATTTCTTGCAAGCCAGTGAGCTTGAAGTTCTCCAGGCTGTTCTGAAATGGGGCGAGCATCAGTTGGTACGAAGGATGGAAGATAGAGGTAATATTTTAATATTTATTTTTTAATACAAAATCTAATTAAAGAGGAAATTGACTTTTCAGAACCAAATATTGTAAGTCAGACTGCACATTCAGTAACAAGAAAAGGTGTTAAAAAGCGAGATCTGAGTGACGTGGAACTGAGAGAAATTTTGTCAGAACTGCTTCCACTTGTTAGAATGGACCATGTTATTCCGACTTGTTCTGAAGCTCTCACCCAAGCCATCAGGCGAGGGCTTGTTTCAACTCCTCCTAGCCATATGATTGGATCAGATAGAGGAGAAAGGCTAAATGCTTGGGTAAATCTCTTTAACTCATACAGTAAAATTAGAAACTAGTTATACACTTTGTAATAAGGTAATAAACATACATTATCTGTAATAATTCTTGCCGCCTGCTTGTTGCTGGTTTTGTCTGCCAGATGGGCAAATTTCAATTGATAGACAAAGCTAGCAACAGTACAGTAGGGACACCAGAATCAAGGACGGTCAAGTATGATCAAATATCAATAGGATTAATTTCTGCCATTAACCTTGTTACATCCAGAACTCCCTTGGTAATTCTGATGCAGCAGATGCACAAAACTCAATAGAGATGGGGTGGGTTCCTTCTTGAGCTTTAATTCATTACATGCCGTGTTATTTTTTCTTTGGGTGGGAAAATAATAAGACCTGGGTAGGGAGAAGGAAGGGAAGAGGTGCAAGTTTATAGAGGGGAAGGGAAGAAAAGAAAGAAAAATGGAAAAGAAAAAAAAATTGGCCACTTCGATCCAGAGACCTATAGGCTAGTTCTAACCACTTGGCCACTGACACTAAGGTCAGCTCAGTCTCTGTCCTTCACACCTATCTTCTAGTGGCTACAATTGTAGCTCTATCCCCAAGTAAATTAAGGGATAGTGATGCAGGGCACCTCAAAATAAGGAGAAAACAATTAATTTAATAATCTTAATTTCACAGTTTGCTTAGTCGAATCTCCCTGGTGCTTTTTCATAGGCTGGGGAGAACCTTGCTATTTTGTAAGAAAAACTTTGAAGGAATAAAATAAAATACATGTATACAACCTAACCACTTACAATATGATGACTTATAAAATGACCCTGGAGAACTTAAAATAAGTTTCGTTCACAAGTTACAGAAAATCTCCAAGTTAAAAAACCAACCTATTCAGGCCTGATCGACATGATGAAGGGAAAAGGCAATTAATTATGCTTCTGTAAAACTATAAATACTACCTTCTCCCGAAATTCCTTGGAGGTTCTTTTCACTTCCTACTGATCTGGCTTTTTTCCTCCACGGCAGAAAATTGGAACTAGGGGATTTAACTGGCGAGCCATCCTCTTGCAAGTGAACTGCCAATTCTTGATCGGGCGTCCCAGAATCAACTCAGGGATGAAAACACGCTTCCTGCTGGACTTCAAATTTCTGTCTCCTATTTTTTATTAACAATACAACAAGTACTTTGAAATATTTACATAGGTTTCTCTTAGTCTTTTCTCTCTAACTCCAAACTTTGTTACTATATAACCACCTTTGTACTACACTCACACAAACTTTAACACAAAACATTGATAAACAAGCATATATCCAATGCTCACAATTTTTTTTTCTAAACTTTGAGCCGGGTGCCCAGAGATCAATTGCTGTTCTCAAGAATAATGTTCGTATCGTGTGGCCTACCACAATGTGACTTTTGTTCTTTATTTGTAGTAATCCAATTGTATGTTTAACAACATTTAAAACAAACCAACAGAAAAAAAATTGAACTACTTATGTTATTTATCCAGGTGAGAGCTACAAACACAGGCATATTTGTGAGACCAAGACTGTTCATGCCATACTACGAGGAAATCAAGGCACAAGTGGAGGATCAACTAGTCGGGGAAGGAGAACTAATCAGGCTCCGTAGGGCGAGGTATATCCCTGATATTCCTGATACGCTTTATATGGTTGAAGAGAAACCAAGGCCTGCTCCTGGGATCGATATCATTGCACAAGCCATACCAGGTTTTTTTTTTAAATATATTTTTCCTTTTGATTTACTTCTATACTTAATAAATTGTTATTCCCAGTACCTGACTCAAGCACGATGAGTGCTATGTTAAAAAGGGAACAAAAGTTACGTCAGTCACCGAGTTGCCAAAGGGCCATTGCACTCCCACTATCATCCCGCCATGAGATAAACCGTCAACTTAGGCTCAGAGTAGTAAGAGAATTCAATTTGCCAGATGCTGTAGCTCATTTGCTAGAGGTAAATTTCAACCTGATTTTCTATAGTTCACAATTCAATCATGTACGTTTTTTGCAGAGTGCGTTGTGCTATAGAGTAGAAGAAGAAGAGGAAGTATTAGCAGATAGGAAAAGTGTTTTGATGAACAACAGTTCAACAAGAGGAGGACAACAAACTCATCACAATAGCAGCAGTGGATTATCACGAGCAATGACGTTTCCAAGACATCAACACCACGTATTGCCCGCTGTCGTTACAGAAGGAGATCATTTATTGCGGCCTTACCCTACTCAGGTATCGTTAATTTCATTTTTATATATTACATAGTAATATTTATATATTAGTTATTTTATTACGGTAATATTTTCAGTGGGCAGTAGAGAGGAGTGAGGGTCATTTGTCCCAGGTGATGCCTGATGTCGCAATGGCCACAGGCTCTCTCGGCGATAGCAGTGATTCTGATGGCTCTCAGCTTGGCCTAGACCTTGGCGATGGCGCTGCACACTTGCAGATGAGCCTGCCTCGTCACCGCAGGGCTTATCCACCTCCGCCTCCACCTCCACCACCACCCCATCGCTTCATATAGCACAACAGGTTTGACAATTGTAACATTTATTCAAGTTATTACTTTTAAACTTTGGTTCTTTGTTTTTTTAGAATACGAACGCAGTTCAAACCTAATTGGGGAAACTGAGTTCAGACCTCGTTTTTTTTGTTTTTTTTTTTAAATTAATTTATTTTTGTTTAATTTACAAGTATTGAATGTTTTTGTTTCTTTTTATTTAACGTTTTCTTATACTCAATAAGTGTTCATTATTTTTCTGTTTGTTGATTTTTTTCATATACTCTTTATTGAAATAAAATAGACATTTTTGTAATTCTCAAATCGGTTCTTCGACAAATTCTTCGTTGTGATTTGTTATCTTCAGAATAAAAATGTTAAATGAGAACGTTCTGTTTTGAAAAAAGACGTGTTATATCCATATAGTCATATTTTTCCACCAAAATTTCACGTTTGAAACAAAATTGAATAACTAATTTTATATTTAAAAATATTGAAATTATGTCATAAAATTTATCTTAAATATTTTCATTTTGGTTAACAAATATCTGATATTTTTCCTGTAAACATAAAATCTATCAATAGCATCATTGCATTTTTAGTGCATGTATTGTTATTTGTAAGTCAACGAAACAGAATTTTCTTATATATAAATATTGAGCTTTTTTTACAAAAAAAAAACTTTCTTAAAATGATACAATCACGATAAGACGAAGCAGTTATATTTTTAAACGATATCCACAGTGGTCTATTGTGCGGTGATAAATGTAACTTATTAATTAATTATATTAACTTTTTAAAAAGAGAAGAAAGACCTACTCATTGATAAAATGTTGCCAAACCGAATAGTGAATCTGTGTTGCTTCAGGATTATCGAAGTAACAAACTTTTGATGTCGCAAGTGATATAAACTATCATTTCTTTATTGCTATAAAGACAACTGTCATAATGACAGAAAGTTAGCTTAAAACCTAGAAAATTATATCTCAGCATTTTTTTAATAATGCTAGATATAATTAAAAAAAGAGAAAAATGAATGAAAACCGATTCTAAAAAGGAAAAGAAAGAAATGTGTTAATGGAACATTTTTTTAATATATTGTAAGTACTTATTATTTGATATACTTAATTTGAAATTTGTTTTCCAGAAATGGATTTATAACTGTGATAAAAAAAGAAATGTATTTGATAAGTTATTACTGTTTATTTAGTGTCACAATCCAATCCCAATTATTTCATTTAAACAAATATTAAAATATGATATGAAAATATGAAATTTACCTTTTTAAACAAAATAAAAGAAAAAATTATAACGTCATAAGACATCAACTTTATTCTAACTTCTTTCACCACAAACTTGTACATATTTTTTTATTGTAATATTTATTTTATTTGGGGAAAAATATTTATACTTGCTGTTATAGCTTTGTAAATAAATTCAGTAACGTTGTTTACTGAATGTTAAAAAAAAAAAAATCTTCGCTCGAGACAGAGAATTCTGGTTGTTAGCTGCAAAAGCAATTTTTAAAGACTGGTTTTAACCTTATACCTTATTTTGTATTTAAAAAATTTAACTGAAGCTTGAATAATTGACTACTACAAATGTGTATCTTGGTATAAGTGGCATTTTATATTGGCATATTTTCTTTAAATTGTTTCATTTTGATTCCAAACATTGATGGGAAAAATATGTTTAAATTCAGTTTCCATTTGTGTCGATTATGCTTAGCGTATTTTATTTTTTGCATAACATTTTTGTGAACGGAAATCTTTAAAATTTTACATTCAAAAATTAAAAACAAAAAAATAATACAAATATTTGTGACTTACTATGGTTTTTTTAAAAATGGTAGATTTGCTGTCTCCGTATATTGGTATATTTATAGTACAAATAAGTCAAAAGTAAATTATGTATGTGTATATACTACATATAAAAATTATATTTAATTATACAAATATTAAAAAATAAAATTTGTGTACAAAGGTTATTGTGTATGGTTTAAAAGTTAAAATGTAAAATAGAAGAGAAAAAATGTTCAAGGTATCTCACATTTGAGTCGTATTTTTTTTTTATGTTAATTGGTTAAGCGTTAATGTATTAATATTGTGATTTTTGTTGACCTATTTTCTTATGGGCCTTTTTTCCCCTGAAAGGACCAAGTGGATGTTTAATTAATTTTATATTATTGTTGTAAAAAATATTCAATTGAAAAACATTGTTGATTATAAATATTACTATATTAACTTATAATTCAATAGATATCATTTTCCACACTTTTTTTTAAATATTTCTTTATAACCCTTTTTCCCTATTTTTAAGTTTATTTCATGCTATACAGTTGCATAAGAGATCAGTGTGGATCACCCAGCCAATATGTAATAAACTGTCTATTACAATTACACTAAACTAATAACACAGGACAGCATACATGAAAAATAATCTTAGAACAAATCTGTGACTGAGCTGTTCATATTCCTGTGTAATCTGAGATTGCCTACATGTCGTATCATGATTATTTGTAGAGCTGGTGAAACTCCAGGCATTGTACCATCATTTTATATATGAATTTTTCTCTAGCTGAGAGGAGTCTGTTTGGCCAGGGATCAATATTCTCACTTTTTGATTATTTATTTACAAGTAGTCTATGTTGGTTGTAAAATTTAACACGATGTCATCCGAGTTTATGCAAGGTGCTTCGTGCACGCAAATGTATATTAAGTATATACTGTTGGTACACTAGAAATTGCAGATGGATAGAGTAAATATGTAGTACGGATTGCATATTGCAATTTCTTAAATTTTTATTAGATAACTGGGAAACTTGTAGTCAATATCATGGATATTATTTGATCCATCCAATAATTTGACTTGCAAAGTATTAAAAAATGTTCCTGGTTTGCATGTGTATTAAGGGAAGGTGGTACCATGATAAAAAAAATTCAGAATTTTTGTGTACAAAAACATGTTCCCCTGCCTACAGCTTAGGCTGCTACATGACCCCACCCTAGCGTTATTTTGAATTGTACATCGAATTTCAGAGTTCGCTTTGAATCACTCCTTTTTTGTTGAATCAAAACCACTCAAAATTTGTCAGCTATGTAAAACTAACAGGCCACTTGGCCGATGGGAGGCAAGTCAGAAAGACAAGAGAAAAGCGTGTGAAAAATACCATGGTACCTTTTAACCTTCAGAAGGGGACGTATTACCGGTAATCAGCAGAAATCAAAAACTAAATAGTACATCATTATGTTTACAATATTTTTAGCTTCAGCTATTTTCTTCATGCTACGTTTGTTAAAGCAGTTCTTGAATAACTTTCAAACAATAGTTCTATTAAAATGGGTTCTGTCATCTATTTTGACAAAAGAAATAGCAGACATCCTGTTTAGCTGATATGCCATTGTCACCGAGCTGAAACAACCTTTGTTGCCCCAACCAACATGGCACTGATAATTGAGCAGTTGTTTAGTTGAATTTCTACATTCAGATCACTTGCTGCATCTTTCCAGTGGGCACCTCGCCCTACCTTAAAGTACAATGCATGTATTGCAATATTTGGAAGTTCTCACTTTTCGGAAAAGACAAAAACTTTGGAGCAGGTTATATTTAATAAACTGAATTACAATCTTTTTGTTTTATTATACTAAGCAAGAAAAAAGGTAAGATTTACATCAATAAAACTCTAAACATCGTGACTAAGGTCTAAACAATATATAATTTTATGTATTAATCAGCATTGGGGAATGCTTTACCATTAAAAAAAAAATGATAAAAAGACAGGTCAAGCTTTTCAAAAATGCTTTATATACATACACATATTTTTCAAAATCCATATTGGTATTCTCGTTTTTTTCCTCTTTTTTCTAAATCATGTGAATATTGAAAAAATAACCCTATATTCCAATTATATATTGGAAAAGTAAACGACATCCATTGCCAAACTAAATGATTGTTTATTGTTTAAAATTATAAAAAATAAAAAAATGCACCGACAATACACATCTACGCTTATGATTTATAGTAATTGTTTGTTAAATTCTTGAATCATTTAAAAATGGCTCTCTGACGAGTCAGAAAAACCGACTTGCCTCGCTATGGACCCAATAACCAGCCTTCATAGGAGTTATTCCAATCCCTCCCTCCCTCTAAAACACTTTTCACATTTTTTCCCTTAAATTGCATTTAAATTTTATTATACTAACACAAAAAATCAAAATTATTAAGAAAATAAAAATAAAATAGCAATAATGAAACTAATGTCATTATAAACTGGATGTCAAATGTGGGTTTTCTGTTATGGCAAACAGTTTGGTTCAATCGTCTTTTGGATCTGGCGACTGATCTCCGTTCTTTTCAACAGATCTACTCCTTGACTTGGACTTGTCCTTGCTTCCAGAACGATCCCTAAAATACCAAAATGTTGAAAATTAGCAACAGTATTAGTTGAAAACATATTTCGAATGAAAATAGTGCTTACATTGAATCATCACGTTTGTCAACAGAGCGAGACCGGGATTTAGACATCTTCTTGTCCTGCGATTTCGATCGTGACCTTGATTTTGATTTTCTATCATGCGATCTGAAAATAACAAAATAAATAAAAAACTCGTAACAAAAGTATTTTATTATTTTTAATGATAATAATAATAATGTGCATACTTGGATCGTGACTTGGACCTTGAACCAGACTTGGCTCTAGACTTGGACCTACTGCTCCTCCTGCTGCGACTTCTGGAGCTTCGCCTGCTGTGAGACCTGTGATTAGACCGGCATGATAAAATAGCAACACAATTTGGACAACGGATACATTACCTTGAGCGGGAGCGCCTACGTGAGCGTGAACGGGATCTTGACCTGGAACTGGATGAACGGGACCTCCTTGTCCTACGCCTGTCTTCTACGAGTTTGATGCGCCTCCCATTTAAGTCTGTATCATCAAGTTTGTCTAGAGCGTTTTTCATGTCAGAAAGTGTTGCAAACTCAACAACCCTATATAAAAAAAATAAAAAACATGAAATCAAGGAAAATTAAATCATTATTTTATGCCTTAACATACCCTTCATTTCTCCTATCCTTATGAGCATCTGCGTATGTCACTTCACCAGCTTGCCTCATATAATCCTTTAAATCCTATTAGAATACATAAAAAAGTTACTATTAGAATTTGTGAATCATTATAAAAATATAACAGTGAATTGAATTACGAAGATAAGAGTAAAGAACAAGATGTAGGTATCCTTTTTTTTTTACACGTAACACTAAAACAAGACCCTTTCTTAATTTTAAGTCTTAAAGAAACCCATTTGGAAAAAATAAAATAAAACTGAAACCCATGCCAGATTATTAATCAGCCTTTCTCATTTCTAACCCTAACATTAACATATTGTTTAACTTTATCAAATAAAATAAAATAAATAAAATAAAGAACAAATAAATAAAGTAAGTACACAACATTTGTTTATATTTTGTTTTAAACCTAACATGATTCTTCTTTGATGCAAGTAACCACATAAGTCATATTTGTTCTTCACAAAACAGGGTTTTAATCCAGGAGCACTTAATCTAAACCGGGTTTTTTCTATTAAAAAATTTAAAAAAATAATCCACTGCTAACCAACAACAGGACTATTTTCTCCTCTCCGCATTCCTTTCTCCAACTGGCACGATCTTCATTCTGGGATTATTCTCTTCTTACTACAGTCCAAACAAATCTTTTTCTCAGTCCAGGCTTCCAACAAACACTAGAATCGCCGATGATCCAAACAGGCTAGCCAGCACAAATTTACATTACAGTATAAAACCGATTATTTCAATAAATATATAAAATAACCCATAAATAAGAAGGAACCGAAATGAGGAACAACAATCATCAATTTACATTACATTGATTGCAAAAGCAGTAAATCATTCAAATTATACAACAGATACTCAAATACATATAACAATTTTATGAACATATTTTAATCACCAAGTTTAAACTAAAAGCTGGTAAATTGAATGAAGTTCACAGCTAATAGAAAAAATACAATTTTAGTTTAAACAACATAATTTGCAATGACTGAAAGTTAACACCTAACTTTTCTTTGTCCTCTTAATAATAAAATACTGCTTTTGCTTACAACAATTACAATTTTCCGCATACACTAACAATTTTTTTTTTTAATATTTATACCTAGTGAGCACAAATAATATGATTAAAAGACATTGATTAAAAAGAAAAAATCAATTCCAACCACAGAACCAAGATCAGCACTACAAAAATATTTTCGTAAAAAACATTATTTTTTAGTTCAATTTCTAAAACTTATTAATAATGTTTTTTTTTTGTTTTTTTAGCAGAGTGGATGTTTTTGATAATTCAATTGACTACAACAGCAAAATAAATCCATTATTTTTGCCATCTATGAACACAATTTTTATTTCCAACTACCCTTGGAAATTTGTTTATAACAAGAAAAAAGAAGACAATATTGAGAAATATTTTCATGAGGCCTGTGAAATGATTCTGAAGCTTGATCATCAACAATCATCCTGGTCAGTAGGTTCTCGTTGGTTTTGTCTGCTCAGATGCTTTTCAAATTACATATACTGACATCAGTACAATTAAATTTCCTACTACCTAACTCCTATTAATTCATGGTAACCGACATTGTCATAAACGCAGACTAACTCCGACATTTCACAGATAAAACCAGCAAGAAACTGATACGATCTGACACGATGTATCAGATGAAAGGTATTTTTCAAACCCTTTAGTTTTCCATAATTTTTGTTATTTTCTAAAAAAATATTGCAGCATAATATTTGTGCTCTTTTTCCCTTTACTTATTAAAACTATTTACAAATATTACAAATTACAAGTTTTACACTCAATTTTTTACAATATAGACAACAAAAGTTGTAACAATTTAAAGCAATATTATTTTTAACTAAAAATAATGCTTTTTATGTTCAAAATAAAATTAGAATGTATAAATTTTCTTTTCTTCTATATTATTAAATAAAAGAGTGATAAAATAAGAGGCACATTCCCCAAAGGGCAGTGTTAAAACTTTTAAAATTAGAACAATAAAAATAATAAGTATTCAAAAACTAAAAGAGACGGGACTGATTTTAATTTTATTTACCTTCTCCTGCTTAACACCTCAAGAGGGTTGGAGTTGGGTATTGATCGGCCAGATCACACAGGAAGGGGAACCCATCCAAGAGAGATTGTGGGGGAGCCAGCGACACTCTAGCGAGTGAGTGAGTTACAGACAGCCGGAGTCATCATCCCTAAGGCGGCTCCCATTGACCGAAACCACTTCTCTCTTTACATTTTGTCTCATTCCATTCTGACAGATAAAGCCATTACGTCATCTGACACCCGGGTTGGTAGCCCAACAGAGAGAGCTCTAACTCTTAGAGAGGAAAACAGACATATATAAAATGTTCAACAAATAATTTTCAAACATTTCTTTTTTTTTTAAATGGCTGGCAAAATGTAAACAAAAAGAAGTTGAAAAAGAGAGTTTAAACAAAAATTGCAAGATTTGTCAAAACCACATTAGACTACAGGTATATTTATCGCTCTCTCTGTCTCTTTAGCACACGTTTGTCATCTCATCTTCGCTGGCTTAAACAGGGTGGAGAAAGGGTTGTCGGTCATCGGGGATCCTATTCCGGATGATATGTCATCTTCTATCACTTCTCTGCTTCTTCTTTTTTGTTTTTTAACATTTCAATTTCTCTCTTTATCTCTCTCTGTCTCTCATGGGCTCCCATCTTCTTTTCAGTCAATTTTGCACACGGACGGTTGGGATAAACATTTTCCAATGTTTTGGCCTCCTCATCAACCATCTCAAAATTCCGAGGGACTAATATGATTTTGACCAATCCAGTCTTTTTATAACTCTCTTTTATTCTCAACAATTTTTTGTTCAATTTTGTATGTAACAATTTATGAACATGAAATATGTTTACGTTTTTTCATGTGATTAAAAACTTGTTTCTCTTATGAAAGAAAACTAATTTGCACATTAAAAGCAAACTCACCTGCCAGCTAACCCTGCTTGAAAGATTCTCAACGATCAGTCTGTAATCTGTTCTTGTAGGAGGTCCATATCTGTTTTAAAATAAATGAAAACATTAAATTAAAAATAAAATAATGAAATAGTGACAAAGGATAGATAAAACTGCCCCCTTAAGAAAAATTTTTTACCGTAAAAGTCTGTTACCTAAATATGTAGTATATATATAGTAAAGTATAATATGTTGCCAGATAGTAAATGTTTCAGCAGTATTTACTAAATCAATAAAAGTGGGAAGAGTAAGCAAGTAACTTATTTCTTGTCTTCAAATTTTTACGCGAATGTTAAAAGTAAGGAAGAAAACAAAATCTTTAAGAAAAACCATTAAGGAATAACATTTATTGATTTATAATTTAAATTGGATGAAAAAATTAAACGACAAAAACTTACGACTATTTTAGTATTGCTTTGTTTAATTTAATTTAAATGCTAAAAATTTCATTCATGTCAGGACAAACATTTCTTGCTTACTTTTCAGATATGTAACATTTAATTCAGGAAAAGAACTTTTAAAAATTAGCATTTCAATATTTTTCATGGTTTCCCTCAATCAAGGTTCTCATTAATAATTTAAATAACTAAAAAGTCAAGAAAAACTAAAAAGGGAGCAGAATTCCACTTTTTGTTTACTGATTTTTATTTGAACAGTATTAACCAAAATAATTTCTTAAAAACTAACTTAATTTTAATGAAAAACATAAATGTGCATGTCTGAACAAACATATTTACTCGAATTTGTTGAAACAAAAAAGGTTTAAAATATTTTACTAAATTGCATAGGACATCGCATTATTTTGTTGCATGTTTCATTTATTTATTTATAGTTTTTATTTTTATAGTTCTACATGTCAAAAGTGGCGCGCTATTTGATATCATCGATGAAATTATTTTTTAATGACAATCTGAATTATTTTTATGTGACAATGAAAAGGTTTTTTTTAATTTTTTTCAAGCCTAGAAGATGTATTACCACTACTAATAATTTTTATTACCACCTCCTCTTAATATTTATAATTCGAGTAAATATGGTTAAATTTTGGAAGCATATTTTGTTTGTTTTAAGTTGCGAGTGAAGTTAATGAGAAAGAAATTGTTTTACTAAGTCTTACCTGTCACTACTGCGGAATTCAGGCTCCCTGAAAAACCAAAAAAGTTTGACTTTAGAAAAAAAGAAAAAATCGCCTAAGTACTTCAAATACTTCATTTTAATAAGAGAGGTTGTGGTACCTGTTGCGAGCTCGCCTGCGGGGAGGAGGAGGGTGTTGGTGTGCACGGCCACGCCAAACATCGCTCCCACGCGGAGTACCCCTCGCCTTCTCAACAGACACTCTGCAACAGACAACACGCCTCACCTTAGGACTTATATGAACTTTTAAGTTTTCACTTACTTGTACCAACCACCACCGCCACGACGGCTTCGGCCTCCGCCTCCACCGCCGCCCCCTCCGCCATAGCGATCCCCACCGCCCCCACCTCCTCGTCTAGCATTACCCCTTGCATGTTCTACGACTATCCTGAAAATTAACCGTTTCAATGTGACTAAAAGGGATATTTTACTGACAGCTTAATTTTCACGGCTCCATTCATCAACCCCTTTTTTTCAATTCCCTTGTATCAAGTCAGACACCAAATACTACAATTTTAAATTAATAGCACTTGGAAAATAAAACTTGAATTTATAAACAAGGTTCAAAAATATGGTCAAAACAGTCCAATACAGTTAAGTTTTTATCAATGCTTATAATTTGTAACTGTTTACAGTAAGAGAAAATTCTACTATTTTCCTCATTTGCTTTCTTTGATATTTGCCTCATGTCTCATACTGTAAATTTTAAAATACAAAAAATGTTCATTCTTGTGTCATTATGAAAAATCTCTCAGGGAAAACCAACAAGTCTATAAACATATAACACGGCAGAAAATTTATTGTTTGAAAATTGTGATGACACTAAATTATAAGAAATTGAACTGACTTCTCTTTATATCACTTTTGACATCCAATCCATTGCTTAATAACAAGTGAAGTTAAAAGGCAAAGTAAAATAATAAAATATATCCCCACCAACCCACTGACTTCCAAAATATACTGAAAAACTTAATTGGAACATTACAACCACAACTGAAAGTACCATGCCACCAAAATGTTGAACCCATTTATTTCCCCTTTGAAAAACCAATGTTTTTGTTGTATTTTCTTATTTTTGTTCTGTACAAACCTTTTTTTTCCAATCCAACCAAATACTCCAATCCACCGTGATTATTAGACTTACCTGTTCCATTATTCCTGAAAAATCAATCGCTACTCTATCTTTCTCTGTCACTTTATCTCTCTCATTCACTCACTCTCTCAAACACACGCGCGCGCGCACACACACACACACAAATCATTGTCAAACTTCTCCATTTCACTATCAGTCACACTCTCGCATCCCCAGGCATACAAGTAAAAAAAATAAATCATTATGCTTAATAGGGACTTGTAATTTGTTTAAAATATGAGCATTCAAATTCATTTTATTAATGTAATTTGGTGCTAAATTTTTTATACTCTAGGTTGTTGGTTTTCTATTTTTATTTATTTATTTTAATTAACTAAAACCCCAATTATTTTAGTGATTGAAAAATATGCCAAAAAATAATTAATTGGTATTAAAAGCATTTTTGCAAAACGGTTAAAAAGGCTAAATGTTTATAAATTGTCAATAAAACAATTTTAGTAGGAAAAAATCAAAAACAATGTTATAACAACATTTTCAAGAATTACCAGTTCATTAAAGTAAATAATTTTAATAAAAATCTATGCTAATAAAAATATCAACACACTGCTGTTGTTGATTTTTTTTTTTTTTTTTTAACTAATTTATTAATGGGTGAATATATCTAAGTGATTGAAACTAAACACAAAACTATTATTTTTACAAGTCCCTTTTTTTATTTATTTAAATTTTAGTAAAAAGACACCTTACCTTTCACCCAATAGTTCTTTTCCATTCAACTCATAAACTGCATCGTCGGCATCTCGATAATCATCAAATTCCTGTAAACAAAAGCACGTTTCTTTGTCAAACTAATATTTAAATCTACAATTCCAATATAAAAACAAAAGAATGAAAGCTGATTGAGTCTATCAGATAATATAGCTAATCAATGAAACATTCATAAGAGATGTCAGAAAAGTATTTTTTTAAGTTAACATCATTATAGACTCATGGTGGTAAATTCAACCAAATGTTTAGTAATTGAAGTGATAATATAATCATGTAATAAAAGTTAATTTGGTATTGGTAAAGTTCACAGATAATCCATTCAACTTTTTATAAACCTCAGGAAGTTATAATTCACATCTCTCTTGGGATGCACCTTGTCAATTTGTTGCATCTAAACTTAGCAAACAATTATTTTTATTGAGAAGTTTCAAATGTATCTCAAAGAGTTTTAATTTATTTGTCTTGCTTCCAATCATATATTGTTTATGCCTTATTGGTCTGGGGTCTCTCTAGTCATGCCAAACTAGTTTTCTAAAAACAACGTAAGGCTATGAAAATTTTAGAGAATTTAAAGTATAGGGAATGTTGCATAGAAACATTTACAAAATTTAACATTATGACTTTGCCAAGCTTATATACCTTACAATGTGTAACGTATTGTTACAAAGTGAGACTTTAAAAAAATTTAATTCTGTACATAACCAATATACGAGATACTATAAATAGTTCCTGAGTAGCTGAACCTTAAAAGATGTGAAAACTTGTAAATATTGGGCTATAACATTTTTTATCTACCAGATAATGTTAAAGGTTACCTGAAAAAAAATTTAAACTTAAAATAACAAAATTTCTCATTGTTAATGCCTTTTATGACTGCTAAGTTTTTTCGTGTATTAATACTGGTATAAAAATTAATTTGTACTATTCTTGACGAATATAACACAATAAAACTTTTCTATCTTCGTAAGAAATAAAAAGGGAAAATGAGTCTTTTTCATCAGATGTATAACTAATCAATTAAACATTCATAAGAGATGTCAGAAAAGTATTTTTTTATTATTAACATCATCATTATAGACTCTAGGTGGCAAATTCAACCAATAAAAGTGGTTTAGTTAAAGCTACAACATAAACAGTTAACACATTTTCTAGTCAATTCATACATAGTACACACAACTTGTCAAAAACCTCCAGAATGAAATAAAAATGGAGAATGAGTCTTTTATCAGATGTAATCTGTCTTTAATCAATGAAACATTCATAAGAGATGTCAGAAAAGATTTTTAAATTATCAACATTATAGACTCCAAACAGTTGAAAACAAACAATCAAGCTGTTCATAAAAAATATACGAAAATGTTTTAATTTGAGAAAATAGTTAATAGAAAAATTAAACATATTTAATACATACAGTAAGTCTAAAATTTATTCATATTACGTTTTATCAACACCTAAATCAATTTAACCAAAAGAATTCATCGCTATAATTCATGTATAGTGTTTATTTTTAGTGGAAAAATAAAAAATAAACCGGGGCATTCGAGATAAGAAAAAAATTGATAATGATTATAAATAAAATTAAAGCGTATTTCTTTATGATTTATAACTGTTAACAAGTGTACAACCCATTGTTAATAGTTAACAACAGGAGAATAAATTGTTACTTTATATTCGAGCTACCAAATAGAGTCAACCGATTGAACAGCGTTGCCTCAGAGTGCTCACTCGATGTACCATTACAGTCTAAAATAATTTGACTGTTTATTTCATTAACAGCTGAACAAATTTGACCAAAAGAATTAATAATTAAAATTAACGTGTTTATGTTTACAAAAGAAAACTAAAAAAACAAACTGGGACTTTTTATGTTCTAAGCATATTAGCCAATGACAGACAATAGTTATGCGTATTCTTTTTTTTGGGGGGAGGAAGGATATCGTGATAAAAAAGGCCAGAGGCGACAGCGGGAATTGAACCCATGACCGCGGGGTCTACGAGCCGAGAGTCTCACGCTAATCAGTCGGCTACCGCGGCCCCCAAACTAGGACACTGGAGATAAGGAAAAAAAGATTAATAATAATTATAAATGTTCAAAGTATTTCTTTATGATTTATAACTGTTAACAAGTGTACAACCCATTGTTAATTATTAACAACAGGAGAATAAAATGTTACTTTTTATCCGAGCTACCAAATAGAGTCAACCGATTGAACAGAGTTGCCTCAGAGTGCTCACTCGATGTACCATTACAGTTTAAAATAATTTGACAAGTTAATTTTATTAATATATAAACCATTTGACCAAAAGAATTAATAGCTCAAATTATTTCACCATGTTTATTCTTACAGTAGAAAAAGAAAAAAAATAAACAAGAGGTATTTGAGAAAAGGAAAAAATATTACTAATAATTATAAATCCATGCAGTTTAGCCGTCATAATTAACCATATTAATAATTTCAATTAAATATTCTTTTTTTTATCTAAGGTCTTGCTTGAGATGAAAACATTAAGTCATGAACGGGATTCGAACCTACGGCCTTTGGCTCAATAGCCGCTGCTCTAACCACTTGTCACGCGCTAACTTTTTTATCTCAACAAGGACCTTAGTTTTTAAAAAAAAATACGCATATACATACATAATTGAAATAATTATAGATATTAAAAATATTTCTTTGTAATTTATAACACTGTTTAGGGTGCTCACTCAATTGATTGGATCACAATTCTAGAAGCCCATGAAAAACGTCAATTCGTTTTTTTTTTGTTTTTTTTAAAGCTGAATGATTAATGAAAGTTCACCAATGTCGCAAGAACTTACCCATTCCTTGGTGTCATGTTATTTTATCTGTAAGGCAATTTTGCCCAACATTCACTGACCAAATTATTTCATGTTTAATTTTTATATTTATTTCTGAAAATAATTCTGACAAAACAAATTTTTCAGAAACGATTACTATAACATGAATATGTAAAAAAAAAAAAAAAAAAAAAAAAAGTGTAACGTATACATACATACTGTACCTGCAAATTAAGGCTTAATTATCCTACAGTACAATTTTATAAAAATAACGTTAAGTTGAATATTTTAATAAACATTTTATAGAAAGCTGAATGAATTTTGAACATTAAGCAATACTTTGAAAATTAACTGTTTTTTAAACCAGTTTTAGAAATTTATAGTTTTAAAGTAATTGGCCGACAAGCCATTTTCCACGTTTCATAACCAAAAAGTAATGCAACTATTAAAATGTTATAGAAAATACGGAAAAGACAATTTTCCGACCAGAGGAAAATCATACTTACGATGAAACCGTAGCCGTTTTTCAAAAGGATGTCCCTCGTCCTCCCGTATCCTTTGAAGAAACGCTCGAGGTCCCGCTCCCTGCAGCCGTAGGGCAAGCCGCCGACATAAACTCGGGATCCCACCATCCTGAAAAATATCCTATTGAAAATCTTTTCCAGATTTCCGTATTCGACAAAAATTGATTTCGACAGATGATTTTTTAAATATATATATCGTTTTTATAAGTTTTACAAACTTTGTACGAGGGAATATACGACAAAACGAGTCGGGTCCGGCTTAGGCCGACTGCGGGGCACGCGTTCGTAATGGCCGAACACGCTTCGTTTAGAGTGCGTTTTTTCCACCCATTAACTCGAATACTACAAAGTGAAATTACTCGCAGAAATAAACCTCTTTAAATTACCTCTGTGTGTGAAAAGAAGATAGCTGGTGGTCAAGTCAAAGACAGTATTTTTTCGGAGCGAAAGCAAAGTCCTTGAACAAAGCTTGCCTAGCTGGAACGGAAAAGCGACAGAAGTGGGAGAGAAGAGCGAACTAGAATAGCGACGACAACGATGTACGACAAAGGGATACTAAATTCACTTCCGCCAAAGAGATCAAACGAATTATAACTCAATTATTAACACAAAACCTAGCAAACTCGGTAATATTGAAGAAAAAGTCACTAATTCAAAAAATTTCAACATTTTTAACAAGTGTATTATAAAGAAAGTAAAATTTACACACAAAAGTAAACATAGTCATGATCAAGTATTATGCAAAATGGCATTGAACGTCGACCGCCAAATGAATGACTTCCATTCAAATTTATTCAAATACAAACAAATAATTTCACCTAAATAATAATTATTTCATTTAAAAAAATATACTTACCTTATATTCGTAATGATCGAAAATAAACAAAAATTGACTCTTTTAAAACAAAAATAAATCTATTGATTTTCAAGTCCACCTGTTCATTACAATCTTCTCACCACTCCATTATTTAAGTAATTGAAGAATTATATTTTACTTTTTTTTAAACCACAATCCTATTCACTTTAATAATGGATTTATGTTAATAGAAACATATGCTTTTCATTGAAAATATGATTTTATTATTTTCATTTTTTTTCATATGTAGTTTCTCTTCATTTCATGTCAGCCATTTTTTGAAAACTTTATTATATTGCGGCTTCGGTATCTTATGCCATCCTCAATGCAGTTCATTTCTAAAACTTCAGTTGATTTATTGTACATAAACTTTCTATAAAGGTCCAGAAATACAGTGTATTGAGATAAGACAGAATCCTATAATGTTGCAATGAAATAAACGCAATTAATTCTGGTGCTTTTAAAAATGGCCAAAAAATAATTAAATAAAACTATGATATTACTTTTACAATTAATACACAGTTTTATTGCATATTTAAAAAAACATATTTAAAAAAATATGTTGACTATGTCGGCTATCCAATATTGGCTATTTCATTATTACATGTAATTCAACAATTTATGTATTTAAAAAAAAATCACAAACAACACATAAAAAATGTGACGATATTATATTTTATTGTAATTTATTGTAACAAACAAATGAAAAACTATAATAAGCAACAATCAGTGTGGATTTGTCATAAAATAAATGTATAAATTGTTTTTGAGTCATTCATTTATTTATTTACTTGCGTACTGATACTATTTTTATTTATTGTTTCATCCGAACCCTTCTATGGCATACGAAACCACACTGCAAATGGGCCCACAGTCAAAAGAATAAAAAGAAAATAAGGAATCAATGGAACTCAATCTTTGGGCACAAACAATCCAAGAACCTTCTAACAAACTTTAAAAAGAAAGAATTAACAGAATGTATTAAAGGAAGCAGGACATGGCTGTGAACCCTAAAAGGATTCGTAACAGGACTGCCAATTTAATGAAAATCTCAAGAAGATTGGCATAATCCAACACAGGAAGTGCCAATTCTGCAAAGAAGGAGAGGAAACATCAAAGCACTTACTCACAAACTATGGTGCTAGACAGGAGGAAGTATTTTTGGACATATAATGTAACCATAGAAGAGATTCAATCACTGAAACGAGTTCTATTAATCAAGTTCCTTGATGAAGTAGGACTCACCGGTGTGCTATTAGCTAGGAATACAACACCTCTTAAAGGGCTCAGGACACACACCCCAACTAATACATTCACATCTATTATTTCCCTATCCTTTTTACACCCCTACTATGGTTTCTCCATAGCCCTCTAAATTCCATTGATTAGTGGCCATGTTTGTAATCAACATGTATCTAATACTCTTTCTTTCTTATTATTTTATATTTTTTCATTTTTATAATTAGATTTATGTGTATTTTTCAGTACAATTCTGTACATGTATTTTTTCTATTTGTCATTACCACCGTTATTCCTCATTTATTCAAAATCCTGCCTTACTGCTTTCAACACTAAGCTTCAGATCAGCACTTGCAGAATGTCACATAATTCGACAAAAATCAATCAATTTCAATTTTAATTAATATGTGATAAATAGTATTTCTTACATTAAACAGATGCTATTAAACTGAATTTCTGTGATATAAACATAAATATGTTTTGTTTTAAACATGGAATTTTTAAGACAATTTTGTATCATTAAATTTGTTGGTTTATGTTAGCAAACATTTTCATGTTTTTTTTTTTATTTTATTTGTTTAACAGAACAGCACATGGAAATTTTTTTCTAACTTAAACCAACAAATAAATAAATAAATATATACATATATACGTTTTTTTATACAATCAAAACTAATATTGGTAGATAGTTCTTAAGGGAGAGACAATTAATCTTTAAAATGGTATTGTTAAATGTGAAAGTCTAGTAGAAATTTTAAAAATTAAATTTTGTACTTTATCCTAATCATTAATGAAGCCGACGATTAAATTTAATGGTTCACATTAAAAGGGTGAAAATCCATCTTTTATTCCCTTGAAAATCACCGTTAGCTTAGTTTGAGTTTCTTGTACTTGTGGCGGTCTGAAACAGAGTTTTTAACTCAATAAAATGAACAAAAATATTTATTAAAATTACAAAAAAGCATATTTTTATTATAGTTAAATATAATTATATTATTTTTTACGATATACCAATATATTTTTTGCAGAAAATATTTGAAAGTTCAATATTGGCCGAATGGTGAGAATGGCGGAATCGAATCTCTTGTATTTTAAAGGAGAGTTTCGGCCAGCTGTGGAAAAAGGGCCACAGTCGAGTTATTTCTAAAGACTATAAAGATATTAAAATGGGGATAAACTCTGGGACTGCGAACATTTTGAGATTTGTTTAAAGCCTTTGTTCGACTACCGGAGGTTGTCTTGCGTTTGGTTTTAACATGATTGCCCTTACTTTTTTACGCTGAAAAAAATACAAGATGGGTTAAAATACATTATTACGTTAAGGTTATAACTCGGGTGGAAAAATCAATTTTATATTTATTTTAATGTCAACCGTCAGTGGTAATATGGACAAGTGTATACTAGTCCTTCCTGTAGGAATTTCATGTTAATCCGTGTAAGTCTGTATGACTAATTTATTGTTGTTTAAAAACTGAATGAATAAATGCCGTAATATAATTCGAGCCAATTCAGTTTCAGGATGAGTGATGAAGTTTCGAAAATGGTTGTAAAAACGGAAATTGCTAAGCCTCTTCATCATCAGCAGTTAGAGAAGAGTTTGGACATTGAATCTTTTTTGACTTTTGTCGAGGAATTTTTGAAACAGCCAGTAGGGTTAGTACTTTACAATTAGTTATTTCAACAGATTTTTTCTGTCAACATAACAGTAACTCAGCAGTATTGAATTATTTCAATGCCTATAAGTCTATAAGTACAAATACTCCTTCAGGTGGTAAAACATTGTGGAAATAATCATTACATATATATTTACTGAATCTTCATTTTTCTTTTTGCATATACATAGTTTCTACATTTTAGTTTTTTCTTTGAATTCAACTGTATGAAATTTAAGGTCTGCAATGTAGCCTCTGGCCATTCTGGTAAAGTGGTTGAAAATTATTGATTTGAAAAAGCTGAAATATGTAGCTAATAAATTCAGTCCAGGATGATCTGAGATGATCAAGCTATGTGTAAAGATGTTCGGTTTACATAGTGAATACAATAATAGGAAATGGAAAGGATGGCGGCCTCTGTATCCCAATTGAGCTTGGATGAGCTTTTGTTACCTGATGATTAAGCTACAGGTTCATCACTTCGCAAACCCCATCACATTTCACAATCCATTTACATTTTAGTGGTCAATTGACCAAATTACTTGTTTCAATTAATTATTCTTTATATGTAAGATCTGGGTTGAGATAAAAAAGTAAGTGTCACAAGCGGGATTTGAACCCACGACCTTCAGCTACTCTATCATATGAGCCATCATGACTTTGATCCTCTCAGTCATCAACTCTCCATTTCAGCCTAGAACTATTCGAATTTTCCCTCTTTTTGCCATTTTCAAATGTCGTGTAATCAGGATTGGATTCTCAGCGACTTATGAAGTGGCCATGGCGGAGCTGTTTAGTGAAGTGATACTTCTTTACTTATTAAATATTAATCCATTTACGTTTTAGTGGTCAATTTACCAAGTTACTTCTTTCAATTAATTATTCTTTCTATGTAAGGTCTTGGTTGAGATAATATTTCACAATCTAAAACAGTGTTGTTTATTGAAGTTTGAAAACAATATTTCAATTTTTTCCAATTGAATTCTATATTGTATCATATTGAAAACATAATCTGCCAAAACAATATTAATTTCATGTTGTTAATAATCTTGGTCAAATAAAATTTATTTTATTTTCATTTGTTTTAGAGAGGAGGGAGAAGCTTCCAGTGACTCAGAAACAGAATTAGCAGGCGTTGATGCTTATACGGGGGAAACCATATGGAATGGCGTTACAACAACTAAACAAGGTTGTTTTATTGTACAAATGTTTTCTTATTAAAATTCCTAATGAATTATTTATTTGTAGACCGTATATCAGACAAACTTCGCCTTTATAACATTAACAACGTTGGGCCGGACAGACGATGGCTGCAAGATGTCCTCCTCAGTGACACATCCGATTCATCTGACGATGAGATCACTGAGGAGGATCTCAAAGTTATGCTTAGGCAACATGTTATGATGAAAAAACATCGGAATAGCTTTTATAAACATCAAAAGGTTTTTTTTTTTTAATTTAAATTATTGATTTGAATGAATTGTTTTTATCATTTATCTCTTGTAGAATCGCCAGTACCAGTATTATTCGACAGGATTACTATCAAACTATGACAAGTTTCCTGAACATCAAATTGCAACTGCTGGTTTCAATAAAAAGAAAAGGCTTTCGCAGAAAAAGGAAAAAATTAAAGTCGAACTTCCTGAAAGTTTTAATTTTGATGCGAAGGTTTTTTTTGTTTTTACTTATTTTTTTACGGTTATACTTCAAAATGCTACAGGTTGTTTGGTTTTAGAACCAGACTAAAAATAGTATTGAAGAAGACATAAAACCTCTTTCTAAAGCTAAGAAAAATGTAGCACATAAAAAGAAAGTTACTCAGTCGAAGGCTGCAGAAATAATGTTGCACCGTAGAAGAAAAATATGGGCAAATATGGCAAAGAAAGAAGTGGGGAAGGTAAATTTTATTATTGATTAGTAATAATTATTATTAATATAAATAAATACCCTTAAAAATTAATAATAATAATAAAAACCCTTTTAAAAATTAATAATAATAATAGTAATATTCACTTCCAGGTGCAGAGGTATAAAATGAATAATCACAAGGAAGTATTGACTAGTTGCAAAAGAGTGGCAAATTATTGTATGAGGCATTGGCGCCAGAAGGCAATGCAGGTATTTATAATTCAAAAATTATAATCTTAATTCATTCAAAGATTTATAATTCAAGTCTAAAGTTTTATTTTGACATTTTGAAATGTGCATTGTGTCAATTTCAGTCCCAGAAAAATATGAAAGAGGTTATTTGGCGAGCGAAAAGGCTCACAAGGGAAATGCAAATGTACTGGAAACGCTTTGAAAGAGTTGAACGGGAAACAAGGAGAAGGATGGAAAAAGAGGCCGAGGAGCAGAGGAAGCTCGATGTCGAATTAATGGAGGTATTAAAATGTAATTAAAATAATTTTTTAATTAGAAAGTTATTGTTTTTTTAATATTTTTAACAGGCAAAAAGGCAACAAAGAAAACTGAACTTTTTAATCACCCAGACTGAATTGTATGCCCATTTCATGTCTCGAAAACTCGGCGGTGGGTCTGCTGAAGAGCAGCTACGAATTTTAAATCAATTAGAGGAAGATGCAAATCCACGTTTGGCTGGTATCGACGATTACGATTGGTATGCTTTTATTAATAGGTTGACAACTTTGTTAATAACGGGTGATAAATTCAGCTGGAAATAAAGAAGAAAATACTATTAATTCCTAAGATAATAAAATGGCTATTACAAAGCGTTATATTTTCAGTGAGGTGGAGAAAGATAAAGTGAGAATAAAAGTTGAAAAGGCTTGTTCTGCTGAAGAAGAACGAGCAAAAGAATTCGGCCTTCTGATTAAGAATCAAATGGCAAATTCCCAAACAAAACCTGAAGAAGGACCGGATAAACCACAACCAACCATATTCAGAGGTGTTCTGAAAGGTTACCAAATTAAGGGAATGACCTGGCTAGTCAATCTCTATGATCAGGTAAATATTTTTAAACTTGAAAAGATAAAAGTTGATTTGTAGCTTGTTCATATCAGATCATCCAGCTCTGCTTATTTTTGCTTGATTTGTCTTGTCACAATTTCTTATTTGTGATTGGTCTGTCAGAGAAAATCGCAGACTGTCACAATATAAAATTTAATTTTAATTTTTCTCTTTTGTTCTAATTAATTTTCTAGGGAATAAATGGAATCCTTGCCGATGAAATGGGTCTTGGTAAAACTGTCCAGTCCATTGCTTTTCTTTGCCACATTGCTGAGAAATATTGTAAGTCTAGACTCTTTAAGTTTAATTCTGTAATAATAATCAAAAATCTTATGTTTTTCTCTATAGCGGTTTGGGGACCATTTCTCATCATTTCTCCTGCATCTACACTTCACAACTGGCAGCAGGAGATGGCAAGGTTCGTCCCGGATTTTAAAGTTGTACCGTATTGGGGAAACCAACAGGAGAGGAAAATTTTAAGGCAGTTCTGGGATCAAAAGGACATTCACACGAAAGAAGCCAGTTTCCACGTCGTCATAACAAGTTATCAGCTTGTTATCACCGATTTTAAATATTTCAACAGGATCAAATGGCAATATTTAATATTGGACGAGGCTCAAGCAATCAAAAGTACTCAGAGGTATTAAGAATCTTCATTATCATACAGAAATGTTAAACTTACATGATTAAATTAATTTTTAGCATGAGATGGAAACTTCTGCTCGGTTTTAATTGCCGTAATCGTCTTCTTTTGAGTGGAACACCGATTCAGAACAGCATGGCTGAACTGTGGGCCCTCCTTCATTTCATAATGCCTTCCATGTTCGATTCACATGATGAGTTCAACGAATGGTTTTCTAAAGATATTGAGAGCCATGCTGAACACAAAACAAGCATTGATGAAAGTAAGGCTAGTATATTTATTTACTTTTCCCTCCTGTTCTTTAATTTAATTTTTATCTATTTCAGAGCATTTATCAAGACTGCATATGATTTTGAAACCGTTTATGCTTCGTCGTGTCAAAACAGATGTTGAAAATGAGCTTTCAGATAAGATAGAAATCATGGTATATTGCCCCTTGACAACCAGGCAAAAACTTTTATATTCAGGTATAAAAATGAATAGAAAATATATTGGTTTGTGCGTAAGTTTTTGATTTTCATAAAAAAGTCAAACTTTCAAAATATAAATTGATTTTATTTTTTATTCCAAAACAGAATTTCCTTAGTTTTCTATAGCATACTGCCAACATTCTGGTAGTAGAAATATCCACTTTTGTAAAAGTCTCATGACTTAGAGGAGAAGAAATATGAAAGCCTGATTTTCAGAGAATTTTTGTTCAAAAATTCTATGCCTTTTAAGTGGTCGTCTAGGGAGCAGAACAAGTAAAAATTTGAACAGGCAAGGTCTGGAGATTACAGAGGGTGTGGCATTTGTTGCAACCTAACTGTGATTTTACTACGAGGGCAGCTGTGGCCTGGTGATATCATGTTTGAACATGATGTTGCTCTTTTCACGAGCTGGACGTTGTTCCTTAAATGCTCTACCTGTGTACAGTTTACCTGTGCCGTAAAGGTTGGTTGCATGGTAACAGTTCCCAATAAATTGTTTCTCAAATAACCCCACTTCTCATCTCCAGGGACTAAATAGGGATTAAACCACCAATCAAAATTAAAAAGTTAATTTGTTGTCACCTTCCAATACCACTAATAAGTTAAAGCTTTTAAGCTTTTAGATCTTTCGTAATGAGACTAGTGTTTGATTCATCTCTCTCCATTACAAAAAGTCTGAACCATTGACCCTCTCGTTCAGTTACTCGTTATCGCCTTAAATTGCACATACATTTCAACAGACATCCGCTGCTTTATGCCCGAGATTGAAATTATATAGCAAGCAATGTCTCACATTAATTTAAAAATAGCACACACCGTCGACTTTTAGCTTGATCAAATCATCCTGATCTACCTATCTTCTGTTGTTTTCTCCAAGTCCATCAGGGTGATTAGAGATGATATGTTACAAGTTCACACACCTCAACACATTTCACAATGAAATTAAATGTCATTAACCTAAAAATAAGTGCAATAATGTTTTTTATTCTAGGTCTTAAGAAAAAAATAAAGATTGAAGACCTTCTACATTCATCAGGGTCATACCAATCAGCTCAGAGCATAACATCAAATTTGATGAATTTAGTTATGCAGTTTAGAAAGGTAATGATTGTTTAAGTAAATAATCTAACTTTTAACCAATTCAGGATGGTCAGTGTTCTTCATTCTCCAAGCTGCTGAGAGTAAATCGCGCTCTACTCTCTTCACTTTTAGATTCAAGTTCACAGAAGCAGTTTACTGTTTAAGTTATTATTTTTAGTGTGAAAAATTTAGAAAACATAATGCCATTGTTTACCATGGTAAGCAACACACCACTTCTTTGAACTTCAGTCTAAAAGTAAAGAGACTGGAGTGCAATATCATGCTCGCATTACCTGTGTAGGGGTTCATCACTGGTGAAAGCAAGAGCGCAATGTAATGCTCACTGTTCTGAATGGTTTAAAAATTGTTTATTAGGTTATATAATATATATATATATATATATATTTTATTTTTTTTTAACTTTAAATGATGCAGAATGGTTTTGTTTTTGTAAGGGGATTTTCATCAATCTTCATTTTTGAACTAAAAAAACCTTGATATATGTTCACAATCACCACCAGGATTTAAACGTTATGTTAATTCTTAATAAATTATCAATGATACTAGTTGGATATTTGAATATTTAGATTCATTTTCCCCTTATAGGACAAAGAAGTACAAATGTCTAGAAAATATCAACTACTTTGCAGGTTTGTAATCATCCTGAATTATTTGAAAGGCGAGAGCCGTATGCACCGTTGACATACTCAAGTGAAGATTACGTTGTACCAAAATTGATTACTGATGAAGGACTCATGCAAACAATGCTTCAATCCAAAAAGCATATTTTATACAACTTGTTGTCAATATTAATGCCGGATTACATTAATTCATCGCTTAAAAGTAATTTGTACAATTGAATTATGAAAGAACCTCGATATTAATGTTATTTGTTTATTATTATTATTTTTTAAAGATGATGACAACAGTTTGTTTAATTTCACAAGAATTGTTGGAGTATCTCCTGGCGAGTTATATGACTTAACTCTTGGAGGGATTTTGAATAGGTAAAAATTATCAAATTTTATATTTATGTTGTACCTTTAGAAAATGTTAACTGGACAGTCGTTTTAACCAAAATTATTTAAATTTTTTTTTTAGATTGTTGCATTTAGCATTGGTTAACAAAGAAGCTCACAATTGGAAAAGGAAAAGATGTTTTTACAAAGTTAGAATGGTCGAGATTCCAGATGAATTTCTCTTTGTGTCTTTACAAAATCAGGTTTATTGTCACGACACTGTGGTGATTAATTCAGTACCTGAAACTCTAGAGCATAGGATAATGCGTTCTAAAAAAATTGAGGTAATTTTAAAAGTAAAAAGATAAAATTAATAAATTAATTAAATAATAAAACTGAGTTTTAAAGGTTTCAGGTAAAGCGGTAAATGATCAGATACCACTTCTTCCAGAGTTTGATCACATTCCTAGAAAGCCTCAGATATTAAAATGTCATCCTGTTTCTTTTCCGCCATTTTTGAAAATCCCAACTTTAAAGGTATGCTTTATTTTGTATTCTATCATTTCATATTGAGTACAATTTTGTCTTTTTAACTAGGTTGAGATTTGCAAATCGAGAGAAATGTACAGTGCAAGTAGAAGTTGGGCGAATTACTGGAATAGGCACATGATATGTGAAGGGCCAGTCGGTTCTCAGGTTTTATGGTATGGAAGTCCTGAACTCGCACAACTTGTTCACAGCTCACGGTTTTTCCCAGTTTCACCAGGCGGTCTTCTTGCTGTAAGACCGATTCATGGCTGGTCTAATATATCTGTGCCAGGTACATCTGTCACATGCACTTGCATAATTTTTTTAAATTTATATTGTACTAATTGAATTTTTTAGATAAACAAACTCTCGTGACAGATGCAGGAAAGCTTTATGTTTTGGATGGCCTCCTTACTCGTCTGAAACAGCAAGGCCATAGAGCACTTATATATTCTCAGATGACTAGGATGATTGACCTTTTGGAAGTATGATAATTTTAAAATTATTAATTATTAATAATTTTTCCTTTTTTAATTGTGACATTTAAGGAATACATGTGGTACAGAAAGCACACATATATGAGGTTAGATGGCTCATCGAAAATATCAGACAGGCGTGATATGGTGGCTGATTTTCAAACAAGGTAAATATGTCTAAACAAAACATATAAGACTATACACATGGATATCCTTTAGTAATTGGTCAAATTTTCAGGGCGGATATTTTTGTGTTTCTCCTAAGTACTCGAGCGGGAGGTTTGGGAATTAATCTGACTGCTGCTGACACTGTAATATTTTATGACAGTGATTGGAACCCCACAGTCGATCAACAGGCAATGGACAGAGCTCATAGGTTGGGTCAGACTAAACAGGTGACTGTGTACAGATTAATATGCAAGGGGACGATTGAAGAGAGGATACTGCAAAGAGCTCAGGAAAAGAGTGAGGTATGTGTTGAAATATCACCTTCCCATCATGAAAATTAAAAAAAAATGCCACTCATAGATTCAACGGATGGTCATATCTGGAGGAAACTTCAAACCGGATACGCTAAAGCCGAAAGAAGTTGTTTCTCTCTTGCTCGATGATGCAGAGATAGAACAGAAATGTAAGCCGACATTTTTTAATTAATAAAGATTCATTTTTAAACATTATTTTATTCAAGATCGTCAGAAGCAAGCGGAAAGAAAACAGATAGAAGAAACAAGGCAGGATGTAAGAGATAGGGAACGTAAAAGGAAACATGCCATCAGCAATTTAAAGGTTAACAACGAAGATATCTTCAATAAAATTCAAGTTTAAATTATTCTATATATTATTTTAGGATTCAGCTAAACAAATTAAGACTGAAGAGGTCAGTGTTGATCCATCCCAAGCCTCTAATGCATTAGCTAATCAAGCAGTACCATCTACTACAACTGTAAATATAGTAAGTATTTCTTTTAGCTGGAATTATTTATTTATTTATTATTACATATTTTTTGATAATATTGTTTAATGTAATATTATACATTATTGAGTACACTAAATATTATAGTTTTTATTTGTTCATAGCCATTAATTCTAACGTAGATAAGGACCTTTTTTTTGATACTAGTATATTTTAGTTATGGTTAATCCATTTTTTATTTATTAACTTTTACTTTTACTCATGACTTCATCCACACGGGACTCAGTTTTAATGTACTTTTCTTGTACAATGCAGAGTGCTTGTATGGCTTTGTAATATAATGTCTCATTTCTTGAATTCTTCTCTTCTTCAGTACACTTTGGTCCATTCATGGTAAAAAAATTGTCCATCTGATCCCCTTAGGGATGAGAATTCATAAAATCCTTTCTTAGTGCTATTTATGTCATTGTAGGAATGCACCGTCGAAATTTCAGCCCTTTAGATCCTTGATTTAATGCGTTGTCTGTCAGTCATGGAACTGTTTTATATATACAGATTTTTTATTGTCTGTGTTGCTGAATCAAAGATTTCAAAAATATTGGTATTTTGGGTTTTCCGAAAAAAGTCATACTCAAAATATAAATTGATTTTGTTCTGGTAGTAGAAATATCCCCTGTTTGTAAAGGTCTGATGATTTAGATGAGAAGAAATCTATAAGTACAATTTTCAGTGTTTTCATCACGAATTCCCTATCTTTTAAGTGGTTGTCTATAGACTAGAACAAGTAAAAATCTGAAGGGGCGGATTTGGAGAGTACGGATGGTGGGGCAACTGTGACCAGCCTAACTCTGCAATTTTACTATTAGTGAATGCAACTTTTGTCATGGTAAAGCACAAAGTTGCTACCATTTTTCCAGGGTTGGAGGTTTTTCCTTCAACACTGACTCAAGACGCTCTAGCTGGGCACAGTAAGCGTATAATTCTGTGGTATCAGTTCTAAATAAGTTATTCCTCGAATATACCACCAAACAAACAATAGGACTTTAAGAGGGTGCAATCCTGCTCTCGACGACAGTAGTCCTTCGGCATTTAACATTTTTATAATGGACCCACTTCTCATCCTCAGTGACCAAATAGGAATTAAATCCTTCCGATTTATTCTTAATCAGGTGTGATATGCCTCAAGCTTAGGACAATTCACCGTTCATAAGTTTCACAACATAGCACAGGGAAAATACTCTTCTTTCTATTGTTGTGCAAAGTACCTGAAATCTGATAGCTATCTACAGTTAGTTTGACCTCGCTTGTTAAGCTTCTTTGGCGTTTGACAGCGAGGCTCGTCTTTGATTCAGCTCTCTCACTTATTAAAACGTCTGAACCACTTATGTTAAGAATCTCCGTAAATTCCACATAAATTTCATCACTTGAGAGTGAACTCATATAACAAGCAATGCCTCAAATGAATTTTGTAATAGTCTCTTGGATTAGGGTTGTGGTCAGAAAACAAATAGTGCTTTGTACCACCGCTGAGCTTTCAACGATATATTTCGTCTTCTTCAGGGTCTACAGAGAACAATCTTATTTAATTTTTCACTCATACAGACATATCACCCAGATACATACTCTCTTACTCGTTAAGACTTAACAGTGCTGCTCATGAGAGCTGCTCGCTTTGCCTCTGACAGCAGAATATAGGCACGGCTACAGCGCCATCCATAATTGTTTTTCTGACCACGACCCTAATCCGCAAGACAGTTATAAGTAAAGGCTGGTCACTCAGATAGAAGTTATGAATTTAAAAAAAAAATTAATTGCTTCCATGTCGTATGCGTCCTAGTCGGTTCTAGCCTGACCTTTCGGATCAGTTACCTCTTTCAATAGGGCATTTCCCTCCCTAGAGCTGACAGAGCCAGCAGGTAATAAAGGATCATCTTTATAAGGGGGAAAATCAAAATTTGAAAAATCGAAAAAAACTTATGCATACACCCCCAATACAAACATAGATATATTAAATTGTTACATTTTTATGTAGTCTTTTATGCAATGAACAAAATCTATTGAATTATACCTAGATTATATTTTTAACTTTAAATTTATTGGTTTATGTTAGGAAACATTTCTATGAAGTTTTTTATTTATGTATGCCATTGACACCCTAAATATCATCAGTAACTTCCAATGTACACACAATATAAAATATTAGTTCTTCTAAATAAATAAATTCAGTATTACTTAACCATGCTCACACTCAAACAAAAATTTAACACACAAAAGGAAAACATGAACATGCATATACACTTAAAAAAATGTGAATATAATTTCTTTAAATAAAGGATTTTAAATGTTATTTATTTTTGTCAGAGTTCTGAAGAAACTGTACAAACGTCAGAAACGACAAACCCAGATATACCAGTAATTAGACGTCCAGTTAAATCAGGTAATTTTCAGCTTGTATGCCTTCTATCATTTGGGGATTATAAAAGAAAGCCTCAGAATAATAATTTCAATGCAGCAATGAATTCTCAAGGTGTTTTAATTGAAATAATGCGTTATTTGTAGCAAACCGTAAATTTTGGAACATTCTTCGGAGATGACTTGAAGAAAGAAAATTTTCTTTTCAAGTTTTTCACTTTGAATTTAATAAATATTTTATGAGTTGTCCGTTTCATTTGTTAATAAGTAATAGCACTGTAATAATGGTGAAGTTAATATTTATATTTAATATTTTCATGTAAAACATTTGGTTTAATAGTGCACAATATTAAAACTACTGCTTTGTTTTGCCTTTCTTCAGAAAGGGCAAGACCCAAACGAGGAAGGCCTCCCAGGAACCCGTTGCGAGGTGGCCTGACCAGGCAGAGTGTCCCGGGCATCCTCCCCTCTGGTAAATAAACTTTTTTTTATACATCTTTTATTTAAAACGTATGACTCATTTAAAATTTTGTAATTGTTCATAGTTGGTGCTGTGAAGAGGGGTCCGGGTAGGCCGAGGTTGAAGCCAGCAGGGCCAAGCAACCAGGGCTCAAGGGGGCCCAAAATTGGAAGGGGCACAACAAAACAACACCTCCCTGTGCCGATTCGTTCAACCCAAGCATCATTCCAACCCCCTCCTCCTTTACAACTAGAATAACTTTAAAACGTCTGTCTGTATATAGTTTTACATTTTACTAGTCATTATTTTTAAATTTTGCCACAACTGCCTTGTGGAACTCATTTTAACATTAAATTATCAAGTTCCATTAAGATTTTTAAATAACTATGTAAATATGTATAAACAAATTATGTATTTAAGATTAAGGCCAATTTTTAATTAAATGAAACTTTTTACAGAAGAACCTAATACATTTATTAAGCCTACTTTTCAAGCAATATATTTCTTATAATTTATTAAAAATTACACATAAGACCCTAACAATATAAAATTATTCATTTATAAACTATCTATACAAATCTTTTTCCAATAAATCCTGTCAATGAATTTCACATAGTTTAATTAAGTTGAACAAATTACAAATTAAATAATAAATAGCTGAATAATGCAAAAATATATTTATTTATTTGTATAATTATTTCATTGTATAATTTATATTATATTTTAAGCTTAATAAAAATAAAAAAATAAAAAATAAATAGCCATAAAGACTTTTTAGAGATTAAAAATTGTACCATATTTTTTATAAATGTTTTAAATTTTCATGTGTCAATATTTTAAGTGGTGAAACAAACTATTAAAAAAAAATTAATTAACTGTAGAAAAAAATTGTTTGGTAGCCCTTTTGGAAAAAGTAATCATTGAAAATCGACAAAAATCAATAAACTGTCCAATTCTGAATAATATTCATTCCATTTGTTGTCACACCCCATTGTAATTGTAGCATCCATAAGTTAAATTTTGATTTATTATTGCATCCAGTACCAGGGGTGACGGTGGGAATCAAATCCATAACCATGAGTCTACGAGGTGAGTGTCTAATGCGCTAACCAGTCGGCTACCACCATAGCTCCATGTAAACTATTTTACATTTCTTTTGTTTATACATTAGAGGTTTAGTTTTGGCCTAACTGGTTTTATGTGCTGTTTTGCCTGATTTTATTTAGAATTTTTATATTCAAATGAATAAGCACAATCCAGTGGGTGACACATTATTCGTTATAAAACAAAGAATTGTTGCATGCGTGTGCATATACAAATTGATTTTTCCATTGGAAATATTGCAGTGCCATACAAGGGAATACTCACGAGGAGAAAAAGGTAACCGTTGGACGCAACCCCACGAGATCAGCCCAACACTAGCAGAGCAAAAGAGACGACTTCCTGCTTTTCAACATTTCTCTCCTTAACACGTTGACTGCAAGGCAAATGCATCCTTCTTTACATTCCTGTGTATGGTCTGCATCCTCCCCATTAATTTTTAAACACTCTCTCCACTTCACCTGCTGCACAGTTCTGTTCAAACCTCCTACATCCGCTTCAGAAAGGGCAAACGTGTCATTTCAATTTTTTTCAACTGGAAGCGATTTTTTTTTTTTTATATGTGAAAACCATGTATTGGGTTGTCCGGAAAATAATGCAGGATTTTGGTATTAAACAAAAAAAAAGAAACTAGTTACTTTAAAGCAATGTTCTTTAATCAAAATNGTAATCCTGTAAACGTAAACAGAATATTTTATATAGATTTTTTTTAATGAAAACTTAAAATCCTGCATTATTTTCCGGACAACCCAATAATTTGCTCTTCTGTGTATGTGTTTGGTTATTTTAATTAATTATTTACCCATTTTGTATGATTATGTAAAGGGAAAATGATTGAAGTTGAAACAAACTTAACTTGAACGGCGGGTTGCCTACTTCATATTGCCTAACCATACTTAGTGCTGGGGGGCGGGCACAACTGTTGGCTCAAATAATTTATATCACTTAGACAAATGTAATACAAATATGAAGAAATAATTATTTTTAATTATCAGAAAACCACTTTATGTGATAAATGGGGTACCACCATAGGTAACCAAATTGGCCAAGCATAGGACGCAGTCAACGTGTTAAGCGCCACTTAAATTGTTTATTCAGATATAGACAGGGTAAAAATATATGAAATATGGATCTAAAAAGTTAAATTTTAAAATTATTTATTATCAAAAGTGATTTAATTGTTCAGAAATAATTGTTAGACCTTGGATTGTTTTTTATAGAAAATCAATATGTTTATCCACCTTATCTTCAGCAAATTCTTTCATATATAATTATAATACTTTAATTATTTTTTAATAAAAGAAATGAAACTATTTTGAAAGAAATATACCTTAAGTACTTTAAACATTTGTTCATTAAGCTTATACTATTATATTAATATAATAAAATCAAAGATATTTTTTTTTTACAAAAAAAAAAAAAAAATAAATAAATAAAAATAAAAGTTTGTCACTGCGTGTTACAAGTTGTGTACCAACTTTATTAAAAATTAATTGAAAAACCTGTCATAGTGTTGACTCATCATAATTTCCAAAATCAAATACCCAAAATTCACTACTTGTGAAATTTCTTATAAAATTTAAACAATTATTTTGTGCTCTAAAATATTAAAATTCTATTTAAAAACAAACAAACATTAATATGATATTTTATGTTTAAATTGATATAGATTACATCACATGTAAGCAATATATATTTATTTGATTAATTAAGTGCAAACAAAATAATTAAATAATTTTTGGCCCACAAGCAGAAGAGATCTGACGAGTGTACATACGAGCATAACCCTGTAAATTTTGAGGTTTTTTCTGCTCATGAATGTCTATCTACATTGAAATTTGTTTGCATAAATAATATTACTTTAAATGAGATTATTCAAATATTAATGAGGCAGATGCATAGCTGACACTGGAATCGTTCATGTTACGACACTGGCTTGACTGAGCGTACTTTAAAAACTTCAAAGACATTTTGTGTTCGCCACTTTTGGCTAACTGCTGAGCAGTCTGAAATAAAGACGAAAAAGTTATAATTTTAATTTCTTTGTACTTTAAATATTAATTACCTGTAATAATACACCAATAGGGTGTCGGCCACATATAGTATTCCCGTATTTCTTGAGGTACTCAGTGAAATCAGAAGGATTGAGTGTTTCAATTATATCCATCGCCTAAAACGATAGATTACATAAAATATTGGATCTCTATTTAAAAAAATGGTAGAAAAGACATACAAACCGTCTTATCTAATTTGGTGATTGATTGATATATCTCACCGTAGGAGTTATCATAATAAGTGTAACGGAACCTCTGCCCCCAGTGACAAAAATCAGATGATATCACAAAAAGATTTTGAGGATCGGCTAGGTAACGGGCAAAAATACGTCCATACGCAGCCTCTCGATCGGGGCTAAGAGAACCGACGAGAACTGGCACTATCGTAAATCCATCTTTAAAACTACAAAAGAACAATATTGAAAATTTTATATACATAAAATATAATTATTCAGAAATTGTGAGATGCGGTCTGGTGTGATGTAGGTGTCAGAAAAACATTTTTTTATCGTGCCAACGTTTCGATCTTTATTGAGATCATCTTCAGGGCCTGGGATTTACAAACATTGTTTACATTTAACAAATACATTTAGATGTTTCATCATTGTTTACCAACATACCAATAGAAACAACACTGAACATTATTAAAGAAAAATGGTCCAACATAACACCACACACAACTCTATCAAAGAACGCGCTCGTAACAATGATCCAACACTTCTGTGTTAACGGATATTTTACATACGACAATCAATTTTACAAACAACTATTCCACACACACCAGACGATTTCTGAATAATTATCAATTAATGGTCACTAATCACCACACATAAAATATAATTTACACATCTTACTTACTCTGACATAACTTTGGCAATATAAGGCAGGTGCATCTCGATGCTATGCTCTTCTTCATCGACAACCATATCCATCCTCTCAAACTGACCGGTAGAATCAAGTTCAGAATAGACTGGACACATTTCATCAACAAATTAAACAATTTTATAAACTTAAAAATTATTTTTTATACCTTGTGTATCAATGACCAAATCGTAAAATGGTGTCTTATACTTTGAAGCCCTTGAAAGGGCGCATCCTGCTAAGCGTACGTTATGAGATGGGCCAAGTATAAAAACTCTTTTCCTTAAAAAGTAAAAACAAACATCATTACTTCCGAATGACTTGTTTACTCAATAAAATCTGGAAATTTACATACACCACAATCGGGCTTATTTGGCGGTAAGCAAAGGCACTGCAAGCTCCACAATACTGATAACCAGCATGCCTGGAAATAAAATATTTTATTTTTATTTATTTGTTTTTAAGAAAAATAAAGTGTTTTCTATTTATAAAATGTAGATAAATAATTACACATATTCCACTTACGGAGCAATTATGGCACGAGCTGGTCCATGAAGGAGTTCGGCATTGTTCAACCAATTATCCAATTGTTTGTTCAATTCTTTCCCTGCAATAACGAGCCAATTACAAAAAAATGCTTAAGAATCTCCAAATTCTAAACCTTTATAAACAAAGTTAAAAGATAATCAATAGCAGCTTTTGCTGTGCAAGCTAAAAATAAGATATTTTCATAATATTTAGTCATGTTCATAAATGGAATCAAATAATAAAATAACAGCTCCTTTAGGGGACATCCTAAGGAATGCTCGAGATATATTGATGAATTTAACACGAACGTATATAATTTGATCTATCAATCAGCAGTCCATAGAGGAAATCTCACAATTTAACAAACTCGTATGGCCAATTTTTTGTAATTGATTAAATTAAAAAATACAATAAACTAACCAATAATCAATTATCAACAAATAATTAAATCACTGTCATAACTTCAAGAAACAGAATATAAAATTTTATTTATAATATATTAAATAGTGGTTTAGTGGAGTTTCTGTCTCCACATACCTTCACCTAGTTAAGTTACAAGAAAATTATTATTCATTTAATTAAATTATTTTTTCTATTAGGGAATAAAATATTACAACCCCAGCTATCATGGACAAATTATAGGAGAGCTTTATTCTCATTTGTCATCCAAACAATAATTACCTATTTGGCAGCAGACTCTACTGGTACTATCTTCGCATTGCTTAAAAATTTAATGGCTACATCTCTGATGTATTCCAGCAGCATCAACGCGTTTGTCAGATTGTACAGTTCCGATAGGCATGTATATCACGTCAGAAACTTGTTCTGCACAACCTGCAGCCTGTGTGCAACAGTCCTGCGTGTTTGATTCCAGGAGGGGGACGCATTCAGGACCATCGGCCTGACGTTGTCCAGGAGAAGTTTATTGGCAGGTGACAGAGCAGAGGGGAAAAGTGATCATATAGCTTCTGTTTCCCCTAACTTTCCTTATGCTAAGAAAATTTATTTTAAAAAAAAAAACTTTTTTATAAACTTTAAACAAGTTTATCGAACATCAACATTCACCAATATGTGGTAGCTAATGAGCTACTTCACAGAAGTATTACCCTAAGCCATGAATCTTTTCACCACCAAACATAAAGATATACAAACATATCCTTCATAACAATCACTACCCTTAACACATAATCAACAACTACAACTCAACACTAACACCATCTGCTATTACTAATAATACTATTAGTAATTTCAAATCTATCAAAGACAGACAAACCGATGTACCATGCCATTCACCACTTCACCATTCATTCACAGCCTATCACATAAATTAAACACATTTCTTTCTTCTGATAACTTTAAAATAGCCTTTAAAAACTATAAAACAATTCTCACAATTTTTTCCAAAATGAAAGATCCCAAACCAGTAACAAATAAGTTTAATGTAATTTACAAAATCAATTGTTTAAACTGGCAACTTACATCAGAATTACATCCCAATGAGAGAGTAAAGCAACATATCTATGACTGCAAAAAACCCAGACAAAATCCTACAGCACTGGCTACCTAGCAATTTGAACACCAACACAATTTCGACTTCAACAATCCAAAAATATTAAAACACAGGCCAAAACAAAAATAAACGTAACTTTAGAAATGGTTTACATCAACAGAGATAAGCACAGCATCAATTACAGAACAGACATATGTAAACTTAGTTGCAGCTAGGCTAAAATATCATTAATCAAATTCAATATCAATAACATACATATATCATTATCACATCACACAAAACATATAAAACAATCATTACATTCCTGACATCAAACATTTCTACATAGTCTAATTCTTCATCAATTTAGCTTTCCTTTCCCTAATTATACTCGTCTATAAAATCCTGAAAGGAGAATCAGACCAAACCATTACCCATTCTTTCCCATTGTCGGCTCCTTTCACCTTAAAGAAGCCGACTCATATAAAAATAATTATTCAGAAATCGTAAGATGCGGTCTAGTGTGATGTAGGTTTCAGAAAAACATTTTCTTTATTGTGCCAACGTTTCAATCTTTATTGAAATCATCTTCAGGGTTCAAAGTGTTTGTCTTCTGTGTAAATTGTGCCATTCTTGTGTATCGTGTTGAGAGTGCCATATAAGAGTCATATAAAAATGTTTTCTGTCCCGACTTCCTTCCCCACCCCTTCAAAATCCAACGTATATGTACATAAAACATCAATATCTCACTGGCACTCTCAACACGACACATCTACACAGATAAAAAACACTTTGAATGAGTATAAATACTTTGAGTCTAAAATTTCTAGTATTGTATAAATTCATTTTTTTTTTTTCACATCCTAAATTATTTGTATAATTTAAACAATGTTTATAAATCCCAGGCATTGAAGATGATCTCAATAAAGATCGAAACATTGGCGTGATAAAGAAAATGTTTTTCTAAAACCTACGTCACACCAGACTGCATCTCACGATCTACAAATAATCATTTACCAATATGACCATAATGTATGATATTTCAAAAACAAATCACCTGACTTTTTCATTGATGAGGCTTTTACCAAGAATTTCGACAGTAAGAGACTAATTTAAGCTTTGAGTAGCAGTAATAAAAGTGAAAGTAAACATTTTATATGCTGTTTTCAATTGATATAGTTGATATCTAAGTTTTTTACCTATTTTTTCATATTAATTGAAAGTCTGTCACCTCAGAAACTTTACATAATCCGCAGCCTGGTGACATTAGTCTTGTGTGTGAGACTCCAGAAGGGGAACGCATTCAGGAGCATCTGTCAGATCATTACCTTGGATAGGAGATGTTTATCGGCGGGTGAAAGAGCAGAGAGAAAAGTACGTGGATGGCTGCTTTGCCCTTATTCACTTTATCATTAACATGGGGAGTAAATGTGAATTTAAAGTACAATATCACCACAATATATTTGACCTACTCAGACCACAACAGTTACACATTCAGATCTCTCTGTAAAGCAAGTCTACGCCTGTTGAAATTGCCCGTTTTCCCAAACTTTTAATACGCTAATAAGCTAAAAAAAAATACTTTTTCTTTTTTTAATATAAACATTCAACAAGTTTGTCGACCATTATCATTCACCAATATGACTTTTATCACCTGATGATGATTTACTTTTTCAATGATAGAGGTTTTCCCATGAATTTTGTCAGTAAGAGAGTAATTTAAGCCTTCGAATAGCATTAATAAAAGTGAGATGAAGCATTTTATATGCCGTTTTAAATTGATAAAGTTGATATCTTAAGTTTTTTGACCTATTTTTCGATTAATATTAAAATCACTAATGACAGATTCGATTAGCAAAAAATTGACTATTATTGTGTGTTGTCAATTTTTCTGAAGGCATTCGCAACAAAAAACAATTTTAAGAAAACCTAAATTGGACAGTTTGGCAAATAAAATAATTATGATGTTGGAATTTTGTTCCAATTGGCTCTCACCCGAATCCGAATACCAGCTACCAGCGTGAGAAGCTTTTCTGAAAGACATCGTATTTCTTCGATTATGTCAAATTAAAATATGTACGAGAGAACGACACTACTAACTGCTAAATGAAATAATAAAAAAAGCTAAGTGACAATAATACACTGAAACAACAATTTCAGTGTTTGAACGGACTGGAGACTTGATTTGGGATCGAGTTGTTTTTTTTCTCCACAGACCACTCCTAGATCAACACTATTAAAAAACAAATAATTAAAAATCAATATAAATCTATGCAGAATTGTAAGTATTTTTACTTAATTACCCATCTGTAAGACATTCGTTTTAAAAGCCAAATTGATTATAGTTTGATTTTTTTACAGCGTTAATAGGCTTCATCAGGAGGGAATTATGAAATGCAGATACTATAAATGCAACATTTTCAAGTTTCATTAAAGATTATTTGAATTTTTAAATTTTCACTTGTTTTTATATGTTGTACAACTTTAATGTTTGAATTGTTTACAATCGTTCACAATTTCTCATAATTTTCTTTCACAACAGAGGACTCCTCAACTTTTTGATAAAATTGTTGCAAACAGGCTAAAAGTAAATTTTATTGGTCTTATATCCCCTTGACAATATTATAATATTCTAATTATTTACAACCTTTCACAACAGGACTCTGGTATACTTCGTTTTTGAAAAAAATTGTTAAAAATAGGCTAAAAGTAAATTTAAATTGCATTATATCCCCTTGACTATTTGTTTTATAGCAGTCTGTGTTCATTTACTCAATTTTTTTTAAAATTTTTACTTAAAACTAATTATTCAGAAATCGTAAGATGCGGTCTGGTGTGATGTAGGTTTCAGAAAAACATTTTCTTTATCGTGCCAACGTTTCGATCTTTATTGAGATCATCTTCAGGGCCTGGGATTTACAAACATTGTTTACATTTAACAAATACATTTAGAATGTGGAAAAGTGAATTTATACAATGCAAAATGTATTTTTTATATTCAATCAAAGTATTTCTACTCACTGTAAGTATTTGTCTTCTGTGTAATTGTCCATTCTTGTGTGAGATTTTGCTGTTTTATGTTTATATACGTTGGATTTTGAAGGGGTGGGGAAGGAAGTCGATTTAGAAAAGACATTTGTATAAGGCGATGGCTTCTTTGAGGTGAAAAGAGCCAACGAAGAGAAACAATGTGTTGGTAATGGTTCAGCCAGATTATCCTTTCAGGATTATATAGAAAGGTAGTGTAATGTAATGACATATGTCTGTTATCAATATTAAATTTGATTAATGATATTGGCGACTGAGTTTACACTCTGTTCTGTAATTGATGCTGTGTTTATCTCTGTTGATATAAACCATTTCTAAGAAATTACGTTTATGTTTGTTTTGTTCTGTATGTAATATTTTTGGATTTTTGACGTCGAAACATTTCTAAGAAATTACGTTTATGTTTGTTTTGTTCTGTATGTAATATTTTTGGATTGGATAATCACCCACATTTACTAAAAAATTTTAACAAACAAAATGTTCTACTTGTCTGTATAGCCATACAAATGCGACCAGACGTTTGTATCGGGTGTTTTGTTATTTTTAATTTATTGGAATGCATGTAATTTATTAGCGTGAGAGGAAGGGGTTGTTTATCTGAGGAATATCAAGTACTATTGATGTTGAGGAGTATCAAGGAAGTAGGAGAATGTGACATCTGGATAATAAAAGAATGTTATTAGCGAGAATGTAGATTCCTTGAGAAAGTTATTTTCTTCCATTTCAAAGTTCTTGTCTTTCTCCTCTTCTGCCTCTGGTCTTTCTTATTCATAAGGTTGCTGAGGGGTTACCAAATTTGATTGACATTTTATTCATTAATTACAAAAAAGTCAATGTAAACATCTGAACTCAATTTTATTTTTTGGGGGAAGGAAAGAGAAAGAGAAAGAGAAAGAGAGAGAGAGAGAGAGAGAGAGAGAGAGAGAGAGAGAGAGAGAGAGAGAGAGCCCATTTATAAATATGTTGTGATCGAATGCAGGGTTGCTGGATTTGAACCCAGGGCTTTACAGATGAGTGCCGTGTCAAGCCTAAACTGTTGTGGCCACCCATGCCCCCCCACCAATTATTATTATTACATCCGTGAAACCCACCCTAACCATAATTGACCATCCCCCACACCCTACAAACAACAAAACTTCAAAATGCAGGGATTTTTCTAAGAAAGGTACGTTGTTCTGAAACGATGCCCATAAAGGGCATGTAAAACATCAAAATATAGGAGAAGCAATTTTAATGTCATGACAATGAAGGGAATAGTTTCAAACAGTTAACAAAAATTGAATAAAATTACATTTAATTTTTACAAAAAATATCAAATTTATATTATTATATATTTTTTTATTTAAATTTAAACATTATTTACATTATATATACAAACATAAATAAATGACCATAGTTCATGTGCGATCTCTTTCTTCTCCTTGTTAAGCAAATTTACTTTAAAAGCCTTGGCCTTATTGCACTTTTTATTATAAATATCTGATAATATATTAAGGAAATCATAATGTAAATAGACATCAACGTGTTCAACTTTTAAAATAATAAAAGAATTCAACAAGCATGAAAGAGTTTTAATATTACACAATTAAAATGTAAATGGTAATAAATTAAATGAGAATAGACACTCATAAAATATATAATGAATTAAAAAAGGATACACCCACAAAGGGTTTTATGATCGCAAAATGTGTAGTCCCAGTAAACACATGTGAGCTTTTTAAATGCCTTAAGCCTTTTCCTAAAATATCAATTGGATAATTAACATTATTAATTACAACACTGAATTTAAATGTTCAACTAATTAAAAAAAGAAAGGAAATTACATTAAACTTTCCATATACATCTGATCTTTCAGACTGAGAGAGCCAAGTGCTCTGTTCTTTCTATTGTTAAAGTGTAAAAGATTAGACAATTTTGCTTCATTGTCTGACTGGATTATTTTCTGAAAAACAAATACAATTGATTGACGTAAAAAATTACTATTATGTTTGCTTTTATTTGAAGTAATCATCCTTATTTTTGTACTGTAGTCCCTGTAGTCCTACACTATAGCCCCTCCTTAGGATATTAAAACTATTACCATCATAATTAGAGGACTGCAGTAGACGTGTAGTCAGTATGTTAGGCTCTCTACTTGTAGACCCTGCAGTCATGGGTTTAATTCCTGCCATTGCCCTTGTCCTTTTTTCATGCTTCCCTTCCCCCTATGCGGTATGACTATAATACTGCACAAGCTAATCTCTGAGTACTTAAGGGAAATAAATAAATATTAATTAAATTAACAACAAAGAAGCCACAGTGTGGCTTGAAATGCATTTTCAATAAAAGGAATGCATAAAAATAAGATTGATCACTTCAAATAAAACCCCACATAATAATTAATGAAGCAACCAAAACTAGGCTATAATTTTTTCAAGGGGTGCAGGTGTTTTTGGAGGAAAAAAGAAAAGAAAAAAAAGCCCATTTGTAAGTATGTCCAGTGGCCCTGAACTTGAACCCAGGACCTTACAGTGATGGGCACCGAGACACTTTAACAATTGCAGCCACCGATGCCCCAAACTATATTCTTTTTAAAACCAATAAACCATTTTTTATATTCAATTACAATTTCTTCTTGAAGTGATTGAATTTGCTTCTGAAGGTCTTCATCGTTTTTTTTCATCACCACAACTTTCTGCAATTCTTCTTCTTTTTCTCTTCTCTGATCAGTTAAATCTGAAACAATTTACATCATTCTATTGAAAGTATTTTACATATTTATTTGCACAGTACAGTAATTCCAGTGGCACAAGAGGGTTTAATGTCCAACTGGAGGGCGTTAGAAGGGGTCAAACCATTTTACAATACTTTTGTCATATTATTAATTACAAAGCCATGGGATGCGCCAATTAGACCACACGCCAGGAAAAACCAACTTTACTGTTCGTCTAGAAATACCAGGTGACTCATGTGGCTGACTTGTCCTACACGGCCGGTCTCAAAGTTCTATGTTGTTGTTCACCAGGTGTCTTTGCGCTCCTAAGCACTAAGCAAGACACTCCAGTGTGGCCTTAGCCTCATTGGGCATCATCTGAACCTGCTAAGACTATTCTCATTCAATATAATCAACGATAGTGAACTGATATTTGCAGATTTTAACAATATTGTCACATAGCTCTAAGGCCTGAGGTCCATGCCCTTCAAGGCCTTATCATCAAAGGCTCACAGCCCATTCTACTCTGAGTTGTGTAATGAAATGGATTTGTTGTTTTGATTGGTAGGATTTGTACTAATTCTTTTATTCAGGATAACACACGCATTTGTAAAACCCATTTCCTAATTTGGAGAAGATATTCGGAAACACGAATGACCTATCGCCAGATAATTTGATTACAGGATGATGTGAGGGTTTGCCCCTAAAGGGATGAAAGGACCCAGGAAGAGAGTGATAACTATTTGGTATAAATATGACAAAAACCTCTTAACAAATAGAGGAATGTTTTTTAAAAAGTGCTAGATCAGCTGAACATCTTTTCAACGCCTAATTGAAGTTGAGCTTGGCAGAGAAATAAAATCATTGGGCCATTTGTATTGCATAATTTAAATAAGAAGCTTGTTGAACAACTCTAGTCAGCTAAACCCCATATTTTATATATTTAGTAAGATAACTAAATAAATATTATTATTGTTCGCTAATTTTTAATAATCACCCTCTTAATTCTTTTTTCTTTCTTACAAATTTGATGTAAGTGCCGGTTATAACTATTCTTCTTATCCAAATTGTTGACACAAATAAAATCTCGGGACTATTAAACTCCATTCAGGGACACTTTACCGGCAGGCACCAGGAATGAGTGTAGGATTTAATAAGTTTTAAAAGCAAATTCAAATAAGCTTCTTGACTAATTAAAGGAAAAAGTTATTTAGGCCGATAAATTTCTCAACTAATTAGGGGTTAGTTAAACTATTTACAAATAAAATCTCAGGGCCTGCAGAATATCTTTAGTCGACATATCAATATTATTTTTCTATTCATTAAAGCGTTTACCTTTATCATATATGTTTTATTCACCAACATTTTATTTGTTTTTAATTAAAATTCACCTCTATCACCTTCAGTTTTTTTTTTACATTACACTCTCTCATCAGCAAGGACCTCGAAGGCCGCACATCCAAGGTTCCATACCCAAAAGCACTCCTGGCTGAACCAGGATATACAGTGTCCTGTGACAATTCACATTAACACACATAACATGTCGCAGATGCAAAATGATGCAGATCCGACAAATCAACAGAGTACATATATTTACCAAGTTAGTCAAGACCAAGTTCCAACATGGCAAAGTTTGTTGTGACAGTTTTCGGTTTTCAATCAAAGAATTGTGCGCGATAGCTCTTTTGTTGTATGAAGATGAGCAGCTTATTCATTATTGTCGCTTTGGAGTCATCCTATGCTGAAAGAAAAAAGGGGAATTTTGGACCATTTTACCGAATTTAATGGATGACAAATAGGATTTTTTTTTCTTATTTCTAAATTGTATAAAAAAAAAAAAAAAAAAAAAAAAACTAACAAGCTCAAGACTTGAATAATTGCAAATGTTTACCTTGCGTAAGTCAAAAAGAGACTGTCAGAGCCTAAATTTATTGCAAACCATCAGAGGGGCTCATCTAAGACACGCACCTGCACAGACTGTGTCAGAAAAAATATTCTTCTCAAGAATGTCAGAACGTCTTGAATGATAGGTGTCGTGTCTGGCAGGTTCAGATGCAATATATACCTACTATGTATAGAAAACTTGAAATAATGTTTGTCTTGTAGGAACCACTTTGCATCCGAGACGTGTCATGTTGTGATAATGTAAAACTACCTTAATACATGCAAAAATTAAGACAAGATTCAAAGTCGTTTTCTTTCCAAAACAACCGTTGACCAATATTCCCATCACCACCGATACGAACACCACAAAAAATAAGACATGAAAGCTTCTAAGCCGAATGCAATCCTCAAGTGAAGTGCATTTAGAGTAAAACAAACAACGCGAAACACTGATGCGCGAAAAAAAAAAAAAAAAAAAAAAAAAAAACAGACAGCTGGTTGTCTCACCCCAAAACATCATCATGCCAAAAGTTTTGCAGTCCTGGCTAGGTGTCCAAAACGCAAGACAGTTTTGGGAAATAGTTGCACGAGAGATTTTCACGCAATGGAAACCTAGCTTTAAATCTATCAAATAAATGTTTCATCAATACTGTCATGTCATTACAAATAAACATAAAGTCAATTCTTGTGTTTCTTTTTTTGTCTGTTGCAAATAATAGATGTGACGTGAAGATCACATAGTAAAATGGGTTGTAAAAGAAAATGAAAAAAGAGCTATTGGTATATTTTTGAAAGTAAGATTTTTAAATAAACATTTTATATTATACCTGACAGGCATTGTTCCCATTTTTCTTGGGCGAACTTTTCTTCCTCTTTGTTGAGTTTCTCCCGTGCCAATTTCTGTTCCTTTATTGTTGTCTGCCTCTCTTGGACGCTTTTTATAACGTCTAAACATAAATCCTCGAAATCCATTTCCCTCCCGGATTTTGAAAGAGAAAAAGAAAGTTTTACGCTTGTCGTACGTCCTGAAATCCCTGGAGTTCAGTGAAATCGGGGAAAAATGCAGCTTTTCAACATTCCAAATCGGGTAGAGCAATTTATAAAATACATCGGTTTTCAGTTTAAGTTAACGTATGACTTCATTCGAAGCCCCAATACCGCGAATGTACAATCATAAGCACTACGGTTGAAAAACCGTTTTAGAATTGACTCTAGTGGTTGAACCGACAAGTTTGATCTCAAGGATGCACGCTATCTAAATTATTCTTTCAAGTAATTTATTGTTTAACTTTAACAACTCAATTTTCTTTCTTTTTTTAAATAAGCATTTGTTTTGTTTTTCAAACAAAACGTATATTGTTTATAATTCACTTAACATTGTCGTAAAAGACATAGTTTTACTATTCATTGCTCTATTTTCTCTGGCAGTCAGGCGTTTTTTAAAACATTCTTTAAGATAATATTGTAATTGTATTTTAGGCATGTGCCCGTTCAGATAAATAAATAACATAATTATGTTAATTTTTCGGAATGAATTTAAATTTTATAGCTTTAATATTTATCTATTGTTGTCTAAGTCAGTAAATAGCATAATCCTTTTTATATCCGTTTTTTTAGCGTTCTCTATTAGATGTCACTCATTTTCCCTACATAAAGTAAAATTTAATTGTTTAGACTAAAAATAAATTAAAAAATAACAAAACAAAAACGATCACAGTTTGATAAATTCATTATTGTAAGATGCATTAACTCAAAGGCAGTGGAGACTTTTGTGTAGGTTTCAAAATCGTCTCGGGTCTCATTGCTCGCACCTGGCTCAGACTCTGTGTATTTCTTAAGATTTATCCTTCCCTAAAGCATAACAGCGTATTTCTTCAGACCTTTTCACGATGGAAGGCGACTCGACGAAAGACAAAGAAGTTGGCAAAGAACCAAAGGAAAAGGACGCATCTAAGAAGGATGAGACGAAGGTCGATGAAGATACCTCGAAGCCGTTCTCAGGAATTCCCGAAATGGAATTTCTGGTATGGTATACCTAACATAACATATAGACAATAAATTCTAAAGGCCTATTGAGATGTTTACTAAAAAAAGGCAAACCGTGCCGGATTTTTCTTAATTATTTCTAAAGACACGATTTTCTCCCCACTTGAAATTTTCAATAAATGTTTTATTTATTTAAGATATGAAACAATGTCTCCTGGTGGTTGCATAGATGGTTAATATTTTGTTAAACGTGTTGCATGTAAAGAAATACAAGTTATGTGCACACTGGGAGCTTTGTTTCTAATAGCAGATAACCAGAAAAGTTCGTGCGGTTTTTAATCTTTACACCTGTAATCAACTTGAGGATTAGATATTTATGTCACATAATATTAAGAGGATAATGCATCAATTCATAAAGAAAAAAGTGCCTTTACATTTCTGTGTATATTTTCTTCCTCGTGGCTTCAAAGGCGACAACTTGTGCATACTTATTTCATGAATTTTAACATAGCTTTTATTATGGTACAGGACTGAGTTTGATTATGATACAATAAGTTTAGCACAGTGCGCAAAATTGGTTCAACAGGTTTGTTTCTGGGAATGAGGAGATTGAAGAATTGAAGGAAGCTATCGAATTTGATTTATTTCAAACGTGTCAGGAGTTTGTCAGAATGTTCATCGAAGGCAATGAAACCATTTGTTTCAGCCTAAGTTGCTTACATAAATGGGAGAATATAACCTACTTCCAAACAAATAGATATTCTAGCTGAAACTGAAGTTCTGGACCCACAGTTGTACAAAAAAAGCGCCAATTGGAGAATTTCATTTTAAATATTATATTCAATTCTACATCTGCTCTGCTGGGAACTAACTACTCCTAGTGTGGCAAATATGCTTTGGAAACCCTACCACAAAATAAAACCAGTGACCATATAAACAGGCCAACCCACTTAAGACAAAGACCAGGAGTAATCTCTGTGATACAGATTATCAAGATGAAACTAATCAATAATTTTATCTGATATAATATTCTTTTAGCTTTGTTCCTTTTATCTCCTTTTTGATCCATTATTGAGAACTCAAAGCTAATACTGACTAGGGAAAAATAAGCATTGTCTGATTATTATTTATATTTGTTTAAAGGATGATGTAGAATCTTACATGGAAAGCTCAGGCATCAATGGGAATGTCGAGCTTGTTTTAAAGAAATTAGAAGAGCAACACAGCAAATACAAATTCATGGAATTTAACCTTACATCGAAGAAAAATAGGTAAATTAAAAATTGGAAGGAATCTGGGTTTAAACAAAAATAATTATCATGAATTGTCAGGTTGAAGGTGCAGATCCCTGATTTAGAAAGGTCTATTGACATGATTAGAATGTTAATGAACAAGAAGGGCGAGACAGAGGATTTCGAATTGAGCTTTCTCCTCGCAGAACAATGTTATTTAAAAGCTTCAATTCCCCCAACGGATAAAGTTTGCCTGTGGCTTGGGGTAAGCTATCACTTTTCTGTTTATTTTAAACCAACAATTTAAAACTTTTTGTTTGTTTAAAAAGGCGAATGTCATGCTCGAGTACCCGTTAGACGAAGCGATTGAATTGTTGGAGAAAAATATATCAAACGCGAAAAAGAATTTAGAACGAGTTGAAAATGATTTAGACTTTTTGAGGTAAACTATAGTTCACTTTTTATTGACTTGTCTATTGAAGTCATATTCAATTTCTAGGGATCAGTTTACAACAACGGAAGTCAATATGGCGAGGGTGTACAACTGGAATGTAAAACGACAAGCAGGAGTGAAAGCAGCATCTTAATTTTGTTTGGAATGTATTAAATATTACACCAATAATCATATAATTTATTTTTTCTATATAACTTTTTTTTTGTTATAATCACAGTAAATATTCGTTTTAAGAGTTATGTTATGCTTTTTGTCATTAACTATCTTACAAGTTTAAATATATTTTAAAATATAATATAGAATTATGTTGACTTTTATTTTAAACAGTTCCTATGTAGATTGATCAGTTCTTTGACTGCATCTTGGCCCATTTTGATTGCTCACAGTGGAACCTATTTCATGGTATAAAATAACTCTCTGGTACTTAAAAATAATGTAAATGATTGTTTAAATTTTATTTATCTAAGGGAAATAAATTTTATGTCCCCTGCATTGCTAAGTAAGTGAGGTAGGCAATTGAAAATTTGTTTAATTTGGAATAGTTGAATAATAGTTGAGGTAGTTGAATAATAGTCGTTCCTACTTTCTAAAATTATTTTTATTTTATTTTAAATAATCATACAAAATGATATGTAATTAAATAAAATAACAAACACAGAAAAACAAATTACATGTTTATCACAAAATCACGCAGTACAATTTTTTTTTCTTCACTGTAGCCAGTGATAATTTGCCCTTTTGTGATGTGGCCCTAGGAATGTCGAATGGAATTGTGTACCAGGAAGTAGATTGAAAGTAAAAATGGGAAGGCCCAGAACAAGAATCCACGTGCTCAGAAGGAATGCACCTCATGCAGTCAATCTATTAAATATTTTCTTTACCAACCGTACTATTCAGAACTGACCATGAAAATTTGGTAAATCACGCATCATAGAAATCAACATTGGCAAATAAATGTCAAAAGTTGGACATTCCTCATCATGAGAGTAAATCAAGGTGATCTGAGACTATTTACCTACAGCTACATCCTCAGACCTAACAAAAATTTTTTGGTCTGCCCTAAAGGCGTAGCATTTTTAACATTGACTACCACATTTATAGTGTTTTGTAGTTATGTAATTTAATTTGAGCAAAAAAAAAATTATTAACACATAGTATATATACATTGTATCAAATTATGGCCAATATAACATTACCCTAGATTGAAAAACACATATTATTTTCTAATACAACAGTAATTTATGATATTAAATGAACTTTTGTTAATTGTATACAGAAGGGTATTGTTTATTTATTTTATTAATATGCACATGGTAACTACATATCTATGTACAGCTTGCAAAAAGGGTCACAGTAGCCGATACAGTGTTGATTTGTCAGCCGTGATCAGTTCAATTGCACTGTAAAACCCTCTTGTAATGAACATTACATGAAGGGCAAATTTCTTCTGTTGTTCAATTTATGTATTTGATAATAAAAATTTTTTAAATTCATAAGAGCTAAGCGTGTTTGTTCTGAATTCTTTGTGGGTATGCAGCTTTTATACAATGTCCAGCCCAATTGAAATAGTCATGAAAATAAAACATTAATTTTAGTTAGAGAGAATCAAAGTTGAATAATTCGGAGCAATCTATGAGAGTTCTGGCATTTCTCCAAAGATGATCCATGAGCTGTTCGAATTATTATGGTTTGAATTTAATTTTTTGTTGAAATATGTTTTAGCAATATTTGGCTTGACAAATGTTTTGTATTACCCGTACCGATGAGGATTTATAAATTTTTGTTTGGAAATAATATGTATGGTAGTATTACTTAAGTGACCGTCGGGTATTTTTCTCCATCCTCTAAAAGTGGTGCCGACTTAGTTCCCTTTTTTCCATATCCTCTGAAAAAAAATTCTCTAGGGTCGCATTCATAGTAATTATGAGTCTTCTGAATTTTCTGTAGAATTTAAATAATTTCCGTTAGTAGCAACATTATTTAACTATACTAATTTATATCCATGCTGTGCAAAAAGTTTTGATTGTTACTATTGAATATTGGATATTGTTGAGTACCCCATGTGAAACGCTTGTAGGTGTTGGGGATCTTTTGCCCAATGAATCTGTTGTTTAGGGGCAAACGTATTTTGTTGGTGATGAGTTTGTTTGTAATTTACCGGTTCTTTTGGAAACTTCTAAATTGAGATGTCGGCCCGTAATTTAAAAATTATTGATTACTGGATGCTATATTAACAACTTGATGTCACGTTGCATTTAGTATTGTAAGATTGCTTTGTTTTAAGTACTGATAGTGGTTGTGAAGGAGTCTCCTGACTTCTGGCAAAGTTTTTGGGTGCCTATTTGCACAATTACTTCTAAACGATTCGCTCAGTTTCCCTGTAAAGTTGTGAACCACCCATTTTTTGACTACTTCTCTGACAGCGTTTTGTTGTTGGTCATCGTAATTTTCTAGTCCGAGTTTGTCCTTAAATTCAGAGAAAATTGGAAGGCTTTTAAGAAAATTTTAAATGATTTTTTTTACATAAGCATTTTTAGTATCTACTGCTATCCAAATTTTTCAGTAATTCAATTCCTCCCTTGTAAAAATTCGTTTGGATTACTGTGAGGGCACTGTACCTTGTTAGAACACAACACTATAGCCTTAATTAATATTGCTAATTCTTAATTTTATTACAGACATTACAGGGTAATTACAAATATTATATACAATGAGAATATACAATTGAGTTCGTGTATAAGTAAAACTATGTTCCTGAAGTTTGATTTTTATATTTTGCATTAATTTGTATTAAATAATTTGTCCTTGTATGACAGCTCAATCATTTATGATCACCCCGGCTTGACAGTTACAGCATACCATCTTGATTAAAGCCAGGAATGATAAAATTATACATTCCTTCCAACCTTTGGTTTTACATGTGATAACAGTTAGCCTTCATGTAAATTTTTCAAAAGTATTGATAATTCTAAACCATTTTTTGCCTTGTTTTTTTAATAATATTGTAGTGTAGCTTGATAGCTCTAGTGATTAATCCTTTTATCAATGGACTACACCAAAATGCATCTGATATAATAGATGGATTGGGGAGATCAGAAAAGATAAAACCACAAGTTCATCACCTAGTTGACCTTGACAAAATATCTCACACTATTATATTTATCATTTGATTGTCTCCAATCAAACCATATTATCAACTTGCAGAACTTATCTCAATATTGTACGATTTTACTATTTAATTACACAGATTATATCAAACTTTACTTACAGCTTGGATTCTCTTATAGTGAAGAATATAATCCTGAACCTTATAACTTTACAAGAATAAATTAAGAATTTAATCTTTAAAAGTAAATAAAATTAACACTGAAAATGAGATTGATATTTATTTATTACTAATTGAACTTAAAAATGTTAACTTTGTCACTCCTAAACTAAAAAATAATAAGTTAAGAACTTTGGACCTTTTGGTACTAAAAAAAAAAAAAATGAGAGGAAAACAATCTAGTCTTGAGCATCAAGGCACTTTTGGTTTTTTTTTGTTGGTTTTTTTTTTTGTTTTGTTAGTTCACATTTATAGTTTTAGGGCTTGACTTCAGAAGGTGCTTCATCAAAGGCTTTCGCCTCATCTTCGTTTTCATCTGGAAGTTCCTCGCCTTTTAGAATTGCTATTTCACGCTCGAGCTCTTTGACTCTGTTCTGCGCCTCTTGAAGTTCAAATCTCATGGCATCAATCTCCGCTGCATTCGGCCTCTTGTCTCCAAGGCTGGTTCTTATGAAGCTAAATTTTTTAAAAAATAAATAAATATGTGAATAATAACAGGCATGCAGTATATTTACTCCAAAGCATCTTCAGGCTTGTCGGGTTCTTCATACAAAAGCACGAGTGCTTTCGTGAGAGCATCCATCACACCAGCTCTTTCTAGATACTTCCGGAACTCTTCCCTCTTAGAATCGATTGGCTGTTAAAAACAATAAAATCTATATGTAACAATATGTAAATCATAAATGTTATGCTGTTTTGACTTTTTTCAAATAAATCTATTTCACAGACGCAATGTTTTATATTGCAGTTCTATCATCTCTGATCATCCTTTCCTGTTCTTGCTGGTTTTCAGTGTCATATCAGTAATAGACTTTTTTTAAATTATAGAAATTTTTGATGTACCAACCAAGGATGATCAGAGGCGATCGAGCTGATGAGATAAACTGTGTTAATCCATTTACCAATTCCATCGTAACGAACTGTCTGGAAATCGTTAAACGAAATACTTAACTTAAGAATTCAATGTGAACTGGTCAAATTATTTTACATCGTTTCTTTTTAAATGGTTAGGGGGGCCAGTCTTTCCCTGAATAAATAGCATTTTATCTGAGCTAATAGTTTACTTTATCAGACTTTCTACCAACAAACCCAACATTGATTGCAAGCAAAGTTCAAAAACTGAGATAATGTATCAACCCAATTGTTCACAAATCTTGTAAATGTTACATTGAACTACAATACCCTTGAATTATTAAAGACACTCACCCTATACGTAGTCATTTTTTGTTGATATTATATTTTTTAACTTTTTTTTTGTTATAATATTTTTTATGAGTGAAAAAAAATTTCTGTGTGCTGCTTGAAGTCAAACTACAACTGATTATTTATTTTAAAGTCTGTTTTTAACATTTAACAACACGCACATAATATTCGGTGTTGATATAATAGGATTAACTGTGGTATTAACGTCGTCTAATCGATGATAAACAAAGGAAACATGAAATATTTAACAACAACAATCTTGAATTACAGCAGAAATGAAATTTATCTTATCACTTGGCAGTGTCGCTGGGCTGCGCCTCGATTCTAAAGACGGGTCAAACTTTAATAAACAAAACAATAAAAAAAAACAACGCAATTTATTGTCATAAAAAATATCTCTTTATTTCAAACTAAACACGATATTTCATTTTGTCATTTAAATTTGATGCTGTAGAAATATCCGCCATTTTTCAAATTAACTCTTTGGCTCAAACGAAATGTTTTAGTTGTACATATTTCTAAAATAAAAGATCCTGACAATAATACTGAGGATTTTATTGGTTTTTGCTGTCTATTATTGGTGACTTTTGTTTAATTTAGCCTAAAAAAAGAATTTATGTAACATAAAATCTAGTATAGAGTGTTCTGCCAAACTCCCTAATTTGTCTTTCACCCTCACTGTCTCTCACACACTCACACACTTACCCTCTCACTCACTCACTATTTCTTTTATTTGTAATTTATTTCAGTTAACTTACCGACCTATTTTACTCGTAGGTACATCTTTCTGTTTCCCCCTTCGCACACTCACTCTCCTTCACTCTCTATCTTTCTTGTTTTAATTGTTAACTAGCTTACCTACCTATTTCCTCGTACGTGGTTTCTGTTTAACGCTCATCTCTCTCAGTCTATCTGTTTCTCACACACTATCTTCTATTTATTTCTAACAAACTTATCTACCAATTTTCCTCGTACGTTCTTTCTGTTTCACCCTCTTCCCTCTTCTCTCTCTCTCTCTCTCTCTCTTCCTTCCTCTCTCTCTTTCTCTTCTTTTATTTTCTAACGAACTTGCCTACCTATTTTCCTCGCACGTTCTTTTGTTTCACCTTCGTCTCTCTCACTCTATCTGTCTCTCTTCTATTTATTTCTTACTTACCTACCTATTTTCCTTGTACGTTCTTTCTGTTTCATCCTCTTCTCTCTCTCTCTCTCTCTCTCTCTCTCTCTCTCTCTCTCTCCCTCCCTCTTCCTCTTTTTCTCACTCACTCTCTTTCTCTCTTCTTTTATTTTCTAACGAACTTGCCTACCTATTTCCCTCGCACGTTCTTTTGTTTCACATTTTTCTCTCTCACTCTATCTGTCTTTCACACATTGTCTTTTATTTATTTCCAACAAACTTATCTATCTATTTTCCTCGCTTTTTACGTTCTTTCTGTTACACCCTTGCCATACCCTCTCACTCACTTTCTTTCTATTATTTATTTCTAACTTACCTACCTATTTTCCTTGTACTTTCTTTCTATTTCACCTTCTCCTCTCCTCACTCTTTATCTCTCTCTCAGTTGTTTCTTTATATTTCAAGACAGAATTTGTGTGCCTGCGTGTTTTTGTCTGTATATCTGTTTTTTCTCCAACTTTTCTTATGATCCTTATTATTAAAAAATAAAGAAATTTACACAGTGTATTATTTAATTATTATTAAAATTTTTAACATTCAAATGTACGAAAATTATATTTGTTACGGTAAACAGAACAAACTTTTTAAAAAATAGCACTAATCGGCGGGAAATTAGTAGTTAGTGTGGTTTGGCGGGAAACGACCTAGAGTTCTGTTAACTGTTATGTTTACAGTTAAAAGGAAAGTCATAGTCTTACACTCTAATGTCTTATCCAGATATTTCTAAAGGCTTTCGACTTGCCAATAACGAAATCGGCCACCTTTGATTTATTATTTATATTTATTAGTTATATTTATTCGAACATCGTTTGGAAAATGCGGCTCACCGCCAATGTCCAGATTTACAACAGGGTCCTGCCACTTTTGAATTTCAACCAAAAAAGACCAGAACGTACTTTGTTGGTAATCGGACGTATGTTCGGCAAAGGGGCCGTGTACATTTATCTGCAGACTAGGACCAACCAAGTGGGGGTCAAATATCAGGTAAAAGTTTCAAATGGAAGAAACTGTCACTCAATTCAAGATTTTTTTATTTATTTTAAAGGTGGAAGAAAACATTTTAACTGTGTTCACAAAGTATCTGAACCAAGGGAAAGCGACTATAAGACTAAAAGAGCCAGCGATCGACTTGAGAATCAAAGCGCACACAAACCAGCTCGAAAGATTTCTCTCCGTTCTGATGAAATTCGCCGAAAAGGGCGGATCCAAAAGTGCATTGCCTCTTCCTAATCTGGCAAAAGAGAAGAAAGCTGTCGTTTTCCCTAAGACCAAATTGTCAGTCAGTTGTCGGGAAAAGTTACCCGGGTCTGAAGGGTATCCCAGGTCTCTTGAGAAAATCGAAGTATAGTTTTTGTTTAAACTTAACATTGAAAAAAAAAGTGCTATACAATTTCATCTTACAGATTACTAACTGTGGAATAAAAAAAATTGACAACAGGATACTTCGGCTGCAAGATCTTACCGTTTTAATGCTTGAAGGTAACTGCTTGCAAACCCTTCCATCACAGATAGAGCTACTTCCGAATCTAAAGCAATTGCATCTACGGAAAAATGAATTTGGCTTGTCCAACGATTGGAGCTGGATAAAAGGGAAATATTTACAAAAGAACCTAACACATTTGAATCTTTGCGACAATAAGGTGTTTGATTTTTACAAAAAATAGTTAAATACTTTTGCTTTATACATTTTTTTTTTTCAGCTTAAATACTTGCCAAGTGAAATTTGTAGATTTAAAAACTTGTCTTATCTCAATTTAGGCGACAATGAGTTGTCTCGTGTACCAAATTCATTAGGAAAGCTTACAAATTTAAAGTAATTATATTAATTAAATAATTAAGAAATTTATAAAATAAATTAATATGTTGATAAAAATTTTTAGCAATTTAATATTAGCAAATAATAAATTGAGATGGCTCCCGGCGAGTTTTCAGTTTTTGTCTCTGAAAAATATCGATGTCAGTGGGAATGAAGGCTGTTCATACGGAATTGAAGAATTTACGGGGAATGTAGGCCAACATAGTCTTCTAGATCTTGCCGCATCTGTAGTTGTCCAGACAAGGTAAATAATAAAAAATAAATTTTATTGATTATTTTGTGGCTAATCGCCCCTGCCCCTGATAAAACTTTTTTCACTGTCCACCAGTTACAATTCAGAATCATATTTATTTTATTTGCCAGTCGAATACATACCCATCAAATATAGATGTAGAAATAAGTGAGGATCGGTAGACCAGGATGATCGATGACAAAATTATTTAAAATATAGGTCATACTTGCCTGATAATTCCTTAAAGTCGGTTGTTGCTCTACCAAATACTTATTGGTACGGTGAGTTGGGGGGTGGTAGCCGAGTGGTTAAGGCGTCAGACTCTTGGCTACTAGATCCTGCGGTTGTGGGTTTGATCCCCACCGTCGCCTGTGAATTTTTTCTGATGCATAAGGGGACCGGTGGCCCTAATTGAAAGAAATTGACACGGCACTCCTCAATGGAAGGAGCGGAATCATATCTCAGCGACCCTGAATTTGGTCCCAACCCCCTTCAAAAATAAGTTTCTTCGATGGAAGAACACCGGCACACTGAGGGCTCAAATTCACACTTCTGTTACGAGCCCCTCAAAAAATGGAACCAGGGATAAAGTACAATAAGCTGTACAGGGAACTCCTCCAGTTCCTGGTATCCATGGGGGGGGGAAGTAAGTTGGGCACAGAGCAAGGTATGGTTTGTCCATGGATATCTGCCATTCTAAGACACAGCAGTGATGACAGCCAAAATTTGATTGGATACCTGAAGTGTTTGCTTTCCACATGTGGTTTTTCCTATCTAGTATGTATTTATTAGTGTGAGGGTTTGAGTAAATCGGTTTGTCTATGGTAGACGTAGGGGTACTTAATTAAGGTTAGTTATATTGCACTGAATGAATGTTTTTATTACTTTTTATGTTATACCAAAATCAGTTGAGTGAGAGAAAAGTGAATGTGTGGGTGGGTCTATGGTGAAATGTACATTACCCTACAGATTGGGTGTGTACATAACTTTTATATTGTTTCAACTTTCGAAACAAAAATACAAAAACATTGTCAGCATACTAGCAGATCTAACCCTTATCAACTTTTGTATAAAATTTAGAAGAAAACTATTTCATGAAGATTAATCGGACAAAGTTGGAATGATCAATTATTATTTTTCTCTTACATTGAGTTATGCTGTTTTGTAGGGCAGAGTACACTGAAGAAACATTGCCCAGGGAATTAATCATGTATCTCGAAAACGCAATGTACTGTGTTTGCGGTACTTCCACCTACCCGATAAAGCCTCATGCGGTGATCACTTTTGGCTTGAGAAAAATATCTTCGACTGTTGTTTATGAAAATAATCTGAACACATTTCCAATGGCGATAAGATCGTGTTCTCTTAGATGTTACCGGAGACTCATGTTAGCATAAATTACCAATGTGTGTGTAATTAATAAAAAAATTGACTGATAATTTTTAATGTGTAGTGTGATTAAATTAATTTATATCAATAAATAAACAGTTTAGAAAATATGATTTCGTTTATTAAATATTTAGACATTATTTGAGGTATTCCTCATTTATCGTCCTCCCAATTACAAGTCTTCTTATTTCGCTGGTTCCTGCTCCTATTTCATAGAGTTTAGCGTCACGGAGAAATCTTCCAGTTGGATTATCATTTATATAACCATTGCCACCTGTTTGAAAATTTTTTTATTGCTGTAACAAAGTAATAAAAATTAAATAAATTTACCTAAACATTGAATAGATTCTAGAGCGACTTTCGTAGCGGCTTCTGCGGAGAACATCAAAACGCCAGCACAGTCTTTTCTGTTGTTGTGGCCTTTGTCGCAAGCTCTTGCAACATTGTAAACATAACTTCTGCTCGCACTCAAATTTGTATACATCTCTGCTATTTTACCCTGAAAATATTCAAATTCCTATTTATAAGATTGTTCAGGGGTTTGAGGTGTTACACATTACCTGCATTAGTTGAAATAGGCCGATTGGCTGGTCAAACTGTTTCCTTGTGTGTACATATTCAAATGCGACGTCACAACAAGATTGCATTATACTGTAAACATTTTTTTTATCAAGCAAAAGTTCTCAACATTTCACATAAATTTATCATAACTATCATCTGCCTGTTCTGCCTTTTCTCGCTGATTTTGTCATGCCTATGTGTTTCAGCACCTATCATAGAGAAATCCTGAAATACACCTGGCAGACAAAACCAGTGAGGTAGGCTGAGCAGAATGATCATCGACGATCAGCTGACAGACCTCTACATATTTGACACGTCTACACAGCACTGAACTTAACACTTTATGACAGTAGCATAACCCAAAAGAAAAACTGACACATTTTTATTTTTTTTATTAATGATCAATGTAACAACATACCCTAACGGGCCACCACTTAAGACGAGCCTTTCTAAGTCCAAGCCACTGAACAACACATAAATGCCTTTATTTAAAGCACCCAACATATTTTCCTCTGCAATTAAATAGTTTTCAAGTAGTTGTTTAAAAAGAAATTAATAGTGATAAAATACCTGGTACTCTACAATCTTCAAATACAAGCTCAGCTGTACTTGATCCTCTCATACCTAATTTATTTAATTTTTGAGCAATTTTGAAACCTGGCATGGTTTTCTCTACGATGAATGCCGAAACACCGTGCTGTGGTTTCTTGGTATTTTTGTCTGTCTTTGCGTACACCTGAAGACAGGAGAAATGTTAAAATGGATTTTGCTGTTTTAATGTTTTTACACTTACAACTAGGACATCGGCGTCAGATCCATTTGTTATCCAGAATTTTGTCCCATTGAGAATGTAGCTGTTGCCGTCTTTCTCGGCTCTTAATTTCATTGAAACGACGTGGGAACCTGATCCAGCTTCAGACATGGCCAATGCTCCAATGTGCTCACCTGAACAAAGCTAAACCAAAGGATTAAAATTATTTAAATTTATTTCAAAAGCGGAGTCTCACCTTAGGTAGATATTTCATCTTTTGTTCTTCAGTACCATTTTTTCGTATCTGGTTGACGCAGAGGTTGGAATGGGCACCATAGCTAAGTGCAACAGCAGCAGAAGCCCTTGATATTTCTTCCATTAATATCACATGGTCTAAGTAGCCTCCACCACTACCTCCATACTCTGGTTCAACAGTAATACCGAGCGCTCCGAGTTGACCCAGTTGTTTCCAAAACTCCTAGTTTTCTTTGTCAAATTGAAAACGTCCCTTTATATTTGTTTATACATTAAATAAATCCCTTACCTTCATTCCTTTGAAATAATCATCCCTATCGATCTCTGCTGCTTTTGGTGCTAATTCCTTTTGCGCCAACTGAAATATGCTCTGTCTTAACTGTAAACATATATATACAACTTATGCATTAACCATATTGATAGTTTATTATGATGTTTGATCATGAAAAATTACTTGCAATCTTAATAGTGATAAACTTGATCAACTCTGACTATCCTGGTTTACCTATTGATGATTTTCTTAAACAGCATAACTAGAGAAGATGGTGGGATGGGTAAAATCAAATGGGTAAAACACATCTGAGCGGGAATTAGTGGACCAGGATGATCAGAGTTGATTCATCTACAAATATAAACAAATATTTAATAAAGGAATTTAATCTTCTTAAAACAATTATTTTCTCAACTCCACTCTGATTGGTCTCATCCTTAAATATTTCTTATGATCCGATTCCACTCTGGGGATGAAAAAACGACCAGGACAGGCCTTTGTGAATTTTAATTTTCTCTGGCTGTACTCAACAGTGTTTTTACAGCAGAACTGACAGTTTCTTTAGCTAATTCCTATCCTTTCAGAAACAATTCTTTACACTTTTGCTGACAATACAGCCATCATTTCACAGCAATCTTTAGCATAAAGATCCAGTCACCTCATACAGAAAACTACAAATCCATTTGCAGTGCCTCAATGTTTGGTCCAAAAAGGGAAGAATTAAAATAAATACCACTAAGAGAGCCAATACATTCTCACGATTTATAGCACTACCACCTATTCACTTTAACGAGATTTCACTACTCTGTCGAACATGTAGCATAAAGGTTTAAATTTAGAACACTACAGATAGTTCTGCCCACTGGAAATGAACAGATTTTTACAGTTTGTGACTCTCAGCACATTCTATCAGACTAAATTTCTGCTGAGTAATGTGTATATTGTTATCAACTTTCATAGGAAAAAATTGAAGTGCAAACACTTAAAAAAAATTATAATAGTATTTTTTAATTAATTCACTATAGTAAAACATGTTAATTACAATGTTCAGTATCAACATGTTTATTTTAATTTTTTATGGTTCATAAAACTTGTGTATTAACCAGAGGAGACATCATTAGATAGATATATGCGTACACAATTTTTTTGGGGGGATAGTACATGAAAAAAAGCCAGGTGTGATGGTGGGTATTGAACCCCTGAACACAGGGTCTATGAGCCAAGAGTTTAGCCGGCGTCTAACCACCTGGCAACTGTGGTCCTCAACCAACATATTATACACATATTAAACTTCATTTTTTATTACTGAACTTATTAATTGCATTATAAAAATATGGATGATGATTGATGATAAGTAGGCTATATATGCGATTTAACAATTTATGATGTAGAAGAATTGTTTATACTTTTCGCCACAGGTCAAAGAAATCCCACAAAAAATATATATAATTGTGTCATTATTCAATTAAATTTCACTCAAGCCAAAATCTGGTGGCTATTGAATGACCTTGAGATAAGTCTATAAAATTATTAACGTTATAATATAATTGACGTCATTCTTTATCTATTAATTGGCCTGACCTGGTCATATAACAAATTAATTCAACCCGAACGGCTCTCCCTGCAACGGTGCTTTACCTGCTGTTGTTCTTCGGTCAGGCCGAAAATGCTCTCATCAATGGGGTAATACTGTGATGCATGGCGCTGTTGGCATTTTGGGACATGCCGTAGCAAACTCCCCCATTTGGACAGAGACCTGGAAAGGGACATACTAACTGATGATGTCAATAAGTTTACTGGGATCCAAAGTGGCAAATTGTGGCCGGTTGTCTGTTAGAGGGGAGAAATGAGGGCCTACAAGAAGAGTAGGGATTTTATAATCAAGGTCATATCTAAAACCTGTCCCAAGATAAAATTGCGTTTGAAAAAGAGATAATTCTAACGAATATTTTAAAGGATTAATTTAAAGAAAGCTTTTTCATGAAAGTAAAAATAAAATATTGTGTTTATTTATAACAAATTAAATACAAAATGTGCTAACAAGTAGTTGAACTGAAGAACATGAAACACAGATGTAAAATATAAATACACAATTGAATATATTGGGACTATATTAAGCTCTTAATATTTTAAAGCATGTTTAAAATCAATTATCACAGTTATTTGAACAAATAATCAGCATTGTGCTTAATCCGTTTGCAGTTTACAATTGCACCTGGTGAATTTTCAGGCAGTCGAATCAAACAACTGGAACATTTCTATCACTGATGACTTCTTTTGGCACTTTGTCATCCTTAGATTTAATTTGGTTTGAGAAATTTGAATTGTCGTCTATCGGGTACGATTCAATTGGAATTGATTTTTTGTACAGCAATCTGGCTATGGTGCACAACAGTACGATTTCCCAGATGATAAGAGAGTTGTAAATCACTGAAATCAACCAATTTTTAAAAATTCAAAATACCGACATTAAAATATTTTAAAAAACATGACTTACGATTTGCATAAACAGATGATGTTATTGGATATCTACATGGGAAGAGGTCACTCGTTGCGACAATTTTAGCAATAAATCCTTGAAATTTGGCAAAAAGAAGAACCAGCTGAAGTACAAAGAATTTCCCTTGAATATGATAATCTTTTAAGCATGTAAGAGTCACTTTCATTGTCATCACCATTCCCCAGATTCCAAAGAGAATTGACATTACAACAAGAGGTTGGAAATAATTGTAATTCACTTGATATAGGCTCTAAAAAAATATATATACATTATGATAAAGGACGATTGTATAATACGAATATTCTTACTTGTTCTTCTGCCCACATGACGAGCAAAATCATATAAATCAATCCTTGTACGACAGGCAATTGTAAAACTAGCATCCGCAGAGCTCTTACGTGCTTTCTGCAAAAATGTATCAGTCAGAACTTAAAGTAGGGATTAGAAGTAGAATGTTTTACTTCTTCAGTTCGACATGAGGCAGAATGGAACAGCAAGGCCAGCAACAGCATGGAGTGACTTGCATGTTCAATGTCCCAGGGTGTATTTTCTTGATCATTTCCGCCTCTCCGCCGCAATAAGCAACCACCAGGCAAAACAGTTGGTAAAGGCATGCCATAAACATGCCCTGGGTCACTGCTTCTGCGAGCAGCTGAGCTCTAGGAACTATCGTGGCACAATATGTGGCTATTGCGACTACCTGAAATTGTCAGTAACGATATTAAGAAGAATTAAAGTATGTATGTAAATAAACCAGTATATTCATTTTTATTCGTCTAAACATATTAACACATAAAAATAAATATTTTAATAGCTGCATCATTGGTATTTTCTTATTATATCATCGAACAATTGTATTAATGTTTTATTCTTGAAGTGAAACTTGTATTATGCAAGAGTAGTCTAATTTGAAAAGCTAACGTTACCCAATCCATGAGAAAGTCATTAACATATGAATGCATTAATGATTTTAATTGTCAATAAAATAAAATACAATCATAACAAGATATTATTATTATCACATTCTGTATGTTTGATCAAAAACGATCTGTTAAAAGTTAATAAGAATGGGGAAACAATATGTTGGCAGTATTTGAAACAAAGCCTGTCAGACATTGAAGAAAACAACAAAATTACCCTTGTACCAGGGCACAAAGGGCAGAAGGGCAACAAACAGACCTAGAAAAGTTTCATGAGGACACCTATGGCCCCAAACCCTTTTGTGACATATCAAACTGCCAAAAACGTGAATCCATGAAATGGATTAAAAATAAGTCCTTCGGTAATGGGAATGTAGCCAAGACAGAGGCATACAAAAAAATTCATTAAAGGACCATTGCAGAATGGCAGAACTACAAAAACTAGGATCAGCTAAGACTAGAATAATAGATGGACTGCTAACTGGATGCTGAAAATTCTGGACGCATATACATAGACTTAGAGTGACAGAAACAAGTCTAGAGATATTGTCAGGAAGAAGAGACAGAGGAACAAGTCCTCTGTCAGTGCGAAGGCTTATGAAGGCTCAGATTCCTACTTCTGGGAAAGGAAAAGCCCTGGTCTAAAGGATAGACACAAGACTGCTTGAAAAAGCTTTGGGATCTGGTCAAAAGCGTTAAGCTTAATGAGGAGCTCTAAATAACAATGGAGATGCACAATAGGCCAAAAAGAGTCGTGGTACACAGGATATAAAGAGGCCAGCTCATACTATAATCTAATCTAGTTGCTAAAAATTCTTGACAGCCAAGCAGATATCATTAGTTAAATTAAAATACCATAAGATCCCATATTCTTGCATGTAAAAAGCTTTCTTACAGACTGAAACCCTTTTGCAGCCCTTTTATTTTGGCTAAACCCTACCGCCAAACCCTCAAAGGGGTTAAAAGAGAAAGTAGGAAGCTTTTAATCCAACCATAGACTCAATGTCCACCTGAAGAAATAATTAATTAACATGGCTTGTGTAACATTTTCCCAAGAGAAAAAGGAAAACATGACACTCTACACTGGAGCAACATTCTCCACTGGAAAATGTTTCAAGATTTATAACAGGAAAAAAATAATACCATTACAATTATGGATGAATTAATGTTAGAATCAGGGAGAAAATTGTTTAACAAGTTGTTTAACTCTAAAATCTACAGATTTCTACTCATATCATAGCTACATTGTGATGTAAATCTACCAAAAATTTTAGCTATACACATTAAATAATCTTAATTTACTAAAATAGTTAATATCCAATTAGGATAATAAAATTATGCTGCACTCTTTAAGCTTAATATTGTCATAGATGCTCATTCTTTTTGTTGCAGCTTGTTTTGCTTTGTTATAAGTTTATTATTTTTTACGTCCCCTAAATTTCATAGGAAAATCCTTTTAGTATGTAAGGAGGAAAAGAAAAACGTTTATTAGCCTAATCTTGTTTTGAAATTGGTGACAGTCTTCTGCTCGAAAAATTTGTCATACGACCTGCAGAATCAAATCTCTATAAAAAATTATTTGTTGATTTTTAACTTCAGTAGGATATAAATCGATTTGTTTTTCATTCAGGTATAAATCTCAAAGTTTATCCAGGAAAGCGACAGGTATTCGTGGCTCAAAGGATATAATTCGGTTGTTGCCCCTGTTCCTTTTGTTGACTTTTTAAAAATATTAATAAACACAATAAATCCTTTTCAGATGATTAAATACTCCAGTTTTAATCCAAGTAGAATTGTTATAAAACATAAATAAAAAAATCCACCTGTGGTTTTTTTAATTGGACTGCTATTGTCAAAATTATATTTATTTAGATTTAAATATTTCGTATCGTTATTTTTATTCTTATTTTTATCCTATCAAGGCCGTTGATAATATTATTAACGTATTATGTGATAAATTATTAGCGTTTTTTTTGCTCATTGCCCTAATTAGTCAAGAGGCTTGGAGTATTTCCAAAATTAAATTTTTGTGTGAAGAATAGCAATGATTGATATCTTTTTTTTTTCTAGGGTTTTTCATCTGCATTTAAGTCATGTCTTGACATACTTTGAAAATCATATCTTTTTATATATGTATATTGGATATTTTAAAAAGGGGATAGATTCACTTTTAACATCTCTTGTTAATTTATATTTGTGTTATTTTATTTGTGTTATTATTATTTTTTTATAGAAATTTTGATTAAGAATGACCAAACGAAAACCCGCCTGATCAAATCGGAATTGGGACTTTCATTGGGTTTCAACACGTGCAATAACCCAGGAGTCCTTGACAGGTGGGATTTCTTGACCGGACCATAGTCAGATTCCGTGTGTACCATTAGAAAATATCAAAAAACACTTCTTTTTTTTTTCTCTTTTTTTTCAAAATAAGTGACCGTTTTGTCAATTTCAATCAATAAAGAGTATCGGCCGTCACAGTCTTCTCAAGAAGAAAGTCGGTTCCATTGTCTTTTTAAAAAAGGTAGCTGTTTTCGTTTATTAAATTTGATCCTGTGACATCACAAAAAAGAATATTGACACATATTAACAATAATTGTTAAATACTTACAGGATAAACACTCATGATGAAGACCGAATGGGTCTTGGTGCCCGTTGGTGCTTTCTCAATTATGTGCTTTACTGTATCTAAGTACAACGATAAAACTATAAGTAAGGCTATTCCTCCTAGGGTGAATAAAGCCAGGCCGAGCTCGTTGAATGCTAAAACACAATATTTATAAATAATAATAATCGAGTCATTTTAAATTTTGAGTTGTTGATCTGTTTGTTGTTTTATTGTTTACAAGTGACCCGTGTTTCACTGGATATCCATTGAACCGAGATGGAAAAGCGTTTGGCTACGAGAATAGTGATTCACGGATTAAAATGTATAAAATTTATTGTTTAAACAAACACATTTTTCTAAATGCCTACACGCAAGTCCAACACAGACTCAACAAAAAGCACATAAGCGATAACACACACAATATACCATCTATACCAAAGAAAAACAATTACATACATACGTAACTCAACAAACAAACGGACACGAAAAAAAGCACAATTTTATAGAAGGGCGAAAACTAATTTGACAAGATTTTCTATTGTTTAAACAAACCTATTTTTTTAACACGTCAAATTATAGTACAAAAGTTCATGTAAAAAGAATTTAATGTCTGAGAGTTTTGGATGGTGAAGCTGCGCTGTTGCTTCAGCAATCATCGGCGGTTTTCTCGTCAGTTACATCAGTTTACACACCCTGATGAAGAAAACTTTAAAAATTAAGTATTTGTTGAATTCTTTAGAGAAAAAAAAACCCCAATGCGAAATATTTTATTTAAGAAATACGCTTTATTATAAAATATGATTTATTGCTCTGTCATTTACCAAAGAACTTTTGCCTTGCAATGTCGTCCTTTGTTGCACAAAAATAGTTTTAAAAAACTCGCTAAAATAATCGATAATAATTAATTAAAAACTGTTCTTTTTGGGTCATCTGTGTGATTATCAGAAACCTTACCGCAGTAAATTTAAGCCAATACATATTTGACGAAGATTATAAGGCTAAAAAGTGAGAAAAAAAACTAGTCAAGGTAGGCGAAGTAGGTACTTAAATAGAAGAAAATTAAGAATTCAAGAAATTTTCAAGGATGGCAAAAACTAAAAAATGAACTACCTAAACATAGTTGTTGTAAAGTATCGATTAAAAAATAAAGGGTCAAAAGGACAAATTCTATCTATTCTAAATGGTCCACAGCGTACAATTATATTTGGGTTATTTGGACCATTATTTTTTAATCTGATAAAAAATCCTGTTCTGCAACTGGACACATTATGTTTAATTTTAATTTTTGTCCATGTAATTTAACCAATTTTTTAAAAGTGAATTTATAAACACTAGTGTTATTCTTTTTGTAAGATATGGGGTTTTCATAGCATTCAGATAATATGTAGTTCAGGTTAAAAAGAGTATGTTAATAGATGTTAATTTATATTTTCAGCAAGATAAAAGCAAAGCACTGAAATGATTTTAATTATTAAAAAACCGTCTTTTTATATTATATTCTGTCCATTTTGAACCATTATTCATTAGGCCACTGGTTGACGCACTATTCCATTTGTCTTCTGCTTCTTTTTATTATCATCACGCTATATTGGAAATGACCCTGATACAAAGGTTGTCGGTTTTGGGTTTGAAACCTTTGGAATTAATTAATGAAAGGGGCACGCAAACGGAAGAAGGAAACGGTTACATCATGGGTGTTATGTTGGAGAAAGTCTGAAACTTGGATCCGTTCTTTGCGTTTCCAGTAGATGCTGATGGCAACTGGTAGAGTCCAACAGGATTGACACACTCTACTGAAATGTTGAATCGCGTCAAATTGTGAAGTCTTGCTGAATGGTAACTGGGTCCGTTGTCACTTTACAATTTCTTCAGGGACACTGACGAAAGATGCTTTTACGTTTAGAAACCTTGCTAACCATATGGCAATCGAAACATAAAATATCAAAATGCTCCACATAAAAATGAATATAAAAGAACAATCATTCAAGTCAATCAATTGATTTACCCCCTCTAAATCCTGTACAAAACAAGCCTGGATCATTTTCAGATCGAATTGTGATATATTGATAAAATTATCATGACAATCTGTGAATATTACAGTTACGACAAATATAGATTTTTAAGTTAAAAAATGTTAAAATCTTAGTATTTATAAGCATATATATATTTGCTTAACTATTATGTAATTATACCTCCGCACACGTAAAAACAAACTCATATTAATATATTGTACCAACATACGATTTTTACGCACTATAAAATTTAATTAAAAATGAATTATTTAATTAGAATGCTTCATCAGACATCCCATTGGCTTTCTTGACGAAGTTACACCTTTTTCTGTGTATTGTTTTATTTTTTCAAATACTAAGCACCCTGACCAATGTGACAATCGTTAATAAAAAAAAGTCGATTTAAATTATTCGAAACGCACACATATTTACATAACAATAAGCACGCACACCTGTTATGAGAGGGGCACCCGACTCGAATTTACCGCGCTAGCCGTTCTGAGTTCGAATCCTGCCATTGCCCTTGGAATTTTCCCTGTATGAGAGGAATTGCTACTTAATTATATGCGAAACTCACACGCAAATACACAACAAATACGCATGGTACTCACACCTGGTACACAACAAATACTCACACCCATAAACGTTACAAAAACTAACTTTCATAAAACAAACACATACGGAACACACACACACACACACCTAATGTGCAACAAACGAACACTAATGCGACTCAGACGTAGATTCGCAAAAAAACACGTACATAGACACAAACAAAAACACTCAAATTACAAAAGTTTTTCACGTTAGAGTTTTTTGTGTGGTCATTAGTGACCGTTAATCGATAATTATTCAGAAATCCTGAGATGCGGTCCGGTGTGATGTAGGTTACAGAAAAACATTTTCTTTATCGTGCCAACGTTTCGATCTTTATTGAGATCATCTTCAGGGAAAGAATGTCTGAAACCTACAACCAGAGCGCATCTCACGATTTCTGAATAATTAGTTAGAGTTTTTATTTATTTTTGCTTTGAATCATTCTGAACATGATTATAATTTTTGAACAATGACTAATGAAGCAGTTAATTTATGGTGGTTCTGTCTGTTTAGTATAGTCTGGACTATAAAATAATATAATAAAATTATGTGACAGAATGGAGTATGTTAATCAGACGATTTTCATCAATTTTCTATTATTATCCAGCTCCAAATTATTAATAATGGTAGTAGGATGATTGGCCCACATTTACGATGAAAGAAAAAAAGATGTCCAGATGAATTGAGACCTCAACTGGATCTCCTTTTTTTCATTTATAAAGTTATATATTGTCTATATATTTAATTTTTTGAAATTAATAATTCAGGGGGAAAATCGCCAAGTTGTGATAATAAATTGATAATCGATTGGAAAACGAAAAAAATCGTCTGGTGTTGCACAATGAAGAGTCGTTGTACTGTTGCAAGGCTAATTGTAAAATTGGAACTCATTCAATTTCGTTCGAAAGTTCGAAGCTCGAAGTTAAAAGTTTATTGAATCATTATAGGCTATAATGGAAAAACAATGATTCGCTCGAGTGAAAGTCGTATAAATGTCCCCTGTTTGTCTAACAATCAACAGTTGAAATTGTATTTATAAGAAGAACTTAAATAATCAAATTTCGCAACAAAACCAAAACTTTTTTTCCAGAGGGGGTCATTATAATATCCAAATGTAATTTCTTTCCACGTTTCGAAACACACCATTGAGGGGGGGGGTAATCGGTTGCGATATTCGTTGCATGTACGATTTCCTACTTGCAACATCCCAACAACCCTCGCATTTTAAAATTTGGCTAGATCGTTGACTATCAAAGCTAGAAAAAAAATTAACAACGTTGACCATAGGAGCCACATTTAAATGTAGGACGTTCATTTCGTCCATATTTGTCAGAAAAATACTCCGAAATATTCGTCTTTAAGTCCTCGAAACACTGACGATTTAAACTATAGTTTTTCCCTGCTCAACAGTTTGTGTTTGTTGTAATGTTTGTATTAATTTTTGAAAGTTTGCAATATTTTTACTCTTTTGATGTAAAATGAATGAAATGTATGAAATATTGTCAAATTTATATTTGTATCTTAATGTTTTAAGTTTATTTGAGTTGCTTTAGGGTGAATATGGCTTATAAACTATAGATTTCTTGTTAAATTAGAAAAAAAAATTGACAAATAATAAACTTTATAATATAATTATTGTCCTTTTGGATCATTGAAAAAACAAACTCAAATCTTTAAAATTCGATCGATGATAGTAAAAAACTTGCAAGTTAAGAATCAAAAGTGAAACAAGCTCGAAAATATACAAAATAAACTGAAATAAAATAATATTTTTTAATTATTTACAGAAAGTCTTAAAACCATCTTATCCAAAAACGAGTCCATGGATTTCTTGTGTATTTTTTGTACAATTTGAACCAGCCTTGTCGAAGAACAGTTCAAGAACTTAGGTGACCCACATCCGTCAGTTTTTTTCGAAACCGAAGGACGAACGTCTTATCCTTACCCGTGAAGTATTCGTCGATAGAAGGAATGTACAAAGGATTGCAATTTGTTACGTTCGTTTCTATTGAAGTTTCGAACTGAAGAACTGGGCCGTCTTCTCCGTGGTTCGGGCTGGTCACGTTGTATTCCATATTACCCGTCCTGTAACACCAAAAAAATTGATTAATCAACAGTTTAATAAAATTAGCCCAACTTTACGTTCTATTCGACCGCTATCTTTAACCTTGACTCTTTTGTAAATGAATTAAAAGATAAGAGAGGGAGAAAAAAACGAATGTGATTAAAGTTCCATCTAATGGGGTTGTCTTTGTTTCATTTTAGTCTTACCTTTAAAAGTCAATAGAAAGATTAAAAAAAAGTCGAATTTCTTTACTTTATAATTCACGAGGTCATGGATGAAAAGCGTTTTCATTGTCATGGTGTCAATACCCAAACTTCGAAAAAATTAAAGAAGAAATAAAATAAAACCTCAAGTTCTATTATTTTACTGTTAAAAACTGCAATTTGTACATGATTAAACCAGGCACAAAAATAACTCACTTGCGAATCACAAGAGCGATGACATCGATCCACCAAAGTGCAGGTTGTTACCCTCCAGACCTCGAGAAAATCTCACTCCCTTTTCTACTTTTCTTCCTTCTCTCTCTCTCTCTCTCTCTCTCTCTCTCTCTCTCTCTCTCTCTCTCTCTCCCTCCCTCTCTCCCTCTCTCTCCCTCTCTCCCTCTCCCTCCCTCCCTCTCTCCCTCCCTTTCATCCTCTCCCTCTCCCTCTCCCTCTCTCCCTACAAAAAGAAGCTCTGGGGATATTCACGACTCCTAACCATACGAGAAAGAAATTCAAGTTTAAACAAATCTTCCTGAACAAAACTACCCGCCTAGTAGCAGTAAGAGAGTGGAAATAGAGAAAACCGTCAAGAAAAGGTGAACCTTGAAGAAGGTTCAAGCCATGAGTGTCTAGTCCAAGGATCATTGTATATGACCATTACTAGCTCGAAGATTTGAAATCTTCAGAGCCATCGAATATAGACAAATTGGGCAATGGGGTATAGGTCTATCAATTTCTTTGAGTACAAGTTGAGGTGAACTGAGAGAGCCTCGATATTTGAAAACAGAGCCTCAGGTTATTTCTTCATTTAGTCATGCCAATGACAGTTAACAATGTGCGTCTTTTACATCCTCGATATTACTAAACACAGCCTTATATTGTCTCTACCAGAGCCATTAAATCCATCAGCGTGAGGCATTGCCAATCATGCCTATCATAGCAATTATTTACCATAGGAAGTTAGCGAGCTTTCCCCGCTTCCTAGTATCCAACATCATCATCATTGCGAGTTTACCGTGAATTCACATGACAGTTTGCTGCACTTAGTTGTGAGGTGACCTGGCCCATACCGAGGTGCCGGTTCATCAAACTGCCCTACTGCTAATCATACCAATTATATCATTGATGAGCAGTTTACAGCATACTTATTTTATTTGGAAAGTGTGGCAGCATGCGGAAAACAAGTCAACTTCGATATATCAAAACTAAAAGCTCGGCTTGAGATATCAGGTATTGACCTATCAGGAATTGTGCTCCAGACACTCATAACAATCATGGGCAGTTTAAAACTCACTTCTTTTAGTACAAGGTGTTTTAATCTGAGGCAGCTTCGATGTTACCAAACAGAGCCGCGGAAGATTTCGATCTGAGGCTTCATTGTATGTTCATAAAACTGCGCTAAAGCTAATCATATCAATCATGAGCAGTTTTATATAGAACATATTTTAGCCTAAAGTGTGGCACGTGTGGACCAACGATCACTGGGATATATCAAAACAAAGCCTTACAAACGTCTCTCTGAAACATCAGGTATCGGTCAATCAAACTGTGCTACAGCAAATCATATCAATCATGAACAAATTAAAATGTACTTCTTTTAGTGCAAGGTAGGTAATCCTCGATGTTACGAAAGCTCTTCTATCGTTCTCGTCCTGGGTCATCAGGTGTCGATTCTTCTAAGTACGATACAACAAATTAGTCATGAGCAGTTTACTGTATACTTATTTTAGTACAAGGTGTGACAGGATGCGGTACGACAGGGAAACTTCGATATCTCAAAACTAAGCCTTGTCTCGACCTGAGCCAGTAAGTGTAGGTTCACCAACATGAGACAATGCCAATCATATTACCATTGTATATTATGATATGGTAGATGAGTCTGTAGCCTCTTCTATTATTTTCAAAGGTTCTCAGGCACTCTAATGTTTCTAGTAGTTCTAGTCGATCGTTTTTTCGTTCGTCCTTTGGAATACAGTTCTAAAGTTCAATGTAAAACCGGGTCACACTCCGCTAGGTTCTAGGAAAAAAAAAATTCAAAAATAACTGATCCTTGCAAATAATCTAATATACAGGTCGCATTATATGAAAAAGGAATGCAACAGAATTATAAAAATCGATGATTTTTGGTTAAGAATCACTGACTTGATCTACTCTACCAAAGCTCTCACAGTCAACGCATACCAAGGTATCTTGTTTCAGTTTCACCCACTGTGCAAACCTTGCAATCTAAAATTCTCCTTGGAGAATTTGAAAAGACAGACATTTCAGAATACATAATATGATCGGGAAAAGATGCAGATTCGGCAGGTCTTATGACAGGGCTTTGCCGTCTCATGGCCGATCTACGAACAAAGGATCTGCAGAGAAGACCCGTCACGCTTACTAATTATGTATTAATACGAGAATTTGTTTTTAAGAATACAATTTTAATCAATAATGATCTATGTAAGATACATTAAATCTTGGAGGGCGCATCCTTATACATTCTGCATTCCTTTCATGGGAGAGCTAATTTTGACCTAATAATTTGTTGAATTAAACAGCGGGAAAGTCCTTTGTAGACGAAGTTTCAAAACAGGTCGCAGACAACATACGGGTCGCTCGGCCATACAACGTCAACCTTCAGGTTGGACAAAGGAAGAATTTCATGGTTTTAAAAGCATAAAAGCCTTCATACATACTTTCAGTTTATAACTACCGTTATTTACTTTTGTTGAACGTTTTTTAAAGAAGATAGGACTTTCTACAAAATTGTGCCCTTAGTGTCAGCCATTTTTCTTTTAATTGTAATAAACTTTGAACTTAGTTATATTTGGCTTGATATTCGTGGTTGGTCTGTGAGTAACTGATGCAACACGACAAATATGCTCAACTCATGGGGATGATCACAATTGATCCATGTTTCCAACCCCCTCCCACCACCACCCCTGGGGTTGGATAAAATGGCAAAATCCGCTAATCCGCGATTCCTTCCAGAATCCCTTTTGTTGACCGACGGTATTAAAAGACTTGCATAACCCGTGGTAAACCCCAACCAACGCCATTAAGGGGATGAAAAAATCGTCACGGTCGGAAAAATTCATTAGTTCCTTCAGAAAGGTTTAAAAGTCAAGGATATTGGGAAAAAGGAAACGTACAGTTCTAGAAGAAATTAGATAATATCTCGTTCATTCATTTTCCAACAGTTTTCGCTCACTCTTTCAAAAAAGTTTTTAAAAAAATCATAAACATTAGTAAATGAACCAACTAGACCCCCCCCCCAAAAAAAAAGGAATAAATTCTAGAATCTTGGTTGTTAATGGTTCAATATATTATAATTTTAATAAACATTTTTGTGTTTACAGGCAAAAAATATCAGCTTAGATAGTTGATATACAGCTAAAATTTGACGCCAGATTGAACAACCAAAAAAGTTACATTAAAATAAATCATAATCGATTATTGGATTAGTTTTATAAGGAAATTTTTAAAGGCTAATAGATCTCTTTTCAAGGCGTCTATTCATATTTTCTTTTGAAGTTTTACTCCTTTCAGCTCACTGCATAGTTCAACGACTCGGATCGATTTTACAGCAGCCAAGATTGCGTTGTTCTCGCTGTATGGTGATTTTGTCAGTTGATTTCGTTAATTTAGTTTCTTAAACAACAGTGGGAATATAGGCAACCTTCCAATTTTTGCATTCGATGCTCTCTCTGGGTGAGAGAGAGAGAGAGAGAGAGAAGAGAGAGAGAGAGAGAGAGAGAGAGAGAATGCGTGAGTGAGAGAGAGGGAGCGAGAGAGAGTGAATGAGAGAAAGAGAGAGTGAGTAAGAGGGAGGGAGCGAGAGAGAGAGTGAATGAGAGAAAGAGAGAGGTTGAGTGAGAGAATGAGAGCAAGTTAATGAGAGGTAGAATGAGCGAGTGAAGTAAGAAATAGAGAGAGAGAGAGAGAGAGAGAGAGAGAGAGAGAGAAATAGAGTGAGTGGATGAGTGAGAGAGAGTGAGAACAAGTTAGTGACAGGTAGAGTGATTGAGTGAACTAAGATAAAAAGAGTGTGTGAGTGAAAGGAAGGGAGCAAGAAAAAGAGAGAATGAATGAGAGAAAGAAAGAGAGTGAGTCAATGAGTGAGAGTGAATGAAAGAGTGAGAGAGAGAAAAGTAAAAGAAAGAGAGTGATTGGATGAGTGAGAGAGAGTGAGAGCAAATTAGTGAGAGGTAGAGTGAGCGAGTGAAGTTAGAGAGAGAGAAAACGAGAGAAAGAAAGAGAGAGAGAGAAACAGAAAGTGACTGGATGAGTGAGAGAGAGTGAGAGCAAGTTAGTGAGGGGGAGGGAGCGAGAAAAAGAGAGAGTGAATGCGAGAAAGAAAGAGAGTGAGTCAACGAGTGAGAGCAAGTTAGTCAGAGGTAGAGTGAGCGAGTGAAGTTAGAGAGAGGGAGAGAACGAGAGAAAGAAAGAGAGAGAGAGAAACATAAAGTGACTGAATGAGTGAGAGAGAGTGAGAGCAAGTTAGTGAGAGGTATAGTGAGCGAGTGAAGTAAGAGAGAGAGAGAGAGAGAGAGAGACAGAGTAAGTGGATGAGTGAGAGAGAGTGAGAACAAGTTAGTGACAGGGAGGGAGCGAGAAAAAGAGAGAGTGAATGCGAGAAAGAGAGTGAGTCAACGAGTGAGTGTGAATAAAAGAGTGAGAGCAAGAGAGAGTGAGTGACTGAGTGTTATTGTGAGTGAGAGGGGTCATGCGAAAGACCGAGACCAGCTTAAACTTCGAGAATTTCTTTTGTTCAGTGAATCCTTCCCCCTGAAATACTCCCCTGTAGTAATTAGTTCGGATTACTTAGAGAGTACTGCATTTCTTCTTTTTCTTTAATAAGACACAGGCGGAGCGTGATAAAGTACAGTGGTTAAACCTAATATGTTGATTTTATAGTTTAAATTATACATAATATTCCTTTCTTTTTTAAAATTCTTCTCAGCGATTAAGAAACGACGTTTAAATAAAAAATTGCATAATTACAAAACTATGGTAAACGTTGTAAAAGTTAGAAAACAGACAAATGTAATTTTCTCAGAAATGACGATGAATTATGAATTTAAAAATTTTAAAAATTGTGCCCGTCTTTTAATTTTTTTTTTTTTAATTCAGTCTTCTTAAGACGTGTCGATATCTAGTAGCCGTCTGTTATTCGATTAGTAACTCTTTGTTTAAAAAACCACCGAGGCGAGGAAAAAACGACAGTTTTGATAACGTTGTAATAAAAATTTATTAATTATTCATATCCAAAGTGGCTCGGAACTTTCGGTAAATAATCCTATTTCTTTTTAAGCATGCCATCACGCAACTGGGCATTCAAGTGAAAACATTTGTGCTAATTTAGAAAATGTCTTTTGCCTGTGTACTCAGCACCGTAACTTGATGGCATTGTCAATTTTAACTAATATTGTTCAACTACTCCCTCCAAAATTCCGTTTTTACTTTATATCGGAAAAAAGCCCTTGTGCACCCCATCAACAATTTTACGTTTTAATAAATTTATATCTTCTTCATGTTCGTCTTACTTTATGTATTGGTTTTTATATAAATTCTCACCTTGACAATTGATCTTTAACCGTGTGATTGATTTTCAAGCTAGGTTCAATTTTAAAATTTGACTCAGCAATTTGAATTGCGTCAGAATGATTTTCGTTTTTTAAAATTAGTTCTTCGGTTTCTTCAGGAATCTGAAGGCATCCGCGTAACTTGGAACAATCCTCTTAATTGTCTTATTTTTTTTATTATTAAATGCTGGACGATTAGCACTTTTATAGTTTCACTTTGGGCGGAAATAATTTTTAAACCCACTCTAGCGTAAATTTTGAAAAGAAACTGTTGATAATTTTTTTGTATTTTCTATGGATATTTGTTTCTTAAAACAAAAAGGAAAATTTTGTCTTCAAAAAATTTAAGATGTGTTTTTATATTGGATTCGACACATTTGTATATGATAAACTATTTGTACATTTTCTTATAAGTAGAACATCCGTCTGGATTTTTTAGTATTTTACTTCGCTTTCTTGTCAACTAACTCCCGTAAATAGCTAATTAAATTGTAAATTTAATTACTGAGGGGAAAGCTGATTTTGCAATAATAGCATTTGTTGATTAAATTGTGAATAACTTTAGCAGAAAGAAGTGAATACAATGGATCGTATGGTGAAAGTATAATTGATTTTTTTTTAATATTAATTTTAATGTTTAAATATAATTATATTGAAATAGCTTAAGATATTTTAGACTTAAAAATGGAATTTATTTTTGAGCCTAAGGACTACCCAGGAAGCAAGAAGTTCTCAAGAGATTGAAATGTCTAGAAAATTAATCACATTCATTTTCAAAAGGGCCAAAGGCGTAGACCTTAGGTTAGGATATTTTAAAAAGAAAAAATGTAATTTATTTTTGACCCTAAGGACTACCCAGGGCGCAGGAGCCCTCAAGAGATTGAAATGTTTAGAAAATTAATCACATTCATATTCAAAAGGGCCAAAGGCATGGATGGGTGTACCTGAGCGAGTACCTTATTTTGACTGGGAATTATTGGAACATGAGTCGTGTAGAAACGGCCACTTTCACTCAGAGTCGGCTGACCTCCTGCTTTCTGTTACTTCACCGAAGTTCGAGAGAGGACTGGAACTGAACGCTTCGCGTTAGCAGGGAGTTACGTCAAAACTGCAGCCGTCGCCCCCCACGTTACCGGTTACCACCTTTATATCTCTTTTCAACATGTCATCCGACGATGGATGACATGGATTTTAACGAAGTTTAGTAATCCAAATAGGACACTTTGACAACATTGCAATTTATCAGTTTAGTGACAGAAGGCACTTAATTAGATTAAACGCCCAAAGGTACAAACATATTACTTTCCCCTCTTAAACTTTATTATTTCACTATGATAATATTTAAATAAAATATTATAAGTAAAATATTAACTCTTCCATGTCCTACTTTACATTTTCGAGAGGGCTTCAGGGGTACATCACAGGTCCTAAAATGTTTTTAATATTTAAAGTTTTTTTATTGATATTTTTCTCAGATCCGAGGAGAATAAAAAATTTTAAGTGAAACATGTCAATCAATGAGCAAATTACTCTTTTACAAATTCATTAATTTATGTTCTTACACGTTTTGAGAGAAAGAGAAATACTTTATTTCGAGACGAGCGTCCTCTAAGAATAACAATAAGGTCACAGAAACTTTTACAAACCAAGCCCTAGAATTTATAAAGGTTGACGTTAACTGTAGTGAAATATATTTTTACATATAAATATATACATATTTTTATACATAAATATATTTATTATTACATACATTATTATTTTTTTTTTTTTTTTACGAGGGTTTGCAACAGAAGAGGTTATATCAGCCCTCGGGGTGCCGGTGTTTTTGAAAAAAGCCCATTTGTAAATATGTCGGGTTCGAATGCAGGGCCGAAGGATTCGAACCCGGGACCTTTACCTTACAGTGATGAGCGCCGTGTCAACGCTTAAACCGTTGCGGCTACCGACGCCACTATTACTTGCATTCTTAAGATGAATGAACTAATGTTTATTTACATGATTTCAATACAATACATATAACAATAGATAGTAGGGAAAGTGACGTAGCACTCCTAACTTCCTACTGCAATACGATTTACATAAATACAAAAAGTGGAAAATTTGTTTGCAAAAAACCACAAAACAGAAGGATTTAACTTGTAAATGGGACCGCGGTAGCCGAGTGGTTAGCATGATAGACTCTCACGCCGCGGTCGTGGGTTCGATTCCCACCGTCGCCTCTGGCCCTTTTTTCCCGATAACCCCCANTAGTGTTAGTGTGTACTTTTTTCGTGTATGTGATTCCAATTTGAACAACATATATAAGAGATTCGTCATGGCTAATATGCAAAGATCATAAGGCCAATTAAAAAAAAACAACTTGTAAATAAATAGGAATATATATTTAAAAATACATTTAAATAAGTAAATAAATAAATATATGACAGGCAGTTTCTTTTTCTAACTAGACTAGATTAAAGTTTCGGTAAATAGTTAAATTCGCCTGTGTTTCCATTTAGCTGGCGTGGGATAAGCCCCAATGGACCAGCAAATCGGATTTGTGGGGTCCCCCCGTACGCATAAAAAATTCTTTGACCGCGTTATGTATTTCCTCTTTTATCCATATCATGTTTGTATTTTCATACAACTCAGTCTTAAATTTCTTGCAGAGGCGGTGGCCAGCCGCAAAAATTTATTTTGAATTGCTTGTATCTTATTGTTTATAAGGCTAGTGAAATTCCGCGCTGGGAACATCCTAAATATTAATAATTTATTGGGTATCGTTATTCCAGACTCTCTCCTGAGCACCCCACACGATTGTTTATGTATCTGACAAAATTTAGCTTTGAGTCAAGCGTTACACCTTGGCAAGTTAACACTTTCCCTTGCTTAATTTTTCAGTAGTAAATTACAATATTTTCATTCATACATCACATTGCTCATTCGCTTATCAGAAAAGACCTCACTTCCATATTCTGAAAAAAGTAGTTGTATACCTTATAGTCAGGTCAGTCTAAAATCATTACAAAAAGAACTATCAACATCTAGACTGGTAGAGGAAACCGTTGAACTCATTAATAGGACTATCACCAGGTATGAGAATAGGGTAACCCTCATATGGATACCTGCTCATAAGGGGCACTATGGCAATGAGGAGGCGGACAGCCTGGCCAAGGAAGGATCAAATACTGAGTTCGTCGGACCACAACCGGTATTACCCCACTCTTTAAGCACAGCAAAAGAGAGTATAGGTAGCTGGGGCATGAAACAATTCCTTAAGGAATGGAATATGTCCCCAGGATGCAGGCAATCGAAGGAGTTTCTGAAGGAAATCAAACCTAAAGAATCGAAATGGCTATTCTCTAACTCTAGGAGGGGAATAAGGAGGCTGATAGGTATCCTAACGGGCCATTGCCCCTTGAGAAGACACCTCTTCATAATGGGTACTCTACCAGACCCCTTCTGCCGCTTCTGCGAAACAAAAGAAGAAACGGCCCGACACTACCTCGCAGAATGCGATAGGTATGCTAGGGAAAGATTTAATACTTTCGAAGGAGAGGACATAACCAAAACACTCCCCAGGATAAAATGGTCCACAATCCTGGGGTTTGTGAATAGGTCCAATAGGTTTATACAGGACTCGTGAGCCGACCAGGTCCCGGACCTTCTAGGGATGGGGTACGGGCCTACTCAGGCTTTTAACCCCTCGGGTCCTGGTCGCCCGCCCTGTGTAATATATATATACCTTATACGTATTTTTAACACTGGATACAATACCTCCACTAGAATTTCACCAGGTAAAATGGATTGACCCACATGAGTACCATTATTTACGAAAGCCATTTGAAGTGGCTCATAAACAGGACAATTAAAATAATGTGCAAAAGGTCCTTTTTTGCACTCAGATTGCGGAGAGAGCAAAACGAAGTTGGATCGATCTGTTTATAAACGACAAATTGTATGCAATATTTACTGCAAGTACATGGCAAAATACTTTATTAATCTCAAATGGAACTTTGCGCAAAAGATAGCGGCTTAAAATGTAGTGCAATGAACTACAAAATAAATTTAAAAAATATATATAATAGTAGCAATAATATAAATTTAGAAGTACTAAACTGAAGAAGATATTTTATTGTTTTTATTTTATTTGTTTTATTAGAAAATGTATATTAAAAAAATAAACCATCAAGGGGAAGACCTGTTAGATTAGGTAAATTAATAATAATAGAATATTTCCTTACTTTCTTGAGCCTCTCCTTTTAGGACAAGGCCGAAGGAAGCCATTAAGTACCATAAGACCCCCTTAAATTGCAAACCATAAAAACTAATTTAGTGGCCATGGTCCGTCGGTATGGAGACTCCCTTAGGTACGCAGGGGGTGGCCAGGTAATTTTTTTTTAATTTTACGAGGGTTCGCAACAGCAGAGGTCATATAAACCCTCGAGGTGCCGGTGTTTTTGAAAAAAAGGCCATTTGTAAATATGTCGGATTCGAATGCAGGGCCGAAGGATTCGAACCCGGGACCTTTACCTTACAGTGATGAGCGCCGTGTCAACGCCTAAACCGTTGCGGCCACCGACGCCCCTAGTACACTTATTAAAACTGTAATTAATTTTTCTTTTAAAATGGATTGAAAAGCGACTTTTCAGCCCCGACCCCTTGGGTATTTTCCTACAATAATCCATAAGGTTGTGTTACGAAAAAAAAAGAAAAGATAATTCATTATCAAACACATTTAAGAGTCAATAAATTTTCTGTACTTGGCCACGAGCATAAATAAACATAGATGTTATAAAAAATAGGTGTTTTAAAAACTCAATATAACATAATAAAATCCAGAGAAAAAAAGGGAGTTGAAAAAGCTTGCAAAATTTAACGTAAGTGTAGAGATTAAAAAAACAATAAATCCTCTTATCCAGAGACGTTCAAAACTTCTTAACTTTGAAGGGCGAGCCCGAAAAGAGTGAGATTCGTCGGGATTTGTCAAAAATTAATTGATACACTTTTTATAGAGACAGATCCCGGAGATTTCCAAAACGAATATTTGCTAGTATTCGAAAATTAAGGGAATTGAAAGAAAAAGGTGCAATCCCGGAGAACCGACTGAATACCACTATGCACTGCATGTATATGACTCCATAGCAAATTCGACATGTTATTTGGATTTGAGAGTACAAATATTAAATTAGATTTGATTAATTATTCAGAAATCGTGAGATGCGGTCTAGTGCGATGTAGGTTTCAGAAAAACATTTTCTTTATCGTGCCAACGTTTCGATCTTTATTGAGATCATCTTCAGGGCCTGGGATTTACAAACATTGTTTAAATTGAACAAATAAATGTAGAATGTGGAAAAAAGTGAATTTATACAATGCAAAATATATTTTTTATATTCAAAGTATTTTAGATTTTATTAATGACGAGATAGCATTTGCGTATAAAAATTATCGTATACTACGAAATTGATAAAGAACGACGAATAGAGGAAAAATCAGTTAGCTCATCGAAGATAATTCAGCGTAGGTCTTCTAATTAGAAACGCGCTCCGAAAGCCTTATTAAAATAAAAGAAAAATATTAGTGACGGCGAGGCCGATCAATGACTTAATGGGAACAAACATTTCCGATTGTTTAATAAAAGCGGAAATTACGAAATGTACCCTGTTAATAATGAAAATTATGAAAGGTTTACTTCTGAAGTAAAAAGACAGTCCATGGTAGAAAATGTAAATTATTGCATGTAGATTAGTTGCCATATATTTTTTTCGTATGTCATTGTTTACATGCTAATGTGTATTTTTTCCATATGTGATTGTTTATGTGCTTGTGCATATATTTTTCGTCTATGGGAAGCTTGTCTGCCTCAGTTTTTAATTATATGTTTGTGTTTTAGTATGTATATTTTTCGTGTATGTTATTGTTTGTGTCTAGTGTTTGTATATTTTGCGTGTCATTGTTTACGTGCTAGTGTATAATTTTTGCGTATGTCATAGTTACTAGGGTGTATTTTTTTTTTTTTTTTTTTTTTGCTTGTTTGTGTACTTGTGCATATATTTTTTGTGCATGGGGAAANAAGCTTGTCTGCCTCAGTTTTTAATTATATGTTTGTGTTTTAGTATGTATATTTTTCGTGTATGTTATTGTTTGTGTCTAGTGTTTGTATATTTTGCTTTTTTTTGCTTGCGTGCTAGTTCGTATATTTTCTGCATATGAGATTGTCTAGTGTTAGTGTGTACTTTTTTCGTGTATGTGATTGTTTGTGTACTTGTGCATATATTTTTTGTGCATGGGGAAACTTGTGTACCTCTGTTTTTGATTACATGTTTGTGTGCTGTTTAGTTTATTTTTTCCGCACGTGATCGTTTGTGTCCTTGTGCATTTATTTTTTGTATATAGAAAGTTACCTCCGTTTTTAGCGTGTATATTTTCGTATACATGGTTGTTTATTATATTTTTCGTGTAGTGAAGCTTGTGTGCCTCGATTGTTTTTAAATATTTGATTGTTTTCTTATGTGTATATTTATTATTCGTGTTGTTGGTTGTTTTTAGTTTGAATATTTTTGCATATATGATTATGTATGTGCTAGTATATTTATGCTTGTGTTTGTTTTGCCTGTTGTGCCTGTTTCATATCTGATTGTTTGTGCACTTGTGAATATGAAGCCTGAGTGTCTATCTTTTGCATATGTGATTATCTGAGTGCTTAGAGTCCACTCAGCCAAATTGGACGTCAATCTACATACACATGTGATAAAGCTTAATTAATTATTACTAATCTTCATTAATAATCTTATCGATTAATGTCACAATTACTATTCATAAACCTCAACCCTCTTCAAATCAATGGAATCATATTGATTTGTTTCTATTAATTGTATACATTTTGTGCACATTTTTTCTGCTCTTTGTTAGAATATTCCAAATGCCTGTATGGAATTTAGATTTTTGAATGTATTTTTGACATTGACTTAAATAAATGAAACGCAATATTATCCCAATTTTAATATTTCAAAATAACAAAGATCACAAGTGTAGATAGCATTATGGCAATTTAATTAACGTAACGTTTTCCCTGGCATTCGTGGAAGATATTATTTAGCTATTCGAAATAATTCCACCCTTCAAGATAACAAACGTCATACCATACCTCCACATATGAGAATAAAGATCTTTCTTTTTGTCATAAAATCAGCAATGACCATTATTGAGGTGTAGGCCTCTTTCTGTTTAAAGAAGGACAAAGCACTCATTTGATTATCTCAAATTTCTTTTCAAATGGCTATTTTTGGTAATTTGATTAAAATAAACGTTTTATTAATAATTTACAAGCTTAGAACAATAAAAGTATTTAACGTGCAGTATTTAGTGACCATTAATTAATGACAATTTAGAGATCGATCGTGAGATGTGATGACCAGATGACCTCATGATCTCTAAATAATAAAAAATATTTAAATTATTTATATTGAACCAACATTGGGGTATTTACTCCTAAGTACTTCAGCATTGTGCTATCTTCAGTGAGGAACTCTTTATTATAGTTGTCTAGATGATAATAAATGTATTTCTATTGAAATTTTAGTACTAGGACCTTCCATTTTTTTTTTTTTAAATTCTAGCACACACTTTTGGCACATTCACTCAAGAGATCTCCCAAACTGTCGCACATCCTTCAAACTAGCCGTGCTAAATCATGCGACGTCACATGTGAACCGAAGACACCAAAAAAAATTACCAATTTGTCATAGCCGCCATGAAGTAATAAAACGCATTTTTTTGCACACCAAATTTGTTACAGAGTACTAAATCTATTGTCGATTACAGCGTACAATATTTTTTGCTGGTTTGACGCTGCCATCACTTGTACAAAACTCGAGTAAGCTTACATTTTACAGAAAATGTGAAATCCTGTTCTATATATTTTCTAATGGTTTGCTACTGTATCGTTAAGCTCACACTTTCTTATCCTTATTATCTCTATTATGTGAAGTTTAAATCCTTGAAGGTGACACTGACATTTATATAACTGTTGTTTCTTCATCCATTGAGCCCAGTGCTAAACAAACAGTGTGATAATGGAGAAACGATTAAAACACTGACATTTATTTACGTCCGTAATTTCCTGTGCACTTCTTTTTGTTAAAAAGAAAAAGACAAAAAGATTACAAAAAGATCATTTCAGAAGAAAAGTTTTTGAATATATCATATTGTTAGTTTTGTTAGGAATCAGTATAATAAAAGTCTGTAAGTTTTGACGTTATTTTCAAGGTTTTAAGATAACAAAAATAAATTTAACAGGAATGTAAATATATTTTAATTTTCAAAAAATACATTTTATGTATTTTTACAGTTGTTATGAAATAACACAATTTAAGTTTTAACAGCCTGATTTAATCGGAAGACTTCTTAAAGCTGAATTTTTATAACTGAACTTTTCAGTTCCCCCCCCTCAATTTCATCGCAACACTGGCATAGCGACAGCAGCCTGTGAATGGGTCACATCGGTCGACCTCCACAACTGTGTGACTGTTTTGACTTCTGTGTAAAAGTGAACGCCCTGAAAAGAAAAGTAAATTTTTTATGCTATTTTATTATTGAAAGGTACAAAAAAAAATCTAACCTGCTTCCCGTAGAAATGCAGGTCACCTCTGAATGAGCCTCTTGATCCAGTGAATGAAAACATAGGTAGAGGGACAGGAATAGGAACGTTGATTCCAATCTTTAATAAAAGTCAATTAATAATAATAAATAACAAAAATAAAATAAGTTTACCTGTCCACAATCAACCTCATGGATAAACTTTCTAGCTGTAGCACCATTGTTTGTAAATAAGGCTGTTCCATTTCCATATGGATTTTTATTTATTACTTCAATAGCATCATCAAGAGTGTCGGCAAAGAGGCAGATGAGCACAGGTCCAAAAATCTCTTCTGTATAACACTTCATGTTTGGTTTAACATCGGTTAAAATAGTCGGACCGAGGAAGTTTCCTTTTTCGAGACCTTTGACAACCAAATTCCTTCCATCTAACAAGAGAGTCGCTCCTTCATCCACGCCGGACTGGATTAACATTTCAATGCGCTCTTTAGCTTGTGGTGAGATAACAGGGCCGAAATCGGTGCCAGGTACATTTCCAGCATTGACTTTAAGCTGTTCAGCTCGTAATTTCAAATCATTCATCCACGATTTGGCCTCACCGACAAAAATCGCTGTGCTCAATGCCATGCACCTCTGCCCTGCTGCACCGAAAGCAGCACCGACAAGTTGGTTCAACGTGTTTGCTTTGTTTGCATCAGCTACAATAACTCCATGATTCTTTGCACCCATATTACTCTGGACACGTTTTCCATTTTTCGATCCTTTTTCATAAATATATTTACCCTTCAAAAAAGAAAATAAATAGTAATAATAATGTTAAATTACTGAAAATGGATTAAATTTATATAAACAAAACATACAGCAGTGTCAGATCCAACAAATGAAATGGCCTTGATATCAGGATGCTCACAGATAAAATCAACAGCTGCATGAGCACCATGGATAACGTTGACAACACCAGGAGGACAGCCTGCTTCACTCAACATTTCAACAAGCATCATACAAGCTCAACGGACTCTTTCAGAAGGCTGAACAAAAATAAGAAAATAAAAATAGCAAAGAACTACGTTAAAAAAAAAAAAAAAAAAAAAAAAAAAAAAACTTTAATAACATACGTATTAACGCAGATTATTACCATCAATATTGCCCATAGAGGCACCATGGCCGGAAAATTGAAAGGTGTTATAGAGGCAGTTACACCCAACGGTGTCCGGTACGAAACGATGTCCAAATCCTTGGCAACTCCAGGAAGCGTTTCACCTAACAATTGCGACGGCATGCTACAGGCATGCTCCACAACCTCTACGATTATAAATTATAATATTACTGCATGTTTTGGAATGTTTCACAATTCAACAATTTTATCACTTACGTAATCCTCTTAATACGTCGCCCTCAGCATCAGCGAGAGTTTTTCCTTGTTCTAATGTTATGTTTTCAGCCAGTTTTCTCATATTAGACTTGATTATGTTTTGGTATTTGAACATGACTTGTTGCCTCGCAATGATTGATGTTTTCGACCAAGATTTGTAGGCTTCTTTAGCCGATTGGACAGCATCTTCCATTTCTTTTTGAGTCGCTTTTGGCACTCTTGTAACTAACTGTTAAATTTCATAATCAATTAAGGAAAAATACAACAAATTGTAATACAAGAAACATAATTGTAAACATCATGCCAAAGAGATCAAAACAGTATATAAAGGTCAAAGTAAAAGATTGTTTTAAAATTTAAATTGACGAATAATAATTAACTCTTTTAAAAATATTTTTTATTAACTACAAATCATGATTATTGCATGGAGCCATTACTTCATTTGTTGCTGGATTATGAAGATCTATCCATTCCGCAGCTTGAGATTCGACGGTTTTTCCATTAATGAAAAGCTTTGTATTCGGCACTACTGCAGCAGAACTATACCACTTCTTAAGAGTGGCAGTTTGCTAAAAATAAAGAAAATAAAAGACATTAAAAAATAATTATTATTAAATAATTTTTTAATATAAAAAATTACAATTTAGTTTTTTTAGACAACTGAAAAAATAATGTGATCATGAATTATTTATTGTTCAACCTTTGTTATTGTCAAGTGTTTAGTAGGCTATTTTCTCCTCCTGAAAGTCCTCAAATTTCTAAAGGAAATTTCATTTTCCCAATAAAGGGAAGTAGGGTCAACCCCTAGGGTTGCGGGATCCAAGAATTAATTTAAAAAAAAAAACATAAATAAATGAAATAAAATACTTCAGCTTTAGACCAGTTTAGAAGGGCAATAGCTGCATTTAAAGAAATGAGAACTGGGTAAAGTGAGCATATTCCTTTGAACGTGTGCATTTTCAAAATAATAGCAAAAACTTGAGAGACTGGGAAGATTTTAAATAGCGGAAGTCAAGAAATTATATAAAACCAAGAGTGCACATGTCAAACCAGTATCACGGTGAATGAAACAAACTTGTTTTGTAATTGATTTATGAACTATTTGATTTATGATTTATTTTTGATTTATGAACAAATATATTAAAACTATTCAAAATATCACACTCTTTTAAAAATGTTCTGTTTCTATCTTCTTAAAACCTTTCTCAAACACGAGTATCCATATGAATGAGCAGATCGAGCCCCAGGGTGAGTGGGGCATTAAAGGGATAAACGGACCCAAGAGAAGAATAAAGAAATAAACTGTTTATACAACACAAAAAATGATAAAATGCAATGTTTCTTAAGAAATGGAACAATTTGAAAAACCGTTTCATCGGCTGAATCCCTTTTCCCACTACAAAATGTTAAAACATCTGGGCATTTGTGCGACATCATCTCACTTGGAAGTCAGTTAAATAACTTCTCTCAGCGACATGTACAATTTTTAATTATAATTGCACTGTTATAATTATTTTATTAAATCATTTTTGTTTTTATTTTTTTATAGGTAGACAAATTTCAAAAGGCAGCAGTAACTTAAATTTTTAAAGAAATTCCTTGAAAAGGAGTATGCACAAAAAAGAAAAATAGAGCCGATCAACAATAAAAAATAGTTACTAAGAGACAGAGATGAGAGATTCTAAATCATGGAGATCAACGAAAAAAGATTGAGGAGGTAAAAGCCCTGGATGAGAAGACACCCTCTGTCAGAGCACAAGAGAATAAAGAAAAAGAACAATCAATGAAATGTTAATATAGGTATGTTCGAATGTGTTCTTAAGATGAACATAACGCACAGATAGTAAGTAGGACAATATCGTACAAAATCCAACTCGTCACAGAATTAAATAATACAGTGCTTTGGCCCTAATCTGACCGTCTGCACTCTGAACATTCCAGTAATCTGAACAAAAAAAAAAAATTCAAGAAGTCAAAATTTTAATGTAAACAGATGAAACATTATTTGAGGAGAAAGGGAGATTGTGGGAGAGAGAAAAAGAAAAGAGCGAGCGTGAGCATATGTGTGTGTGTGTGAAAGAGATGAACAGTCAGAATAAGAGAACAATTAAGAGAAAGAAATTAAAATAAAAATTAAGAAAAAAGTTATTCAGATATTGTGAGATGCGGTCGGGTGTGATATAGGTTTCAGAAAAACATTTTCTTTATCGTGCCAACGTTTCGATCTTTTATTGAGCCCTGAAGATGATCTCAACAAAAGATCGAAACGTTGGCACGATAAAGAAAATGTTTTTCTGAAACCTACATCACACCCGACCGCATCTCACGATATCTGAATAACTAACGATTAACGGTCACTAATCTCTACACATTAAGAAAAAAGAAATAAAATATAAAAAAAAAGAGAGAGAGAGTGAGAGAGAGATGAGTAAGAGAGTGAGTGATTGAATGAGAGACAAACGAATGATCAAGTCCAGTGAAATCCGAATTCCCTTTCAGCAAAAGTTTGGACTACTGGGAAAGAGTGAGAGCAAGAGAAAGAAAGAATGAGTGATCAACATCAGCACAGATTTGTTTTAACACCCTCTGTAATCCAAATACCCCTGCAACAATTAATTCGGATACCTTATTAATAGACTAGAAAAAAATACTTTGTTAACCCTTCATGTATGATAATCCAAGATCGGCTCATGAGGATGTAAAAAAGTAGATTTTAGTTGTTATATAAGAGCTAATGATGTAACAAATGTGAAATATATTTGGATCTTGGCACAATGAAAATATGTAAAGTTTAGATGAAATAAAAACGAAGGAAATAGGCCCAAAGGCATGGAATTCGTGCTGTTGCAAAAAAAAAATAAATTAAATACACTTGATATCTTTGATATAAAACAACTTTATAATTTTTTTTTCATTTTTCTTTAAATAACAACTATCGACATGGCCTTAAGCACATTTTAAAAATATCCGTATATGCATCTAAATTGTGTATTAATATACCGAAATTTTTTTCAATGTCGAATTGATTAGGAAAAAAGCTAAGTATAAGAACGATACCTGCTTAGTAATGCGTCTAAAAAGGTTGGAACTCATTCTTCCAGCAAGATTGAACTGATGACGATGGATTTTATACTGTTGTAGCTGCTAAGACGCCATCCCTTCCAAAATTCAATTCTTTAATAAATTAACCCAATTGAGCTGATAAGGGGCTCAACCTTCAAAATCAGACGCATGGGTGTGTTATGTAATTGAACAAGTAAAAAAACAATTATCGAAGCCTAGTAAAATTTGATGCCCTGTAATAAACTTTAAAGTTTTATCGGATTGTTTTAATAAAATGTTTTAATTTTTTATTTTTTTATTGGCTTGTTGGAACTTTTTTTTGTGGTCTTTTTTTGGCCAGGCGGGAACTCAGGGACATTGGGCCAGAGAATGCGAAAGGTTCGAAATTGTTTACAAACTTAGTTCCAAGAGGTTAATTCAGGTTTTTATTTTAGTTTTTGATGCTTCTACCCGTTTAAAATTCACCATTAGGTCTTATGCGGGTGGAAAAACACACTTTTTAAATGAAAACGAAACTCCTTGGATAGGGAAAAAGGTACGTCTCAAAATATTGTTTTGTTTTTCTTCTACTTTCAATTTGTGATTTGACTCAATTTTTTTTTCTCGAAAAATTATTTTCACCGGAGGTTTCAATTTCGATTTGACAAATTTCTGATTTAAAAAATTCGCCGAACGGTGTGAAATTGTATTTATTCAAGCCAGAGGTAAAGATCCCATGGGTTGTTAACAGTTAGTGATTACCAAACTATCCGATGATGAATGATGATTATCATTCCTGCCATGTTCATCTTTGGCCAAATAGTCTACACTGAAACACTTTGCCTCCTACATAAGGTTTAAGCCATTATTTCAAGCCAGAAATACTTAAGTACAAAGTTATCCAAGTTCTTTCATTTTTACCTGTAAGTAGATTTTGGATTAGATGAGTCTCTAGCCAGTGAACCCATGACCCTAAAATCTTGGCTTATTTTAAGTTATTAAAATATTTCTGAACTAAGAATTGATTTTAACTATCTATTTGGTGTGTACTTTATAGTGAAAAGCCTTCTGCAGTTTCTCGTTAATGATCCCATGTCACACAGAAGTTCCCATGCCAGTAGGATTTTATTTTCCTTGAGAAAAACAAATTATTGATTAATTTTCCCCTTAAACATTATTTACATTTTATGTTGGTGGTTCTTTGTTTAATTAAATCGAATTGGTAAATATTGTTCACAGTTTTCCTCCTTAGCATCACTCGAATTATGACGAGCATCAAGGATGAACGGGAGGATTCTGACGGAGATGAAATGGATCATGACTCTGGCGATTCAGACAAATCCAGTTCAACTTCGGACAGCAGCGATGCTTCCGATTCCGATGACAGTTCTGGTAATTATTTATTGCATGTCACAGTTATTTATTGACTTGGCTCATTTTTTTCTCTCTTTTATTTTAAAGAAATGGATGAGGAAGAATGCGAAAGGAGGAGAAATGAATGCATGGAAACACTGGCAGAATTGGAACGGCAATTTATCTCCTTAAGAGAACAGTAAGAATCACAGTTTTTATCATTATTTTGATATTGTTTATTTTTAAGATTTTTAGGTCCAAATATTTGCAACAACTTACAAAAATTGATTAATAATCTTAAGAAAAATTATTTTGATGGATAAACTCCATTGAATTACATATTTGCTCCCTTCCAGGAGTTTTTTGATTTATTTATTCTGTTTTAGGCTGTACAGGGAGAGAATTGCTCAAATAAAAACCAAGCTGGAAGAAGTTCATGAAGGGACTGCCAAAGAGTATACCGAGCCTTTGCAAGAGCTGCAGGACAATATGCGCATTCGCATTGAAGTTGCTGGGATATTAAAGAAACTGAGGCTTGAAAACATAGAAAACGGTTTCAAAGCCGAAGAACAGGCCGCTCGTCAAAATTTCGAGGTGAGCCGCCTTTTAATTTTAATAAAGAAATTCAACACTAAATCCAATGTTTTCTTTACAGAATGAAAAGAGCCTTCTTTTCGACACGTTGAAGGAAGAAATTGAAGAGAAAATAAGAAGGTTAGAAGACGATAGGAACAACGTCGACCTTCAACAAGACATATACACTTCGACGGATAAAAACAGCCGGAGTGGGAAGAACGGTGGAAGGGTTTGGAAGAGGGGCAACAAGGACGCTGACTCTACCAGGAGGAAACCCGTCACCGTCAATGGACCTTACATTGTGTACATGTTAAGTGAAGCAGATATTCTCGAAGACTGGGCCATTATTAAAAAAGCTTTATCTAACACTAAACGAAGCGCCGTCGAACGCAAGTATTAGTGAGTAGATAAAGTTAAACCTGTATATATGTTGATACATTTTGTTTGAATGTTTTGTCTTATTACTTTTTTTTTGTGCACAAATTGACAAATCATAGATTGAATTTGTGCGCTTTTCTTCTTATTTTTTTGTACATCCAACAAATAACTTATAACATTTACTTGCTTTGGTTTTAAACTCGATTTTGTAATTTAAAAAAATTGTTATTTTTATACAGGTTTTATAAATGACAAATTTTGTTTTATAAAGAATTTTCAAATATGAAAATTTTAAAATTTGACTTTTATTTCCCTTTCACTTTATTCTCAACAATGATTTGTAACTTTTATCACAATAGAATTTTGCGTAATAAAATTTCCAGCAACCAAATTTTAAACATTTGAGGGGTTAAAAGATAAAATATATAAACAAATATCGCATTATAAACAGTTTAATATTGTGTGCACAGTAAAAAAAAAAAAAAAAAGACTTAATTTATTAAAGAAATATATATTTTTTAAATAGTGAGAATTTTAGAGATCCTCTGTTTCTGAATCTGAATCTTCTTCCATCGCTGCCTTGGCATCTTTTTCAGCTTCAGCGTGTACCGAAGGTGGAACCACTTCATTCAAACCTTGCGTGTGTGCACCAATCCAACTCATTTCTAGTTCGAACTGTTTATCTTTGAGTTCGTCGTGTACTAAATATATGCTGGAATGGTAGGAAAAAAAATATAGAGAAAGTTAAAACTTAAAAGAGTACAATAATCGCTTACATTCTTGCGGCTTCTTTGACAAGCTCTTTGCAAGACATGTCTTTCAATTTCAACTTTTCAATTTCGGTTTTAGCAGCTTGTTTAGCCTTTCCGACAGCACATCCGAAATATCCCTAAAATAATTAAGATAGTACACAGAAACAATAAATAAAAACAAGAAATCATAAAAACATACATATGAAACACCTGAAGGGTCAATCATATACATTTCAGGGCCGTCGAGTTGGCTGTAAGTGCTGAGTATCACACTGCATCCGAAAGGCCTGACGGCACTGTACAGCGTGTACGCATGCATGTAACCAGCGACCCTTTCATTTAGGTATTTAAGAGGGATACTGCTTTTAAACTGTGAGCGGTAATTCGAGGCCTCCGTCCTCGCTACCTCTGCTAGCTGTCTCGCGTCAGATATCAATCCAGCAACAGCCTGTAACAAATTATAAATTAATTAATTTAATTTTTAATGGTATAAATTATAATTTATAGTACCATTCCGATATGCTTGTCAATCGTAAATAGTCGCTTATTTGCCCCTGGCTCATACAGTTTTGATGTCACTAACTTCTCAACTGCCAGTACGATACCGTCTTTCCCCCTGAGACCGATAACAGTCCTGAAAGTAAAAGAAAAATAATGAAATTTAAAAAATTTACATAAGATTAATTAATTATTAAGAAAAATATAACTCACCCACTGTTTTCAATAGCCTTTTGGGCATATTCAACTTGAAAGACTCTTCCATCAGGAGAAAATTGAGAGGCTGATAAATCGTACTTGATAAGAAAAAATATATTTATTAAACAATGAAAATTTAAGTTTATATAATTATGTTAACAATTTTTATGTATTTAATGAACGTAATTAGTTAATTTGTTTCATACAAGCAGTTCTACTGCTCAGTTGATATTTCCAATAGGAAATTTGTATTATGACAAACGTATCAGAGAATTTCACCTTGAGTTAGTACCGAAAGGAAAAATATCTGATGTGTGATTGTCCCTGACAGTAGTATTTGCTACATCAAGGTGTTTTAAATTTACCTGCGACAAATTTGGAAGTCTCACTGTTCAAAGAAACTCCTTGCATGATTTGAAAAGTTTCAAACCACTTACACTATATGAACAATTTTTATGTGAAGAATGCACATGCAAAGTCAGCAAAAGGAAATAAGTTGAACACAAGGGGTTTCCGACAACCATGTTACTGAAACACAGTCCGTCAACCTTCAACACAAAATGAGCGAATGAGCAAGCAATAAGGAACCATTGTAAACTGTCATGACGTTAACCGAGGTTCTACTGTATCAGCATTTTGTCAAATTTGGTTTGTATAGTAACAATCTGTACAGAAAAAATCGGCAAGAAAAGGCATAACAGGATTATTAGAGTTGACCAAGGAGCAGATAATGTTTCATAAGAATTGTATTTAGTCATTCTCGGTAGATTTTTTAGTCAGACACTTTTCAGCATTTTGCCATTTTTAGTTTCAGTAAGTCCTCTATGTCAGGGTTAGGATCCTGAAAACAGGAACAAGTGCAAAACAACAGAACCAACCACAATGACGAAACTTCTCACTCTAAATTAATTATAAAAGCGAAAATAAAATGAGCACAAGGGGTTTCCGACAACCGTGTTAATGAAACAAGGTCAGTGAACCTTCAGGACAATCCGAAGTGACTCGGCAATGCAATAATGAAACGTCAACTGTTATGATGTCAACCAAGGATCAACTATATCAAGGTATTTTGCCAAATTTGGCTTCTATAGTAATAAGCTTTAACCTGCCTGAGGCAAAACCAGCAAGAAAAAGCAGAACAGTTTTATAGGAGTGACCAAGGAACAGGTAATGTTTCATAGGAACTGCACTCAATCATTATTGCTGGATTTGTTAGACAAGACAAGTCACAATCCTCACAGACATTAAGCTTTCTCCACATAGACCTTGATGTTTCAAGGTCTATCATGTTATTGTGAAATAAAATTTCAATTATATTACAAGTTGAGTAAACTTATAGTAAATATAAACCAATAACTACAAGTTAAGGGTCTGTAAACCATTGAGGCAAGTCAAAACGACAATTTTGTTTTTGTTTTATTCAAGTACCAAATTTGTTTGTAATAACCTAGAATGCTAAAATCAATAAAATGTAAATAATTGAATGCTTACGCCTGTTCCGATTGAGCTCATATTTTATCTGTTTGTTCACAAATGAGGTTGAAAATCCGTTTAACAGCCGAAGTTAAATGATGAAGCTAAATGCGGAGTGGTAAACGTAACCTACTCACCGGGTTAAGTATCCCCAAATTTGCTCATTGTCATCCAGACCTAAAAAATAATGAAAAAACCGTATTGGAGAAAAAATTCTAAATAAATACATAATAAAAAACGTTTAAAATTTATTGCCATGGCATAAATACTCCGAAATACTCTATTCCATCTTTTGCAACTCTTAAAATATTCGGTTTCAAATTTGGTGGGAAATCAATCGAAATTTAAAAATTTAAACGCTAACAATACAATTTGTAAGCTTAAATAATACATTCATTGGATAAAAATGCACATTTATATATTTATTCACTCAAAGATTGTGAGAAAAGATTAAAATCCAGTTCAATTTTGTCCTGACAATGTTCGGCATTGCCTGATATATTTTGGGAATAGAATATTTCCATAAAACATTACTATTACATTATTTTAAAGTTATTCAACAGTTAATTTTCATATCAACTCAATCCAGGGAAAAAATTGAACAAATACATGCTTAAAAGCTTATAAAGTTTAATTTTAAGACAAAATTTTAACCAACAAACCAATTCTAACTTTACTTATTTATTTTAAAGATACAAATATGATTTTAAGCCCCTTACTTGTAGATATATGAGAAATAAATTTAGTTGTATAAACATAGTTAAATAATAATATAAAAATTACAAAACAATAATGATAATGTGTAGTACTTAGTGACCGTCAATTAATGATAATTTAGAGATCATGAGATGCGATCTTATGTGATGTAGGTTTAGAAAAACATTTTCTTTATTGTGCCAATGTTTTGATCTTTATTTAGATTATTGTATAAATTCATTTTCATATCTTAATTGTATTTCTATAATCCAAACAAGGTCTGCAAATCTCAGGCCCTGAAGGTGATGTAAATAAAGATCAAAATGTTGGTACAATAAAGAAAAATTTTTTTCTAAACCTACATCACACAAGACAGCATCACACGATCTCAAAATAATCAATAATATATTCTTTAAAATATTAATTATGTCTAATCAGAAATTAAAACCACATTATAAAAGAAAAGCAGAAACAAATTCCATAGTCTTGACCCTGCAATTCTGAAGGATAAGGCTAAAGATTTAGAGGAGTGTTGAAGACTTGGGATATTTTGATGCATTTGGATAAGAAATGTGGGAAAAAGTTTATAGATATCGAGCACATTTATTTGATTTAATTTTAAACATGTATATTAAAAGGTTAAGTTAAAGTTATAAGTTAATAAAGTTTATAAGTGCTTAGAATGTTAAGGTTGCTGAAGATGTTAATGTAGGAAGAAATATGATCTCTTCGCTTAACTTCATAACAGTATCTAATGCAAGAATGATAAGCAGTTTGAAGGCGACTCGCAGACTGAGTCCAAAGAAAGTGAAAAAATAGCACTAAGAGAATAAAGGAATAATTAGGGATTTAATAGAGAGAATTCTAGTTTTCTGTGGAGTGAAAAAGCTAAGGCGTCAAAGAGAATGGAGGTTGAGTAAATCTTTTTAATAATAGAGCTCACATGGTCATGCCGTGTAAGCTTGTAGTTAAAAATAACACAAAATTTTTAACTTTTGGACAAAAATTAACAGGGAAGCCGTTGATATGAGGGGTTGGGAAATCTGTATTAATGGGTTTCTGGAAATTAATAAGGACTGAGATTTGTTAGGGTTTCAAGGATTGCTGTTATTTCTTGACCATTGATTGATTGAATTGAGATCATGGTTGAGCAGAGAGATAGCTTCAGAGAATTTAAATGCTTACACAATCCAATTTTTAAGCTTAAAATAATATATTCATTGGATAAAAATACTAGAACATTTATTCACTCAAAGATTTTGAGATATTTAATATGCAGTTCAATAGTTTAGCCCTTTTGTTATTGTCTGCTATATTTTGGGAATAGGATTTTTCCATAAAACATTATTTTTATATCATTTTTTGTAAATGATGGTTCTACATAATCTAGCATCTATATAATACACAAAAAGAGAATCTACATACTCACCCCATCTTTACTATATAAAAACATAATCCAATTTGGAAGTTTAAAAAGATACTGTTTTGTAGATTTATCGACCAACTTATGCAGATAACGTACAATGTTAACATGAAAACAAAAGAATTTAAGTTTATATACTTCTGACTAAAAATCAGTAAATACAAAAATGAGAGTTATGGCCAAAATTAAAATGTGTACTATATCCTATTGTAGAGCCCTGAAGAAGGTAACTGTAGTTCCAAAAGCTAGGCGAAGATTATAATTTTTTTTTACCACATCCCTAACAGCCAAGAGAACATTATTTAAAATGATACATTCATATGATGAAAATGTTAAAACATTTATTGACTCAGTGATTTTGAAGTATTCAACATTCAATTCAATAGTTTTGCCCTTTTGGCCTGATAACTTTGGTATTGCATATCATATTTAATTGAGAAAAGGTCTTTTCTATAAAACATTTATGTTACTATTACACAGTTTACATTGATAAATAATGTGTAAATAGATGTATTTGTCTATTAGTTGTTATTATATAATTGAATATTCTTATAGTCTTATTTTTTCTATTAATTAATAATTTACACACCTAATGTTGGGTTTAATCTTTATTGTTTTATGGAATTCCTAGGGTTGTTTTAAAATGTTTTCTCCAAACTATTTTATGTTTAATGTTCTTTCTAAGATAAAATTATTCTTATATTTAATGCAGGCTAAATAAAAAAGATGCAATAATTCCCTGGAGCCAACTGAATACAATGTGCAAACAAACACTGACTAAAAAAATTAAAAAAATTATACAACACAATCTAAAAATCTTGTAAAAGAAGGATCCAAAAATTCCTATAATTTATACAAGACATTTGATACATACTATTTTAAAGTTATTCAACAGTTAATTTCATATCAACTGAATCCAGGGGGAGAAACTTTAACAAGTACATGCTTAAAAATGTTTAATGTTTAATGACAATACAAAACTTTGACCAACAAAACCTTTCATGTACACTGTCACTCCTCGCTCCGTCAGCAAGTGTATGTACAGCAGTACTAAATACCATATCCATTGCATTAGGGATTATGAAAAGAAAAAAGGAAATACATTCATATGATGCACAGACTTTCTTGTTCATGATACAAGAACTCAGGAGAGCATCTGCCGACCCATTGACCAGGAAAATATACAAAAACTGAAACAGATCGATGTCAAGGGGGAAAGGTGATCCTGGCATCGTTCTCACATTGGTTGGGAATGAAAAAGCAGATAAGGCAGCAAAGTTGGCTGCGATAAGACCCCTCAAACCTACCTTTTATGTACATCCGGCGGATTTAAAAAGAATTTCTAATAAAATAAAAAATTAATGGAGGATCTACTGGACGGGAAAGAATACATCTAAATTGAAAAAATTAAAAGACATCTGGCCTGAGGAGGCTGGGTCAAAAAGGAAACGGTCATGCTTATCAGGTTGCGCATAGTCATACCTAGATCACACATGGTCACTTCCAATGCCCTTTGTGAAGAGAAATTATTTTGCTAGAGCACATAACAATAAACTGCAAAGAGATAAACTCTGGGGTAGTGTGAATGAAGTCTGGTGTGTGAATGCAATTTATTAGCATGAATGTGGGAGCATATACCCAATTAACCCGAGAAGTATCTAGAACTTTGGTGTAATATGAATGAGGTCTGGTGTGTGAATTTAATTTATTATTGTAAATGTGGGGCTTATCTTTAATTACCCCGAGGAATATCAAATATCCTGGTGTAGAGTACCAGCCCTAAAACAAAAAACATTTCAACTTTTAAAACTCGAGTATATTACATGCATTGCTCAAGTTGGTGAGAATTAAACTGAAATTTAAATCCAAATACTGCAATCTGGAAGTTTAAAATAAAACACAAATACTTAAATATTTAATAATTAATTTAAATTAGTTAAATGCTGTTGATTGATGTGTTGTCTGTTGGATAATGAAGTTGTAGATTTATCATCTTGGTTGGCTTTGATTGTTTTAAAGTTAAAGCAGTTACTTTATATATCAACTACAACTTCATCCTCCCAGTCTACTTGTTCTTTTTTTCATTGCCTGTCAAGCTTTGAGAACAGGATTTGTTCTTTAAAAACATTGTATTTATATTCTTCTTTTTGTTGTTCTTCACGTTTTCCTTTTATTCTAATTCTTCTTATTAATAAGTCTTCTTGAGTTTTTTTTTCATATATTCTTGCGGTAGTTGCAGTAGATGGAAAGTTTTAACAAACTCCGAGATGGCATATAAGTAAGAATGAAAATTTTTATATTCATACATTTTAAAGTTATCCTCCTGTTATTTTTCACTGGTTGGAACCTTAAGTTAAAGTTTAAAAATTTGTCATACTAAATATAGAGACAAAGCATTAACCAACTAATCCGTTCCAATTATAGCACAACTCCTAAAACATTGAGATCTTATTTGGAAGCAATCAAAACACAATTTAGAAGTTTAAAAAAAATATCAACAAATAAATATCTAATCACATATTTTATTTAAATAGTGAAACAACTGTGTAGGTTCATTGGGTGATGTACATTGTCATCCTGGTTTTGTCTGTACACTAAAGTTAATTTTTAGAAACTGTAGCTTTATCAAACTACTTTTTTGGCATTACCTGTCATACTTTGAGAGCAGAATTTTTCACAAAAGTGCATATTCATGCAAGTCAACACTTCCGTTCCAGAACACATTTTCTTGAAGTGCACTGCTTCTAAAAATTCCATATTTTGGAAGTGGTATTTACAAATTGTTTCTGCTGTAATGAATGTGTTAATTAAGCACAGCCCTAAAGACCTGCAAAATTTCATGACATAGCATACAACCTATCCAATCCACTTGCAACTTTTCAAACTTAATTCCACATTTCATAAGAATTCGACTCAAATTTAAAATAAAATTATTTTTAAGGTGGTCAAAATCTTTAATAGTTAAGTTTGGAATGAAACTGGTGAGGACTGTAAGGCACCTAGCCTGGTTTTTCGCTTCTTTCTCTTCTGCAAGATGAACTAGTTGCCCGATTAATCTGGTCCATTGCTTTTCTCTCTGGCAGACAGTAATGAACTAATTACAAGTTTAAGATTATTTTACACAGCCTTTACGAACTGTCTTCCCTGCGTGCTCGACGGTAATTATTGTGAATAACACAAAAGCTTGAATTGCCAGCAAACTGAGAGATAGGCTCAACTACGTACGTGTATGTACATTCATGTGCAGATTTGAGCAAATACAAACCAGTATTTAGCAGCTGAGGCCAATGAAACACGCGAGTTGTTCCCTGTATATTTCCTTTTTGAAATTGTATTTTTTCCACACTTATGAATGATGAGACCTGAAAGTAACTGAGAATTGTACAAATTGACAAATGTTTTAAAATTAAATTAATTGTACCTTTAACGACATTAATAAGTCTAATAAGTCGCCTGTAATATGGAGAAAAAAGTACAAATGAATGATACAATATTATCACTAGTGCAGAATCTGATTTAGGTTTCAATATTTTGGTTAAACAACAAAGCATTTGTTGAAAAAAGAAAAAAAAGCATTTGAAGAAACTTGTATTTCTTTATCGTACCAACTACCATTTCCACCATTTACATGGAATGGTATATTTACCTTAAACTTATGACAAATGTATAAGTTTCGTTTTTATCATAATCATTCTCCTTGACCATGTGATAGGTAACTGACCCACTTACTTTCTATTATGGTCTATTGTATTTTTGAAAATGATGTGCAAATTATATCTCGCATTAAACACTAACGTGATTAATTTTTGTTTTTATTATAAAATAATTATCGGTGATTACATTGACAGGCCAATAGGAAAGGAAAATATAGATACACTAGATATTACAACAAATTATATTATCTTTCAGACATGAAATATTGTTTCTTGCTCAATGTCTAGTAATTAATACTATAATTTGAAAAGTAAATAAGGAGGTTTATCTTTCATTCAACTGTACATTATTTTTATGGACTACAAATGGCGATATTTGTGGCACATTTAAAAAGTTATCGAATCAGTTTTTTGTTTTGTTTTTTTAATTTTATATATAGTATAAAATTTGTACTTTTTTAAAAATTGATTTGCACAAAATTAGTAGCAATCTTATTTACTATATGCATTTTCTGACGATGATAAAATCCATAAATGTTTAGAACCGGATATTTTTCGCCGGAAAACTTTCGGGCTGGTTAAGAGAGAATTTGACCCATTTAGTTTGCAACAAACCCCTTAACAATAATTTATATATATATAAAAAAGTGTTTCTTACTTTTGTTTAAAAAAAAAAAGAAAAAAAAGAAAAAACGAAATTAAGTAATACAATTAAATTTGTAATATAAGTTTCAAACTGTACAAATGGGGGGAAGAAAAACCTACTTTAAAAAATTGGATAAATTCAAAGGTTTTGCAAACCTTATCTAGTCCCAACAGATATAATTTATACAATTAGAATCCTTATTAAGGCAAAAGAGGTTGCTATAGATAAATTTAATTTTTATTATTACTTAAGGTACAATAGTAATAAATCATTTTTTAAAATCTGTCTAGAAATAATAAAAAACTCATAAAACTACCAACTAATAAAATGTACTTCTTTTAAATTCTAATATAGGTGTACATACTTTGTGATTCACACAACACAATATTTAATTTTTTTTTAATATTCAAACAAAAAATTTGAACAGCACAAAATTAGTTCTCAAAAACTGTTTGTTGAAAATTTAGTGGACAAGTTTTATAATGAAAATATTTACAACACAATTTGCGACAAATAAAATAAATTTCAAGCAGAAACAACAAAAATAAAAATAAACACCAACGTCCCCCGGAAAACAAAACCGGGTTCTCATTTTTATATTTTGTTTCAAGGTCAATATGAAAATGCCTAAATAGGTTTTCAATACAAACTGAGATTTAATCGATCAGTAGTCAATTTCAGGATAAAATATTCTAATACTGGAATAGAATTTTATTGCACAATCATCTTTTTTCTTTTTCTTAAATTTTCATATATATATTTTTTTGTTAAACAACACTATCTCGTTGATTTTTTTTTTAATTTTTATGTATGCACACTTAAAGAGAGATTGATTTGATTTTGGAGATCTTATTGTATAGAATTGTTTCTCAAGAAATAAATTGAGCTTTAGTTTGAAAACACCCATGTCACAACCTTGAATTTATCAATAACAAATTTTTTTTCCAAAAGAAAAAAAAAAACGATTACTTTTAAAATAAAAAGGTGGGGAAAAAAGAGAAGTTCTAATAGAGAGGCACCTAGATTTCCAAGCCTCAAATCTGTACACAGATAGGAACAATTATGTACACATACAATGCATCCGTTTTTCCTGATAAATATTATAGGCTTCTCTTCTTGTGTTGTGTGCTGCATTTATTATTAATTTTATTTAATTACTTTTTTAATATAGTTTCAATAATAATAATCATATATACACATTTATTTGTGTCTCTCCCTTTTTAAGTGCGACAAAAGTTTTTCTTGTATTTTTTATGAGGAAAATTTGATCTACTTTGCATTCCGGAGAGTTCGTCTCGTCATTGCTGGCCCTGTTGCTGTCGCACTGCCCTTAACTGGACCCCCTCCTGTCGCTCCACCTGTAGACAGCAGTTAAAACTTTACCAAAGTCAGTATGATCTTATAACTCAGGCCCAATAGACATCCAACAACTACGGGGAAGAGCAGTTAACTTATTAATTGAGAAAATAGTTTTAATATTAGCACCTCGAGAGCCCGTATTAAAATAAAAACCACCCTTACGTGAATAACAAAACAACTTACTTTTGCAGAACCGTGAGTTGGTTACAGTTCTGGAAATTGGTGCTTTAATAGGAAATAGAAAGCAAATGTTTTTTCGCTAGATACTCTAAAAGAAACAAATTGTAAATTGGTGACCAGAAATAAAAACAAATATTTGAACTAGTTTTCTAAACTATATTAAAAAAAAGTATAAATATTACATATGTGACCTAATAATCAAAGGGATCTATCGCAGGTAAAACGAATTTTGAAAATCCTCTTTACTTACTTTTTTTCTTAGCAAGAGGATCCCTTCTTGGTTTCTTTTCCGGAACAGAAGCCGATGTAGTAGAAGGTGCTTTTCTTTTGCCAGTCATTGATTTCATTTCTTTCTTGGCCAGCTGAGGAGTGTCTTTTTTGGCCGAGGGCAAAGACTGGGTGACTACTGCTTTCTTTGTCACCTTTTTGGCAGGGACACTTGGGGCACTCGGAGCCGGGGCAGGCGAAAGTGCTCTTCTTTTAGAGGCCAATAGAGCTCTGCCGGCTATTTTCTTCACTACCTCGGATTTTGTCACCTTGGCTTTCTTTTTAAGCGCCTGCCTCCTTGATTTAGACATTCTGGAAGTGGACTTCTCTCCTGTCTTTTTTTTGGTTTTGTGCGAATTCCTTTTTTTCAGCTGGTCTTCATTGCGGTACAAAGAAACATCAACTGAAAAAAAAAAAAAAAAAAAAAAAAATCAATATAAAATAATCTGGATATATTTAAACTTAAATATATTGAACCTACGCCCATCAGGATGTTCTTCTGTCACTTTGGAATCATCTGCTATCCCCTTTTCTACATCGATCGCTCTCTTAAGTATACTTTCTGTCCTCTGTGATTCCACAGCTGGTAGTTTAAATTTTCCTTTTGCGATTCTTTCTAAACTCAAGTTTGTCAGGATGCAATCAAATTCTGCAAACAAATACACGAGTAAAATAAAAATACTTTCATAATTATACAACACAACGTACAAACCTGTCTGGTCATAGAAGTCAGGAGAGTATACGTCACTATTTGGAAGTTGTGAAAGCCATCTGATCTTAATTTTTGAACTAGACCGATAAATGTTTTGCATCGCCTGGCATATATAAAAGCCACCTTCAGCATTGCGTACGGCTAGGAATTCGTTTCTGAAAAATAATAAAATACATTTAATAAATATTAAGAAATTAACCAAAATTAATTTAGCCATTCAGAATAAAAAATAAAATTTTAGTACTTGTAGAATACAATGAGTTTATCTTCCGATTTACTAGGTGCTTTGTCGATCTTATTGATTTTAGCTATGATATTAAGCTCTGGTATTGGGCTTTGATATATTTGTGTTGGGAGACGCTTCCTTTTGGGTTTCTTATCATCGTCCTCCTCGGTATCCTCCTTAACTGTGTCAGGTTTTGACTTTGGTTCACTCTTTGCCTACAAAATAATAAATTCATAAGTAAAAATAAGTATTTTGGAACTTTCATTAGACTAATGAATAAAAGTTGAAAAGAAAACAGTGTATTTATGTAGGGTTGATGCCAAAATAATGCAGGTTTTTGACTACCTAATAAAAACAACCTACAATTTAACTTCAACAAAATATATTTAATCAAAATAACTTCCATACTATCTATACATTTTTGCCAATGCACATCCAATACATTAATCCCATAAGAATAGAAACTAGGGTCTCTGGGATCGGTGAACTACTGAAATGCATTTTCGATGTCCTTCTGGCTTCTGAACCATTTCTCGCACAAAAAGTGGTTGAGATGTTTAAAAAAAGTAATAATCTCTAGGAGAAAGATACAGTAAGTATGGTGGATGTGGTAAAGCCTCATAACCCAACTCATGAAGTTGTGCCAGAGTCCGTTGAGGGACATGTGGGCATGCATTGTCTTGAAGGAGGATAAGCCCCATCCGACTGGTTAATCATCAATGGTGACCATAAATGTCGCAGTTTTTGGTCCATCTTATTAATTTCATTACAGTACTTTTCAACAGTGAAGGTTTCACCTGGATTGAGGAGGCTGTAATGAGTGAGTCCTGCAGATGACCACCAGTGACCACAATTTTTTTTATGTAAGCTTGGCTAAGGGTTTTTAACTCTCCACTGTCTAGAATGCTGTCTTCTGTCGTACAAAATCCATTTTTCATCATACGTTATTATACGACTGAGAAATGGATCATTTTTTATGCACACAGAAAGCATTGAACTGATTTCACACCTGCGATACTTCTGGCGGTCGTTCAGCTCATGCGGAACCCACTTGGCTAGATTGTTTTCCCAATAGCTTCCAGATGGCAAATGGCTGAGGATTGGTCAACACCAAGTTCTTCAGCCATTTCTCAATATATTTCGTGTGGTCAGCTTCAAATAAGCCTTTAACAGGTCACTGTCAACAGCAGGACCACCTTCTTTGCTCGTGAGATCGTAATTCTCCATTATGGAATTTTTGAAACCAACCTGTGGATATGTCATTTATGGTTCCTTGCCCCCAAATGTCACTAATGTTTTGAGCGGTTTGCGCTGTACTTCCCCCAAGTTTAAATTCGTAGAAATAAATTTGCCGAAAATCACTCTTAGACATAATTTTGTTTGAAGGCACTGAGCAGATTGAATTATTTACGAAAAAATCGTAAGAGAAAGAAAGCGAGATAAATAAGCTTTAAAACGATGTGTATCCCTTTGCATAATGGATAGTTTTGTTTACATAATTGGTATTAAAAGTGAAGCGAAAAAGAAAACCTGCAATTTTTGTGCATCAACCAAATAAAATAGAAAATACCTTATAAGTTCGTTTTGTTCTTGGACTGACTTTTGTTTCAGATTTAGGTAGCTCTGATTTTACAGGTACAGCCACTATAGACGTAGCGGGCGATGGAGAAACCGGGGAGCTTAATGTCATTGCATTGGAAGCCGGTGGTTGAGCAGGGCTTGGCAGAGATGCTTCTGTCGGTGCAGGAGTGGAAGTTTCAGCTTTGACTTCTGATGAGTTCTGTTGCTGTGTTGGAAGCTGAGACGAAACGGGTTTTGCCACTTCCTTCGGCTGCTGTGGTTCAGCGACCTCTGGAACGACTGCTGGGGCTGTGGGGAATGCAGCCACTTTCTCCTCATCTCTGCTTTCCTGTACTTCGGGGACGACGACCTCTTGCACAGGGGCCGCGGGGACAGCTGCTGGCTGAACGATTGCTGGGGCAGGTGGTGGCACAGCAACGGCCGCGCTGACAGGGAGTTGAGATGCCATATCTGGAACAGGAGCTTCTGCCACACTCTCTTCCCCTCGATCCGGGTTATTGTTTGTACTATTAGAACATTCAACATGAGAATTGTTGCTCTCAGCCTTTCCTCCACCTAAAAACAAAACAAAAAAAATTAAACTAAAATTCCAGAAAGAATAAAAAATGCTCTCAATATATAAATATTTTTAAGGAAACTTACAAGGAAGATTAGGTTGATGTGTCGGTGGGGTCGGAAGTGGAGGAGGTGGTGTTGTCTCCATGGCAGTGATCGGATGAGAAATTTCAACCTGCTGAGGGACGACCAACGGGACTGGAGCCATGGTGGTTGCTTCCATGCCATTGGCTACATTCGGCTTGTTGACTACTGGTGTAGGCTGGACAGTCGGTGGGCATTTTTCCGTCCTCGGCAACGGTTGGACACTTTGGGGTACAGTGGACTTATGCTCGGCTATCAAGCTAAGCGGCATCAGCCCCGCAGGCGGAGAAGACGCACTCATTGCGCTCATACCTGCAGTTAACAAATTTTAATTACAAAGTACAATTTTAATTACAAAAACATTTCCATTAACATTTGTATTATAAGACAACACTTTTTTAAAGATTATCTATAATTGAAAATAAAATAATAAGAAGACAGGAATTATAAAAAGTGTTTTGTAAATAAAGATGAATCAGCCTTCGAAATATTTACAACTAATCCCTTGAAAACCTTCATAAGTATGAACATAACAAATAAAATACTTAGAAAAATATTTACTTCTTGCGTTTCAGTTTTTCATTTTTAATGCTGGGTCTGCTTGTGCCCATAGTTTTGTATACTATCTCACGAGACAGAAAAAAAAGACAAACCAGGATGATTAACATGTTCACTGTGGGACCTTTTTCTTTGACTTGTTTGCCAGTTGGCTATATTACTAGTTTTGAGTAATATAAATTGATCATTTTAACCTGCCTGTCTTTGATATAAGCTTTTCACGTTCTTGAGTGTGAGGTCTGTCTTTGTCTGCTATTTTATGTACTATCTAGCTATAGAATAGTACATAATAATTACATACTTATAGTGATGAACGTGTTAACTATTATAGTTTTGAAAATATAAATTGATTAATTTTGGATTGGCTATCCTTACTGATTTCAATCTGTCAGACGTGTTTCAGCTTTTCACATCCTTTAAAGCTGTGTATGTATGTGTCTGGTTTTGTATACTATCTTAAAAAAGAAAACCTGGATGATTAACACCTTCATTGATGACCACAAATTGCGTTTGACTTGTTTACCAGGATGATATTTCCTGTTATTTGAAACAGTTGGGAGCTTCATGCCACTATGGAGTCGTCCGTGAACATGTTAAACTTAATAGTAATTAATTGAGTTAATATACAATAGACTCTCATTATCTGTGGGAGGAAACATACCAAGCAACACCGCAGATAATAGGAAACACTTTGAATTTCAGGCTTCGAAGCTTTTTTCTTCTATGTGTATACCAATCGGACACTTTTTGTGTTGCGAGTACCTATCATCAATGTTATATATGCTATATATTGGGCACTCTCAACACGGCACACAAGAATGAGACAATTACGCAGAAAACAAACACTTTGAGCCTTGAAGATGATCTCAATAAAGATCGAAACATTGGCACAACAAAGAAAAATGTTTTTCTAAAAAAATTATTAAGTGCCTAAAAAAAGATAAAATTGATTCTTCATTGTTTCTGTCCGACAGATACGTCTCTGTTTGTCACATTTTTAGTACTGGTCTGTGGTTTTATATACACACTCACGAGTTAGGCAAAAGTGAAACCAGGATGATTAACACGTTCACTGCTGAACGTAGTTCACTTGACTTGATTACCAGGTGGATATTTTCTGAGATATTTGAAACAGCAGAGAGCTTGCCATCACCGTGGCTTTGACCGGAATGAACATGTTAAGCTCCATTATCAACACACAATTGTAACTAACCAAGTTAATATAAATTGGTCATTTTAATCTGCCTGTCTTCATTGTTTCTACATTCCAGCTTTTCACATTCCTCAGTGCTGGTTTATGGTTTTGTATACTATCATGAGTTAGAGAAAAGTCAAACCAGAATGATTAACATGTTCACCGCAGGACCACCAATTTCGTTTAACTTGTATATTAACCACGATATTAGAAACAATTGTGAGAACTTGACGTCGCTGTGGCTTCATCCGCAATGAACATGTTAAGTTACACAATCAGTCCATACTTGAGTTTTGAGTTGTATAAATTGAATGTTTTAGTCTGCTTGTCTTCGCTGTTTCTGTGTCAGACACAATTTAGTTTCTCCTTCAGAGCAGGGCCTGTCTTTGCCTGTGGTTTTTACACTATCTCACAAGAGAGACAATAGGCAAGCCAAGGCAATAAATCTAAATAGTGGTCACTACTAACTTGTAATAATGAACTATGCTTAATTGATTATTTTGAATAAATTAAATTAATATATTTAATTTTTATGATGTCATTGAATTTTTTTTTACCTTGGTATTTATGTATAACAAAACTTAAATAGAAAAAAATATTAAAATCACATTAAAAATATATTTAAAAAAAACAATTCAGGGATTTTTAAACGTGTTTATTAAACTTGGTTAGAGAGAAATAGAGAGAACCGGTGTATGAAATAAGAAGAATTATATTATCAGAAAGCAAATAAATTTTAAAAAATACACAAAAACGTTAACGCCGACGTGCAAGAAAGTTCTGTGAGCGGAAAAATTGAAAACAAATTTCTAATAGCAAAATAAAAGGGGGAAAATGTAAAAATAGTGAGAGAGTGAAGGGTACAAGCCGTGGAGCGATCAAGAATGAAGAAAGCCCCCCGGATAGAAAAATATACAACGTTCCACCAGCCAGTAAGAGAAAAAAAAATGATCCATGAATAATACAAACCTTACAAGACTAGACAATTGTTATAAGATTATTTCTCACTGTTTCACAGAGGCGGAAAACTCGGTAAAAAACAAAACCTGTCCAGAGAGGCGGTAAACAAAGAATATTAAAAGAAAAAATAACTAAAAACTTAAAAAACAAACCGGGCTCCTGTCCCGAGACAGTCGTTTAACAGCTCAAAGGGAAAAACCGACGTTGAAAAACCCTTTTTGACGCGTTTGGGACCAAAAGGGCGATCACTGAAAGTACGTTAAACTCTGGGGCCCCATACAACAAATAACAAGTCCGCCATTGCCACAATCGACCATTAAAACTTTTGTCGACGATGGCGTCCAAAACTCCCACGACGAGCGGTCAAAGCCGAGCACGATCTTTCCTTCCTGTATGACGTCATCTGGAAACGTTTGATCATTTGGCCGTTTTCCAAAACCAATTCAAATACTCGTGACCAATTGTGGTCAAAGGTATTTTTTTTCAGGCAGGGAAAAAAAGATTTTATGTCGAAAAACAAAAAAATATAACGGCGATTACCCTAACGTATCAAGCCATCTCCATACATCGAAGCCCTATCGAATATCGATACCAAAATAGAATGACTATAATTTCATCCTCAAACATTCTTTTTATTTAAAAAAGAAATAATTAAACACCAAAAAAATAAATTTTTAAAAATATTATAAAACAATAAAAACAAATCAAACAAAAAAAGTCCAAAAAGAAAACTCAAACCGCCGAACGACGACGCCATTATTCTCATCTCATAAATCAATCATTCTTATCAATTATAAAACCACCGGGCCAATCATAAAAGCCCTGATTGATTGAGCTTTTTTCCGCTTAGTTACATTTACATTCGAGATCTAAAGGAAAAATCCTTGTGAAAACTAAATTATCGAACATCAAAACAGAATCTTTTACTGGACACAAGCAATCAAAGAATCTCCTTGCATGATTTGGAACACAAAGAAATTACATGGTCGATTAGAGAAAATAGAAGAGGGGGAAAAAAGAGAAATCTACAAAGTACAAAGAGCCAGATGATACAACTAATAACTGTGAAGAGACACTCCTCCAGGAAATATTCTGGAATTTACAACACATCTACATAATAATATAAAGTAATAAAATAATATTAAAACATGCTTGTCCTTTCCATAAAAAAAGGAAACCATGAGCAAGGACAATATAATATAGAACACTGAAATTCTACATTATTCTATGCTATGATTATTCATTATTATTATTATTATTTTTTTAGTAATTTATTTTTAATCTATTACAGTTTCAGACATATAGATGGGGGTTGGTCTTCATTACATACAATATTACTAAGAATGTTAATTAATTATTCATTTTATGTAAAGTCTTGGTTGAGAAGACCAAGCTGAAGAGTTCAAATCCTGCTTGTGACATTAACTTTTACATTCAACCAAGACCTTACCTAAAAATAATAATCAATTGAAATAAATAATTTGATCATTTAGACCACTAACCATAAATGGATTAATAATTAATAACAATTATAATTAATTAAGGTTTTTAGTTGAGATATAATAAATGTCGTGTAATCATTTAATTCATTTAATAATCAATTAAAAATCAATCATATAATAATTACACGACATTTGAAAAATGGCAAAAAGGAGCGAAAAATTCAAAAGGTGCGGTTGAGATGGGAAGTTGGTGTCCGAGTGGATCGAGGCCACGATAGCTTAAGAGGTAGAGCAGCGGCATATCAAGCCGAAGATCGTGGGTTCGAATCCTGCTCGTGCCATTAACTTTTTTATCTCAACTAAAAACCTTAATTAATTATAATATATTAATTGGTCAAGCAGATGAAATTAGTGAAATTAATAATAATAATATACATTTACATAAAAAAATGATCCTGGCATTATATACAATATAACATACCACTATAATAGTATACATTTATCAATATTGTAATGAAAATAAAACAAATTTATCCTGCCATTACATACAATATAGCATACCAGAAATAATAATAATAATGTACATTCATAAATATTTTAAACAAAATAAAAAACATTGTATCACATACAATACAAAAATTCGCAGATATGATCCTAGCGAACAAAAATTGCTCTTATATTTTAGAGCATATTTAACAAAAATATATACGTGTCATTTAGTGTGTTTAGATCACTTGTGTCAGATATAGTAAGTATGCTTACAAATTTATCCTCATTGTTAAAATTATTTAGGGGAATGTAATTTTTGATATATTTTGTTCTGAGAGGAGCCAATGGAAGTGTAAGGTGCTCGGGTTCTTTTAAGGGGGGCAATTTAGAAGGTTGTTCAGAATTAAATAAGTGTAATCTCCTGTTAAATACGTACCGCATGACTGATTATTTGCAAGTCTCAATTGAGCAAACACTCATATTTACTGATGTGAACATTTGCATTTATATAAGGTTTATTGCATGTTAGACTGCTAATTTTTCTATTAGCCAAATTAAAGTCGTTGTATAAGACAACTTCAATATCTTTACATAACAAATTATTTTTATTTGATTCTAAATAATTGTAATATTTTCTTTAATTGTTGAAAGATCCAATGTTTTACAATGAGTATCAATAATTCCAAGTTGTGATCTAATTTCATCAACTCAACTGAAAGGAATTGTGTAATTTTCAGCATTTAGCTTTTGCAGTCTCATAAAACAATATTTGGGAAGTAGGGTATCTGACACGTTCAACAAAACCAACAACCAATTTAACATTTTTAAAATAATTGTAACATCTGTGGATACTCTACTAGTTTCCAACCTACGTAAGCATCGGGTGGGTTTTTGAAAAATGGAGTAGCAATTATGAGATTAGAACACCCACTTGACTCCACTCAAGAAAGTCCACCATATCTTGGCCCTCAAATTTCGGCTAAATATAAAAAAAAATTTTCAGAAAGGGAATCATATATTACATTTCTGTTGTTCTCATCATCACTTTTACAAGCTCTCAGAGTTGCCAAGGCAACCAAGGAAGCTGAAGTATTTTTGTTAAAAAAACAAACAAAAAAACTTGCCAGTTGAGGGTGAAAGAAACATCCAAATATTTGAAACTATTACAGAACTGTTCATATTGGATTATTCTTTATATTATTTTTTTATATTGACATATTTTGCACTTTTTAAATATTTATTAAGTTCAAATAATAAGGGGATAATCAATTTTATGTATATGTCAAATGAAATTGCAACATTTATTATTATTCGAATTATGTTTGTTTTAACCCAAAATAAATCTGTCTGGAGTGTACAAATTAGAAAATTAAAAATAAATTAAATATTTCAATTCGAATTTTCCGGAAAATAGCGGGTCTGTAGAAAATTTAGGGTAAACAGGATCGATGTAATTGTTTTATCGATAAAAGAACCTTCTCGCAGTGTTTTATCAAAAGTTTGTTTATGCTTTATTTCTTCAGAATTAGAAATACATTACCAAGTTTCAATTTTTTCTGTTGTATGTTTTAAACTTAACCCTTTATTTTAAAATAATATATATTACATAATATTTGTGAAGCGATGACAATTCATAATCTGTACATATTTGACAGAAGTGGTAATTTGCTGTTTTATACAGAATGGTTCAGAGTGAAGCAATCAGGGATGTCCAGGGAAGAGGTATGTAAAAAAAAATCCTTTAAGTAAAAAAATTATTTGAGAATTTTTGTTCAAGGAGGCCAAGTTAATGTACGGGATGTTGTTCTCGATAAAGTCATTTGTCGCTAAGATCTCCCCGCTTGATATGAAAGAAGGGTTTTTATGCTATAAGACGAACAAATACGCTCTGCACTTCCTCGAGACACCGACCGGATTGAAATTCGTCCTGAACACCGATGTCAATGCGCACAACATTCGAGATCTCATTAGAAAATTGTACAGCCAGGTATTTTTATTTCCAACCCGATCATTATAAAATCTTTTTGAATACTTTGATCCTTTTACAGATATACGTTGAGTACGTTGTGAAAAATCCTGTCTGCAGTCTTGACGAACCGATCAAGAGTGATCTTTTCAAAGAGAAATTGGATGCTTTTATAAAACAATCACTGGCATATAAACCTCTATGATTAAAAAAAAAAAAAATGTAAGTTGTAAAATGTTATATACTTTTGATAAAACAATTATGACATATGAGCATAAATTATATACAATATTGAACATAAAAGCTCTCGCGTCATAGAACACTTGTAAATAAGCAATTTTATATGTGATAAAATATATTTATGTAAGAATTTTTGTTTTCATTATTCCTGATTTTCATCAAAATTAAAACTAATAATAATAAACTATTGACTTATCATAGTGCCACTTCTAGTTTGTATCTTTATCATTAAAAAAAGCTTAGAATTTGTATTGTTTGAAAATAATATTTTGTTTCATTTTTCCTACATTCACAGTCATGAGAAAATATCTTACAGATTCTCCAGTGTGTGAATAAATTTTGTCAGTTAACAAAACTGTACTGTACAAATGACGAGGTAGAGCAAGGATGCGATGGCTTATGTGCAAGAATGAATTTCAAAGGAGCTGATCCCATTTCAAGTTCACTACTTGACTAACTTTTTCAGCATAAACGTTGGGGGTTAACTAAGAGCAAGTCTTGGATGGGTAAACAAATTAATTTCACAGTGAAACCTGCCGTTGAAAAAACAGTACGGCTTGGAAGTAGCATGACCTGGAGAAAATCCAACAGGGGCTGTGTGAAGTGGTCTTGGAGTTATCACTGATTTCTCGAGTCAAGATGGTCAACAAGTATACTACTTTAATTAGGGATCGTACGAGGAAAGAAAATTTAGAGGACTGACGTAAGAGGAGAGGCATGAGCCACAATGATGAACGAAAGACCTACTTTGACTTCCTCTATTGGCCATCTACTTAACTCTAACGTGTACCATTGAATACACAAATTTCAATTTTTAAAACTTCCCAAACTCCGTCGCCTTGTTTTCAATACTCTTACATAAAAGGCAACACCAAGCAATGCATATTATCAGATTGTTTTATTTATTTTTTTTTAGATTGTGTTTTTGTAAGTTTAGTGCAACATTAGTTGGAGTGCAAGAGGAATAACAAACCATAATCTTAATTTATATTAAGTCTTTTTTCTATTTCTTCGACGTATTTTTCAGGCACGTTGTTTACCCTGGAAAGATTTCAGTTAATTAGTATTTACTTAAATTATCCAGATTTATTGTACATTTAAATAATGTACAATACCTTATAGCATTTAATTTCTTCTTAATTATGCTTTTCAAGAAATCTTCGTGGTTGCGTCTCTCAATCGCTGCTGAAATTCCTTCTTCATATGTTGCTTTTCTCATTTTTATTCTTTCATACTCTTTTTCGTTTATTTGTTTTAAAAGGCTGGCTTTATACTTCTCGAGACCCTATAATTAAATATAATAAAGTAAGAAATGAAAATTATTTTGTGAAACATTGTGAGGTGACAGTGTGATCATGATCATCCCGATTATCATGAGGTACCTATTTTCACATGGCTGGCAATGAAAACTGTAAAAATGGGTAAAATGTGATAATCAGGGAAGATCTTAAAAAAAAAAAGTCAAATATTTTAATAAAATATTTTAGTTGCACAGAATTCACCTGTTTTCTTTTGTTTTCTTCTTCTTGTTCCTTCTTCTCGATTTGTTGTTCTACAGCCTGCAGCCTTAAATTTTCTTGACGCTCCCTCTCAGCCTCTATGGCTTGGGTTCTTTTTTTCTCTTCGATCTGTCTCATTCTCTCCTGTTTGAGCTTATCCATCTTCATCTGTTTCTCTTCTTTGACGCGTTTTTCTTTCTCACGCCACTCTCTTTCCACCTCTTCTTGCCTACGTTTAGCCCGGAGTGCGTCTTTTTCGCTCTCTCTATCCTGAGCCTTTTGCTGCATTGCTCTTAGCTTGGTTAACTCTTTCTCCCTCTCTGTCTTAGCAGCTAGTAACTCTTTTTCACGCATGTCTTCCAATTCTGCCTTCTGTCTCATAAACTCTTGGATCTAAAATTTGCCCATAATTATAATTAATTTTTTAAAAATATTATATATATATTTAATCAATGAATAAAATCCTTACTTTCAAGTCAGCGAGTTTTGCTTGATTTCGTTCCTTATCCGCTCTCTCAATCATGGTTTGATTGATTCTATTCAAGTCTTCTCGCATTTTCTTTTGCTGCTCAGCTTTCTTCTGCATGAGTTGGAGCTCATTAATTTGACCTTGAATTGCTGTTTCATTCAAAATTTTCATTTCCTATGTCAAAACAAATATGCATTAGTTTATTTATTTTTAATGGCCTTATGAACTTTGCATATTAGCGAAGGAATGTAATGAGATATATATATTTTGGGGGGGGGGAAGGCTTTTTTGAAAACAATAGCCAGGGGGGTGATGGGAATCTAACAACGGGGTCTATGAGTCGATGGTCAACATGCTAACCCCTCAGCTACGGTGATCCCCTGTATTTCATTTTTTAAATTTATCTTTTATGTTGTAAGGTTTGCCAGCTGAATAATATAGTTTCATCTCCGATCAACCTTATTTTTGTTGATTTGCCAGTCAAACCCACCACTGAAGTTATGACTCCAGAAAAGCCAAAAAAACACCTGTCAGATAAAACAAGCAAAAATGGGCAAATCAGGATGATTGGAGATGACAAGATTAATAAATATGCAAAACAAAACAATTTCTAATGCTTTCTCAATATAATAATAACAGGATATATTTTTTTTTTTTTAGATTGTATAAATATGTTGTAGGAGTAGATAATGTACTAGCAGTTTTGTTTTTGCAAAAGTTGTACGAACAAACCTCAATAAGTCTTTCTGCTTCCATCTCCCGCTCGAGAATTTTTCCTTGGACCTGTTCGGTAATTGCCTTTTTATAGGCTTCTTTTTTCTCGTGGTCACCGCTTTTGTCCAGCATTTCTTTTGCCAACATTCTTTTCCTCTCTTGTTCCATCATCATGTCGAGCCTCCTTTCTTCTTCTTGCAACTCTTTCCTGCCAAATTTGTTGTGGTTAATTTATTAAATTGATAATGATTAAAGCTAGAACATACTGAATCGTCTGCTTTTCTGCAACTTGTGCATCCCGAATGGCATGGCATTTTGTGCTTAGTATTAATTTATTGCACAATTTTATCTTGTCGTTGTCTTCCTCCCTTATTTCTTTTGCACGGTTTAAGAGGAAATTCGCTTTTGCTTCTGCTTCTTGTTCTAACTAAATTTTGAGTCAGTAAAATATAAGTAAACATTGTGTAGCTTATAAACTCGCCTTGTTTAGTCTTGGGCCGTACTCTTTATAAATAGGATAAGACTGTAATTCCTTCTTTCTAAAAGCTGCTTTTCTAGCTTCATTTTCCCTTTCTTCTTTAAGGTTTTTGGAAAAGGCTGTTACGTTCTCTGTTCCTAACTACGAGTAAACAAACGGTATTTAGACAATTTTACAATCATCGTAAAAAAAAAAAAAACATACATTTTTCCTGTTTGAAAGCTCTTTAAGCTCTTCTGGGCAATAGACAGCCGTGTTCAAGTTAGCATTTGGGTTTGGTATTATGAGATCTCTGACACTGTCATGAGTCACCACTCGTACATACCTTTTCCCGTTTTTAATGAATTCCCCAGGGTTTAAAAATTTACTAAGATCTTCAGTTTTATGTTCAAGCACCATCCCTCTGCAATAATGCAAAACATTTTAAATTTATTAATGGGTTTACAATTTTTATGATTTACACTAAAAGATATTTTGAACGCACCTACACTGTTTGAACTTACCATAACTATCAGGATTATCTAAGCCTATCAAACCAATGTGAAGCTGGACATCTTACTTTAATACAATATAGACAGAATAATGCCAAATTGTTGTCAATGTGTACAATGCAAACTCAAAATAGTGCTTGTACCGAAATATTCATGAATAACTTTCAAAAAATTCTTTTCAAATTAAATACATTAATTAAATCTGTCATTTTTTGGAAACGCTACGTAAATAATATCTTATGTATATAGTCAGGAACACTAGAGGATCTAAAAGAATTCCTCAAATTAATAATGTACCACCAATAAAACCGCTTTACGTCCGTTAAAATACTGTGGATAAGTCAAGAGCTCAAAGTTTTTTCTTTGTTCTCTTTCAGAGAGTCAACAAATTTATTTATCTTGGGTTCCAAATTAGCTCCTTTAAAACCATATCCCAAGAGAATCATACCTACTAATAGTAGCTACCTTAACCTTTCAACATATATGAAAAGCAGCTTAATCTTCAGGAACACAAAAATTATGCTGTAGAAAACCCTCATATGCCCAGTATGATTCTCATACTTGCACCATCCCCAGGAAAGACAAAAATAATCTCTTTATTTTTAAAGAAAAATTTTCATTGATATAAAAGAAAGAATGGCGAAGATTGAATAACAAAGAAGTAAATGTGAAAAGAGAAAATTCCCCTCCATAGAGGTTGGAAGGGCTAAGTGGATTGATGGTGTACGCAATGATGCGAATATTATTCTATGAGCTCGCAGCCGCAAATGATAGATACTTCTGGCATAAACTTATTGATGAATAATATGGATCTCAATATGGTTTGGACGAAAAAAGCAAATTCAATCGCCTGCCAAGCTTCTGCCCTATTTAAGGTCATAATCAGAGTAAAACATTCTTGATGATGTCTACAACAGGAAGTTTTTAATAAATGTTTGATAGCTCTTAGCAATGTTGGGAGCCTATCTTCAAATAAAATTAAAACCATTGATTAAAAACTTAACTATGTCAATTTGTAAACATCTTTAGGATTGTTTTGCCCTGAAGATGAGCTTGAAATAGGTCAACAGCTTGGCAGATAACAATTGAATGTTTTTTCATGCAGACCATACCAAGATCTGGATTATTCTTGAGTAAAAAATTGGTCGATATGTCCAACACATAATCTTATTGAGAGGCCAAGATTCATAAAGGGTTGTTTTGCCCTTAAGATAGATGTGCAAAAGGAACATTTTGCTTTTTAAAGGGCAAATATATTTAAAAAAAAAATTATAACTATAAATACAAAAGTCATTTGTATAATTCTTACAATACATCTATACGTAGCTTAAATTAAGAAAAAAGTTACCTTTAAAATAATGTATAACTCCAATAATCAAAAGTTAAATATGAATCCAAACATCCAAACTGTTCTAGAACAATTATTGAAACTTCAGCTGTTTCATGGCAACAAATAAACAACCAAAAAAACAAAACAATACAATGCTTTTTTTTTGTCTATATATAGGAACAATATTTTGATTAATTTTTCAATTGACAGAATTGATGGTAAAACAGGCGATTCCAAGCGTTACCAGGGCCAATCCGAATAACGAATCTAGAACAAAGGAAAATTAATGAAAAAAAAGTTAAAAATTGTTAAAGCTGTTAAGCTCTTACTCTTATCTGGCATTTTCTCATTGAAAGCCCATCCGGTGATTGCCGTAACGGCGAAAGTCAAAGAGTTCACGAATGGCACGACCAGAGTCAAATCTGAAACGGCATGGGAATAATGAATTCATTTTTAAATTTTCTCTTTATCGACGTACTTGAACTCTGCAGTGTAACGAAATACAAGAGCGATCCCAACTGGTTTAGCAGGAACGGTACGATGTACTGTAAACGATTTAAAGTTATTAATATTCCGCTTGGATCTTTACTGGTGATTTGGAAACCTTAAGATTCGTTACTAAAAATACAATTTCGTTTATCGTCTTTGATACGTTATTGTCTCCTTTGACATTCTCCACTCCTTTGGAACCTGTTCTGAGGAAAACATTGGTCGTACCCCACAGAAATCCAACCAGTACGAGTTTTATTAATTCTATTTAAAAAAAAAATACATAACATTATATAAAATAAGTTTTTTTCTTCTTTAAAACTTAATTGTACATACCGAAATTGGATGTTGTCATTATTTTATTTTATTACGAAAACTAGACGTCACTGACCCATTTAAAAAAATAAAAAATAAAAAACAAAAAAACGAGTTGTACATTCCAATTTACTCCAATAGATTGGTATAACCTTAAAGAATACGTTACATAAATCGTCTTAAACTCGATAAGGGTTTCTTCATAATCACATTCTTGATTCCTCCGCTAAAATATATATTTTACTGTAAATTTAACAATGTCAGTCAGATACGTTACAGTTTTGTCGAAATTGTTTCGAAACCGAACATCGAAGGTATTGACTTTTTTTTTCATTATACCTATTTAAATTTACAATTTGGGTTTGAAGTTATTGGGAAAATGTAGGTTAAAATTTGGCAGAATCAACAAGTTGCGACTGAGATGAGACTGCCAAAAAAAAGTGACCGTTTACCTTGTGACGAATGGGCTTTTTGCTGTTAAAATTAGAATGGGACATATGTTAAAATCAATCATTTAGTCAGGTCAAAACGTCAAATCCACTCGATGAAGTGCTAAAAATATTGATATACTTTTTTTTAAAACATATTTAACAGTAACATTACAGGGAAACTCAAAACATGCACTTGTCAAATGTATACTAAAGTCAGAATTTTGACTGCCAACTTATTACATATGAAAAGTTATACAGCTCATATCACTGAAATAATCAAAAATTAATTTATCGAGTGTTCGTATTTAAAAAAAGGACAACTCAGTTGTTTGAGTATTAAATTTATAACATTATTGGAATTTATATATTAAATTTAAATTTTTGTCTTTTTCATAGACAAGTTATTTGACATATTTATCATTCGTGTAATCCTGCAATGATTAAAAGTGCTCGGATAATAAATCTCATTTATGAAAATCAAAGTTTACCTTAGAATTTGAAACTTGAGTTTATTTTGCATAAAAACAAAAAAGAAACAAGTTGAGATTGCAATGATACACAATATAAAAAAACGTGACAGTTTATGTGGTCATGGAATGGGCATTTTGTTGTTACAATTAGAATGGAACATACGTTAAATCCACTCGATGAAGAGCAAAAATATTGATATAGATTTATTAAAACATCTTTAACAGTAACACTATAGGAAAACTAAAAAGCACGCACTAGTCAAATTTATACCAAAGTCAGAATTTTGACTGCCAACTTATTATATATGAAAAGTTATTTAGCTCATATCACATATCAAATATTCAAAAATTAATTTATCGAGTGCTTGTATTTAAAAAAAGGACAACTCAGTTGTTTGAGTATTAAATTTATAACATTATTGGAATTTATATATTAAATTTAAATTTTTTTTGTCTTTTTCATAGACAAGTTATTTGACATATTTCTCATTCGTGTAATCCTGCAATGATTAAAACTGCTCGGATAATAAATCTCATTTATGAAAATCAAAGTTCACCTTAGAATTTGAAACTTGACTTTAGTCAACCGGTGACCCTGAGAAAGGGAAAAAATTATACACAAACTTTTGTCTATCAAATTTGATTAGTACTCATCATTAAGATTTGAAAAGTATTTTAATATATTGAATTTGAATATATAAATTCCAACAATGCATAAATATAGGACTCAAATAATTGAGTTTTTTTTTTTTTAACAAACACTTGATAAATTAATTTTTAATTATTTGACATAATCTAACTACTAGCCAAATTTGATAGTCACAAGTTATTTGACATATTTCTCATTCGTGTAATCCTGCAACGATTAAAGCTGTCCGGATAATAAATCCCACTTATGAAAATCAGTCTAACTTAGAACTTTATATGATATACATTGTCAAAAAATGTGACAAATTACCTTGTGGTGAGTGGGCTTTTTGTTGTTAAAATTCGAATTGAATATATATTAAAAATCAGTCACGTGGTTTAATCTTCCAAATCATTAAATGCAAAAATATTGATATGTGTTTATTATAAACATCTTTAAGAGAACAAAACAAGAATAAAACTAAACAGCAGCCCATGCACAAGAGAAATTTATACTTAACTCAAAATTTTAAGTGCCAACTTGTTATATATTAGAAGTAATATAGCTCATATCACATGACAAAAATCACAAATTAATTTATTGGGTGTTTGTATTTAAAAAAATAAATAAGCACTCAATTTTTTGAGCCCCATATTTATGCATTGTTGGAATTTATATATTCAAATTCAATATATTAAAATACTTTTCAAATCTTAATGATGAGTACTAATCAAATTTGATAGACAAAAGTTTGTGTATAATTTTTTTTCCTTTCTCGGCATCACTGGTCGATTAAAAGTCCAGTTCTTCCAATGTGACCTAAAAGATCTATTATGGGTTCTATTTTCGTTTATTTGTATTCATTGAAAGTACACAACCTTTAAGGTAGTTTAGGGCTTTCTGTGGTTCCTCTTCAGGCGACATATTTGCCTCTCTGAAGAGGCTGTGCCGTTTCCGAGCCAAAGCATTGATGTCACAAAGGACATGCTCTAATGTCTCTGCTTCTTTACAGATTCGGCTGGTTTCTGTGTCAGTTTTTCCCTTTTTCGGTCCATTAAATGGCCGCTTACCATACATTTTGTAATAAAAATGCAGACGCTTTTGATCTTACTTACACAAATCAAAATTTAACTTAGAATTCGAAACTTTTATTAATTTTCTTAAAAAATGCAACTCCTTGAATAATTTTTTTGCGCTGTTCTAGGCAATAACTAGAAGACTGTTTTCTGTAAACTTAGCTGCAGCTGAAGACAACAAAAATGAAAACTTTACCACCAGCCTGGAATTTCTTTCTCCCGATACAGTTAAGACAATTCCGAGTTATAGGGTGCTCGACCTATCTGGCCAAGTTTTAAATAAAAATGAAGAACCTAAGGTATTCCTTTAAAAATTATTAACATTATTGGTGTTAATGTTGAATATCAATTTACCCAGATAGATGATGCGAAACTGGTCAAAATGTACGAAACAATGGTCACATTAAACGTGATGGATAAAATTTTATACGATTCGCAAAGACAGGGTAGGATATCATTTTATATGACAAGTTACGGAGAAGAGGCTTCTCACCTAGGTTCTGCAGCGGCGTTAGACAATGAAGACTTGGTTTACGCTCAATACAGAGAAACTGGTAATAAAATGAAATTGAAAAAAAAAATCTTTTAAACTTAATTATCTGTTCATTAGGAGTTCTTCTTTGGAGGGGATTTACTCCTGAAGAATGTATGAATCAATGTTACGGTAATAATTTGGATAAAGGAAAAGGAAAACAAATGCCATGCCATTTCGGAAGTAAAGTTCATAATTTTATTACAATATCGTCTCCTTTAACTACACAGATGCCACAAGGTAAAAAAAATCTAGTAAAATAAAAAAAAAAGAAGTTTATTATCTCATGTTTTGTAGCTGTTGGTTCAGCATATGCTTTTAAAAGAGCTCAGAATGGAAAATGCGTTATAGTTTATTTTGGAGATGGTGCTGCAAGCGAAGGAGATGCGCATGCTGCTTTTAATTTTTCAGCCACACTTGAATGCCCGGTCATTTTCTTTTGGTAATTATTCTCATACTTTTTCTGGGATTTTCAATCGTTCATACATTTTATTTTACAGTAGAAATAATGGTTATGCAATTTCAACGCCGGTTAAAGAACAATACAGAGGTGACGGTATTGTCAGTAGAGGCCAAGGATATGGAATCACATCAATCAGGGTTGACGGTAATGACATATTGGCCGTGTACAATGCCACTCTTGCTGCTAGAAATTATTGCCTTTCTAACAACAAACCTGTTATTGTTGAAGCAATGACATACAGGTGGGACAAATTTAAAACTAAAATTTAACATTTTTAAACATTTTTTTTTAAAGGGTTGGTCATCATAGTACATCTGACGACAGTTCGGCTTACCGCTCAGCGGAAGAAGTAAAAAAATGGGTACAGACTGACAATCCTATGGTAAGGACGTTTAAATACCTCCATGGAAAGAATCTGTGGGATGAGAAAAAACAAAGTGAATGCGAAAAAGAGGCTAAATCCATTGTAATGCATAACTCTTATATTATTAATTTTTTTAAATTGTCAGATCAAATATTTTATTTACAATTTTTTGGTTTTCAGATCCTGAAAGGATTCGGAAGAGCAGAAAAAGTAAAGAAACCCAACTGGACTGAAATGTTCACTGATGTCTTAGCAAGTGAAAATGACATTTTAATGTAAATAATTTAATATTGCAATTAAAAAAAAAATTAATTGATAAAAATTTAAACGAAATGTTTTTTATTATATATATATATTTTTTAAAGGAGCGTTTTAATGCATTAAAAAAATCATAATAATAATCCATAATGTGTTTTTTGTTATGTTCTTTAATAATTTTATTTATTTGTTTCAGGGAGCAGAAAGAATATATGAGAAAACACCTTGAAAAATATTCAGACTGTTATCCCCTTCAGTAAGAGGCTGAATTAGCGAAATTAACAAAAATACCATCGGAGGAGATCTTGAATCATGTTAATTATGATATATATATTTTTGAAATAAAATGTTATAAATAAATATGAAAGTAATGTACTTATATTATGAGCTAACGTACATCTAGTGGTCATTGCTGACCTACTACGCATAAAATGGAATATTTTGTAGTTTTCATTTTACGCTGACTCTTTCATCATTTTTCTTGTTTTCTTTACTTCCTAACCTCTCATTGTTACCTTATGACATATATAGAGAGAAAAAGAGAGAGAGAGAGAGAGAGAGAGAGAGTGAGTAAGGGGGGAGAGGGAGAGACTTGGAATGTTCCACCTTACAAGGGATGCTATCTCCAGCATCCTTTCCAGTTCTCCCTGGTTCAATATGACCCAATTGCTAAGATTTCATTCGCTCTTATGGTCAGCAGCACTCGTACGGGTCTAATCAAAATGAGAAGAACATAATACTATTCCTCTTAATACTTGATCAATTCATAGTATAATTAATGAAAAGGTGTAAAGAAAGGAATCAATAATGAACAATTTTCTTTCTATTAATGAAATAGAAACTTACATAATTTACCTTATTAAATGACTAAAGGTTTAATAAGTTGAATGCAACTAAAATAATAGAGAAATTGTTTGAAGTTCTTAAAACAAAATGAATAATCTTTTATAATGATTTGGCCTTTGACAAATTCAGTATCATATTAATTAATATTAACAAACAAAATAAATATAATTTAAAAAAAAAATTAAGGTGTATTATAAATAAAGTTTAAAAGTAATAACGAAGAAAGACTTTTTTCCTTTTTTTAAATTTATCTTCCAATGGGAAAAATTGATAAAGGTCCTTATTAATTGTTATATACAGTCGATATGGTAAAATTGAAGGGGGGTAATAAAATATATATGTAATATAATTGAATTCCATTTCAAATCACAATATTTTTTCCATCTATTATAAAACATTAAAGCACATTTTTATTTTATGGCACTACTTAGTTTTATTTATTTTACTAGACTTCTCCATTTGTCAGTATTAATCCTCTAGCAAATAATTTAAGATTAAAAACTTTTACGAGCAGTTTTAGAATTTTAATAGGGTAAAAAATGGATTTTTTTTTTCAAAATTGAAAGGGATGCATAATAGTGTCAAGATGCCGCATAATTAATTGTGGACTAGTGTGATTTTTTGTTTTTGGTAATTTGTTTTTAAATTAATGAAAAAGGCTAGTAAAAATAATGCAACGATGAAATAAAATTACTACCAAAGCATTTAGATCTAAGTCAATAAATAAGCAAATTAACCCAACTTAACCTGATTGCGCCACAATGACGGCAAAAGGTCGGTTCTTTTGTATCTTGAAAGACCAAATAAATACATCATCAGTCAATTTAAACAATAATATATGTTAATAAAAACCTACAAACTAATTTACATAATTTTGAAGAGAACAAAAATTTGGTAAAAAAAGTAGTGCTGTGGATAAACGTTCTCAAAAAATGTGAATCAAACATCATCTATAAATGCAGTGATTTGTCTACTTTTTTTAAAACTTTAAATCATGCCTTAAAGGCGAATTTCAATTAAACCCAAACACCATGTGGGTTTTTACTGGTGGGTACGGCATTTTCAAGCTGCCGAGGTGAGCCGATCATTCTCCTAACGCTGCCTGGTTTATGTGGTCCTGTAATAAAAATACACATCTTTATTTATGTGCCTTTTTCATATGATTTTTTATTTTATTAATATAATTGTCTAATAAATGCTGAGCCTTACCGAGACAGAATGTCGATCCTTAGGTCAAAGCATGAAATTTGATTGATTTCATTTGTTTTAGAATGTAAACCCATTAAATTTTTATGATTCAATTTTATAAATTGGTTATGGAAGAACAAATTTGTTTTAAAATTTGCCAGTTTAATTAAACTACACAGATATGTTTTATTTTATTGGGTTCATCTGAGAATAATGTTAGACTTTTTCCTTACCTGATTCGTTCAGGACCAATAGACTTTGAACACAATCTAAATTATATATTTCTACATGCTGCAATGTGCAAATAAAGCCTGTGCTTAATACTGTCTGCATTTTGGAAAAGGAAAAATTCTGCTTTAAGTACTTCAAGTAGACCATATATTTTCGACTCTCTGATTTGATTGTTGAAAGTTTAAAATACAAAAGAATCCTCCTAGTTCTTTTAAATTTTAAAAATTTAATTGTATAAAAATTATTGACCCTTTAAACCCTTCAGGCTTCATTTGTTATTTATTGACATATTACATTTGAAAAGGTGGTTCGATGACAGACATTGGGAAAATTTCCTTGCCTGGGCTCTGCTGGTGCAAGTTAACATTCCTATTCCTAGGAGAGGAAAAGCCTGAAAGTTACACATGAGTCCTTGAAACAGCTTTGAGATCTGGTAAAAAGCCTTAAGGTGGCCATTCATGATCATTCCCAACCGTCCAAAGGGAGCGACGCCGTTCCAAAAACCCCGTCAATGGAAAACTGAACTGGCATGCTGAGCAGCGCTGAATATTCGACCTGACCAAACTCCATTGTGCCACTCCAAACATCTAAGGCGTGACGGCATGGCGCGTTCATGAATGGGAAAACCTGGTGTAAACGGTGGAATATTGGCGTAAATATTGGTCATGAATGGGAAAATCCATGTTGTTTTTTGCACAGTCTCCATCGTATATTCTCAAAAGTCAAAAACGTTTATTCTTTATTGGCAATGACATCCAATCAAGATTTTATTGTTTAGGTGATTGAATTGTACAAAAGGTTACCATGTTTATGGAAAGTGGTGGACAATTAAATAGTTCCTCCAATCAGCGGGTTCAAGGGAAAGATCTTTCATCAATGTGGGTATTACGGCTTCTGTTCAGGAGCTACTTCTTACTCCATTTTCTCTTCGGTTTTTTTGCTTTTTATATATAAACTAACAGCAGCATAACACAAGAGATCGTCATCCGTTTTGAGGAAATAATTCACTAGGTGATGATCGGAGCAAATGGCAGTGGAGCGGTTGTGAATGGCCACCTTTAAGGATAATCAGAAGTGCTATACAACAAAGGAGATGCACAACAGACCAATATTGGTGGCTTACTTTGATCACTTTATCTTAATCTGTTTCAATTCATTGACACATTGAACACACAGCAATAACAAGCCTATTCCTATAAAAGAAACAAAAGGAAAACTGAAAGCCATGGCCGACAGAGAAAAATATTTTCTCATTTCATCGATCATGCTGATCTAAAAGTACATAGACAAAATTGAATTTCTATTGCCAGAAAGCAAAATACAGAACTTTTAAGGCTTTCAAACTGAGAAAGTTATTTACAAAAAGGACAACAATCATGAAATTGATCACAGATTAACTTTTTGAAAAAACCCCCCCCAAAAAAACAATTATTTTCTGATAAACCCTAAATTTGTCCAAACTAAAAATACTTTAGTTGTTGTACTGAAATATATTCTGTGATTATAGTTTTTTGTTTGAGTTGTTTTGTCTGAATAATCGACTGTCGATTATAGTGTGCGCATAAGTATTTTTTGTTTTTCATAAAACAGACAAACTTTCAAAATATAAATATGCTTTATTTTTAATTAAAAAAAAACTTCCTTTATTTTATATAAAATACTGCAATTCCCGTTATTGTAAAAGTCTGATGACAAATAAGAAGAATCTATAAGTCCAATTTTCATGGCGTTTTCGTACAAACATTTTCTAAATTTTAAGTGGTTGACTAGGGAGTAGAACAAGTAAAAATCGTTAAGAGCAAGGTCAGGATGGTGGGGCAACTGTTGATGAGAGAGATTGGACTCGTATGTAAATAATGAATTTTATCTGCTTCTATGTTGTACATGTCGCTGTTTATTCTAAATTGATTTTTGGGATTGAGTACCCCTTTCTTAACAATCTCTTTCAATAGGACTTTTCCCACCCAAGAGCTAACAGGACTAGCAAGTAATAAACAAACACCTTTATAAGGACGAAAGTTGAAATTTGGAAAAAAAAAAAAATGATGTACACACCCAATACCTGTTATTCTTATTACAAGTCTATAGAATTCTCAGTCATAGAGACAAAAAAATCAAGGAATTTTAAACATTTTCCTAATTAAATTAAAATTAATAGTGCTATACAAGTGTGATGGCTATAAAAAACACAATAGTGGAATTAAATAATTCAGATCAATACCTTCTAACAGCATTTTAAATTCTTCTGGTGGTGCGGCAGCAAGAGACTGAAGGTTGGCTTCTTTCATTTCAGACACGAGCCGTTCAACCTGCCTCTTTTTGTCAGTTATTGCTGTTTCTAACGACATTACCTACAAGGAGAAAAAATAATAAAATAAACGAGTAAGCGATACAATTTCAACTTGGTCGGAAAATCACTTGAGATCGTAAAGATTCGGCAGAATGGGTTGTAAGCTCTGCTCTAGTCTTTGTTTGCTCGATATCCCTCTGCAATCGCTCAACTTCAGCCAAAAGAGCAACTTCACCTCTTTCTTCAGCTTCAAGCTCCTCAGATAGTTCTCTGTAATAAATAATAAAAACAATGACAATTAATTAAGGCTTTTAGTTGAGATGAAAAAAAGTTAATGGCACGAGCGGGATTCGAACCCACGATCTTCGGCTAGATATGCCGCTGCTCTACCACTTGAGCTATCGTGACCTCGATCCACTCGGACATCAACTTCCCATCTCAACCCCACCTTATGAGTTTTCCCTCCTTTTGCCATTTTTCAAATGTCGTGTAATCGGTTTGGATTCTCGACGACAATTGAAATGGCGACGGAGAGCTTTAGTGAAGTGTACTTCATTTTAATTCATTAAATTCACTAATTTTGTGGTCCGCTTGACCAATTAATACTTTACAATTAATTAAGGTTTTTAGTTGAGATGAAAAAAAGTTAATGGCACGAGAGGGATTCGAACCCACGATCTTCGGCTAGATACACCGCTGCTCTACCACCTGAGCTATCGTGACCTCGATCCACTCGGACATCAACTCCCCATCTCAACCCCACCTTATGAGTTTTCCCTCCTTTTGCCATTTTTCAAATGTCGTGTAATCGATTTTGATTCTCGACGCTCGTGCCATTAACGTTTTTTCATCTCAACTAAAAGCCTTAATTAATTGTCATGTATTAATTGGTCAAGTGGACCAAGAAAGTAGTGAATTAATAATAAAAACAATTTTTTCTTGTAAAAAACATTTAATGATAGAAGATGAAAATCTTACCTGATTTTCTTTTTACATTGGAGAAGTTCAGTTTCACAATTGGCTAATTTCGACCTTAATAGTGTTAGCTCAGACTTAAGTGTTCTTTCCTGTTGCTGCACTAATTCTTTCTCTTCTTCTACACAACCCAAAGCTTTAAGCTAGAGTAACAAACATATCAAAGATTAAAAAAAAAATAAAAAAAAATAAAAAAAAATAATAAAAACAAATTGTAAGTATACCAATTGTTCATTGGAATTTGCAACTGCTTCAAATCTTGCTGCTTCTTGGCTCACGTACTCTATCTGGTGCTGCTGTTCGCGTGTCTTGCCTTCCCAGTATACAATTTCTGCGTCAAACTACAAATAAAAATAAATACAAAATAAATATAATGAAAATACTAAGGAAAAAGGAAAAGTGAAAGGGTACTTTAGTAAGTTCAGCTTGTTGTGCTGAAAGTTTCTCTCTCTGGTAATTAACAAGCCTGACAAGGTCTCTGTATTGAGCATTATAGACGACAGTCTCGTCTTTTCCTCCATTATAACCCTATGATAAAATAAAACATGATAAATATTCCATTTTTTTTTAAATCCTTGTCCTTTTTAAAATACAAGGGAAAAAACGTCCAATTACCTTTACCTTAATAATGTTTGCATACTTTTTATCAGGAGACACGTATTTCAAGGTATTTAACATTGCATATTCCCCTCTATCTTTTTTATTATTCTAAAACAAAATGAATTACCAATTTGAAAAATAAGTTATACATCTTTTGAGAAATACCTGTTGACTAGTATCAGGAAGAGGTGTTTGATGTTTAACTTGGAGGCGTTTGGTTGGGCTGAAGTTTAGAGATCTTTTCGCCTGATTGGTGGTGGGCGAGTAATGAGACGAGGATCCTATTTGTTGTTGAGGCGAGGCGGATGGGGTAGCTTGAGGAGTGCCCCAGCCACCAGAACGCTGCAGGATTAGCTGTACTTCGCTGCTATATTCGCCCCATTTTGTAACAACCTTGTAACGAATTTATATTTAAAAAAATATATTAAAAAAATATGTATGAGGGTATTACTTTGAGAGGGTGTTCTTGAGGAGCTAATAGACGTTCATTGTTCCTCCATCTCTCAATTAAAGTAAAACGGCCAGTTTTACCAGTAGCGTGTGCCAGTGCATAAACAACATCCTGTAATTTGTTTTATTATAAAAACATTAACATATTATTATATTTCTATGATAAATGTTGCACTTAACGATTAATGACTAATTTAACTGAATAATTATGAACTCCTTTTACTGATGAACGGATGGAAAATGAAAATGAGATAAGTTGTTACAACACAATTTGTTTATGTCTAGGCAGCATTAACGACTTAATCTCTTGTTTATTTTTGTTTTTAATCCTTTAATAATGTTTAAGGTGTATTAATGTTACGTCAAATTATAAGCCACTTTTACTCTCACACAATTTCTTCTACAGTGGAAGATAATTTTGTTGTTTCTTATCTGAGTTAATGATGGCCATATGAGATATACATATGGCTCCAAAAGCGAGTTTGGGTCAGGAGCTGGTATTTATAGAAATAAACCAAGGAATTCATATAAGCCTTAGTTAATATGCCACTTCTTTCAAGCGGAGTCTGGCTATTGAACACTGTGCCAAGGAGATTAAAAGGCTAGACAATGTTAATAGAAGAATAACCATCTACTCAGACAGCCAGGCAGCACTGAGGTTTATTACTGCTGGTGATAAATCCAGAGATGTTTGGGATTGCATTACTGCTCTGTCAATAATTACCCTTTCTGGGTACCTGGGCACATCTGAATCCTTTTGTAGCATCAAACTGCTAAAAACATGGATCCCTCAGATAATGGATTAAAAAAAAAAAAAATCCTCCATACAATAGGAATGTAGCCCAGGACAAAGGCATGTTAAAATGTTCATTAAAGGACCATCTCAGAAACAAACAGCAGAACCTAAACCTAGGATGTGTTAGAAATTGGATTGCCTACTGGACACTGCAGGCTCTGAAAGTGTATAGACTTGGGGTGGCAGAGTCAAGCCTGTGCAGATATTGCCAAGAAGAAGAAGACAGACTGGAGCATGTCCTAAGCAGCTCTTGGGTAGGAAAAGCCTAAGCTGAAGGATATACACGGGAGTCTTGGAAAAAGTATCGGGATCTAATAAATAGCCTTAAGCTTAATGAGGAGCTCTAGTCAACAATCGAGATGCACAATTGACCTACTCAGGTTGCGCAGGTTGTAAAAGGATGACTTCTATTCAAACCTAATCTAATCTGAGTTTCTAAGTTTTTGTTTTAAGGATTTGCAACAGTGGAGATCATATCTGCCCTGGTGGGTCCCGGTGTTTTTGTAAAAAAAGCCTATTTGTAAAAACCCTGGGTTTGAATCTCAGCAGTTCCGAACTCAAACCAGTAACTTTTACATCATGAGTTGTGTCAATGCTCTAACCTTGTGCCGATTGAAGCCGTTAAGTTTCAAAGTTTGTAAAATGCTAATGTACTAGTGCCAATGATCAGTGTTTTTACATGAATATTAAGAATTAGAAGAGATGAAAGGTACTCAAAACACACAAGCATATATACCAATTTATTTCTAGGGGAAATTCAGGTGATTGAGACAAGTACTTGATTTAATGAAAAGAAGATACTATAATACATAATATAACAGACATAACTGTCATTTTAGATATACAAGAAACCAACAGAGCATTGAATTAAAAAATGACAAAAAAGAAGGTAAATTTGCTAGTAGCCTAATGTGTAGGTTTGTCAAAAGGGGCCACAGCCAAAAAAGCATATCTTAGTGGTTGCAAGTAGTTCACAAAGTGAGTCAGTCTACAGAATGTAGATTAGATATAGATGTAACATTTGGAGTGAGTAATATAATAATAATAAGTTTATTGAACAAACACATGAAGAAAATAAAAATTACAGACAATTCAAACAAAAAAATAAACTTAATTCGGCAAGGTAACAGTCTGCTGGAGTTTGGATTAATTATTAACTAAGTCCTATAAAGAAAACATATAAATGCATTAAGCTAAATAAATACAATGATATGCTAAATGTAATATTTATAACAAAAAAATATACTAAATATTTACCAATGCATCGGTAGTATATTAATAAAAATAACCAGAATATGAATAATACATAAAATAAGACATATAAACTAAATTAAAGTCCAAAACAGAATAAAGAAACAGAAAGAGGACACAAAACTGAGAAGTAAAAATCAATGAAACAGAGGTATCAAATATCAAGAGACAGAGCGGGGGAAGAGAGATAAGTTGTAAAAAAAAAAAGAAAAAAATTACTTAGTTAAATTCATCTAGTATTAGATTTCGATAAGCCCAGGCCTCTTTTGCATAATTGACTAAATGCGTCCAATCTGGGCCGTTGAGCAACTTTATAAGTCTGTCCATTGACACGGTTCTTTCACCGAATGCAGACAGACAAACGATAGGGGATAGAATGGGGCATACCGCGACAAAATGGAATATATCTTCCTCTACCCGGTAGAGTGAGTAATATACTGTACCTTTTTAGAGCTATAGGGCATTGATGAGTCTTAATTCATCAATAAACTTTATTATTAAGCATGGTTTCAATGGTTAAAATTCTTCTATGGTTATGTTGTATATCCCATAATACTTCCTCCTGCAGGCAAGTGCCACAGTTAGTCGGTGTTTCTTCTGCTTCCTTGCAGAATCTGCAAATGCGTGTGGACTATAACAATCTTCTTGAAATGCCCATTCAGTCCGCAGTCCTGTCAAGAACCCAGTATTCAAAGTTTTTTCCTGCTTCCTTTAATGCATTTCACTGCTTTTTCTTTCCAAAATTTGCTAGAAAGGTTCTTGGATTGTTCATGTCCAATGAGTGAATTCTATGTTTCCTTATTTTCATTTTGTCTAAGTGGATCTAGCCATGCGGGATTTGCCGAATGCCAAGCAAAGGTTCGCTGAATCCTGACTACTGAGGATGGGTGCTCGGTCTTGTTCTTCGCGTTGCCTATGCTGATAGAGTAGAACCAATTGAATCTATCATACATAGTAACCCCTTATTATTTTGACCTGTGATGATGAATTAATGGGAATGTAAAACAGAACAACTGTGTGACCATGTATGTACTTTTCAGTCTAATTTAAAATTGGCTTAAATGATTCACTGAAGCTTTTTGTTGCTGCTTATAGCTTATAATTTTTTTGTTATCTTGGAACACTTTATGCCATTAAACACTGGTTGTTTAAACCGCCTTGCAGACTTTAACAGGGAATGCGATAGCCATTAAAGAATGCAGTATCACCACAGCATGAAATTTACAACCTACAATGATACTTGCTCAAGTTGTTTGAATTACAAAGATTCTAAACAGATTTACTGGTGATGATTTAATAAATAAATCTTTATTCTAAACACACTTTTCTTTATATTCCCTTTCCACCACCCCGCCGTACCTGAGAAGACCCTACACCGGTGGACAAACTAAGTTAATCGAATTTATAAATCTAAGGGACTTCAAATAAATGGATAAAATTACATCCCAACAATCTTTCCTACAGGCAAGACCGCTGGTCGGTTTACGAGGGAACAATATTTTCATTTTAAAACCTAAAATAAAAGGTCTTCCCTAGCTGATTTCCCCTTGCACACTTACATTTTCGCGATTTTATTTTCTATATATTTATATTATCTAAAATTTTCTATCTAAGAAGAGGAAAACAGCCTAAACCTATGTTTAATTATGCAATAAATAAATAACTAACGGTAATAAAATAAAAATAACAATATTTAAGACTTAGTAAGCAGAATAAATAGGGACGTGTTCATTTAAGCGTAGTTGAGGCAAGGCTTTTAGTTCTGCAAATGATTTGGTATCACAGACTAGTTTATGGAGATTAGGTGGCCATTCTGCTGAGGTGAAGGTTTTTAGCAAACATTCTCTTTCTGCATTGAATTTGGTACACCTGAAGAGTTTATGTTCGGCGTCTTCTTCAGTGCTGCAATGCAACGGAGCATAAAGGGCTGTCTCTTTTCTTAAATTTATGGAGATAGCTTGCGAAGTTTCCATGTCCTGATAGCATTTGGGTGGTCCAGTCGTCGGGGTGTAGCCATTTTGCTTTTTGTCTCCTTTCGATGCTGGGGAAAAGTTTGAATATCAGCCAACCCTTATTGCTGTTTGTCCATCTTTCTTGCCATGATGCCCTTGTCATCTTTTCCAAGGACTCTTTCACCTCCTTTCCAGTTGTGCTTCGGAACCAGTCTATTCCCCTTGGCTTGCTCCTATATCGATTGTCTCATTTTTCTTTTTTTGGCGGGTGACTACCCTTTCTTTAAGGACAAGATCTATTGGCGGTGCATTAGCAACATAACATTCTAAACACATTGAAAATTTCATGGGCAGAATGTGTAATAAGACGATCAATTTACATGCTCATTGTGTATGCAATTCATGCCTCTGATTAGAACATACACCCGATATTGCGTTCCAACATTTAAGTTAACCAACTGTCTCAAAAAACAAAAAGAAAGATTCATGAGAACACCGTTGTTTTCAGTACATCAAAAACTGCACTGTTTATAAAGGTAGAAGTAAAACAAACAAAATTGGTTTTCATTTCAACAACTTTCGAGGATAGATTAAGCAATCGATTACAACAAACAAGATAAATAAATATAAATTTGATAGGTTGATTTTTCCTCTTGATTATAAGTTTTGACGTTTAAATCACCTGGCAAGTAGTAGATTCTGTAACTCCACACACTATGCGTTGGATGCCCTCCACCCAGACTTTAAGTTCCATACTTTTTCTGTTAAGTTCTTCACCACTCTAAGGTCGGGCGAGGGATCCTCCGTCCTGCTGAATCATCTCCCATCCCCTAGAATGTCGAGAAGAATATAAAACCCAACGGGTAGACGGAGGGACAAATAATTAGTAGGCCACGGAAACGGAACTGTCAAAACGCGTTTAAAACTTGAAAACAAGGGCGACCACTTACCGTTGTAATTTCAAAATAGGCTATTTCGCCGTTTAAGCCATGTCTAATGTGTGAAAACAAGCCCGGTGATAATTGTTAAAAGGGGCTGTTATTACACTACCGAAAGGTCTTGTTTTGAATTACAAAAAAAAAAACTTGACTTTGACCTTCAGTGACTAGAGGAAACAAACTGCTATAAGGTATAAACTGCCCCAGAACTATTTGCACGGTTGTCGAATTTAAAATAAATACGGAATTTGTAAGGGTCTGTTGTTATGGGCTAAATTGGACAAGATGCAGCTGTCAGTTTCGAAGTTCTGCAATATTTCAAACTGATAATGGAAAGTACTTCCCCATTTGTGGGAGGGGCACCTACCAAATTCCACGACAGTGGTTCTACAGAATTTCGGGCAGTAATTCAGTAAACTCCAGAATGGTTAGTGATTTTTTAAAAAATTTATTTTTAAATTAATTCTACATACATAATATTTTTATATGTTAATTGTAATTAATTCACATATAAAAAACTAACATTTCTACATTTTATGAACTGTTAACAAATTTTCTAAGCCATTTTAAGAATAGACAATTTATCTAACGATCATGTATACCCTATAATAAACATTGATGATATATGGAATCATGGTACTATCAAGTCAGTTTCATATCCTCGCATAACTTACCACAAATCTATTGATGGTAATTGACATTTTAACATTTATATTTTAATTCTGAGTAACCAAATTTTAACATTTGATTTAAATATGAAATGTATTCTTACTTAATGATTTATTATTGGTTTAGTTGAAATTTGTCATACTTTTTCAGCAGTGGTATTTGGCATGCTGCTTTAAGCCTTCAGGCCTGTCAATTAATATGTATGATGATACATATATATATATATTTTTTTTTTAGATTTGGGTTTTATTTTTATTGTGTTATTACATGGTTAAATAGTATTAAATCATAAGTGTTATACGTCAAAATGAATAAATTTGTACAAAAAGCATGTAATTTCTAAAAAATTAAACAGTATAACAATGAATACAACATTTATTTGAAATATTAACTTTTTAAATTTATAATTCATAAGAAACAATTTTACAAAAGTAAAAAAAAATATTAGCACATAATATATACAATTTATTGTTATATTTTTACATTTATTGCATCTTAGGTTTTATTTTTAATGGAAGAAGCTAATTGTAGTTGGAATCGCTTGTTTGTCCGGACTCCCTTCAAAAGTTTTGTTTCTTTTTCTCGAATCCTTTCCCTGAAAGAAAGAAAAAAAAATTGTTTGAAGGAAAAGAAAGAAAATGGATTTAAAATGAATACGTACATCGTTGAGGGGGGTACTTTTGCCACCAGGTTTTTGTATAAATTCGCTCTCGGCTTTGCAACTGGAATCATGGATTTTTTGCTTGCTGTGGAGTGGGGATGGTTGGAGTGTAAGTAAATAATAAATACAAAATAAAATTACATATTGAATTTATGTTAATTACCAGGTTTTGCATTCGTTGTTTCGAGATTAGAGCCTGCTTTCATACTGAAAGAGTTCTCAGACTTCTGAAATTTTAATTTTCAAATTAATATTGGCTGTGAAGTTGTTTAATAAAAATCGTCTTTAACATTTTTTAACAGCTTACATACAGAACACAAAATGCAGTGAAACTTCCCCTAACGGAACACTCCTTGAACAGAAAAAAATCTGATTTCCTGGCATCTTCCTATTCATTTCTTCAAATTAAAATCTACAAAGCAGACATTCCTAATAATGGACAAATAATTATAAAATTTGGACTCTAAAACTCTCCCAAAAATGGGCAGCAACCTCCAGAAATTGTTTTTTTCTTCTGAGAAATGCCATTTCCCCCTATGTGTTTTGTTCACTTCCAATATTTTCCCATTAGGAATTGCAAAACGTTGAAGAGAAATGGATTTTAAACCATCTTCAGGTTGGTGCAACAAATTTCGAACATAGCATAAAATATATTTTAAGACTTTTAGTGGAGATGAAAACTGGTTTTAAAAAACTGTATGGAAAAACTTAAAAATACTATTTAATTAGTTAAATATTTCCAATTTTTATGCAAAGATAGTTGAGAAGAAAAATTAGTCACTAGTGGGGGGACTTGAACTCATGACCTCCGGTTCTAACCATTCAAGCTATCGTGACCTCTATATTCCTGGGCACCAACTCCCCCTCTCACCTGATTTTTGAATTTCCCTTTCCAGCCAATATTCCAACTTCTTAGTATCATCTGGTTGCATTGTGACATATGATTAGGGGAATGTTTGATATAAGGGTAACATTACATACATTAAATTAAAAAATATTGAAAAATAAAAATAAAAAAATTAAAAAATATTGAGCCAATTTTGAACCTATTCAAACGAGATGAAACGGCCTTATTTTTTTAAAAGAACATTTTGCTATTTTTATTTTTTTTAAACAAAAAATGAACATTGTCTGAGAGGAAAAGTTTCAAAGGAACTTTGCCCTTAGGCAAAAGTATGCTTGGTGAATGTGAAAAACCCTCTGGTCATAGAAAAGTCTAAAAATCCTCCATGTTTCAAAGCTCTTCTCACAATCCTTAATGCTAAACTTTTTTCACTCTTACCCAATAGCATACACCTTGTACAGCCAACAATATTTCATTTCCCAAGAGTGTCTGTTATAGGGAAGTTTCACTTATATATATATTTATTTTTTGTTATGACAATTACCTGTTTGAAAGTTGGGGGGGACAAAAGCATAAGCCCCCTTTGGGCATGCCTATCTTTGAAGTCTTTGATGTTTTCCATCATTCCAAACTTCTTCGCATGGATTTCCATAAAATTGGGCGCCTGCCTGGCTTTGAAAGGAGTGCCAGTATTCAGGCTTTTAATGACCGGAGTGGTCGCCTTGGAAATCCTCTTGGCTGATGAGAATAATAAAAATTTTAAAAATTAAAAAAAAAATCAATTGCTAGATATTTAAAAATGAAGAACTTACTAATTGCTGGTGTGTTCAAAACTGATCTTTTGGCTAGACAAAGACAAAATATCATATTACATTTAAATAACAAAAATATACACAAAAATTTGTGACAAATATATTTGCAAACTGTACCTAGAGGTGTTTTATTAACTTTATTATCTCGTAACGCCACCAGTTGCTGTTTCTGAAATTTGTTATGTGAATTATTAAAATGCTAAATAAAAATACAGATTTGAAATTCTTACCCTTTCCTTCACTGGAGTTGAAAACCGAATCTTTTTGTCATTCTGGTCTAAAGGAAGATTAAACAAGATGATATACATAAATACATTATATAATATACAAATTAAAAGTAATCAACTCACTTTTGAAAGGGGTTGTCGCTGAAGTAAATATCAGCTTTTTTGATAGTGGAGCTCCTCTCTAAGGAAAACATAAATAATTTGAAAAATTTTCAACAGTGTTTTAATTTTGTAAAGTAATTCTATTTATAAAAAATACGACCAATATTTTTTAATAATCAACAATGATTACCTTTTCAGATTTTGGCGTTTGGAGTTTATCAACAGTTTTAGCACTTATTGATCGACGCTCACTTAGAGAAATGTTGGCTAGAATAAAAAAAGTTATTCATAAAAAAAAGTCCTGTGAGAGTGAAAATCGGTACGAAACGCATAAATCACAGCATGGACCTACTTAATTTAAGTTGTAAATTAACAAAACAAAATACCGTGTAATCTTTCAAAGACATTCATCTTCCCTACTTTCCCTGGCTCTGTTTTCGGTACAAAAGATTTAAAGTCTTTAATACTGAATGATCGTTTTTTAATACCTTAAAAAAAAAAAAAAAAAAAAAAAATAATAGTCAAATATTTTTTTACAATGAAAATACAGTGCTCTCTCCCTAATCCAAACTTAGGCACTTGGAACATTCCAATAATCTGTACTAGAAAAAAATTTAAGTAGTAAGAATTTTAAAGGAAACATTATTTGGACGAAGTAGAAGAGAGTGTGAGTGTGTGTGTGAGAGAGAGAGGGGGGAAAGACAAACTTAGACCACCCAAATTTTCTTTTCTTTTGTTCAGTGAACCTTTCACTACACCCTTCACTACTAAAAAATGAAATGTTAAAGTCTACATTTTTCTTGTGTTAAGTATATACCTACTGCTTAAAAATGAGCGAAAAAGAGGAAAATTATAAATAATTATTATTATTGAAAGACAATTAAGAAAATGTTAAATAATGTTTTTAACGGCTCAATTTTTAAGTCAGTATATGTGTATTTAGTGTATGGAATAATAACAGTGCTGTGTTTATGTTTATTTTTTGTACGTATGCATTTTTTGAACACCCTCTTTAATACGAATATCCCCCTACAACAGTTAGCTTGGATTAGTGAGAGAGCACTAATTAGCGTTAAAAACTCACTCTGTGATTTCAATTCTTCTGTTTCATGCTGTTCTGGGGTTTTGCAATTTTCTTCATCAACAGTTATCTCATCACCCTGTTTGGCTATTAACATTTCATCCTTTTGCTGAGTTATTGTTTCAACCTTTTCCTGAGGGGAAAAATTGAACGTGCCTTCTCGTTTTAACGATTTAGGAGAGGCTGAAACTGAATTAAATTAAAAACGATTAAAAATCTTACTGGAAGGACTTTACATCCAATTGTTGGGTATCAGACTTTATCAAATTATTTTCAAATAAAATGCCAAGAGAAAGTGTAATACAATTACCCTACTACTGCACTCTTCTCAAAGAATTATTTCAATTATAAATGTAATTATTACTACAAGTTACTAAAAAACTTTTTTTTAACCTTTCATGTTCCCTAACTTAAAAAACAACTAACTTATAAAACCCAACTTTTAAAATAAATACATATTTAGGAAAAATATATTTTAAAAACCTTCAAGTGTAAATGTTCCTCTCCTCTTTGGTGAATCTGATTTTTTTCCAGAATCTATCGATATGATGTTTTTATCTGAAATTATAATTGGCATTATACTAATAGGCCTGTTATTTTATTTATTTTCTTTTCTCAATACCTTCTTCATTTTCGTCCAATATTGGAAGAGTGTCTTTCTTCTGGGGATGTGATTTTTTTGTTTGTTTAATAGGACTTGTTCCTAATTCTTCAGAGAAAAAAAAATCACCATGTAATTACACATATAATAATAAATTTAAAAAAACCAGTTAATATCTAATAAAGACCCTGTTTCTTTCTTCGCCTACGTTTCTTTTTTTCTTTTCTCTCAATTGATGGGCTTGTTTCACAGGCTTCAGAAAAAATTTAATATATATTTATTCAGTGCAACTGTATATATTATATATTAAATTTAATAAAAATAGTTAATATTTAATAAAGACCCTGTTTCTTTGGTTGCCCGTGTTTCGTTTTTGCATTTTTCACAACCGTCAGGCTTGTTTCACTGGCTTCAGAGGAAAGACACATTTATAAAAATATAAATAAAAAATACTATTCAAGAACCTCACCTGAAGATTCAATAATGAAAGTCTCCCTTCTGTTGTCATTGTTAAGTTCCAGACTTGGCTCATTTTTGCAAAGTGTTGTGTTTTCTTAAAATAAATTTACGCATAAAAATTAATTAAAATTATAAATTAGAGTTAAAGTAAAAATACTGTTTTAAATTCATTTAAAAAAAAAGTAAGTAAAAAATTACCTTTAGGCATTTCTTCCAATACTGGCATAACATTTTTCTTTTGCTGTTGTTTCTTTTGGATTTTTTTCTCTACCACCAGACTTTTTGCGCAGCCTTTATAAGAGAAAAACATTACATGATAAACCAATAAAATAATACAGTTGACTCTCGATAACTCGAAATTTTCCAAATCCCCCTCATTTTCCTATCTTGTTTGCCCACATTTACCTCCATAAGACGGACATTTCAAAATGAAAACCTCGATTAGACAAATTGTTTTGTAAGTCCACACAACCAGTGCCATTTCTTTATGTGCTGGATTTTCCAGCTTTCTGTCTCCCGCTATTTTAACAGTCCTACAACAGACAGTGCGCAACATTTCGTGCTTATCGGGCAGTTCGTTTTTTTCCGAGATTGTTCATTTGTGTCAAAAAATGTCTGTGAAATATCATTGTAACACACTAAGGGTGGAGGAGAAACACAAAATTATTAAGGCAGTAGATAAAGGCATTAATGAAAAAAGGAGACATTTTCAAAGAATTCTGCATTATCCACAATTTTATAAAATATGATGCAGTGAGTGGATTAGCTCAATACTTCAATTAATTGAAAAACTTTGAATTCAAGTTTTTTTAAATTTTCCCTGGAGATTCGAGTTATCGAGAGTCAACTATACAACACCAAGTAACTCGCCTGGAGATTCAACTGTGAACGTCTCTCTTCTATTATCACTCTCAAGTTCCTGACTTAGCTCGTTTTTGCAAGATGTTCCATTATCTAAAAAGAAGTACAAGTGTTTCAATTATAAGTTAAAAAAAGAAGGTTTAACTAAATAACTATGGTAAATGTGAAAAAAAAAAAAATTACCTTCTATGATTTCCTTTAATACTGGCTTTTTCTTAGACTGTTGTTTCTTTTTAACTATTCTATCTACCGCTGGACTTTTTTTACAGCCTTCATACAATAAATAGCATGTTAAAAAAAAAAAAAAATAAAAAAAAATAAAAAAAAAATTAAAAAAAAAAAAAAATTACAAAGTACCTCACCTTTAGATTCAATTGTGTAAGTTTCTCGTCTACTGTCACCTCCAACTTCTGGACTCAAAGGCACATTTTTTCCAACAATTTCTATTTAATAAAACAAAAATATAAATGCACAATTATAATTATTGTGGACAAATAATTTTTTTGTTTAAGTTATTACCATCTGTAATTTCATTCAGTATTGGCATAGGTGTTTTCTTTGGATGCCTTTTCTTTCTTAATTTTCTTTCTGTCAGCAGAATCATTTCGCAGGCTTAAGAAGCATACAAATATAACAATAAGTTTATAAATAAAATATATAGTGGAATATCAAAAGAATCTCACCTGGAGAATCGATTGTAAAAGTCTCCCTTCGACTATCATCGTTGAGCTCTGGACTTGGCAAATTTTTGCAAAAACTGTCATTCTCTTAATAGAAATAAAAATATTGTAATTACAACATTTTCATCAATTTGTAAAATAATAAAGTATTTGTAGAATTTTAAATTATTTAAACCCACCTTTACTTTCGTTATTCACCTGTAATGGGGGAAAAAAATGTGATTACTGCATAGTTTATATAGTAGCAAATTATATATAAATATAATGGATTTTTTTTTAAATGTTAAACCACAAAATTGCAAAATTAATTAAGCCTGAGCATTATGATAAAATATAGTTGGTAGCGATGTGCTGAGAGAATGGTAGATGATCCTCAGAAAATTTAAGAAATCTTCGCGTTTTAGTTTCTAGCCATTTCATCTAAATATTTTCATTCATCCCCCGTCATATATCTCCACAGCAGACAAACTACAGGTCATCTGCTTGCAGACCTGACAAAATAGTTCATATTTGCTTCATTGCATTCTTTTGAACAGATCCATCAATAAAATGTGAGAGATCAAAATTATCAGAAATGACCAGATTAAAAGTTCATTACGCCTCAGACTCCATGAGGATATCTGCATAAAAGACTGATCAGAGAAGACAAACTACAGATTCATCCGCTTGCAAATCTCACAGTTCGTGCTTATTTGTTTTATTAGATTCTTTTTTCACCAATAAAATGGTGAGAAGATGAAATGACATACCAATACAGGTAGGATGGGTAGACTCAAGATTTAAAAACAAAAACCACACTGGCGGTCAAAAGTTTAGTTACCTGTATATTTAAATTAAAATCACTTAAAACAATTTTAATCTGATCTTTAGCCTAATTTTAAATACATGGATATATAGAAAACTCGTAGAATCAGATGTAAGAAAAAAAAAAAAGGTTGTAATTAAGAAGAATTTTACTAATACTCCCAATAACAACACCCTAATAATACTTAAGAATTAACAATGTGTTTGTTGTTTCTGGAGTTTTGTTTACATTCCGGTCTATCTTACATTACGTTTCTGTCATTAGTTTCTTATTAGTGTGTTTCAGACCACAAAGTATGAAAATTTTACTTGTCTGTTTTGTTTTTTCCGTTTTCACTTACAAAAATTGGTAAAAAGAAGGAATTTTCTGTTGAACTGCACAGAGCGATTTACACACTACACAAAGTGATCAAGTCTTAGTGCTAAATCGCTGCTCAACTAAAATTTTCAAAAACAGGTCCATAACACCATTGCTCGCTTCGAGGAGATACTCTCATCATGACAAAGCTCGATCAGGATGACCCAGAATAATATCCATGAAGATAAATTTATTATTTTGAAAAGTAAGAGGAACAGAAGACTCACTGGCCCCCAGATTAGAGTTAATACTATCACAAAAAATTCTGTTTCAACTGTAACAAGGAGTCTCAGGGAGGCCAAATTGTTGTGGCATGTCGGTACACTGAAACCACTTTTACGTCCTGCTAATAAGAAGAAAAGGAAGGGCACTTGCTCATAAGCATTTTACACTGGAGGATTGGAGAAAAGTATTCTGGACCAATGAATCAAAGTTACAGGTATTTGGATCAAGTTGTAAGATTATGGTTTGTCATACGCCTTCAGAAAGTTATTCCTCAGTGCATAATCCTGGCTGTTAAGCATGGGGGAGGTTCAATTTGTGTGTGTTTGTGTGTGTGTGGGGGGGGGGTTCTCAGCTTTGGACAAGATCTCATACAAATTCAACGAATACTCAACAAAGAGAGGTACAAAGACATTTTGAAAGACCATGCAATCTCTTCTGGTTTTTGTTAAATTGGTTCTGGTTTTATTATGCAACACGATAATGATCCTAAACATTCTTCCAACTTTGTAGAGGCTATTTACAAGGAAAAGAAAATGTTTTTTCGAAGAACATGTCTTAGCCAGCTCAATCTTTGGATCTCAATCCAATTGAATTGCTTTGGGAAGAACTGGATACCAATGTCCAAACTCATGCTCCAACTTCACAAAAATACCTTTGGGAGCTCCTGCACAGTTGTTGGAATAACTTGCCTTTTGAAAAATTATAAAAACTTACAGAAAGAATGCCACAAGTAGTTCAAGCCGTCTTGAAAAGCAAGGCGGGGATTTTTAGATGAAAAAATGTATAGAAACCATTAGTTAATAATTATTTGGAGATTGTGAGATGCTGTATGGTGTGACGTAGGTTTAGAACAGATGTAGTTGAACAGATTTCAACTACATATGGACACCAAGCAAAGAGTATTCTGAAGGACATCGCCAGTGACAAAAAGAAACTTGCATCGGCTATCAATCAGATAACATTTTTGCTGAAATGCAGGCCCTGAAGATGATCTCAATAAAGATCGAAACATTGGCACAATAAAGAATATGTTTTTCTAAATATTTACCGCATTTCATGATTTCCAAATAATCATTATTACTATTAATCCAGTGCTGTTGATCATTTTATGTACATTTATTTTCACAGATATCTTATCATTGTTTTAATCAAATTTTGTTTGAAATCTTTATTTTCATTTAGTTATTGCAAAAAATTGAGGTGGTCCTAAACTTTTGACTGTGCATATTTTGACTGGTTTGTTTATGTGTTAGGTTCAACAAAAGTTAAATTTTCTTCAATTTGTATCTTTACTATGCCCCCAGACAATTAATTAATACGTTTCGTTAACTAGAGGAAATAGTTTTTTTGTTATTACAGGCAATAAACTTTTTATGACTTATATAAAAAAAAATCTAGGTAAAAATGAAACAATACATGCTATGTTGTGTACTAAATAGTAGTACTTTATTATAAATATTGTAACTTTGTAACTTACGTCTTGAGCTTCGAATATCTTACTGACCAGGTAGACCTAGCAAAGGAAAAGAAATAGCATAAGTATTTTCAGGTAAAGCTTCCAAGTGAAGTAACGTCTCACCTTCTTGCTCCTCGGCTTGTACACGTTATATTTTTTGGCAATTTCAATCAACTGGCCGTATTTCAGGCTGGTCAAGTCCTCCAAGGTATACATTATAAGTTTTAAACGTTCAAATTCAACAGTGAATCGGTTATTCGGCGTACTCCGATTATAAGTCCAACTGAGCCTGAAACTCCTAACGGAAAACTGTTTGAACCTGAAAGCGCTGTCAGTTGTATCTGAGGCCGTCGGCCAAACTTGAAACGCTCGATGAAAAACGTTCTAAAATAATAAATCACACGATAAAACTCCCAATTCAATTTCTTTAATAATCCTTTGATAAATTTCAAATGGTTGAATTTATCTCTTTATAAAAATTACGCCCACAATTCATTGTCCCTTTTCCACGTTGTTTCAGAGGTTCCAGTCTGGTTTCAGTTTTGAATGATTTCTAGACTTATTTATAAATATTGTTTAGCTTTTAAAGTATTTAAAGTTCACGGCTGTGCGATTACATTTCAAAGCCCGGTTTTGAAAAAAAAGATGAACGAATTTTCTGCGATTGAAAAACTTAATGCCGTCAACAAAGACATCAAGTCTTCCTTAAAAACCTTGGAGCAAGAAGTAAACTATTTTTGTTGAATCAAAGACACTAAAATTCTTTTAAAACTGACTAATCAAAGACCAAGAGCCATATTATACACCTAGTTAAATTTTCATTAGGCATGCATTATTCTTTTCATCATGTTCAAAACACTAAGCCTCAGTTTGGCTTTTTAGAAGTTAGAACGTGTTAATAGTTGTTTTTATTGATGAATTGTCTAGTTCTGTATGTACAAGAATTCCTTTCAAGTGCTCATTGTAAAGGAGGCTCCAGACTTGCGGTATTCACCTAGTGGGGATGATTATTCGCTGAGCTACAATATTCAGTGCTCGCTTTGCTCAATCTAGGACGTGCTAGGGCTAGAATAATAGGTGGATTGCTAACTGGACACTGCTGACTCCGGAGACATATGTATAGACTTGGAGTGCCAGAAACAAGCCTGTGTAGATATTGTCAAAAAGAAGAAGAAACAGCGGAACACGTCCTCTGTTGGTGCGAAGGCCTATGTAGGCTGAGATTCCTAATCCTGGGAGAGGAAAAATCAGGGCTTGAAGGATACACACGGGAGCCCTTGAAAACGTTTTGTCTTGCAAAAAAGCCTCAAGCTTAACGAGGAGCTCTTGATAAAAAAAATGTTGATGCACAATAGATCAATACTAGTCACGATGAACAGGTCGTAAAGAGGATTCTATATAATCTATCAATTACAGTGTGCTCGGCTAATTGTTGGTTTTCTTGTACGCTTCAGAGTGAAAAAAATATTTGTGAAGTAAGCGAAGTCAAAGCATCTACATATTCGGGAACTGTACTGTTTGATTACTGTACTGATATCAACTGTAATCATCAATCAACAGTAATTATTTTTTGATAATAAATGATTCCTCACTAGTATAGATGAATTAATGAAAGAACAACTTATCATTGTTTCTATTAGTTAGGAATGGATAGGTTCAACATAACAGTCTAGGAGTTCCTTGAACTGTACCAAGCTGAACCGATAATTTGAAACAAGGTTTATGGATGGAAACGGATCTAAAGTCTCTAATGGGCAACAGTACTCTGCGACTGAGTTTGTTGCCACTATACAAAACAATAACCGCAGATGATGTGATGACAGTTTCACTGTTTCCACACAAACTGGGTGGTTGTACAAACTCTGCATGTGTGTACATAGGCGCTATTTGGCGAATGCCAAGATGAGCTTCTTCAGATTTGGCAAATATTCAGTGAATACCACATGCCTGGAACCACCTTTAGACTGTGAATCCTTGTACCTTGTGTATTATTGTAACAGCCTTTGCTGTATAAGAATATGAAGAAAATTTATTTAGCATTGCTAATTCAAATACGACGTATTTATTTTTTTCAGCTATATTTACATTTCAACAATTTTTTTAATTCAACAATTTACTTTTCACATTTTAACAAATTGTTTCGAGTTCTTTCAATGCTTGTGGTGATTAACTATACTCCCTTTTTTTTTTCTCTCTCTCTCTTCTTTTATGAGGGTTCACAACACAGGTCATATGTCCTCAAGGTGTTGGTGTTTTTGGAAAAAAAATTTGTATGTATGTCGGGTTCAAATCCTGCGGCCCTATATTCGAACCTGGGACCTTTTCCTTACAGTGATGAGTGCCATGTCAACGCCTTAACTTTTATGGCCAATGACACCCCTAACTCTATTATCCCACCCTCCAAAACAACCTTCAAATTTGAAACTTTCTTGTTGTGCTTGAGGTGATAGTTTAGTGCTCGTCTAGTGTTATAATGGTCTACATCAAAATTTTTCACTAGAAATTCATTCAGATAATTTGGATAATTATTATCAGTTTAAGTTATTATAAATACTTAATTTAGTTAAATTTTTAACATTTGACTGTTATAATTTTTTTAAAAACATTAAGTTAATACGTGTGAATTTACCTCATCCTATCAATGATCTCATTGCTTTGTTTGTAATTTTTGGAGGTAATCCTTTTCTCTTTCTAATAGTATGAACAATACTGTTGAAAAATAAAATGTGGCATTACTATACAATTCTATATTTTCATTTTTTATTTATCTGTGGTTATTCTCGTGATGCATTTTCTTCTTCAGTTTTTGAGAAATGTTTCTGCGTTCCCTTCTGGGTGAGCGAGCCGTCAGATTTACAACTCTGAAAGAAAAATATGTTAAAACTATTTCTCTATATGGACAACTATTCCTAGTTTATTTACTCTAACTTATATTAAGGCCAGCTTACAAAATAAGCAACATTTTTTTTTGTCAATGTTTCTAATAGTAGGTCTACCAAATGTAATATAATCAGCCTGGGTAGGCCAAGGTTCATTTCTTGGGCCCAGATTATTCAACATTTATTAATGTCCCTAAGTTTAAGTTTAATTTTGTTTGCAGTATTTTTTACAGTACAAGATTTTTTTTCATGTCCATCAGACGACATTATTGCTATCATTTATCAACGGTCTTAAAAAAGTGCTTCAAATGTTTTGTTAAGAAACTTATTTGCGAAACAATTTCTAAATCCCAACTGTTTCATTATATTTTTATTACATCTAATTTAACTTTTCTTTCAAGTTGTTCCAAGTTGAAAGGGCGGCTTATGAGAAACCAATATTAGAGAAAGTCTTAAAAGAAAATGAAGAATTAGAACGTATTATTGAAGAGAAAGTCCGATACCTTACTGAACTTGAACAGCGGTACAAGCAGGTATATAGTTTAGGTAATTATTATATTTTTTATTAATCTGATCCTTTAAATTTTTTTAGGCTAATCCTGAATCAGAATCTAATGATTATGAAGCTAAACAATTACCAGTCACTTGTCCAGAGGTGGCCAATAAAACAGAAAATGTTGAAAATAAAAATAAAAAAGTGAAAAAAGAGGGAAAAACTAAAGTGCAACAAGCACCAAAAAAAGGTATCTAATCTTATTTTATACCAAAACTGTTCTGTGTATGTGTTAAATTGTGTAGTGTTTTTTATTGGTACACATACATTTTTTTAAAATGTAAAATAATGTGTTTTTTTTAGAAACTAATGAAGTTGATGCTCCAGTTGATGTTGGAAGATTGGATCTTAAAGTGGGTCAGATAGTCGAAATCAAAAAACACCCAGATGCGGATAGTTTATACGTCGAACAGATTAACATAGGAAAACCGGCGGCTATAACCGTTGTGAGCGGTCTCGTCAAGCACGTGCCGATTGAAGAAATGGAAAACAGGATGGTCGTAATCCTCGGCAATTTGAAACCGGTCAAAATGCGGGGTGTGACATCAGAAGCCATGGTCATGTGTGCGAGCACGCCGGACAAAGTCGAAGTCCTGAGCCCACCTATCGGTTCTTCACCGGGCGATGTCATCACCGTCTCTGGCTACAAGCACAACCCCGATCCAGTGCTTAACCCCAAGAAGAAGATATTTGAAACTGTCGCACCTGATCTTAAAACAGACTCAGACTGTATCGCTACCTATAAAGGTGCCAGGTGGTCTGTCGAAGGAAAGGGTTATGTTAGTGCTAATACTTTAATTGGCGCTCCTATAAAATAAAGTTAAATTATAAATGTGTTTTTTTTTTCTTGTGTTAAATTATACCAAACTGTTTTATACAAACAAGCCATTGTTTTGAAGTGTCGTATGAACACTATAAGAGAACAAGGAATAAAAAGATGATCTTTTTAGAAAAATTAGTTTTAATTATACATAAAACATTAAATATCTAAAGGGTTTTAAAGTAGCAAATTAGTGAACACTTTTTGTTTCTGCAGATGGTGAAAAAAAAAAAAATTATATGGAGAAAAAGCAATTAGTCATCTTCATCATTTCCTTTTGGCCCTTTAGGCGCAGGGCCTCCAGCCCTTTTAGCCATGATGATTTCATCAACTCTCAATATTGTTTTAGCAGCTGAAGTTGCGAATTTAAGCCCCCAGCATTTCAGGTTATACAAGTCCCAAATGCCTTCTTTGTTTGAATCAATGAGGTTGTTTTCGTTTTCCATCTATAAAAAAACAAGTGTTAGAAATCTAAAAATAAATACTAAGAAAAATGTGATAATTACATCGATGTTGATTCCTTTATTACGTCCTTCGTCTGTTTTATGTACTTTAAACATTTCGGCCATAACCTCCTTTGACTTGATCCCTGAATTTTTTGCCAGCACCTTTGGAAATTCCATCAAGGCTTGAGAAAAAGCGATTACTGCCAGCCTAGAAGTTCCAGGTACTTCGTCTGCATAATCTCTAACGTGCCTTGCAATCTGTGATTCGACGGCACAAGCGCCAGGGACCACCCTTCCATCCTGTAAAACATAATATTCAATACATAAAGATTTTGTTTATATAAATAGAAGCATACCCTTGAAAGGCTTTTAAAAGTGTTCACTCCATCATCAACTGCCCTTTCGACATCATTCATGTAATTGTCGGTTGCTCCACGAATGATAATCGTTGAAATTTTAGACTCTTTCCCTTCGAGTCGGAAAATGACAACTGACGTTTCTCCGATCTCGTCGATAAAAACATTATCGGCAAACCCAAGGTCGTCTTTTGTAGGTGGTGCCTAAAAATAAAAAAATAAATATATAAACTATCTCTATGTTAAGAAAGTTTATACATACAAGGACTGGAAGAGCTGTTGCTCCCGTCGCCTTGCAGAGCCTCCTGATATCAAATTTACTATTTAACCTAACGGCCATCATTCCGGCTTTATTGATGAAATGAAGCGCCATATCTCCAAATTTGCCACCGCCGACTATAATATCGACTCCGGCAGCTTTTATTGCTTCAATCTGTTTTTCCAAGAGGTTCTCTTCTCCTTTGCTGAATTTCATAAGTTCATCGGCAGATTTAATAAGCACCGTTCCCTACAAAACAATTGTCAATAAATTAATAATTTGTTACAAAAGTTTAAATTTTATGTTAGCAAACCTTTGTTTCTGTTATGGTAACGTCGACAGGGCAAGTGTAAATAGCGATTTTAGCATCTGTCTTTTTCGTGACTTCTCCTTCAACTTGACGTTTGAACACCATGCCCAATACGGCTTCCGAATTGAGGACAGATGATCCGAGAATTTTGCAAATCCTGATATTGTCTACATTGAATGTTGTTTCTTCTGGCATGATGGAAACTAAAAAATAAAATAAAATGTCAAATATGTTCACACTGAATAGTTAAAAAATAAAATAGTTACTGCATGCTTTAGTGATAAGTTTAGCCAAGAAGTCCTCAAAGCCCAACTGTTTGCTCATGACAGCGGATCTTATTGCTTTTGTAACGTTTTCCTCGTCCCGGCAATCTTTAATTTCATGGCAGACCATTTTTTCCAAGACTTCCAGCGCTTTGTTAAGAGCGAGGTCATATCCCTCAATAATACTAACAGGTGTCATGCCCTAAATAAAAATAATATTAATTTATTATGGGTTTAAACTTAAAATTACATTTTTGTTTAAAACAAAGCAATGAAAAGTATTTATAATAGTGCAATCATATAGACATCATATAGATATAAAGTATATATAATCATACCATCTTTAGTAAAGGTAGGGCTACTTCTAACAACGAGCCTGCGAAAATGAGAACAAAATTTGTTCCATCGCCGACTTCCTCATCTTGCATTTGAGATGCAAGTACCATTATCTTAGCTGCAGGGTGTTCCACCTAAAAAAAAAAAAAATAAAATAAATAAATAAATAAAAAAAATAAAATAAAAATAAAAATAAATAAAAATTCTCAATCAATTCCATCAACAATGTTTAACAATGAAAAACTAAATATATATTTATTATTCCTTCTTATATGCCTAGACTATTTTTTGCTATCAGGTTTGTTTGGGCAGATCGAAACTGACTACCATATGTGTAGAAGTGACAAAATGCTGTACCAGTGTTCCAGCCGTGTAGAACCAGAAGTTCAGTATTCCAGCTGCTCTTGTGCAAGTTCGGAACTAGTTCAGATTACAAAATATCTGCTCTGCCCTAAGGTCTGTGCAAATAAAACCTGACCATTAGTCTTTAGCCTAGTACACACTAGGATTCTTTGTCACGGAGCTGCGTCTGGGATTCATTTTCTTGCATCTGAGACACTTTGCGACAATGAATCTTATAAATCTCTTCAATGGGACTCAAAATCTTGTAGATCCACTGATTCAGCCCTGCAATAATGATACTCAAGTTCGAGTCCAAGTGTGAACTAGGCTGAAGATACACTTCACCACATTATGCCATCTTTAGGTTCTTAAGCCTAGTATGCACCGAGATTCTTTGAATCGATTCATGTTGCTGGGCAGAGTCGGGGCTGCGTGGATTCATTGTTGCGATGCAGCCCCGACAAAGAACCGTGCCCAGACCAAGATTCAGTGCACAATCATCAGTGCCTGCGAAAATGATGGGGGAACTAGCTCTCAGGAATTTCCCTTGTTCTTTTTTGCATTGTATGTAGTGAATCCAATCGGAGGTGCATTAAAAAACGCCTAAAAAGATGGTGGGTTCGGCAAATATTTCACAGCAGGAATCAGCACGGGAAAAATCTTTTGGACACGTTGAGATTAAATGATGGCGAAAGGTTCAAAAAATTTTTGAGGATGTCCCCAACCGATTCCGAAACCATTTTAATGAAAGTTGGCCGTCAAATTTCCAAGAAAGATACCAACTTTCGGGAATCTATCTCTCCGGCCAACATATTAGCTGCCACTCTCTGGTTCCTAGCGAGTGGAGGCTCATGTACACCTTCAGGATATCAAAACAAACGAAACTGTCCTTTTAAAGTGTGTATTTTTTCAATTTTGGTGATGGAAACACTGAATTTTTGGGCTAAACTGTTCAATGTTTGGCTTTTCAATTCCCGATTACGGTATTCCGTTAATGATTTCACAAACAGCGATGGAAATGCATGTCTTCGATAAACTGTAATGTCAACTCGGTACTCCACAACATACAAAACACAAAAATCTTCAAGAAAACACTCACTACAACGTGAACTAAACAAATGAAGCAAGAGCGTTGTTCCGATTCACGCCCGCACTGGCAAATGTTGCGCAACATTGAGTCAAAGAATCCCACATTGGATGGGATTCAAAAGAGCCCGAAAATGCTAGCCCGCAACAAACCAGATTCATCGCAACAATGAGTCGGGGCAGCCCGGACTCAGGCTAGAAACAGCCGACTCTCCGGAGATTCAGAGTTGACTCAAAGAATCCTAGTGTGTACTAGGTCTTACAGACATGGGTGACATGCATCTGACAGAACCAACGAGAATGGACTAGGGCAATCGATCTATAGATTCTTCAACTCACAGAGCTCAACACGATACATTTTGACAGAAAAGAATTTTTACCTCGAGCTCGTTGACAATCGTGGCTGCATCATTTGTCACAAAAAGCTTGTCAATGTGGTTAATGACGATTTTGTTCATTCCGTTTGGGCCGTAGGCAGTCTTGACAGTCTCCGTGAACTCCTTGCACGCCTTTATGTTACGGTACACCGCCTCTTCCAGGCCGGAGAAACGCTAAGGAAAGAAATAATTACCCATTAACAAGCAAGTTTTTCGAAATTTATGAAATTCCTCGTTAAACGTTCAACTTGGAAAACCTAAACGGTTAAATCGTCAAAGTGTTAAAAGAGATAAATGGAAAAACAGTATCATAAGGCATGCCTACGACCGACTCACCCTGGCTCCTTCTTTCAGCATTTGGGCGAAACCCGGGGGCTTGGGCACGTGCATCGCCATCTTCCAAGATTTTAAAAATTCAAGAATAACACGAAGAAAATCAACTGACAATACTTTTTTCCCCAAAGATACGAGATTTAAGTAGAAGTTGAACACGAGTGCCGGAACCTAGGTTTCCAAAACGGCAAACAGGACGCAGTGTTGCCGTTTGTCTTTGTCGTGATTTTTTTGTTTTCCTTCATCTTTTATTAAATAATATTTCAGCGAAAATATTAATATATAATTCAAAACAAATAATGGTAATTGAAGAAAAATTTTATCCAACGTTTTATACTGGATTAAAACAATTAAATTTTAACTTCCAAGAATCACGCCCAAGAAGCCCAATTGTGATGGTTTAATTCCACTTTTTACCAATTATTCAAACAAATTTCTATCTAATCAGTTTAAATATTATCTATCTATATTAACAAACTCATTTATAATCATTCAAAAATATTTATACTCAAAAACCCATACATTATCACTTATTCAGTGTCTTAAAATACCAATTCATCATCCCAAATAAGTATGATTTTAACTTTTACCAGTTTAGTTTTAATAAAAAAGAATAAAACATTTTATCCTCCATTTTAAACATTATTCTAAAAAATGGAACGTTTAGTAGTCTTTTGATTCAAAAAAATATGTTACTAATTTAACTAATATTGTAATACCGATTGATGATTGATGAGGTTTAGGGCCGACCTAAAATTTACCCTATTCAAAAGGTGATTTCCCAACCAAGGATCTCATAACATGTGGAAATTATTGTTAGTAATATAAAAAAAATCAGAAAGAGAAAACTAATGTCAGGGCAGAATCGGCTAACGTTATAAGAAATGAATTCACAAAATACAAACTCTCCACTAGTCCTCTTTTCGAAAAAATTCATTGTAGGAACTCGATTGTCATAAAAGACAATCTAAATTTGATTATTTCAAAAGCAGATAAGGGCAATGTCACAATGGTGTATGAAAAACCTCACTACTGGAAAAAATGTAAAAATTGTTAAATAATAAAAAAAACTTATGAATTAATAAAGACTAATCCCACTAAGAAAATTCAAACAAATTCTTTAGCCAACTTTTTGGAATGAAAATACGCATATAAAAAAAAAAGAAAAGATATTCGAAACAAATAATGAGGTATGCCCAAAGATATTTCTTATTAAAATAAATAATAAAAAGAAATAGTGGCATAGTGCTTCTCACTTAACCTGTTACTTTCATTTCATGTCATTAAGTTATTTGTTGTTAATTATTAAACTGTCAGGGCTTAGTTTCCCTAAATCCCCTAGCAAGCAATTAAAACGCCAGAATGATAGCCATAAATAATTCCCTCAACATTATCCATCTAGATAAGCAAATAATGGTTATTTGCTCTAACTTCTTGGCTGCCCTAAACATTTACCCATCCTTTCGGCAATATATGGTATGGGATCTATTGTATTCATTGGGACGTCTTGAGCAGCAAGGGAAAAGATTATTTTTTCTCTGGATCCCTGGCAATGAGAGAGCTGATATAGCTGCCAAAGTGGCAGTTGAAGAGACTCTCACTCACTCTTAAATACATCTTTTTTATTTTCATACCATTCACTTAGGGTGATGGATTATTTTATATTCCTCCATAAGCCTTCTCATACTACACATTCACGTTAATAAATACATTGTTTCAATACACACAAAGAAATACTAGAAGAGATACATCTATAAAATACCATATGTATTAAAACAGTCCTGTTTCCTATAAACATTGAAATGGGACCTAAATAGTCTCTGCCTCACTCGAGCACAATTCTCATATCCTATTATCAGGTAGCATTCCTACACGCTCCCTATATAGAGGCAATGAGGGCGCTCTTCAATTAAGTGGGACACATCGAGTAATCTTTCTTTACATGTCGGACATGCAGATTTTGTCTGAAAAGTATGTGTTATTGTCAACCTCATTTGCATTTCTTTTATATTTCAACAGTGTTCACACTAATTATTCCGAATTTGTATCATGGTATTGCCATTAGAAATCATTCATCTTTTCTGTTAACACACAAAAATGCACAGCAAAAAATGAGAAAATGAAAATTTATTAATGAAATAAAAATAATATCTCTGAGGATTAAATATCACACAATATTTTGATATCACATTGTAAGTCTCTTGTATAGATTATATTATAAAAAGTTATTGATTGAAAATTAATTATTGATGCAATTTTTATTCAGCAGACAGTTCGTGAGGAAAGAATGAAATTAGTACAGAGTGGAAACCATCAATCGTGTCATATTTCTTCATGTCGTTGATTAGAGATTTTGCATCGTCAGGGCTGAGATGTGTCAATGTTGCTAAGATTATCTTTAATTTGTCTATCATGTCTGGTGAAAGTTCAGATCGATTTTTAGTATAGTTGTAAATCAGTTTAAGCAGTATTCTCATCGTAGAATCGAAAACCCATTTTTTCCTTGGCCAGCTCACTTTCAACACTTCAATCAGCACCTGAAGAATAATATAGTAATCAATTTGGTTGTTATTAATACATGTTTTCAATAGCAAACCTCCAAAGCCAAGTGTCTGCTTGTAGTGTCTAAGATATACTCTTCTAAAATTTTATAAATCAGATTTCCATGTCTAAGTGTCGTCAGACCTTTAGCCTTGATGAGAAGCGGCAAACATTCTATGTACATAGTCCTCACATTTATATTCTGCTCCAAGTACATGTTTTTCAATATTATTTCAAATATATCATCAAAACAATTTCTCTGAAAAGTGTAGAGTTTAAATAAAATTTACTTTCATGGATGACAATCTTTTTGATATACATACTGCTAGATTGGTTACGGGGTGCTGAGGATGAAGCTTATTCATGAGTCCAACATAGGTTTTTATCATCGGTGAGATTACATGCGGTTCGTTATGATACAGTACAGGTCTTAATGCTTCAATTATGACATCATGAAAATTGTACATTGTCAGTTCTGATTTTGTCTAGAAAAAAAGAAAGCATATTCGACATTTGAACTTTAATATTGCACTTATTAGATAGTAATAAATAATTACCACATTATCAATAATATGATGAATGCAATCAAGGCCTAATATTCTGTTCTGAGATTCGAAATCGTCGGTGATTATCAATGCAGTCGGTAGCACTTTGTTTAAATGATCACCCAAGTGAGGAGACTGAAATGAAAATGACCTTATTGAGATTGTAAGTAAAATTTATAAAAAGAAAGCTTGAAATGTATAAATACATTCAATGTTTAAAAAATAATTTTTTATTTAAATATTCATTTTATATTTTTGCGTACTTTCAGAAAATTTTCAAATTTTGTTAGGGCTCCACAATGCATAATGATACATCTTTAGTATGACTAAAGTGTTCGGCCGTTCACTACAATAATTGTCGTCTTACTTTGACATGTTTAAGAATCCAAGAGAAGCAGAGGATCGCTGCAGGGAATTTCTTCCAAGTTTTTTGAAGCAGCGTTGGCCTGAGAGCATCGAGTGCTGTTTTGAAAATTTTCTGATTATTGCAAGTCAAGAGGAGGCTGAGGCTGGGGTGGTTTTCCTTAGACAAGAGGAGGCCAAGGAGCTTGCTGCCAAGAGCGAGGGAGTTGTCTGTCGTCCACAGGCTTTTTGCTGAGTGTTCTCCAGCAAGGAGTACCGCCTCAGCAATAAGCTTGCTCTTCTCAGCCTCTGTTGCATCCCTGTAGTGAAAGTGAACAATTGAAAATCTTTGCAATTAAAGGCGAAATGAGCTTTTCAACATATTGCACAGAGTACTGAAAAATGTAAAATAGTGAGAAGTAGAGAATCCTCAAACAATAATAATAATTGTTATATATATATATAAAAAATGTGAGCAATAGGTTGATTAAAAATACATTTTACAGCATGCTCAAGTACAAATTTTTAATCCTTCTCATCATCCTAGTCTACCTAGTTTCACGGTTTTAGCCTGGCAAATACAGTTTGGCATTTTAATACAAAATGCATGTTGTATAACCAACCAGTAAAGATAGAGAAATGTTCCTCACAAGACAAAACAGCAAGGATAGGCAGATCAGGATGATCAGAAAGGTTTAAACCAATAAGTTGACTGTTAGGTTTTCAGGTGCATAACATAAACTTGATCATTCCTTTCATCCTGGTCTGCCTAGTATCACAGTTGTATCAGCATTTTGTATACAAAAATGACACACACTGTGACAATAATATAATACATGGAACAACAATGGCAAAATACTGAAACATAACCTCCAGATGAAGTTAGTGAGAATAGGAAACCAGAAAAACAAGCTAAAGATAAGTTTTATTAAAAATTGACATGTTTTAAAGGTTTTGTTAGTTTCTTGAAAATATTAAAAAAACACAAAAAACAATAGTAATTGTGCCTTTTAAATTGAAAATATTTCTGTTTAAAGAGTATTGATGACTGCATTTACATATTTGTTATTGCCTGAGATTCATGATCTAAATAGGTTTTACAGTCTCAAATAAAACCAAATTTGACTGTTTATAGCTAAAAAGAAGCATGTAATTTGAATAGGTTTTACAGAACGAAAATGAACCAAATTTGACAATGTTTATGGTTTAAAAAAAAAAGAGTAAATGCATGAGCTTTTAGCAAATGATTTGAATAGCTTTTAGAGAATGGAATAGACCCAAATTTCAGTCATTTGTAGCTTAAAAAAAAGTAAATGATTGAGCTTGATGAAAATGATTTGAATAACTTTTACAGGCTGAAATGGACCCAAATTTGAATCTATTTATAGCTTGAAAAAAAGTAAAATCCTTTAAAAAAAAGAAAAAAAAAGAAAGATAGTTCCTACTCATAAGTTGTTTTGCAACGATCCGGATTTCAAGCCCTTTAGCTCATCATCAGGTAGAAGGACTTCCACGTCTGTCGACATGAACTGCAAAAGTGTGTCTAGAGACGTGGTTGTGGAAGTCCTTCAACCTGATGATGAGCTAAAGGGCTTGAAATTTGGATTGTTGCAGAACAACTCACTGTGAGTAGGAACTATCTTTAAAAAAAAAAAAAGGATTGAACACCACACTCACTCCATCATTTGTCATTTCTAAAAAATAAGTAAATGCTTGAGCTTGATGAATATGATTTGAATAACTTTTACAGACAGAAATAGAACCACATTTGACAAGGTTTATGGCTAAAAAACACAAGTAAATTATTGAGCTTGAGTTATCGTGTGTACACACTAAGCAAATCTTGGCCAACGAAAGACCAACATATGGGGCCGAACGTTGGTCACAAACACATTGGCCATCCTTGGCTCACTCACATCAAATCTCCAATCAAAGGGGATGGGTTCAAGGGATTGGGCCATGTGGAATGCACTCAACATCTACCCTTTTGGTGTTTCCGCCAGAAGGCCGAACCTTGACTAAGGCCAACTGCTTCTTTGATTCTGATTCACATCCCGTACACAATAAGCCAATCACGGCCAACGAAGCGGTCGGTTGATTTGCACTTGCCTTTACATGTTCTGAGTAGGTTTTAAATAAATGCTTGAAATTGAGTAACGTGATCTGAATAGGTTTTCCAGACTGAAATAGTACCATATTGACAAAAGAAAAAAAAATAACAACAAACAAGTAAAGGTCTTGTAGGAGAGAATGACACTTGAGGGCGGACAGACTAAATTGACTGATTGAGATTGATGTTTCTCTTTTTACCGGGTGGCTCGTTCCTCGAGGGCCTCAATCACCCGTTCCAAGTGGCCCTCGCAGGCGGCCGTATAAGGCAGAAAGTCCGCCGTGCTGAGCGGCCGGTCGAAACCCGAAGACACCTCGGGCACCCGGGCCGCCGTCAGAAGCTCCCACGCTCTCTTCCGCTCCTCGTTCTGCATCTTGGACGAGGAAATCGAAAGTAAATTAATAGACTTTCTCTCCTTGGATACGCTGACGCTGACGCTACACCACACCGATGCCGGTAGCGTGAAGCCGTGAATCAATCAGGTCCTTACTCCTTAGTCCTTGACCACTGGCCATGAATCAGAGGTTGGACCGGTTGGAGGTTCTGAATCAATCATGACGCTACTCGCCAAACGTCCAATTACGTCATTTACTCACATTTTAAAAATATTTTGTTTAAATACACAATATTAATTTTGATAAACAAAACCTATCCAGAAATTATTTCAATTTAGTTCAACGGTTTATGAGGTATGAGTCTGGGTAGCCTTTTTCTACCACAGCTATCCTGACTTGTGTCAAGGCCCCTTTGCTAGCCTGTTTCTGAGGCTGCCGACAAGCAGACTTTAATAATCTCATCTGCCAAGAGTTGTTCAATCTCCTCCAGGCTTTTTGCCTTGAAGGGGATGTGTTTTGGATTGGCACTGCTTGGGAGGCCCCTGGGCCTGACCAGATTTTTGGTTTGGTAGGTTCCATATAGTTCCCACAAGTAGCTAGGGATATAGGATGTCAGCCCCAGCAGAGCCCTGCATGCCAGGGTAAGCCTGGATACAACAGGGTGTCAGCCGGTTCTGTGAGGGCTCCATTTGAGACACTATTTTTTGTCACTGTCATTCATCCTTCCCCACAGTTCGCTTTACATCTCGGATTAGGGTCACCATGGCCCCTTTTAGCCTCCCTTGATTAGAAAGAGCAACTTTTCTCATATTTGTTTTAGTGGATATAATGCATAATTGCTATGATATGTCAATTGTGGCGTAAATAAACAGTTTGTACCATTAATATTTGATGGCATGTCAGTTAAAATTTCTACATAGTAACCATAGTGATAGATCAAAAATGGCAAGTTTCCTCATGCTTTTTATTTCTGTTATTGAGGATACAATTTATAATGACAATTATGACATAAATTACAAGTTCATATTTATATTTTTTGGCATAGGAGAGAATTGTTAAAATTTTTCCATAGTGACAGAGGCCAGAAATCGCTAGTTTCCTTGTATTTGTTCTTGATTGTGGATAATTGTTATATTTATGTTAACTGTGGTATAAAATATCCAGTTGTACCTTTAATATAGTTGGCATAGGGGAAAACTATTAAAATTTGCACATAACGATAAATCATATGTGGCAATTTAATTTATTGCAAAACAATTATTTATAATTGATATGCTATTTATATTATTTGTACTATTATGAATTAGTTTGGGACATTACAATTTGTACAAAAGAAAAAACTGTTAAAATTTGTACGAGGATCTGTAGTAAGTAAAAATTTCATTCCTATTTGAATTTTTTCATAATAACACTTCTGATTAAAATCCATTTTTATTGTTATTTATGCTAATTGTAGCATATATAACCAGTTTGTATTTTCTCATAATAACAGAGATAATTTTAATTATTTTACCATTGGTTTATTGTAGGCAGAATCCTTTCTTACATTTCACTTTTAATTGCTATTTGCACAAAAATCTCCAGCGATTTTACACTGTTGTTGAATAATTTTGGAAGAAAGAAAACAGACACAAGATTTCAAAAAAACAAATTTAATCACAGCGCTTAGGGATCATAACACGTATTTACAAGTTGTACACATTTATCCCAAATTTGATAAAAATGAGCATTTTATTAGAACGATAGCATACCTATGAATGAAGTTGATTTAGATTTAATTTCTATTGGATAAAACACAAATACATTTTTTCAGTCTACAATCGAAGTGCAATGTTCACATAATGTATTGTAAACATTATTAGAAAAAATATTATTCATTTTCCATGAATATATTTAAATTATCTAATTATTGTATGACAATTTTATTTTGATTTATATTGAAAATAGCTTTACAAGTTTCCGCAGAACATAATCACATTTTTTTTACTTGAATTTAAATTTTTTTAATGTTCTCAAAAAATATATATTTACTCCTAACTAGCAAAGGCTTTTTTGTAATGTGACTTATAACATAAATATGTGTTAGTTGAAGAAAATGTCAAAAAGATTTTCAATCACATGGAAATTTCTTTTTTCTTATACAAGCGCAACATTTTTGTATTAACGTTCAAAAGATAATGGTTTGTGATTGCGCCAAAGAGCACACACACAAAAGAGACTTAGAAATAAGTCAAACCATTAAAACAATAAATTCAAATTTAAAAAATACAATTATACAATATAATCAGTTAGGGAAGACAAGCTGAGAGTTACTACAAAGTAAAAAATAAAATTAATTAAACTAAATAAAATGAAATGACACCTGTACTAGAATAAATGTGGCCATCTTTTGATTTTGACTATTATATAAACTATATTTGTCATTTATGTCTTATAATTTAAACAACTGCATTTTTCTTTAATTAAAAAAAAAAGTAATTCTTAACATGTGGATAAAACCCTAACATTAATTTGTTCAACCCGTTTTGCTTTTCTTAATGTAGCTGAAAATATAATGGCAATGTTAAATATTTTGGCAAATGCTTGTAAAGTTGCAAAACTTTTAATGGCAGTTTAAATTTGAATTTCATTTAGTTAAAAAAACCAAATGATACATTTATAAAACCAGAAAAACATCTAAGCTTTTTTGGGGGCTGTGACTTGATGAACCTGTTTAATCGTATCTGATCATAATACTAAGTATAGTATCGCCGATGCATTTGACCATTTTGACATTTTCAGTTGTTTGTCTCTGTGTTCTTTTTTAGTTTTGTTCATGAAAGCTTATTTACAATATTGGCAGCACGAAGATAGTGAAAAGGCTGACACAATTGCCCAAAGAATCTGAAAAAAATAACACACAGACCAATCACTGAAGATGGCTAAATGCTGAAATATTAGACAATACAAGTGATAGTAGGCAGATGGTAGTTACCAGACCAATTTACAAGTTCCTGATTATGAAAGTAATTATATTCTATGTTTCAAAGTTGCTGACCTAAACCAATTGGCACATTTAATGAGAATCAGTTTAAAGTGAAAACTACAATCTATAGAAATGCCTATTTCCTTCTACAATAATGGCCTTAAAGCATGCTGAACTATAGTAGAAAGACAGAAAGAGAGAGAGTGAGAGATAAAGAGAGAGATTAAAAAAAAAATCAGGGCAAATTTGAGTAGACTATAATAAAATATAAAATGTTTAATGTTTCACATTAAAAAAAGCCATTATTGTCAGTTAAAGAGAATGTGTGCATCACACACAAGTTGAAAGATTAACTGATGAATTATGAAATAACAATACTGTAAAAAAATTAAACTATAATAATGGATGCCACACATCTTCGCAGATTTTGGTTTGTGAAACCAAATAACTATCTTTAGCACAATCATTAAGAGTTTTGTTCTTGATAAATGAGTCGCGAGCCGTTTTGTAGTATTTTGTAACTTGGGTCACAATATTTTTAATTTCCTTGTCGACATTCTTCGAGATGTTTTCTGCTTTCATTGTCCCATTTGTGCCATTTTGGTTTTGGGCGATCAACGACGTGCAAGCTTTGCTCTTCCTTGGCTCCGGAATCCCTTGCCTGAATGGGTATACCCTTACCCAATGACCTGCGCTGCTTGTTGGGTACTTCCAATCAATCCCGTTGTCCCATTTAGTTTTAGACTTTTCTTTCTTAACAAGATCATCGATAATATCATATTTGAAACCATATCTTCCGTCATTACCTAATATAAAAATATACAAATATGATTATGTAGAAAAAAGAATTGTTAGGTGTATACCTGTGTATGCTCCTACAATACATGTCGACAACGCTGTTTTTCGTTTTGGCAATTTCTTTTGGGATGATTGTGAAAGGCTTAGGGTTGAACACGATGATCTTAACCTTTTGTTTTTACAATCTCTCTTCATCAACTGAAACAGTTTAATTTATAAGAATAATGATATTGGTTTAAATGTAGCATAAATAATTGTTCATTTAAAAAAAATATAAATCAATTTGGATTTTCTTCTACCAACAATTGGAAGATTTAACATTTGCAATTAAGTTAATAAAGGTTAAGCACAGCTCAGTTAGCATATAACATTAGAAAAACGAGAACTAGTCACTAACATAGGCATCCTCAGTGCTTCTGAAAAAAAATTAAACAAATTCTTGGTTAAAACGCATAAAAAAAAAAGAAACATCCCTTGTGGGGATCGAACCCACGACCTTTGGATTAGAAGTCCAACGCGCTATCCACTGCGCCAAAGGGACGTACTTATGTAATGATTAATATTTTCTAGAGTCGGTTTTCACAATCACACATCACAAATTTCATCAATCATCGGATATTGATGAAATTTATGATGTGCGATTGTTTGTGAAAATTGACTCTAGAAGATATCAATCAGGTAAGGTCGCCAACAGTAATAAAACATACAACTGTGAGAAATCAATTGAAGAAGCATGCTAATAGGTAATTATTCAGAAATCGTGAGATGCGGTCTGGTGTGATGTAGGTGTCAGAAAAACATTTTCTTTATCGTGCCAACGTTCGATCTTTATTGAGATCATCTTCAGGGCCTGGGATTTACAAACATCGTTTACATTTAACAAATACATTTAGGATGTGGAAAAGTGAATTTATACAATGCAAAATATATTTTTTATATTCAATCAAAGTATTTCTACTCACTCAAAGTGTTTGTCTTCTGTGTAATTGTGCCATTCTTGCGTGTCGTGTTGAGAGTGCCAGTGAGATTTTGCTGTTTTATGTTGAGGTGTCAGAGGTGAGGTTCTGGCCGAACCATTACCAACACATTGTTTCCCTTCGTCTGCTCTTTTCACCTCAAAGAAGCCGACGCCTTATACAAAAATGTCTTTTCTATACCGACTTCCTTCCCCACCCCTTCAAAATCCAACGTATATAAACATAAAACAGCAAAATCTCACTGGCACTCTCAACACGACACGCAAGAATGGCACAATTACACAGAAGACAAACACTTTGAGTGAGTAGAAATACTTTGATTGAATATAAAAAATATATTTTGCATTGTATAAATTCACTTTTCCACATCCTAAATGTATTTGTTAAATGTAAACAATGTTTGTAAATCCCAGGCCCTGAAGATGATCTCAATAAAGATCGAACGTTGGCACGATAAAGAAAATATTTTTCTGACACCTACATCGCACCAACCGCATCTCACGATTTCTGAATAATTATCGATTAACGGTCACTAATCACCACACACATGCTAATAGATGTTGTTTTTCTGGTTAAAATGTAAGAAAAGCTAATTGTTTCAAACAATGGTATACCACTGATATTTCATCAATCATCAGGTGTAAATTCATCATCACTTTAAATTAAAACAACTCTTTTAATCATAATTTTTCTTTCTTTTTTGTGCTCTTTGTCATTCTAATGCCGATTTTTGAAAATTACTATAGATTAACAAGTTAAAAAAATCCCTGTCTCCATATCTCTCTCTTTCTCTCTCTTTCCGTTTCTCTTCCACTGTCACATTTTCCCATTCTCTTCTTCTCTCTCTCCCTTGCATTTATTTATGTCACCTCATTGTATATCTTATACTTTTTACTTTTACTTTTCTCTTATGTGTCTGTAACTCTTTCACTATCTCATCAAACTTTTTTCCTCTCTCTCTCTCTCTCTCTCTCTCTCTCTCTCTCTCTCTCTCTCTCATTTTGTCATTTCTGTCTTCTTCTCTTGTTCTCTTTCTCATTTCACTTTTTATTTTACTCTGTATCTCTTTCACTCGCTCATTTTCCCACTTCTCCTTTTCTCCCTCTTATTTCTGTTTTCACGTCTTTGTTTCTCTTGTTTTTTTCTCTCCTTATTGCACTTTTTATTTTACTCTGTATCTGCCTGCATCTCTTTCACTCTTTCCATCCATCATCTTTTCTCCCGCTCTTTCATCATCATCATTTCTTTCTTCCTGACTCTCCTCACTCTCCTCTTCTATATGTATTTCACTTTCTTTAAATTTTGCTTCTCGACATATATTTGAGGTTTTTTTGGTGATAATTGCTATCAATAAATGAAGGATTTTTCATTTTGAGATGTGGATTCAGAAAAATCTTGAGGTGATGGCTGGGGAATCGAACCCCTCTACACGATTGTAACAATTCGTTGTCCCATCATTCCCTCAATTACATCTAATTATTTTAATTACTTATTATAAAATTTCTATTTTAGCTGTTTTAGTATGATACTGGCAAACACAAAATTTTGTAGATGGAGTAAAACATTGGAAACGAATATGGTACTTTTAATTTTAAAATGCTTTTGAAATAGTAAATATTTTTTTAGTAGTTTAGGAGAAAGGAAAATTTTTTATGAGAAAGTATTGCTACAGGTTCAGCTTGCGGCTCACCGATGGATGCGACTTGCTCCCTTCCAATGGCAAAGAGACGTGCTTCTTCCACTTTTGAGCCATCGCGACCACGGTGGCAGCGTTCGTCGCAGTTCGTTGAAGTATCCTCAGATCCGACTCTTCGTCAGAAGCCTCATCACCGCTCACATCCCTCTCACAAAAGAGAGAAAGACCCGTATTGCAAATTGGCAGGCCGAGTAAATCGAACATGTCGTGGAGCATCGGCTTCTTGACGGCCGGGTCTACATCACAGTCGGTACAAAGAGCCGGACTTGAATTCACCTAAAAATAAAATATTAAACTTTTGAAACGTTACTTATAAAACTGTTACAAACACACTTCAAGCAGCCAAGGTTTAAGGTCTTGATCGATGAGCACGTCGAATCCGTAAAATTCGAAACAATTCGGCGTGGTTGGAACTCCCGAAACTTGACTCGCAACTGTCAATACAATCATGTTTACGATACGTTGCCATAGGAGCCAGTCATCTATCTCGTTCTGTTTCAAATAATGCCTAAGTTGCTTCAAAGTCCATTTGCAGCCTTAAAAACCCAAAACGGTAACAGGTGAAAGCGTTAAAGGTTTTTACAAAAATTCACCTGCTCCGACTTTATCTTTCATCTCTGAATATCCCGGCCCTTGCTTGTTCACGGAAGAATTGGTCAGATGGGCGTACCGATTTTTGAGATCGGACAATGAGAATTTGTCAGTGCTGAACCTCGCCAGGCCTTCTCTGTACAAGTAGATGGTCAGAGGATGGAAACAAGGCACGCAGACGTAAAGCCTCAAGTCGAACTTATACCCTCCGATGAGAAACGGATCTCGGACATATCTCTGTACGACCGTATGGCTGTCGAACGTCAACTCGCTAATTTTCTGAAATAAAATCCAAATAAAACCAAACAAAAACAACTCAGGTTTTAAACAATCCCTTACCCTAAAAATTGATATTCCTTTTCCTTGACTCTGGCCCACTGGCTTACATATCCAGATATCATCTAGCTTGTTACAAGTCTCTACCAGTTTAGAATAATCGTTCGGTAATATAAAAGCTTCCGGGCTGGAATTAGAAATATTTATTTCTTGAATAAAAAAGTAAAAACAAATTTTGCCCCGGGGTAAATCGTATTTTATTGATTCGATCTTTTAACATGATACGGGGTGAACTGTAATAGCTTTCATAAAAGTTTTTATAAAGTCAATGATTTTCATTCATTTCGTGATGAATCGAAACTTTTCCGATTGAATAACAACCCATATCACAATACAAAAGTTATATTTACATGTTACAAGTTTTATAAAAAGCACCTCGGAAGTTTACCAAAACAATATATACAAAGAACCTGTGTACCTGTAATACCATCGAATTAAATTTAAGCTTTTTATTCAAATATTGTTTAGTTTTTATTAATTAGTGCTTTCAAGAAAATCTGAGTCGCATTTTTAATTGCTTGAAAGTAGAACGAGCCCGAACGAACAAAACAAGCTAAACGCCATGATCAATAAATGATTGTTAATAGTAAATGTTGTTTTACACAGTCACGAATCATGCGTTCTCGATATATTTGAGTACTAGGCCTATTCTTAGAAGTGAAGCTTCCTTCTTCCGATGATAAATTCGATCAAATCAGGTGATAAAGGAAGTTTATTTCTCTCCGTTCTAAAAATATCCTTTCGACGCGTGAGACTATCGTGATGTGGGCCGCATTAAGGTATTTTGGAAAATGTGAAACTAAAAAAACGAAGGAAAAATAGCGAGGGATCACGCACCACTTGCCAACTAGCGGTGTACCATCAAGGTATTATTAATTAAACATAAAATGTCTTAATCCACCAGTGACCTTATAAATTCCAGGTGGGAAGGAAACCGAGATAATACAGTTGTAAATCACAAGTTTCTTTTCTCCTTGTGCTGTTTTAGCACGTGAGCTTTAAGTTCCAAAGAGAATGCCTTTTTCTCCCCCCCAACCTAATAAAGCTGATAAACTCTATTTATAGAATAAAACTACTTATTTAGATTTTTTTCTCACCTGAAGTCGAAAATAAACCCGTAGTTATTTTTCATACACCTCAAGTACCTTGATAGATAATCTTTTTTACAGATCGCTGACGCTTTGGGTACGTGATTGGTAAACTGGAAAATAAACAAAAACAATTTGTTTTTTTTAAATTTATTATAACTACTAGTAAACATGTCCACACATTATTTTATTTCTTTAAAATCTATAATAATCTACTCGTTTCTTATCGTATCGTGTTGTGTCGTGCCGTCTCTCATTTCATCGAAACGTATCGTGCTACGCAGTGTCGCGCCTAATCGCATCATAAAATAAATCGTACATAGACAATCTATTACATAAAACGATAACAAAAATTGTCTGTTTATCCTAGTCAAATTTAAGTATACATTTGCAACAGCTGGTAACAAATTTAAATAAAATTGGTTAATGTCTAATGGTCATCTTTGTTTATACATTCACTAGTTTTCGTGGCCCACTTGACCAATTAATATCTTTCAATTAATTAAGGTTTTTAGTTAGTTCAATTAGTTAGAGATAAAAAAGTCACTGTCACGAGCGGGATTCGAACCCACGACCTTCGGCTAGATACGCCGCTACTCTACCACTTGAGCTATCGTGACTTTGATCCACTCGGGCACTAACTTCGTTTGTTTATACACTTTTCGTATAAGTTATTAGGTCTTTAACCTGTTTGAAATATTAATAAAAGGGTTTATATCGTGCGGACTCGTCAAAATTGAGTCTTCCGCACACTACGGAAGCGAAAATGCTTAAGGTCTATTCTCACGGGGATACTCAAGTCATGCATAACTGCTTGACAACCGAAGACCAGTGCCTGCAAATATATACGGACGGCAGCAAATTAGGTAACCAAGTTGTGGAGCGGCGTTCCTTATCTACGGGCAAGGTAAAGATGTGATTTACAGCAGCAAAATTAAACTGGCGGATTGATGTAGTGATAACCAGCATGAACTTCTGGCTTTCTTAAGATCTTTGATGTGGATTGTAGCTCAGGATGAGAAATGGGAGGCTCCAAAAATATCGTTAAAACAGACGGTCAGGTAGCCCTAGACATCTTGAAAACGTGCCAAACATGAATCGTCAATCTCATCTGATCATATGATGTATATGGGTCAAAGCTCACGTCGGAAGCAGAGGAAACGAAGCTGCAGATCGAGAGGCAATGGATGCTGCAATGGACGTTGCCGTGGAATTCTGCCATGCACCTCCGAGTTATGTGAAGTACCCAACTCGAATGCAAATTCTGGATCAATGGAATACTGCATGCATCACGACAGAGCAAGCGTCGCATACCAACAAGTTCTTTCCAACAGTGTCGGGAAGTTTAAAGGCTGATTTTCCCCACTCATTCAAAACAACTCAATTTTTGAAAGGGCATGGTCGTATCTCTTCCGACTCCATGTGATCGACGACCCTTGATGCGAATGCTAGGCAGGATCGGAAGAAACCTGGGATCACATTCTCTTTGACTGTGACCTACACGAAAGGCCACTGAGTTCACTTAGGAGATCAGCGATGCTGCACGGATCAAATTGGCCAAGTAAACACAGAAAATTAATAGAAAAACGTTTCTGCCCTTTTCTTAAATTTATAAATAAAATAAATTTCGATATTATTTAATCTTCAATAATGCAAATCTTGAATCGTAAAAATTCTTTTTAAAGATAAAATTTGTTATTTGTTTGTTTCAGCTCATTCATTTTATTTGTTTATATTATTGTATACATAATATATTCTGTGTTAATACTGCAAATGAAATACGTGCAATCAGTATGGGGGCATGTAGTAACAAACTCCTTTATTACAGATTACTGTAGTAAGGAAAAAAGTCATGCATAAATATACCACCCCCTGACAAAGAATTATAAAAGCGATTTTGAAAAAAAATCAAAACCATCTTTAACTAGTTTTTATTTAGACTCCCAAAGATTAAAATTTGCTTTTTTCCCACTCTTACAAATGCTTGTCTAAAATTGGGAGTACTTTTAATTTACCCAGTGGGAGTATTTGGTTTTATACATAATTATACGTAATTATACACTAACCTATGTGCGAAATGAATCAAAATTAATTATTACATTTGTTGTCTAGGTGGCTAAAGAGCTTTTAAAACTGAGTCTGTAAGTTTGGAATTTTATGATCCAAAAATACCAATACAATCCTTTTTTGAAAATTTGACATAACGTCACTGGTGGCATTTCGTATTGCACCTTGCCACATTTGGACAACAGTCGAACTTCAAATTTGTGATTGACTTTTGGTAGTTTTTAACGTGATTTCGGCATTGTGGGTAAGCATCAAATCTCCTAGGTCTATGCTCAAGATTTAGAGTTATTACGCATTTATTGCCTAGGTGGACAGCTATGGTTGGATTATTGTACTCTAAAATTACCGATACAAACTTGACATTACGCTATGACGTCTATAGCATGTCTGGGTTAATCATAATGTCCATGTTATCTGGTCATTAAGTTCAACATAATCATCCTCTAGTGCCTCGGCGATATTGCGTTTTACAACTTGCCACAGTCGTACCTTAAATTTATGTTTGTCTTACCTGGTTGGTTGTGAGTTAACATAACAGACCTAGTGGACGTCATACGTATTTACCTGTTATAGTTTGACTTCGTTCATAATGATCAAATTTTCTTGGCCTGTATTGATAATTTTGATTCATTAAGCATTTCTTGTCAAGCTGGTCTGAAGTATCGTGCTCTAAAATTACCAATACAAACTTGACATTACGCTACGGCCTCCATAGCACGTCAAGTTTAAGTATAATATCCATGTGTTTGGTCATTAAGTATGTGTAATGTACAATATATGAGACAGTGACATACATAATGCCAATGATAGTTCGGTATTATGCGTAATGATCAAATCTTGGTTTCTATTGATGATGATGTTTAATTACGAATTTGTTGTCTAGAATTTGATATGGTCAACAGCTAGAATTTTTTGCACTGTGTCTTTATTGACCTTATAGATTAATTTTCGTCCAATAAATTTCATGGGTTGCAACTGTTGTAAAGATTTATTATCAGAATATTCAAGACGGTAAGCTCACCTGCCAACCTTTTAATGCCTTGTAGTGCGAAACAGGAAACCCTGTCGTCCTCCACCAAATGTTCCACCTCTCTTTGGTGCAAGTCGCTTCGGTGAACTCTTGCCAACCACGCTCTAAGAATACCTGGAACCGTTCGAAAATTATCTCACTCGACGGTAATAATAATTCAGCCGGTTCTCCCCATTTAGTCGTTGCTACGGAACACTCGCCGGGTAAAGTAATTGATCAAATATAAAGGTTAACGTACACGCAATTTGACAGGTAATTCAATACCCCCGTGGGTTTTAGCAAAACCGAGCCTCATAAACGAAACGGATTAACAATTAAAAACATCCTTAATAAATAGCTTATGTTTTTAATACGTTTTTAATATAAAGCCGACCAGAAATATTATTATCAATCAATAACACATCTTCACATTCTATTAGGTCAAATTAACCTTACCATCCACACCTTTTTTATATATATTTATTACCATATGCACATTTTAATATATTATGTAATGTTTTGATACAGTGATTATTTATAAATCACATTGACACCTAAAAGTCCTTGGCGAGGAGGTCCCGGAGCCATTAGTCGCCTGACGGGATTATTATTGGTTGGTTATGTTGGACATGTATTGGTTGGGGTGAGTGGAGAGTTTTTGGTGGAACCTGGAAAATTTGGTGGGAATTAATTTATTTACACAGGCTATTTTGAGGTTATTGTGGAGGATTGGAGCTAAAGTTTTGTGCTTGTACAAAAACCTCCTGATCCTGTTCCTTCAAGAGTTTTAGATCCATCTGTATACCACATCATTGTACCTGATATTCCTGAATTCTTCTTTATTTATTTAATAGTTATAATTACAAATTAACAACGATGAATAGCCTACAAAAAACTAACGGCGAACAGGTACGTAAGGTACTGCGATGGCTGATTATACGTGTCACCTGCTTTTTTTTTACTAGTTTAATTTTTATGGGAAGTCATTAAGCGTAATTCAAATAAAATACGCCACAAAAAACGAATATTGCGTATGCAGTACAATAGAGTTTTTTGAATTATTTGCTGTTATTTAACTACTTAGGGAACCCTGGTCAATCAAAATCTGTCTAAACTGCATTGCAGGAGCTTTTCTATCAAAAGGAAGAATCGCATTTTACGTAATGCCAATTTGAAACGGACTGAGGTTAAATTTTTGGATGTACCAAATAAAATATACGGAAAAAGCGCAAAACAAAGAGAGAAAAAAAGTCGACGAAAGACAGCCTCAGCCCCACAAATGACAGTCTGTAAAAGGGCTTCCCCCTTTGAAAACAGCGACAGTTGATTGAAATGATGTGTTCGATCCGAACTATGGAATGTAAAGGTGAATAATCGAATGGGAAAAGCCTTTTATTCATGCTCAAAGGGTACTAAATACAACCTGTCAGACGTTTCCCAGCTGCTGATGTAGGTACGTGCTGTGTGATATGCCATGAAACCGACCACGAAACAACCCGGAAGGATTGATTTCAAATAAACAGCCCAGAGGCAAAACAATATTATAAATGGGGGAAAAGCGTTTATTATAGTTAAGTTTGTCTTTATCGAGCTGTAAATTTTGTCATTTATGTTTGGACATGATGACATGGATCTTTTGGCATAACAAATAGAAGCGTATTTTTAAGTAAATGTCCTATGGCTTGTACATACTATATGTTTCTACAAAAAACTTTGAAAGTTAAAAAAAAATCTGACCTAAAGTAGTTTTGTAAGTTTACTAGTGCTCCTCTTTTGTAAGTGTTTTGTAGGAATTTGTTTTACCTCCCTTCGTCCTTAGAGTGTTAACGAAATGATCCAATTTCCCCTTCGGGACAACTATTACGCAAAAGTTTATAATTTGACTCTAAACACTACCGGCTGGTACAGTTTTCCCGTCTTCAGGGAGGAAATCACACAAGTTCCACGGTGTAATCAACCACTATGCGACATATCCTTTCACGATTCTACCGGTTTAATTTTAGATTGTCACGAGAGAGAGAACTCGGCCCCCCCATTAACAAAATTGCTACAATTTCCCGTTCTCACGCCGGATTATTGAAGCGTATCGATCACTACTGCATATTTTCTAGCGTGAGACACAGAGATGGTTATTTTTATTAATGCGTCCCTTTTTATATAACATTTTCAGACTTGTTTACTTTTAATGGCGTTCGTACATTTCGTGTATCTCGTGGTTGTCCTTATTTATTGTTACAGACTTATAAATAGCGACTGGGATAAAAAGTTATTTTGACGTGATCGAGGCTATTGTCAGTAAACAACGAAAACATTTACTCAAACAATCTACAATCTGCATAAACAATTTTCATACCGTATAATTTGCCCCCCCCCCCGGCGAAATAGAACCAAAAGATATTTTAGAATAAATGGATATAAATCCCCCTTTTAAAGTTTTCCCTATTAAAAGCAAATTTTATCTAAATCTACAAGGATATTTCTGCACCCTCGGGGCAACACTGAAAATTGTGCGATTTCTTGTGGTCTGCAGGATGATAAATCTATTGTATTATAGGTACAATTCTGGTTGCCTATCCTGGTTTGGACGCGTTTCGGCTTTCCACCATCTTCAATATGTGGGTGATATCTGTGAACTAAAGTTTTAATTATGAAGCCCTGGATGGTGGGAAGGGTTATGTTTCAAGGGTTGTTTGCAAAATTAGTGCTGTTTGTCGGTGTGTTTCATGAATTAAGTTGTGGTCTTTTGATTGTTCTAGTCGGTCTTTTTGATCTTCGGTCCTTTTCCTTTTACATTTTGTAATGTTTTTAATAGTGTGAATGATGTTTGTGAGTTAAGTTTTGTAAATTTAGCGACAAACGTATGCAGATAATGTTCTCTTGGTTGTTATCAGGGATGTGGTCAAAGAAAATATTTTTAATTTTTAATCTTCGCCTAGCTTTCGGAACTTAATTGTACCTTCTTCAGGGCTTGATTTTTAGTCAGAAGTATATAAACTTAAATTATTTTATTTTCATACTAACACTGAAAGCCTTTTCACTTTTTTCTTCACCTTTTCAACTATGAAATGACTAGACTAAAACACTGAACTTTAACGCTGAAATGACTCTAGTAGTCATTTTTTTCTAACTAGTCTAGTCATTTCATAGTTGAAAAGTGAAGAAAAAGTGAAAAGGTTTTCAGTGTTAATATGAAAATAAAATAATTTAAGTTTTTATACTTCTGACTAAAAATCAAGCCCTAAAGAAGGTACAATAAAGTTCCGAAAGCTAGGCGAAGATTTAAAATTAAAAATATTTTCTTTGATCACATCCCTGATAACAACCAAGAGAACAATATTTGCGAGCTATGATAATTTGTGTATTTATAAGTTTTTTAGTGTTGATTGTGTTATGTTTATACATTTCTATGTTTTCGAGTATGTTCATTTTCTGTCATTTTTGTACGTTGTGTAATATTTTCATTCTTTTTTGTATTGTCGATGGTTTGTGGCTATTTTCTATTATGTGAGTAGTTTAATTTGATTTTCCGTCGTCGCCCATAAAGGGTTCGGTATGTTCTCTGTAATTTTCCTATTGTATTCGTGGTTTTTAGAGCTGTTTTTATACCTAGTTTATTGAATACATTAGTTGGTTTGTTTGTTTCTTTTCTAATGCATGAATGTAGTCCATTTTAATGTTTGGTCTTGAGGTATTGTTTCGTTTTTGTGTACGTGTTTTGCTTATTCTTTTGTTGTTTATGGTTGTTTTCAATATTAGAAGTATCAACCATTTTTTCACTCACCAACTCTGATCAAGGTATGGTCTTGAAGAAAAATTCAGTTGTTATAGCCATCTGAAATTTCTTGATTTATTTTTCTTGATTGAAATTCCTTGGCAATGTAAGGACTGAGTATGAGCCTGTCAAAAACTTAAATATGTCAATTTGTAGACATATGTATGATTGTTTTGCCCTGAACGTTAAAATAGGACAAAAGCTTGGTAGTAACAACTGAATTTGCTTTTTTCTTCAAGACCACCTGATCCAGACTATCCGGAGTGTTCGTGATTATGTTATAGCCATTATTGTGTTATCATTTGTATTCTTTTTAATTTGTTTTCGTATTTGTCTTTGTGGAATTGGGTAGTGGGCTTTCTGGGACTGGAAATGTCATATTTTGGCAAAAGGAGTCGAGCATATTCCAGTGACTAGGCAGACTACGAATAACCCATTAAGTCGGGAAGAAAACATGATAAGACAAGGAAAATTACTAGAAAAAAACTATTTCCCTAAAACTAGCCCAAACTATTTCCTCAATGTCCCAGATTATAAAATCTTCCATGCTGTCTAAAAAGACGATGGCCTGACCTCTACTTGCCTACTCCCAACTAAAGAAAACAGAATTCCAACACTTGCTGGTTTCTCTTCCCACAGATCTGTCAAATTTGCATATACTTATTTACATTATTTGCTTATTGTATGTATATGGCAATAAATAAAATAAATTAACAAAAAATCTTTCACCACGAACAAATATTATCAAATAAAATACTTGTTACGGCGAACTTGGTTGTAAAATTGGCTGAAATTGACTGCATGATTCGAAAGTGTTGCGTAAGTGTAGACCTTTTTCGCCGTTCTTTTAATGCAGACAGAGCGTTAAGTAGATAAGACAGGTTTTAATTTTATCGCTTTTTGTTTCAGACTTTTTTTATATGAAATATTAGCGTCAGGCAGATAAAACCAGCGAGACCAGGCAGATCAGGATGACTGGAAACGAACCAATTGAGTATGTTTTCTGGCACTGTATAAAGTATAGACTGTTAAAAAAAATCAGTTTTGTACAAATTGGAAGAATTTGATACTTTTTTAATTATAATTTTTTTTGCCTCGATATTTTAGAATATTAACCATACTATATATAGGCAACAATCCCTTTATCCAGAAGAACACTTAAACTCTGCGAACTAAACTCTCCTCCTACTGCTCTTCCCAATACAATAAATACCTTGAAACCCTTTCCACACACGACAATTCCCTGTTACAAAAAAAAAAAAATAATCAAAATATCATTCAGTTGATAACCCACCCATTTACCTATTAGATCCTGGGACAGGGTTAATCAAACCTCTATGCAACCTATTTAGATCACCTTTACTCCTTATCAAGATATGACTGATGCCCTTCACGTACAGCAGGTTACCACTTAATCTTCACCACCCTTTCAACTCTTTTCATCCTTCTGAAGTAATGTACCACCTGCACTAATCCCGTGGGCATGGTCTAATTACCTCTACCATACTTCCTTTCACATAGTTTTCCTAATCACAGAATGTAATACCATCCTCTCTTATAGAATTGCTCTATAGCTATTCTCATCCCTAAAGCTCACAAACCTCCGAAGTACATGAAAGACCCATTAGCCTTCTTCCTTCAATGCCCAAAATCTTTGAAAGACTACTTTTAAAGCGTTTAATTTTAGATATTCATAAAATTATTCCTTTCCACCAATTCAGCTCCCGTCTTCATCATTCCACAATCCAACAAGGTTTCAGAGTTTGGACACCACCTCCTCTGCCATAGCGTATAAAGAGTATTGGGTCCATTTCTAGATAAGCACAGGCTTTGGATAGTATCTGGGACTCGGATATGCTTTATAAAGCGATTAATTAATCGTTACACACTCGTCATACCTAACCTGACCCTTGAGTGAGGTGCGGCAACAAGTTCTCGTCAAATAGATACTAGCGTCGTCTCACAACTGAGCAATCTCGGTCGTATCTTTTAGATCATTTATACAGCTCAACTATCTATAAAACCTTAATACCATCATCACCACTTACGTGGACGATACTGCAATTTTGTCCTGTAAATTCGAATCCTATCCACCATCCACCATCCATCATCCAAGAACACCTTGAGCTTATCAAAGACTGGTACAAAACGTAGAGGACACTGAATGAAGAAAAATATGCTCATGTTATAAAAACAATCTTGCCCTCCACAGAAATTCAAATCAAATACCTAGTAAATGTATGACCTAGTAAAATGCATATGTAAGGGGCAAGGAGGTCACCGGTCAATAATCAAATACTATATGCAGATAGCAGACTGTCGTGAAATCCCCACACAAGACCTAAGAGGCAACAACTTAACAGATGACTTGGGCAACTACAAAGACTTCTAGGACCGAAAACCGACTTTACCTCAATGCTAAACCAACAAGACTTTACTGAGACACAACGGAACTGTGGGGTTCTGGCAATCTATCCAACATCCAGCGCATCCTTTCAATCAAAATTCAGACAATTCGTCAAAGCTCTTTTTCTTTGTCACTAACCTCACTATTCACAACAAACTGATACCTTTACGAATCCAAAAGTTTCTTTCCCATCACGAGAACCCCGCCTTAGTCGACGATGGCCTCGAGACCTCCTTGCCCCTTACATTTGCATTTTACCTACAAGGGTTACGAAAAACAGAATTCATTTAATATTTAATGAAAGATAAATAAGTACATGTATCTGTACTGAAGTTAAATCAGCATTTCTTTAAGAACCTATACAGACGTGGTTTTTGTCCCTTGGCCCATTAGATAGTTCTTAATAGCTTAATTTGTAATGAAACCGTTCAATAAACGCCATAAAGGATGGCGTGCATTAATAAACCCCCGTCAATACCCCTCGTTGATGTAAATGGGGGTTCGTTTTATCCCGTTGTCACGTTATTGGCTCGGAAGCATCAGGTGGTGAAAGAATTAGCGGTCCAAACGATGAGCTGTCACGCATTAAAACTGACCCGGTCTCGTGCGATCTTTTATATTTTAATTTTCAAAATATTATGATTAGAATACAGGAAGTAAACTGTCACCTGTGATGAGGAATGTCAATAAGAAAATCAGAAACAGGCTTATCAGATCAACCTGTAAAATATTATAGGCCGTCACATAATTAGGTAGAAAGGGTGAGCAAGTCAATGCAAGTAAGCTTGACGACACATGCGAGGACAGGCGGACCAGTTTGTTGATTTCTGCTTATAGATCGATAGCCTGGTCATGTTTCAATTCGTTTAATTTCCAAACTTCTCATATTTTACAATTAAACTCAAAATATTCAACGACTCTCTCGTCTCGGGGTTTATTTAAAATATCGCGAAGAACAATTGCCACTATAACAACTGAATACGTCCGGTAAACATTGCGTGATTGAACGTCAATCGATCCGATTGCGTTAAAAACTGTGTCAGTGTTTCTTCGACGGATCGTCGGGTGTGAGTCCGGGCGTATCACAGAGCTTGGCAATTTATTGGGTTGTCCGGAAAAGAATGCAGATTTATGGTTATAAAATAAAAAAGTAAATGATTTTGAATATTTTTTATTAATTAAAATACCCCTCATCACTCTCAATACACTTCTCCCAACGTGATGGCAACTTGTCTATACCCTCCAAATAAAATTTTAAGTCTTGACTTTTGATCAATACATTTTTTTATGTTGTAAAACGATATCCAGGTGTCTGAAAAAATGGTAATCCTTAGGTCTGGAGAATGTATGTACAGATTTGTCTAAAGCCGAGTTGACATTGTTATATTCTTCCGTTTAAGTTGAAAATCCTTGGAGTAGGTGATCCTTTGTTATCCTTCATCGAATCATTTCTATCTGATCGCCCTTCGTTTATTCTCATTAATAACTCAGTATCAGATAAGATTTCAACATTTTCTGGAGTACCACAGGGTTCTCACTCCGGGCCCATATTATTTCTTGTTTATTTCAATGATGTCTGTAAAATATTCAAGGATTGTAAGTTTTCTTTATTGGTGGATGATTTGAAAATTTTTAACTCCGTGACTTCAGATCACGTCTGGGTTAGTTTGCAAGGGGGGAACTGGACTGCTTCATAATTCGTGTGAGCAGGATCGTCTTCCTTTGAATAGTAACAAATGCATGGTAATTAAATTTTCTAAAAAATCTTAACTCGTTTTTTTGTTTTGATTATTTTGCTGATGGGCAGAGATTATAAGAGGACTATCTCCGATTTTTGTGTTGTTTTTGGCAGAAAGGGCGATTTCAGCGACCATATCAAACAAATTCGAGGTAAGGCTCTACGCAATCTTGGTTTTATTACTAGTTTTTCAGGAGATTTTAAAAATGTCTTGGGACTTAAAATATATCAATCCCATGCGTCGCCACCTGAAATACGCAAGTGTCGTGTGGTCCTCTTTCCATGTCGGTTAGATTAGCGTCTTAGAAAAAGTACAAAGGAAAGCAACCAGGATAATGGCTTTCAGATTTGGTCTTGAGGATCTGATTTCCTTGGAAAGATTGAACTGGCTTGGTCTAGTCACTTAGCTCATGCTGTATGATCTCATTTGGGGTTGGAAATTGTGGAAAGGGAGTCCTTGATATCCAAAACTTATATTTATCACTGTGTGCCTCAGCGACCATAAATTGTTCTTTGTCCCACATTGCAGAACAGAATATCGACTAAACTCCCCTCTAGCGAGGATAATGAGATTGCTGAATCATTATTCCAATGAAATAGATGTATTTCACGATTCCTTGCATTCAGTTAAAGTTAAATTAAAACGTATACATGCCAGGAATCCTTAAGCCATGTGTTTTTATTATTATTGTTTAATTACTCAATTATTTTCTTTTTGTTATTATGTGCGTTTCTTGACTATTCCTCTTGTAGATTCACTCTGTTGGAGTTATAATAAATAGAGAGGGAGAGGAAGCTGATAACCTAGATCCAACGGTTTACTGTTGTCACATTTGACACATGGGGTTGACCGTTGTCCTGTAACAGAAACGGCCTTTTCTGATTGATCAAATATGGCTTCAGGCCTCAATAATGTCAATTTCTGGTGCATTACTTCAATTTGAGAACCCAAATGAAGCCCACCAAAGAGTCCCCATCATCTTGTTTTAATGAGTTGGGGGCTTTTGGAAATAGTGGTGCTGCTTCTATTTTGTCGAGCCACTTTCCAGAACGTCTGCTGTCAACGTAGAGAATCCGCTTTTCATCACAAATAAGAATTCTATCTAGAAAAGATTCGTTTCTGTTTTAGCAAAGTTGCGCAAATTTCGTAAGAATTTTTTTTCTTTGATTTTTTTTTTGGGGGGCGTTCGTTTAATACACGAGGAACTCAACTTTCGAGCTTTTTGATCTTTACAATTGCCTTAAGGTGGTCAGCGATCCATTTACTAACTGAAAGATTCTATTTCTCTATTTCTCGTTCTGGGATTTTCTTTGACCAAAGCTCGCGAACATCTTCATCTAGGGAAGAATTCCTTCCACGGCTTTCTTTTCTTCAAAGCTAAAGTCTTCCTAACGAAATTTTTTAAGCCATTTCTGAACGGTGCTCTCAGTCACACTGTCATAGCCCCAGAATTCATGACCAGTTTCTGGCCGATTGGGCACCGTTCTGACTGAGTTTTAGCTCGTAAAGACTGAATTATTCCCAATTAATGAAATACTACTGAGGTAAGCAAACATTTTTGTTTGGAAGAAAAATAAAAACTGTTGAAATCAAACAAAAGGATAATATATCAAACGTAAACAGTTTATTATGTAAAGGACTAATGGAAATAAAACATGAAAACCTCCATTATGTTCCGGACAACCCAATAATGTGTTTTTTTTTGTTTTTTTATTTTTTTTTATTTTTTTTATTGGCCTTATGATCTTGCATATTAGACATAGTACGAATTCTTGTGTTCAAATTGGGGGTTATCGGGAAAAAAGGGCCAGAGGCGACGGTGGGAATCGAACCCACGACCGCGGCGTGAGTGTCTCTTATGCTAACCACTCGGCTACCGCGGTCCCCCAACCCAATAATGTTAATATTTTTTAAAATCTAGTTTATTATCGATTTTATACATTTAAAAAGACAAGATCCTGAAAGATTAGGACTTACCTGGTGTAAAAGATTCGGCCCAGTTCCGTTGTCATTGATTTTGAATATAAAAGGCTTTTCAATCATCCTGTCATACAGATGATCAAGGGACTCACCTAAAATTAAGAAATGATAAAATATTGGCGCAAACGTTTTTACAAACTATAGTAAGATCAAATTTATTTTAATAACGATCGAAAAAACAAACTTTTGGTTTTTGGTTCTTTGGTTATTTTTTCATTCTTCAGATGCAAGGACAGTTGCATTAGATTATCGTTAAAACAATCTAGATTATTATTATATATTATTATTATTATTATTATCTAGATTATTCATAATTTGCCTATTTCGTTATTATATATTAGGTAATACGAATGTTTGCATGTGTATTCTCCGAATATAAAAACAGGCGGATGGCCTTTTATATATGTATTATTAATGTATACGTTTTTTTGTTGAGATAATGAAGAAAAACGAGGAATAATTATTAATAATTAAAAAGAAAGAGTGAGACTGAGCAAGTGACAAAAGCAAATTTAGGAAGAGCGAGAGAGATAAATATATAGATAGATAGATAGATAGAGAGAGAGAGAGAGAGAGAGAGAGAGAGAGAGAGAGAGAGAGATCGAAGAGAAAGATAGAAAATAAGGGAGTGATTTATAGATAGAAATTTAGACAGTGTAGGTAAGGCACACGGAAAAACGTGTGTGAAAATAGCAAATAAGAAAATTATATTATAACAATTATAATACAACTATTATAATAACTTGATTCTTGCACACACACACACACACACACACACACACACACACACACACACACACACACACACACACACACACACACACACACGCGCGCGCGCGCATATTTTTTAACGTTATCACACGAATGATAATTAATATTCAATTCAAATGATATAGAAGAAGAGTTTTTGTTTGAAAGATTGAAGAGAGAGAGAGAGAGAGAGAGAGAGAGAGAGAGAGTGTGAGTGAGAGAGTGAGTGAGTGAGTGAGTGAGAGTGAGAAGGAAGGAAGGAGAAGTCGCAATGTTAAAATGAGATAACATAAATTGTTAGTTAATCTTTATGCAAGGTATTGGTTGAAATGAAAAAGCTAGTGTCTCGAGCGGGATTCGAACCCACGACCTGGCGGTGTCCGAGTGGATCGAAGTCATGATAGCTCAAGTGGTCAGAGCAGCGGCGTATTAAGCCGAAGGTCGTGGATTCAAATCCCGCTCGTGACACTAGCTTTTTCATTTCAACAATACCTAACATAAAGATTAATTAATTGAAAGAAGTTATTTATTCAATCGGACCACCAAATCTAATGGATAAATTGTTAGATTGATAGTTCAATAGTTAAGTGTTTAGATACATAAATAAAGAGATTGGCAGAGGATAAAAAATACACTGAGAATGAGCAAGACTAGGGTTTCGACGGATGATAGATGGTTTTATATATATATAATATATATATAGATAGATAGATAGATAGTTAGAAATAGAGATAGATAGAGAGAGAGAGAAAGAATATACAATGTACATTCTGCTATAAACATTTTTAAATGAATGTGTGATGTGATGACCATTCGTCTTATTCCACCGGCAGGTCGGTTTAATAAATTGTTATCATTGCCTCCACTAAAGACCAAATTTAAAAAAAATATAGAAGATTAAATCAAATCTGTATTTTTATCAATAAAAATGAAGTCTGCATGTGAGGAATTAAATTTGATCCTTAAAACAATATCTGACACATCATGGGAATTTGAACCGGTTGGATATCACACGCACTGGTTGTCATTATTTTTTTTTGCGATTTATATTTCTTTATTGGTTTGATATGTTGATTGTGTTTTATAAGTTTTAATTAAACAATAGTAGATAGTGAACCAGCTAAGTGGCCGTAGTCGATTAATTTCCTTTCATTTGCAATAAGACTGATAAATATTAGTTTTCTTTTAGTTGATTGATTTTTTTGCTGTAAGTAATGAGTATACACGTCAAAGTCCATTGAAAAAATGTAAAGCCATGCTGTCGATAAATTTTAAGTCATTGCCTTTTTTTGCAGTTAAACAATACATATTAATTACTAACCTAGTGCAAATTTTATTAAATAATTTCTACGTTTGAAGGTACAACTGAGGAGGGAGCGTTTGTATATAATTAAGTGCTAAAAGAGACGAGGGTGCGTGGTTTTTTGATTGTTTTTTGCTGGCGTTACCATGCGATGGGTCGGGCGCGATCCATGGTCTGAGGTGTACTAAGAGGAGCGGCTGGTATTTATGTTGGGACGCCGCCCCCACCATCCGAAACCCGCCCCCAAAACCAGTCATGCCATTTACAAAACGTACGGCAATATGACAATGTAACTCTTTCCTCCCTCCTCCAGGAAGGGGCAGATGAGGGATTTGTACGTCTAATGCCGTTTTCGCGTGTCCGCGGATATGCGGTAACGGGGAGTGAAAACATTGCGGAAACCACGCTTTTTTCGGGGTCTTATGCGACGATTGTTTTCAATTTTAATTATTTTCAATTGGCTGTCATTAATGACGCTGCGACATCAAGGGGAAAGGTTCAAAACTCATTGATGACCCTACCACATGATCTAAACTCATATTCTTCGGCCAGACTATCACTACTTAGTCTCTTCTTACATCTGGTCTTTTCTGTTTGTAAGGGTAGGTTTTTTCTTCGTTTAAGCCAGAATTTGGCAGAAAAGGTTTCTATTGCATTACATCTAATTTATTCTTCTTCAAAATCTTCCGTTTTATTACTAAAATTCGATGATTAGCACTGAATCGTGATCGTGATTAGCACTGATGACCCTGTTTCTTCAATAAGGTTGGTTTGTGTCAGTCGCGTTTCGCCATGGTTGGTGTTCTCTGGTGTTTGCTAATTTTCACTTCCTTCTAATAAATTGTGGTTCCGGTCCTTTGTGAGAGTACTGCACCGTATTTTTTACTATTTTTTATCCTTTCTTTTGAGATATATTAAAAATTCCCAGGATATCTTAGAGCTTGAGGTACATCTGATATGTATACCCACTTTTCGTTCTTAGCTTAATTAACTGTGATCATCCTCGTCAACTAGACGTGTTTTGCCATGGTTGGTACGCGTATTTCAGCATACACACTGTCCTTTGTTTGTGAATGTTGGATTTTATTTCAAAAGCATATATATTACAATCGTTTTTTCGGTTTAGTTTTTTCCTCCTTTTGAGATGTGTTAGAAATTCTCAAATCTTCTTGGAGGTAAAAGTACCAAAGTAGCTAAATGTTCATACCTATCATACCTATCTGATGGTATGCTTATGTTCCAACTTTCGTTTTTATTTTCGCTGGATTTGCCGTGCGTCCAATTCTTTCTCCCTAAATTTTCGTTCATTTTCAGCATATTCTCTGTTAGTACATACATTACATTCAATTTCGAGACAGGTAATTATCGAGGCATTGTTTATTAAAACATATGTTTTTTGTTAGTGGTATAGCTTATTAGTTTTAAGTACGTACCTTTTTATCTGTCATTTGATGTGCTGTTTAAGACAAAACCAATGAAAATAGGCGGTCCAAACTACAAGTTCATCGAATCGCAACGATTTTTTGCTTTATATTATATTGATGTAATAAGTTTTTTTTGTTTATTCATATATTATTTTTAATGTGTCTAGTTCTTTTTGTTGATTTACTAATAATTTAATTCCCTATTTTCAAACTAAGATTTAATGTTTTTTTTAAATTTTTTTCTTCTTGTACTATTTTGTTTCAAATGCCGAATTTATCATACAAATATGGGTACTGAATAGATGTATCACGAGTACAACACCACTAGTGACTTTGTGGGGCACATGTGATGTGAATTCTAGTGACTTGATAAGGCGATTTTTCGTACACTTACCCTACTGATATGAGGCGAAAGTAACACACACACAAAAGACTCGGTGTGGCAGAAACAAATCTATGGAGATATTGCCAAGAAGAAAAAACCGCGAAAAAACAAAGACTTAGTAGGCTAAGATTCCTGAAGAGAACACTCGGGATTCCTTGAAAAGTTTTGGGATCTGCTAAAAAGCCTTAAGCTTAATGAGGAACTCTAGACAAGAATGGAGAAGGTAATAGACCGATACTGGTTGCGGCACTCGGGTCGTAGAGGCCGAATCTTTCTCTAATCTAATCTAGCGAGGTGAATCACATATTTCGTACATATACTGCTGACTTAACAATTCATTAGGTGAATAAATCATCCACGATGGGCCACCAGTGACATCTCGAAGTTAAAAACCCGCGTTTATCCACCAGTGAGTCTTGAGACGAGTGGTCACCACTCGTAAATACTCGCTAGTGATTAATAAGTTGATTTTTCACATGTGCCATATGTACCCTAGTGACATTATCCGTCCATCTACTGCTGATTTAACAAGGAGAATGTATCCGGCGTGGGATATGTACTCTTGTGACTTCACGAGGTCCACTAGTGACATCATGATATTAATGTAACATTCAACTGCTTACTTTGTGATGAGAATGTTCCCCCATGCGTGACATTAAATCTAATGACTTCATGAGGTCATTATTGTACTATATGAACGAACATACATAGAAAGTTGTTATTGGAATACTTTTTATCTTCTTTTTCTGCTGCTTTTTGTACTGGAATAAACGCATTTTAATCTAATAGTTAGTTGGCTAAGAGAAGCATTAGACCTGGGGACTTTCACCCCAGTTATCAATGCCAGGAACCAAAATTGTTATACATGAAGTGAAGGTAAAGAACTTTATATTATTTGAAATTTAGGGCTGAAATAAATAAAATTTACCATTGGTTAAATTCGCTGAGCTAAAAAGGTCTTGTGCAATTTGTTGCCTGGCGCCAAGAGGCAATCTCACCACTTTCATCTTAAGTTCCTCACCACCAGCCTCCTTCGGCTTCCTGTTTTTCCCCTCGAAGGAGTTTTGTCGTTCATGACACCACGGGCCGCGCCTCGGCACTCCACAAAAACCGGCACAAATGGCGAACCCATAGCCGCCACATAACACCAAATAATTTAATAAACGTTTACTTTTCCAATTCTTCTCACATCCCTCGCGGAATCGGCCTTGAAGAAAAATGAATCTCGCGTTGTAAGAACAGTGAAAATGTGTGAGAAACTCAAAAACTACATATGAATGAAGCTAAAAAGAGAAATAACATTATATTTAGCCACATGTTGTTTGAACTGAACGTTGTAAATTATTTTCAATTGTAACATTTGCATTAAAGCCTTGCTAGCCATTGGACCACGCCATATCACTGCATTGCCCTCATTAACCAAATATCCGATTGAATTCGTGGCCAGCCGATAAGCCGTAATAGGTACCATGTGATGCCTATCAGGTGATGTAGGCCGCTCATTTTTGGTTGCCAACATAGTCGGAATAGAAGAGACATAAATATCGGCATCCAAAAATCAATGAAACCTTTGCCCCTTCTTGCAGCAATGCCAATGCTAAATCTACTGTAGTTGTCCGCATTTAATAAAAAGAAGAGTATGAAAAAGTAATGGAAAAGGGTTTAAGAGAGATAGAGAGAATGAAAGAAAGAAAATTTGAGAATATAGAACAAAAGGATTGGCTGAGAGAGAGAGCGATATAAATATGAATATATATATATATATAGAGAGAGAGAGAGAGAGATCTTTAAGGAACTTTTGATTATTTATCATATTATTCATACCTAGGACAATACGAAAAAAATAATAAAGGGTAAGAGAGAGAGAGAGAGAGAGAGAGAGAGAGAGAGAGAGAGAGAGAGAGAGAGAGAGAGAGAGAGAGAGATTAGATAGATGGATAAATAGATAATAAAAAAAAGAGATCTCTTCAAGGAATTTTTGGCAATTATTTATATTATTCATATATAGTACAGAATGGAAAAATAGTGAAAAAGGGTGAGAGAGAGAGGTGGAGAGAAAGAAAGAAAAAAAGAGAGAGGGGGAGAGAGAGAAAGAGAGAGTGAGAGAGAGAGAAAGAGAGAGTGAGAGTGAGAGTGAGAGAGAGAGAGAGAGAGAAGCAGAGAAAGGATCGTTAGAAACATAGAAAGATGATACATAGGAATCAGCATCACATGATCTTGATGTGAAGAGAGGACCAGAGCCCTTAAATTAGGCAAACCCTTTTTGTTTTCTTGATTTGGCTTTCCGTTTTGTCATTCATCTTAAGAAATAACCGTTCTTCTAAATCATAATTTTTTGTCGAATATAAACGCCGGCCCGTATTAAAATGTAGCGACGTTGTAAACAATTATCGTGTGGAGGATGTGCGTTTTAGTGGAAACTTTATAATAAGTGTAATCTCTCCTAATGGTTTTCTATATCTAAATTTAGGAATAGCGTTTTGTCAGGGAACACAATATTATTTAGAAGCGAAGGGGGATGTCGGCCGGTCCCGCTAAACTCGGATTCAATGACAGGCAAATTATTTTGGATTTAAGTTATAACGTTCCGACTTGTATAATTAATGTCTACCCCCGAGCTCCTCTGATCCGTAGGTCGAGCCGACGGGCACGGAACTTGGCTTTAAACGAAGGGCGTTAAATATGTGTCTCCTTTCCGTGTAGCATACACGAGTTTTCTTTCTTCTTCGCCTATGATTTATGGGATAGCGGATTTCAAAGTTGCCGTAATAAAACGTTTCTGACCTTTCGCCGACAAACCGTTGCGTGAGACAATCAGAAAGAAACGAACAAAATGAATAGCGCATATTAATAGAGAACCAGTAGGTAGAAGGTAGAAAGTTCAGAACAATTTCCTCTAAGTTAAATAAATAAAATACCTTCTTTTCCTACTTAATTTACATACTTATTCGAACTACAATTAGCCCGATGTAAAAAATATAATTTCTTCGAAACTGTGAGCTCTAAACTTCTTAAAAGCTAAAAAAGCTACACTAGAATAAAAACTTACTATTTCCTAGCCAAACATTTCTTTAAACATTTTTCTCTCCCGACGCTTAATCACAAGGCACAATTTCTCAAATTCCTTTTGCCTAATGAATAGTGCAACGCCATGTAATTAATTCTTATATCTCTATATAACTTTTCTTTGCATAAACATTATATAATATTAATTAAGGTTTTGGTTGAGATAAAAAAGTCATTGTCACAAGCGGGATTCGAACCCACGACCTTCGGCTAAATATGCCGCTGTTCTACCACTTGAGCTATTGTGACTTCGAACCACTCGCACACCAACTTCCCAAAGTCAAGGTAGCTCAAGTGGTAGGTAGAGTAGTGGCGTATTTAGCCGAAGGTTGTGGGTTCGAATACCCCTTGTGACACTGACTTTTTATCCCAACCCAAACCTTAATTAATTGAAAAGAATTTATTTGGTCAGGCGGACCACGAAACCTAATAAATTATATTATATTAAGAGAAACGGAAATTCTTTCATTACACCGATGCATTTTGTAATTTTTTCAATTTCGAAATTAGTTTCAAACAATTCCCACATCTAATGACAATTTTTCTCAAGAAGCATTAATAGAAGAAGAAGTCTTCGCACTATCCTATGAAATCAAAATTTGTTCTTTGGGAGAAACAAGCGGTCAATAAACAATGAAGATTCAGCAATATAGGCAAAGTTAGGCTTAGTTAATTCCACCAGAGATTAAGATTGTCTTTAAAAAAATGCCCACTCTTAAGAGTAGTCAATGAAACTTAATTCACCATACAAAAAAACTTATTACTACAAAATTTTATTAATTCATAGATTCTTCTTTGGATAGAAAATTTAGAAGTTGTCAATGAACAATGGTGAACACTAAAATAAAGATCTGGCAGGAACCGGTCAGATCATGGGGATGGGGTAGAGGAGCCGGCCATTGCTGGAACTCAATGTTTAGGATTACTGTTTTATTGGTTAAGGGTTGTGTTAGGTCAAGAGCCAACTGTTTTCTGTAGGATTATTAGGGTGGGATGTTGAAGAGATGGATTGAGCTGGATTGGTGCGGAAGGAGAATTTGTAGTGGAAGTTGTGGAATCATGTTCAGGTCCTGTTCGTCATTTGGTTGAACCTCTGCTAGACTACAGAATACAGAGATTTAAATTGATGGATGGTGACAGGGTTCTGGGATTTGAATATAGGGATTTATCTTTTGAGGAGGTGTTCGAACTTTCTAGCTAGGATTGGGAGAAGGCTTATTGGTTTCTATCTGTATAAAGATGGGTTGCTGTGGGACTTGTCTGGTTTGGGAATGGGGCTATTAGAGGAAGTTTCTACTAAATGGAGAAGCAAGTTGTGCATATTATTGCATAGAAAATGGTTTTGATGTGTACAACTGTTTTTTTATATAGGTTCTTAAAATTTTTGGGAGTTATGAATCCATTATTACTTCACACAATTCCACTAATTCATAGATTGTTCTTTGGGATAAAGTCTGACATCAAGTGAAAAATGAAGTATCATTAGCACATAGAGAAAGTTATTGGCTTAGACAATCCCACCACAAGCCTTAGATTGCTTTATGAACGATATTCACTAATAGAAGTAGTCATTGAACTTCATTCAGCATACTTCGAAGGCTATACATGTATAACTTCATACAATCTCACCAATTCAAAGATTGTTCTTTGGGAAGAGGTCTACTAGAAGTAGGCATTGCACAACACAGTTTAATATAGCATACAGTGTTTCACTCAATCCCACTAAATTTTAGATTGTTCTTTGAAGCACACCCACTTTTTAGAATCATATTCCATATTATGATCTGTCTGCTAGTTGGTGTTTTTTTTATAAGCCTTTAGTTACAGCAGGTTTATTTACATGGAAAGCTTTTTAATTATTTTATAATCTTCTTCGGCCCCTTAACTCACAGCCTTGTTATTTATATTTTTTTCATATAACACTACTTATCAATTAATCAATTAATTGACACTAGACAATTAACACTAGTCAACAGTTGTCCCCAACATTAAGCAAACTTGTTCAGGACCAAAACCGCTTCAGGCACTCAAGACATTAAGCCTGAAAATTCTTGGCTGTCAAATATGGAGCGCATATTTATTTATTTATTCATTCATAAGTCTATATATTTATTTAATTAATGTTAAATATGCTTTAATAGGCTCATTAGGTTAGTACGGGCTGGTCTACCCTCCTCAAATTTGTAAACATACTGGTCAACTTATTAGTCAAGATCGTCTCAAAAATATATTAATATATATAAATTATTTAAACATTAATTTAAAAAGAAAACAGAATTGTAATAAATTAAATGTAGTTGCCATGCAAAAGTTTATAAGATCATAATTATATTACCTGTCAAAATAATCAAATATTAATAATAACATGCTCACTAACCTGACTGCCAGCAGAGAGAGTTGATTTACCATTTATAAATCCCTCCTGGGGAAAGAAAAAAAAAAAAAAATTTCAGTTAAAATCAAAGAATGGAAGATAAGGTACATATAAAAAATAGATGTCATATAAATAAAATTTACCCTCTGAAGGCAAAAATCCTCGCCTTAGAACAGCTTCGATGAACCAGCTAACTACACACTGTTCTACACTCGCGGAACAACTTAACGCACTGTTTAAAGCACTTTATAAAAATGTTTTTAAAAAAAAGTAAAAATGGCTCAACATCCTTGGAAAAAGAAAACAGAAATGTATAAAGCCTACAAGAAATTAAATGTAGTTTACCGGCAAAAGTTATTTATGAGATCATAATTATATTAGCTTCTGGCACAAAAATCAAATATTAATAATAACATGCTCACTAACCTGACTGCCAGCAGAGAGAATTGATTTTAATTGTATTTGTAAATCCCTCCTGGGAAAAAAAATCAGTTAAAATCAAAGAATGGAAGATAAGGTACATAGAAAAAAAAGATGTCATATAAATACAATTTACCCTCTGAAGGCAAAAATCTTCGCCTTAGAACAGCTTCGATGAACCAGCTAACTACACATTGCTGTACACCCGCGGAACAACTTAACGCACTGTTTAAAAAGCACTTTATAAAAATGTAAAAAAAAAATAGTACAAATGGCTCATCATCCTTGGAAAAAGAAAACAGAAATGTATAAAGCCTACAATAAATTAAATGTAGTTTACCGGCAAAAGTTATTCATAAGATCATAATGATATTAGCTTCTGGCACAAAAATCAAATATTAATAATAACATGCTCACTAACCTGACTGCCAGCAGAGAGAGTTGATTTACCATTTGTAAATCCCTCCTGGGAAAAAAAATCAGTTAAAATCAAAGAATGGAAGATAAGGTACATATAA